GACCGCGCTCTCCAGCTGTGTCCGGCGAAAGGCCAATTTCCACGACGCGGGTCGACGATCGAAGGCCGCGCCGCTGCGATGCAGACGACGCCACGATCAAAGTCCCGAGGTTGCGCGCGCTTACGCAACCTCGCCCGAGCGACATCGCGCGTCGCGTGCCGACTTAATTGATGCGCCCGAAAGTACCGTGTCGGCGAGTCCAGCCACGTTACTTTTCTCCGCCCGTTCAGACGCTTTATCGCAGCAGGACGGCGATACGTCGAAGCTGCTCCCGATAATCGACCCGCTGTTGGCTTAGTCGCCAGTCTTATTCTTATTATTATTTTCAAGAAATATTTAAAGTAATATATTTGTACGTTGCGATGACGTTGCGAGGACGTTTACCGTAAATCGTCGCGATGGCTGCAATAAAAAATACATTTCAATGCTGGCCGCAGTTCTCGGAAAAAACCGAACATATCTATTTTAGTCGACGATCTGTTTTTCTCTTTTGCACATAATGACGATCGAATCGATGTCTTTGTCGACTTCGCTCTTTTTTAATGAGTTTGCAAAGAATCTTTCCACAGCGGAATATAAATGGATTTTCTGAACAGTTGCCTCTTTAGCTCATTCGAATACACCTCAAAACAGGATTCTCTCGCCTTCTATCACGCATAAAAAAAAAGCGACGTTGCTGCAGTCTTCGTGTCCCCGAGATACTGCTACGTACGTTGGATTTCTTTATTCCGTCATTCGCGGCGCCGATACTCGGCTGTGGTCCGAACAATCAGCGATCTTTGCCGTAAAACACTTTTTTCTTTTTCCCTTTGGATAAGACATAAATAGAAACGGGAAATTTGCATGTCGAGCGTGCACGCATTGCGTAACCGAATAGCTAACGGTACGCCACGCGCATTCGCGCAAAAATAACGCGACGATAGAATTATGTTAGCCCATATCGTTGGAAAAATACGAGAAAAGGCAGTCTAAAAAGAAACGTTTTGTTTGTTTGTTTGTTTGTTTGTTTTTTTTTTGAAATAGACATGTCGAACGGGAGGGGGAAAAAATCAAAGTCAGGGCCGCAGACACGTCGAAGCTCGACCTTGGTCAAGTCCCCCCTTCTTTTCAATATAAACGCACGCCTCGGCGCATTTAATCAAACGCTAATGAAATGGACGCTTTTCTTTCTCCCCACTCCTGTCCCCTTTAAAGCGACCCACATACGACGGATGAGAGAGAGAGAGAGAGAGAGAGAGACGGAAGTGGCTCGAGGGACGTGTATGCAACCTCTAATGGACGAGTGCTATTGCCTTCTAAATGCATATTAATTAAGAGGAAAATACGTCCAGAGACGATTCAATGGGCAGGCCAAGCCTCTAAAGTGACGGGGAGCAATTTCTTTTGCGATTGTTGGATAAATTTGCTAATGAATTCTATATAGATCACTTCTCGGGTATATTATTTTTCAAACTGTTTGACTTGAAACGCAATGGGATTCCATTTAAATTCGTCGTTTTTTAAGCTAGTAAAATCATTTTTTATTACCGACCGAAACGGAAAGTCCGTTCACCATCTATGACCTGTTCGTCTTTCTACTTGTGTAAAGTAACGATATGGAATATCATTTGAGTAATTTTCAAACGACAAAATTTACGAGGGTATCGCATTATTTCGACGTGTCGCGCTAATGCGGCTGAAATTTATCCGGTACTATACACATCGATGAGTCGAGAAATACCAAAATCATTCACGGGAAATCGAAAGTTTCAAAGCTTGACTCGCCGGAAGCCAAGAAGCCACGCAATATAAAAGCCATGTAATACGCCGGCGATCCTCTCGTTTCATCTGCGGCTTCTTTCAAATTGCCTCTATGGTCGAAAGTGGCATAACGGAAACGCCTCCACTCTCGATGAGACTTTCTCGCGATCGCGCGTAAAAAGCTGCGCGTCGCGCCCTTCACCCACATTATTGCGCACTCGAGAGACGAGCAGCGAGGGAAGCTGCGACGGTGAAATCGATAGGAGGATCGCCGTCGCGGCGCCCGTCGCGTTCTTCTCTATGAGTTAGACGGCAAGCCGCGACCGTACGCGCTCGGCGTCTCGCTCGGCGCTATATCGAAGTTGGTGCTGACATAAGGGAATCGGATAACGCGCCTCGGACGCACGCGCGCGAGCTTGCAGGAAAGCAGCGCTTAATCGGGTCGCGGCTAAATGGAAAAATAAGTGGAGCGCGAGGAACAAATAGATTGCCTTTTTGTTCGCGTTTCCCTCCAATTCTAGTTCGCGGATCGACGGAGGCAGTTTACGAGCAATTCTAACGTGAGGATCCTCGATGAAGCGAACATCTAGCGAGAGGCAGCAGCAAGCGGCTCGCTCGTTGCAAATCGGTGATTGCATTTCGACAAATCCAGCCGTCCAGCATTGACAAATTTCGTTGATCGCCCGACCAAGTGCCATATCGCTCGAATCCGTCTTTCAAACGAGACTTCCGTACGATAAGTCTTTCGCGATACGCCAAGGTCGACCCAATTCTCAGAAGCACAGCAATAAAGCAGGAAGCAAATTTATAGCCCGCGAAAGGCAAAGAAGCGCACTGCGCAAGCAAGGATGTAGCGCAACGTGAAAAAGTCGTCTCGATTCCCGTTATCACCCGCGGTAACGTGTCCAAAGATAGCGCCCCTGCGCGCGGGTTACGTAACCGACCGGCCGCCTCTCGCGCTTTCATGATCGATATCAACGGTGGCCGAGGAAAAGAGAAAATGAAACAATCAACGAAAGGACTCGTCGCGAGAGCCTTGACTTTGGCCGACTCGTCGGGTGCGCCAGCTCGTGCTCCCGGCGTTTTCGGGCGTCGTGGTGCCGCCGAGGCGACACAGCGGAGAGTCGCCGCGACCGCGCTGTATGTGGGCCAAGCGCGCAAAATGGAGGCGGCGCGGCGCTCTGTCGCCGGTCGATACTCGCGGCTCGCTCGCCCCGAGCGTGTACAGCGGCGAAACCGCCCTCTCCGGCCACGCGCGCGCACACACGGAACGCGCCGTACGCGGCGCTCCACCTGCCAATCTCGACTCGCTTCGCAGGGCATGAGTCGTTCGGTCGACCGCCGTGGTTGTCGCGAGTCCCACTCCGCCGAGTGCGCGCGTGCCCGCCAACTGACCCATTCGGAACGACGGAGCCCGCCCGACGACGTCCTCTCGTCGATGGGGCTTAGCCCTGGGAACAGCGCGTCGCACGCTCTCTCGCTCTGCACGATCTCCCAGCTCGCTTGTTTTTCCGCGCGACGGAGCGCATGATGTACCGGCAAGAGGGTGTGGCGCGTCTAATAACCACCCGAGAGAGAGAGAGAGAGAGAGACAGACAGACAGACAGACAGACTGCAAATATGCCGGAGAGAAAATTATCCAGCCAACGCTAATTAATTAACTCTTTTTCCGCGTTCGCGACTCGTCTTGATGTACGTAATCGATGTAATAGCAGTCGCTGCTATTTGGATCGCGCGCGCCGGCTGCGGAATGCGCGTACGCGGTGAAGTCGAGACGCCTCTCCGACGCGAGCAGAGTGTGTTCCTCGAAGAGAGTAAGGCGAGCGATATACGTAGGGGAACGAACAGTCCGCGTAACCGATAGCGAAACGCCGGTCGGGAGTCCACTCAGGCGACGCAACGACGGACTTTGAAGGAGGAGGAGCTAGGCCGAGCTGCATGCGCGTCGATTGCGATACGCGAGTCGCGCGATCGAACGGTCCACTGACCGAGTCTTGCGACAGAAACGGCGAGTCGCAGATGCAGCGACGACGCTCGTCCGAGTGCGCGCGCGGGAGCCTATTCTTAGGCAGCCAGCTTGCGCAAAGAAGTCGCGACGCTCACTCGTTCGCACCACTCGGGTCGCCGGCCGGCTTTTCTTTCCTGTCGCGCGCGAGCGCGAGGCGTTTAGCGTCCGCGAGGTGAACGCGGAGAGAAACGCCGCTCTCCCGAAACTCGGCAGTACGCAGCGAGCAGCGAGACCTTCGTCAGTTCTAAATTCGGAAAGCGCGTGGACTAATAAGGCGGCAACCTTGCACGCGCGCACGCTCTCTCTCTCTCTCTCTCTCTCTCTCTCTCTCTCTCTCGACGTGTACAGATAGCTCGCGATGGGTAAACATTAGATCGCTCGTCGGCGTGATTTCAATTCCAGTACGCTGTACGCGGTGACTCGGGCGAAAGCAGCGCGCCTTACAGGACGTCTGTCCTGGCCGTGCTCCAACTAGCTTCTCAAGCGGAGGCGGGCGGCGAGAAACCTGATGGCCTATAATGTCAAGGTAACGCGAAGGGGGGCACAGGAGAGCCTAAGGGCCATTCCCCCTTCCGTTCTCTCTCTCTCCCTCCCTCTCTCCCTCTCCGCACGCCCACGAGACACGGTGCGCTGCTAAACTCGGCGAATCGTTTGCTCCGTGTGTGCGTGCGTCTGGGGGCTGCTTTTCATCGGCGCGTATAAGCGTACGTACGATGACATGCCGGACGAGTCGGCTGCGCATGAAAATAGAAGAAAGCCAATACCTCTACCTAGGATTAATCGTCGGTGCTATTCGCGAGCTTCGCATTTTCACCGTGCGCCCGACTCTGCCGCAAACGGAACGAGTCGGGGCAATTACGCTTTCGTACACCATTCGACTTATTACAGTAAGAGCTTTCCTGTAAGCAGCTGCAGAGAGAAAAGCCACGCGCGAGTGCAGCTGTGCGAGCGCGACTTTTGCAGCACTTGTGTGTCTCACCCCTCAGGGATTGCCGCGAGCGAAAGATTGTAAACCGCTGGGTTACGAGGGGTGCGCGATATACACATAGCACCCGTCAAGTAATGAGTCAAGGGCGCTCCGCCAAGAAGAATCCGAGCGGCTCTGACGAATTAAGGCACGCGGATTGCCAAAAGCACGATAGAATACGGACACTCGCGCCAGAGCAAGTTGTGTGTTTTGGAGCAACTCGATGGCACTGGACGACGAGAAAATATCGATCGAGGAGATCGTAGACACACGTAGGCACAGTACCTGTTTGCCCTGGCGTGGCAGAGTCTCGACGTTGGTGCCGGCGACCACCGGTGCCTTTTCCACCGTGCCATTCTGTTGAGCTTGGTGTTGGCGCACGGCCGTGTCGGTCGTGTTATTGCCTGAGGTTAGGTCGCCCTGCTGATTCTGCTGCAGCTTGCCACCGCCACCGCCCTTTCGATCCTCACCCGTCATCCTCGCACTACCCCTTCACCCAAACAAAAAATATAACGAACAGTCTGCGAGGATGCGATACTCCTGGATTTTCTCTCGTTGTTTTCCGGTGATCAAAACCACACAGTACAACTTCACTCACTGTTGCCCTTTAAACGAAAAAAACAACAACAGCCGTGTAACCGAACGCGTTTGCTTTATGCACATATACGTTTTATATATATATCTCTCTCTCTCTCTCTTTTCTGTGCGGAGGGCAGGCCCTACGCTACGACGCTGCCTGGCTAAAAGAGCGCGTCCGCCCTCGCCGAGTGCTGTCCCGGACTACTTTGCTGGTTGGCTCGCGCTCGAAAGTCGCGGAGAGCCGCTTCGACATCGTCAGCGGCATCTCGCGGTGAGAGCGGGTAATCAACTGATGCGACCACTTTTATTTTACTCGTTTTTTGTTGTGAACAAGACTAAACGAGAGGAGAGCTGGTTTGATACCTTGCCTGCTGCTGCTGAGATTCGTCGATTGCTTCTTTCTTGAGGCGGGTTATTGTCCTCTTGCTCTTGTCGCATTCGCTCTTGCCTTAAGGGAATCGATTATTTATGTACGTGCTTTTTAGTTTTGTTTGTCAATTCGTTTATTTTCAAGCTATGCTTTTCAGAAGATGTGTGTTCCATCGTTGATTACACGTATTAATCATATATTACGATCGCCTTTACTACGACCAATAACAAATAATTATTTAATTTTGTTTTGTACTAGACCGGCTTTCAAAAATTTGCATGAAGCGGTATACCGTGCCATCGGACAATTATACCTTACAGTGACTCATCACGTGAACTACGCTGTGAAGTTCACCTTTCAGATCTTGTTTCAATAATGCCGATCTAATGCCGGTGACCGTGTAGGAAAATGTAACGTTAGTTACACGGTCGATTCATTTAATAATACTTGCTCCTTGTTCCCTTTCACTGCATTTGCCAAATTGCCGATATCGATTGTCGATGTTGAATGACGATTGAGATAAAAATCGGGTAGGAAGTTTTAAATGTACGTATTTGTGCAAATTTTTACTGTGAACCGCGTTCGGCGTGAAGTACGCTCAACGAATTTCCAAACGCCCAGTAAGAAATACTTGCGATGCGTAATCTTGCACTTACAGCCGAAATAGAGGCTAAAAGCATCCAGGACAGGGTTAATGTCAATATGAGAACAAGACATTTCATTACTCGTCTGGTTGTGATACTTCTCGAATGCGAACTAAGACGTGTCCGAATATAAGCGATGTAATTTTTCGATTGAAAGACGCTGCAGCCCAATACTGACCAAATAAAATATAACCAACTGTCGAAAATTCCACTAAATACATGTCAATTGGTCATCCTACAGTCTCGGCGTTAATCCTTTTACGGGATGAATAATGGAAATCTTCTCGCGATGAAGGTATGGAAATGACAATCAATTAAAAACTGATCGCATAATTTATTAAGTTTTTCTTGTGATTCGTGCGTTACATTATTAACCATTACGGTTAATTAAACGTTACTTCTCTCGCTGTTTTATATTTTGTTCACTTAGGCGCTGCGACTTCTTACTATTAACAATGAACAAGTTTTATTATAACAAATTCAAAATAACACATTCAGCATTCAGATAATTGTATCATTATACGTTTTCTTCTCCTTCGTTACTCTTTGTGGCACATCCAGTATAATGTCATACAGAGATTAAGATATGATTTTGTACTTAAGTATTTATTTCTTACATTATATTTATTTATCGCACTCAACATGAACTACTAATTAATTCCATACATATCGCTTTATTTTATTCGTAGTTTCTCAGGATTATGTGAATGACGAACCCATAAAATGAGCTTCAGACATTTGAGTCCCAAAGGTATAGTTTAGCGAGTATTGCAGAAAGTTTGTTCCGAACTACACTGGAGCGCATTCTGACGAATACCAATTTAAAAATATCTCCCTTGTTCAATGCATTCGTAGCTATTTATTCTACCCTGACTAATGTTATTTGGAATAATGTCTAAATCAACCTTTCAAATACAATAAACATGTGTATTATGTGCACACATTCGTTTAGGTAATGAGATAAAATTATTGCTTATAATTTCTGCTCCGAAAAGTTAAACACATTTCCATCCTACTCCATCCAAATATTCTGTTTTTTTTGTATATTATTTCTCTTTGCTTTCACATTTATATTTTTGTATCTACTCTGATCGATGCCTTAATTATTATGCAACAAATAAACAATCAGGGGTGTAGAGCTACAGATTATTTTGAAATTCCAAATTCCTATACGATTGTCCGATCAAAAATTGTAAGAAGCTTATTAATCTCTTTTGAATTTTATAATTCATATTTATTATGACGTGCTTTAATTGAATAGATTTGTCTTTCACGTTGATGAATGGTATATGTACCAATTGACTTATCCAGTGGACTTTATAAAAGCTTAGTTTTCACGTTCGATTTTCAGTCAAAAATATATACTGTCTTGTGTGTAAGCTTCATGTTCTTTCAAATCAGCAATATACGTATTAATTAAACACTTAAATACTATAAAAAATAAAATTGCACATCTCAGCTAGTTCCACCATCATAATTAAATGTATAGTTTTTATCTAAACCAAATCTACTGCAAGATTGATCGTTTGACTGAAATATTGAAGACTTATCGCAGTGGTTCTGTCATTTTCTAATGTATTCCAAAATTCGTTTTACATCAAAACACAAATTAAGCGATCCAAATGCAATTATAAAGGGAATTATTAACAATATTTCCTGTAAATAGAATTCGAAGGCCATTACAATTCTATTTTATATCCTTTCAGCAATTGTTGATACTATATTATAAAACGATATATTTTGATTGAAAATTCCTTTTTCACGTTGTTCTATGCACATTTTCGAATGTATAAAGCCTAGATATTATCCGATTCTGTATGCCAAGTATTATTTCAGTAAATATAAAACACTTAATAAAACTAGCATGGAAATATGAAATTACTCATGTTTTTCTCGTTAATTACTTTGACCGGCATGTTAAATGAATATTTTATTTTAAATATTAAATTTTCAAAGAAGCCATCAATCTCAAACGTAACATTAGAATAACTCCTATTGAGAAGATTCCTTTTGAGAAGATGTACATTGAAAACTTATGTGATTGTTTGCTCCACAGTTTATATTTCTCATAAAATGCAATGAATAATTGTGGTACAAACTATGTATAACTCGAAGTAGAAATTTGATTGTAAATTCACTGGTTTGTATTGGAGAAAATGAATAATATTATAACAACTTGAATGGTCTCTACTCATTTTAAATATTATTAAACACCACCCACGGAAATGATGGAATATTTTTAAATGAATTTTTGCTTTTGCCAATGCAAAATATTAACTTCAAAATGTATTAGACGGATCTTATTAACCATTCTAATCTCTCATTATGCATATTGTACAACTGTTGAAGATGTATTTAGTATGTATATGTATGTACATTGTACACACAACATAATCCTTAATAATTCATTAAAATAATTTAGATAAAAATAATTCGCTACATAGCTAGAAATACCCTCCAGCTTTTGTACGATGTTAAAGTGTATTTTTCTCAGATTTAGGTTTTAAATGACTCTTAACCTAACCGTTATGGAATAACTGTTAAACTTTTACTGAAAATAAACTCATGGATCCTTCTTGTCGAACGTTGGAAATCCTGTTGATAAGATTTTTCTTATAGCATTATCAGAACTATTATCATTATTATCGCGGTTTAAAATAAATTTGATTGTTTCAATTGGAGCTCTACATATTTTTTTGGGATATTATTTCCAATATAAGTTATTGTGCCTATTGTCGAAGCCAATTCACAACTTTTAAATGAAACAAATTTATCATTGTATTCTTTAATTTATTTTATTAAAAAGTAAAACATCTAAATGTATGGCGACGATCTATTCTTGATGATTTACAATATGTCAAAACATCAATCATAAATTATTACAAACAAAATGAAGATTCTTGCACAATTTTTATAAAAATTGTAATCTTATTACGAAAAATGTCGAAAATATAACGCGCATAAACAAAAATATGCTCGAGTAATTGTATATAAATACGCTGTATAGCGTACAGAAATGTATTATTTTCATTAATTTATCTGTTGCATTAATTGTTCCGAGCTCAGGGACAATTTTATTCTGCATAAAATACTACTAAACCTAATATTTATTCAGATCTTGTAATTTGAACTGTTTGTAATAAGAAAATGAAACTAAAATTTCTTTTATTATACTATATATGCAAATACTGCTATTTTCAAACTATAGTAACTATCAATTTACAATAGAATTAAATATACACATAGCTGAAATGTTTTCAATAAAAATATTATCTATTTACATTAGTTCAAAGCTGCACGAACCTTAATGCAGATCAATACTTTAGTAATATTGAACATCATATCGATTCATTTTGTCAATAGTATTACCAATCATTGTAAACTTCAACCACCAATAATTCAAAATGGTAACCACGTTTTTACACCATATCCATTATAGTCGTTTGATAAAAGTATTCAAATTTTACGAACAATCATGATTAAAGAAAAAGCCTAATGCATGTTCCATTACATTAATTAATTATTAATTTCATTATTTATTAATTTTTCATATGGAAACCAATTGAAAAAATGTAACTGACAATGAGTTGTATCAGTAAAAGAATTTCGACAACTTCTGATATTCCTAATATAGCTATTGATAACGTTAATCATGAAAATCTAATATAAATGAAAGGATTGTACAGTAAATCACTGGGTTCCCTATTATTTACTGTCGTTGACATCGTTTTACTAACAAGATACAAAAAGACAACGCGCGATTTCTTAATGTAACTTAAAACTAAATAGTCGCATTCTGTACAGCAATTTCAGTGTCATTAGCACAATCCTTACAAGAACCTTGCTGGCAATGCTCTTCGTAGTCTTTATCGAATACAAAAGTCGTATGACAAATATCGCACTCTAAAGTAGGAAAAACGTTTGAATCGACCATCTCATGATCCTCGAAACTATTCGAATAATCGCTTCGAGAACACTTGTTGCATTTTTTACAGATCTCCGTGTGCAGATGAAAACTCATGTGTTTCTTTAGATAACGCAATTTTACATTTTTCAAGCATACAATACATTTCACAACCTCGTTCACGAGAGGATCGTGCGTTCCTTGAATGTGCTTTTTTAGCAATGTCTTCTGCGAAAATGTTTTTTTACATAAATGACATGGATGCCCTAAACCATCGTGATAAGCTTCGTGTTTTGACAAATGATCAATGTGAAGAACTTTGCCGCAAATTCGACATGGCGAGAATCCATGTTCTTTACTGAAATGAGATCTTCGTTGATATGGATTATGAAAAGTTAAATCGCATTTGTAGCATTGATATAAATTCGCGCTTACAGTACTGTGAGTTTTCATATGCTTGTCAAATGGTTCACCGAGATCAACCAAACCTTTGCATTTTATACATTGAGTTTGAATAATAGGCTCGATGAATAATTTGCCCTCAATTACATTACATTTATGACCGAGATATTTTTCTATTCTATCGAAATTAGTCATACAATAATTGCAATTTAATAAAAGAGGATGAAACCGCCTTACGTGGATGTTGTAGTACTTCAAGCTTTTGAATTCTTTACCACACGAACAAAGACTCTTCACGTCGTGTTTCATCTCTGTCACATGCTCCATCAGATCTGTCACATTTTTAAAATACAACAAGCAGGTGAGACATCGATGCGAAGATATTTTGTTGATTTCTTTGGACTTTGATAGCACTTGCCTGAAAATATATCAACCATGACTATATGTTTTACGAAAATAAAAGGAAATCAATTATAGAAAAATGACGATTACTTGCAAAGATTACTCAAAGACGGTATGTTACTGTTTCGTCTTGGAGAACTCTTTATAGAACCAATTTCATTTTTAATAAAATCATTTTCCATTGAAACTGAGGAGGCAGTGTCTGCAGGATCTTCTGTATGACCATTGAAAGGAGTAAAACAATTGCCATTGAAATTGCTATGATTTGAATTTTCATCTTCAATATCTACTTCTTCATCATTATCCTCCACTTGTATCCTCATTACACTGAGAGTTTTGTATTTTTCCAACTCAGAAGAATCTGTCTTTTGGCTATTGGAACTAACTGAAACGACTCCTGAGTCATTTGATGAAGCATCACTGTCCTTGCAACTTCTAGACTCCTTGAAACTTTCTTCTGTTGGAGATGTTCTTGGCACAACCTCATATGAATCATTCTTATTCTTTTTGATTTTTATGCTTATACCTATTGCAGAATCATCATTTGCTTGGCTTCCTTTACCATCAGTTTCCTTGCATTTGACTTTGTGTAAAAATAAAGTGTGGTAATTTCTAAAGGATCTGCCACAATCACAAATAGTAGGCTCAACTGAATTTTGATTATTAGTAATTTGAAGATTATCTTGTTCTGTTTTCAATGGTGGTTTTATGTTGTCAGTCATCGGTGACTTTAGGTAATTAGTTATTGATGGTTGATCTTTAGTAGACTGATTTTGTGATTTATCATAATTGTTCAACAGTTCTTTAGGAAGATTATTTTGTCGCAGAGGTGAATTTAAGAATCTACACTTTGATGGATCAAAATTATCTGGAGTTTCTCCCCGTATTCTGTGAAGCTTCCTGTGGTAGCTAAAACTTTTTGCAGATTTATAGATACCAAAACAAATATCACACTTATATTTTTTAAAACCAACTTTGAAAGCTTCAATAGGCAATCGCACTGACTTTGTTATAGTTGGTTTGAATTTCTTTTTAGGTACAGTCCATCGAGTATGGCTGCGTTTTCTCTTTTTCACAGTTACAGATAAAGGAACATCTAGTTCCATAGGTTCAGGTACAGCCTCATTGGGTTGTATTACTGATTTAACTTTATCTGGTATTAGAATATCATCTGTAATTTTTTCACACTGAGCAATGATTGATTTCAAACAGCCAACTTTATGATAACCCTTCATATGGTAAACAATATCTGTAGCCACCCGTTTACACAAAATACATTTCATTTTCCCTTTAACCTCAATTTTAGTAGTTAATGATTTCACAGGTAAATCTTTAACGATTGCATTGATACCTAGAGCTGAGTTTTCATTGTCTTCAGTATTTACAATCTCTGTTGATTGTATAGCCTGACTATCATCTGGTTGCAGTGTGGCTTGTGATAGTGGTATTTTAACCATATTGTCAGGATTTTGTAATAGCGGTACTTTAACCATATTGTCAAGATTCTGTAATTCACTTGCTAAACCTTTATTACTGGTATCGGTACTTAGCCGTAAACTTTTATCAATTTGATCTGCCCGATTATAAATTCTCTTAGGATTAAAATAAACTCCATGGTCCTCAATAGCATGTTGTTTAAGCTGCTGTCTATCACCATATTCCTTACCACATGACATACAATGATACAGCTTCTTTTTACATTTTACAGAAAATCGAAAATCAGGAAGTGGTTTATTACTATTCCCTATTGTGGGCTGGTATGGTATGATTGGAATTGGTGACTCTGGAGTGCTGAGTAAATTCTTTGGTGAATCAATCTGATAGGAACTGTTATCATCATTTGTATCTCCTTGGATATTTTTAATAAGTTGCAAAGTTTCCCAAATCTTGTCACAATTTTCCAATTGAATTGTTACCTCCTTTAATTGAAACTTCTCCTTGTAGAATAGCAAAAGTTCTTCTGGATCACAGTGATCCTAAAATAGAAAAATTGCAAGATCAATCAATCATTTTACAGCTAAAGCAAAGAAAACATTCTGGTTAAGAAAAAACATAATGAAAAAATAACAAAATATAACTGTATCTGAAAAAGAAAGAGATCAATTGGAATGTCAACAGATCCTAAAAGGGAAGAAAGGTCACATAATAAAAGTATTGAATTTAAAACATGGTAGCAACGAAGTGGCAAGGCAAAGGGATTTTGGAAATAAATTATATGAAGTATTATGTGTTCTCTGAATAAATAATTACTAAGATATACTATGAATGGGAAATTTAATAAATAAGATTTGTTTTGAAAAAAGTGAACAATTGATGATGTTAAACTTTTTGTTTACATTTAATTAATTCATAAATATCAGTACCAATTAAAAAATATCAAATTCATTTATAATGAGCAAGTATTGCAATACATGTAATAAAACTTAGAGAAAAAATTAAACACTTGATTTTTTAAACATAACAAGAAAAATAATTCTGAAATTGAACAAAATTTAGAAAAAATAAACGACATAGAAGTAGCAACATTTCGAAGACACAGCAAATTCATCTAAAATACTTCAAAACCGAAACTATTCCAAATCTGCGAACGTGCTAGTAAAAACGACAAAGCGTAAACAACGTATTCTCTACTTGTTTCCCGCCTTCCATGCACAATGCCCAGTTTAGATATACAAATATAAAACAAGAGGCCATTGGAGGATGTGGCGATGGTATAAGTCACGTACGGTATAAGTAGGTGGCGAAACAGCCCTCTGAAGGATGACATCGTCAATTTCCTCCGGGTGAGGATAAACTTGATGCTCGTCGTCGCAATTGTCCTCGGCAGTGAAACTCGATTCCATAACCTCGTCCAGGGGTTGCTCGAGTATCACATCATCGTGTAGCTCTTGCTTGATCACGATGTCGGCGGCTTCCACGCCGAAGACCACACCGATGTCGTACTGCATTTCAGCCGGCTCCTCCATGATTGCGACGCCGTCGTCCCAAGTGGACAAGTTATATATCTATTGTGTCTGCCGAGAGATGCCGGTTATAACGACTAGCAGCACAACGAAGCGTAACTTAACGCTTACGCGCGCCAACTGACATCTTGCGTGGCGCCGCCGCCGTAGCAGCAACGCGCAGTACAGTGACGAAGCCACACTTGGGCGCCTGGATTCTTCATGTAATAGGTCGACGCGGTTTTTTCACTAACTTTCTACCAACTCGTTGAGCATAGTATTTTCCAGTCCATTCCTCTATTCTCCGTAATTCATACTGTATAACAAACTAAGTACTAGGCTTTCCAGCTTGGATTTTGGAGATATCTTTCTCATGGATAGTGTTCCATGATCGTATCCACATTTCGAAGTATAAGTTTGTGCAATGGATGTAGGATATGGGTCTACTGGAAATATTAAGGCTACTAATATCTCGATCATTCGTTCGCTTGAAAACTCGAAAACTCTAAATTGGAGTAACATCGAACAAAAACCACTATGTGGAATATAGCAAATCCACGTTGTCAAGCGACATAGAAAATATTATCTTGACACGCTTTCTATGTGTGTATCGCCATATCAGTGGTTTTCTAGTTTCTATGTATATATTCAATCATCGCTGATTTAGGGGTTGGGACAAGAGCTGAATGGTATACTTGTAGATTTGAGAACATTCTCTTTGAATCAAGTCTAGCGGGAATTGAATATCCTCAATTTCGTCGACTGTTCGTCTACCATAACTTATTGACGCGAATACAATTAGCGGCATGTAAATGCCAAGATATGGGAATCAATATCCAGAAAGGATTATTGTGTTAGACGAACAGTACAAGTCTCGTACAAGACGCGAGGCTCGACATTGTTACGGCCCTGAAATTCACGTTACTTTAGAGCTCTCTCGACTTGGGTAGCGATAGTAAGCGAGTGGTAAGAGAAGACTCGTGCGATGGAGGAACGGAATAGTGGACGAGTCCAAGTTTCGGGATAGTGTAGCATGCTCACGCGGCCTCGATCAATTCATTGGGAAGCCTTGATGATTGAAATCTACCATTGAATATTAGTCATTTGTCGAGTACCTTTTTATGCACCTTCATGCATCGCAGAGATTTGTTCAGCGACAAAGTAAAGGGAATTAAAGTTTTAAAGATTACCTTATTATTAAGGGGGATAGTTTACAAGCACAGCTCCAATGTTTTTTCCTAACCCAGTGCTCGAAAAAAGACGTGATCGAATGGCCAGTAGATTTAGGAAACCGGACGAGTCCACTTTCGGAGAGAAGGCAGCTGCCATATTCCGTCGCCCCTTTTTGTTCAACGTTTGAGAGTGAGATAAGGGCTCAATGCTATAGACGACGAGGCAGTTTTTTCCCTCTTGTGGGGCATTGATCGACGGGGAAAATTGTGTTCACAATGAGAAAGAGAGAGAACGGAGGTATACGAGTATCCTACCACGATACCACGATCGATTCTCCAACGAGGAGAATCGCCGCCAACGCATTTGCCGCTCCTCTCTCTCTCTTTCTCTCTTTCTCTCTCTCTCTCTCTCTCTCTCTCTCTCTCTTCGGAAGTATAAGCTATTTATAGAACTAGAACGACCGCTAGTTACGGCGAATTGTTCGCCATGCCGTCAAATTATATATGTCGAAGCTCAATGTTGTAGTGCTGTTGCTTTGGATTTACATGTGGGTGGAGATTACATTTTTCGACCACGATGAAATTATTCATATATTGAATAAATCGTACTCCATCGTTGATCAGTTCGTCCGAGTACGATGGACTCATCTAAAGGACTTCCGAGCTAGCCAATCTAAGTCCGAACCGTAAAACGCGAATGTCCACTTTAATTTGAACGCGAATTTTGGATCGAGTCCAAACTTGCCGTACAAGGGCAGAGCAAGAACTGCCAGACAGGCAATACGTCTGAAATTTTTCACATTTGCCACGATTGACAGAGTGAACGGTAGATTGCACCATAAGAGATCACGTTGATTGCCCCAAAAGTCAATTCAATTCCGTATTACGAAGAGCAATATCGAAACTTGAACGCACCTCAGGATTCGTTTTACGGGTCCACCATAAAAACAGAGACTGGGCAAAACGGTGTGGAATAATGAGAAGATCGTCAGAATTGGGGAGAGGACAAGTCGCAATTATATATTCTCCGACGCTATCACATCTATAGCTTCTTCTTCCTCGCTTTGCACGCGCGGCTGATCGATAATCCCGTCGTAGTACTGCGACTCGCGCACGGCAAACTTCCTCGTCCCGTGGACAATTGTTATTATCGTGGACACGCCAGTAGGAGTCGTCGCTCGATTGGTGGAGAAATGATCTGATTGGGATGTTCGTTAAGGCTCGAGACAAGTCGGAAGAAGCGGATGATCGTTACTCAACCGAACAAATTTGCGACTTCTTTTTCGCGACTAATGAGCGGCTTCCAGTCATGCGACTCCGCGATCCGATAAAAGGAGTCGCGGTCGAGTGAAACACGATTCGCTGTTCATCGTCGTTCGGGATGCTGCGAACCTCTTTGTTGCTCGTTGCTTTCTCGCTTGCGTCTTATGAGTGCGCGACCTCCTCCGATGGGAGTGACACAGGTAACATTCGCTCACTCGCTTTTATTCCGCTTAGCCGCTGTACGCACCAGAGATTATCATGCCACGTGTATTCGCACAGGTAATCCTAGTGGATTGCGCGACTGGGTAAGGAACATGAAAGGCAGGATGTCCAACAGGGAGTCCAATCGTGGTCTCATGGGATCCTTCGATCTGAATAACCTACCGAAGATGAAGCTCCCGTCGACCATGATATCTCGGATAACTGGCGAACGGAAGTTCCAGCCTGTGAACTTGGGTAATGTTGGATTTTTGCATTTGAAAAATTAGTAGACGACTGGCTCAATGAATGATTGTGTACTCCTAAGAGGAACGTCCAATGAAAACTTGCCTAAACTTGTCAATGGCTAAACATGTCAATTCACATACATCGCACCTAATATAATATTCATTATGAGGAACATACGTGGAGCATTTAATAATCGAAGCTTCAATTTTGTCGAGGGAAAACATATATATGCTAATCGCATTTCCCAGCGGACTGAACGACCGAATCAGTCGACTTGTATGGCTTCGGTTAGTAACTCCTTCGCACTCGTAAGTTTCTAGCCCTTTGCCTGTTTCACGTCAAACGAATTGCAATTGTTATCGTGAAATGTAAGTTCGATCGCAGCCGATAGAGAAATGTCAATTTTGGGCTCGAAAGGATCGTCGGAAAGAATGGCCGAAATGTGTCTGCTTGCCGGGACACGCTGCGTCGCCGACAGGCGTCGTGTCCTTCGATTCATCGACAGCTGGGTTTTATATAGCTTTATCGGGCCGACGGGCTTCTCGAACGATCGTCCCCTTTTTGCAACCTCGCGCCGCACAGTCGGCGAACCATGTAATACACATCATCCAAGAATCTCGCTGAGAAACGCCCACCACTTAACTCGAAACTTTCTCTTGTTCAGCCTAGCATTTCATTCTTAGCGAATATTGGAAACTTTCTTGGTTAATGAGATTTCTACGTGGACTTTGACGAAAATCTTACGTTTGCAGCGAACGTCAAGTTCGATCCGTCGATGGACCGGGCTTACCGTATGGGCAACTGGTACGTGATCCGACGTCGCAGTTCGAACAAAGATGACAGCGCTGACGATTGGGAAGAGTTCTTCGGCAAGAGCAGTGACAAGTGGGAAGTGGTGAACAACGGGGTACAGCGGGTCGACGACACTGGCGCTAAATGTCTACTTTGGCAACCAACGGCATCGACGAGTAAGACGGAGAGCGACGAAGCGGAAGAATTGTCCGCGGAGGTGATCAACTCTGCGTTGCTAAGGGAATAGAAGATCAGGATACGGCTTTGTAACTGTTGAGCACAACTGGATGCTGAGTTTAAATATAAGATTAGATTTTCCAAGAGATTGTTTTTCCGTAATAAAAATTTGCTGATAATTTAGATGGGAATTGATTTCTTATTGGTTGATCTAACGACGTGCATGCAAATTCTTTCAGAACCTGTGATATACCTACACTGTCTTGCGTAATCGTAATCAATTGTGGGACAATTCAAAAACACGAAGTGGTTCAAACAAACTGCGATAGCGGAGAATCAACTTACTGAGAGAAATTTCCACATGGCGAAACTGTTGTTATAATGCATGTAGCGAAAAAACTTATTGTGGATTTGAATAATTGAATATACTTCAGTTGGGCGATCGTTACAAACTTTTGCGATTGTGGAATAAAATCGATGGCGAATGATTAATCTACTAATAAATAAATGAAATAAGAAAGATACGATCGATTTTCCGAGGTCGTTCAACCGTATAGTCGCTGTAACGATGCCTTTGGAGTTGAATAACGCAAAACACTGGTAGTGCAGGAAAAATGATAAAGCACACCCTTTGTTGTTGACGATATCATGCGTGGGTGGATATTTTTCTTAGACGTTTTCCTTACGGCGGTCGGTAATTGATTCAAGTTACCATATGTAGGAAACTGCTGATTTTGTTGCTCTATGAGTTATGAAATAAATTATAGCACACTTGATTTGTTCACTTTGTTTCTAAAGAATTGTTATGTCGACATAATGAAAAATTGATTTAGCATAATAAAATATAAAATATCATAAATAATTTGGAATTTGAAAATTTTCAAATAACACGTATCATCAAAAGAACTTTCAGTGGGATCAATGTTGTAATAATTGAATGTAAATTTCATATAAGCACTGTTGAAAAATATTGTATCTTATTTATAATACATAAATCAGCTTTGTGTACAATTATTACTCTGCTACTTAACGATATAAATAATTCAATTAAATATAAATAAAATATAAATATAATTTAACATAAATAAAAGGAAAGTGTTTTATTTTACTAAAATAGTAGATTTTCAGGTATATATATAAAATGAAACCATGTTAATTGTCGTCACAAAAAATGGATTTATTCTTAGAGCTTACATTAATTTAGGTTGAATAATTGCATCCTTCATCATGAAAATGTGATGGTGTTTACTGTAAAAAAAAAATGTTTGTTCGCCAATGTATTTGAAGTTATAATAAAAATGAGTTTTCGAGAAAGAATTTTGAAGCTTCTTTTATGACAGTGTGAGTAAGTGATAATGTGATGGTGAATATTTATACAACATGCATAAAATGATAGTTTTCGAACAAAATTGTAGTAAAGTAAAAAATTAGATAAAATTAATTTAGTGTACTCTTGTTTAAAGTTGTGATGTATATGGTAATAGAAATAAAAAATGATTTGTACAATGATACATCAATATTGCATGCTGATATAATGATACCTTCTTTAACGATGAACATGAGATGAACAGAACATACAAACTACATTAACATAATAAACATCAATAATAATTCAAATAAGATATGATATATTACAAGTGAAATAAAATTAATGAATAAGCACGAATAAAGCAGTTCCCAACACCAAAAGTAGTGACATAGATCGTTGATGCAACATAAGTAAAATGCTCCAAAAGCAAATCAATTAATAGCTGAGCACTTGTGTAGACATGCTGACGACAATATAGATTTAACCATCCATAGTAGAAAGTCGAAGAATAAATGTTGATAGAATATGTTTATTTCCTTCCCTAGAATAGGCACAGAAAAAGACATAATACCACTGATGCATGCAAATTTCAGTTCTAGACAAATTTCCAGTTTTATTTGATTGAATGACATTTGCAAAATAGTCTTAGTTAATATATTTGAAAAATTAATAAATATTTTAAAACTAAAATATTGAACTGCTACATACATTATAAATACTATAATGCACATTATATATAACAAGGGTTAAGTTAATAAATAGCACAAATTAATTCATTTTAAAAAAAATAGAAATTAAACATTCATATTGAATATTGTATATTTCATTCTTAAGAAAATCTGTTCATTATAATAAAAGTAAATTAAATTCCAATAAGATATATGTTTTTTCATTACTAATCAGTAATATCATTGAAAAAGTTGATTTGTGCAAACTTTTGATATTATCTAACGTATAAATCCTATCAATTTATTTTGCCAATCAAAATTTTGAAAAAGCCTGAAAGAACCCAAATAACATGCACCTGAAGATGCTAAAAGCCAAATAATAATTTTGAAGAATCTAAATATACCATCACCAGTAACTAAGTAAAATATCATTAGATTTGCTAATAGAAATGATATCTGAAAGTTCAATTTGAACTTTCAGATAAATGACTTGTGATTGATTTGATTAAAATTTACCTTCTTAGATGCAGCTCCTACTTTGCTCTTCTTGGTACCTCTAACCTTCTTCATTCTGTTCTTTCTTTCTTTCCTCTGTTTTCTTGTCTGCTTTTGTTTTTCATATAATCCATGTCGCTGGAGCCTGTATTTGGGTTCAAACTTTTTGGCAAAGTCTAAAGTGTCATAGACAAGAGCAAAGCCAGTTGACTTGCCACCACCAAAGTCAGTACGAAAGCCAAAAACAAAAACAACGTCTGGGGTCACTTTGTACATTTTCGCGAGTTTTTCGCGGATTTCTGTTTTTCTGACAGAAGGCTGTCCAGGATGTTTAACATCCACCACCTACAATGACCAATAGGTTGGATCAAATACTTAACATCTACCAATTAACAATACGGTAAAATGAAGTCATTAATTACCATCTGCTTGCGACTCAACAACCTGTTGGTCATAAATTTGCGGGTTCGAATCCTGGCTTCCGTCTGTAACAAGAACGTATAAGAAAAATTAGGATAAGGTTATGTTTAGCAGTGTTTAGGTTAGGATCTAAATAACAAATTTATTGACGTTCAAAAACACACGGCACTGATAAACAACAATATTTCGTCGCACATTTTCGTTTTATTTACGCACAGTGACCGAGGAGTAAAGAAGCTATTTGCATTGTTTTATCACCAAAATCACAAAACCAAGACACTCATATATAACACTATTTTTCCATCAGATTTTGAAACAAATCAAAGAATATAATAATCAAACGGAGAAGGACAATTCATGAAGACCATTTTCATATTGTTTGCCGCTTTGTTTTCGTAGTGATTCGCAGTTTATTCACGGATTATAAATACATACCATTTTGATTTCTGATCGTACAGCCTGAAAAAGACTTGGTCAGGAAAAATAAGGCATGGCATGCGCCAGCGACTGCCAAAATTGGTTTACTCTGCGCACGTGATCAGCGCCGCTTTATAAGCACACATTTTTTTCAAATTTTCGAATTGTCTGCTGTCGCTAAAAATTGTTGAATCACTTGTAAGAATATTCAAACTACTAACATATTTAAGAATTTATTATTATTAATAATGAAAGGTAGAAGTAATTGTGATAACTTAACACATAAGTGATAAAAAATATTCATTAACAGTGTACCGGTATTTTTTCTATTATTATGGATATATATTGCAAATAACAGTTCGAATCAACATGCAATTGAGTTTCAACTTAATAACATTTTGATTTGACTTTATTCAATAATTGCATGTAACTTTCAAACGGTATATTTCTCATATTTTTTTTAAATTTTGTGAGTTGTTACATCAAATTGTTCGCCTAATAATGGCATTAAAAGAATATGCAACTCGTTATGACTCTACCGCTATACGTTTATAATTTTTCGACGCTTCTTAAGCAAGGAAGTGATTTCAGCCTCACTTAGCTCGGGTGCAAACGTCTATAGGAAACTCTAATCATTTTCTCGCACTAGTATCGAAACAATACAATACAATACAATACAATACAATACAATGATTGCCTTGGCCATTAACTCCTTACTCTTTAGCCCACCGCGCTCGTCAGAGCTAGCATGCGCTCACCGGTAGGTTCACTACACTGCTGACTTCCGAATTCAACTGATTATGGAAACGTGATCGGAATGGTAAGAATGTAAGCAATGGTAAACAAAAGCATTTTTGTTATACCGGCAAGATGACGGCACTAATTTGCACAGAAAACACCGCCGATTTTTATTTACAAGAAATTGTGATTAAAATCAAATCTTAAAAATTGTCTACAATTATTAATTATACTTTAATCTATATTTAGGATCGTTATGTGGGATTATAGGTGTGGGTTTGTGTAGAGTTCTCAATGAGTATGAGAAATTTATAGGAAATTATCGAGGGCAGAGTGTAAAAAGCGTATAAGAAAGAGAGAAAAAGAGAAAGAGCCAGGTCCCACCTCCGAACTTGCTATCGCGGGCCTTGTGGCCCTGAATATCGCTCTAAAGACGGCGAGACCAGACTGTATAGCGACATATAGGTCCTTTGGTGTTTGTGTGAATATTTAGAGGATTAACGGAATTAATTGTTTGTTTTTTTCTCACAATTTTAATTTGATGAAAGTATCGATGTTTATTTTCACCTAATTGAAAGGGTCTCACGGACCTCAGACTAGTATTTCCATCTTGGAAACATCTTAATGAAATTTCTTTTCATTTTTTGTTACCGCCGACCGATCTCGTTGCATGTCTTTAGGGTGTAATTTCTTAATATAAGTTAAAGATCTACAGGGTAAATATTAAGTGATTTATTGCTTTTTTACACTGCACACATTTGTCTTTGTTTATTAAAAATCCAGCAAAATCTGGAAGTTGAATATTACTGACGAACATTTTACAAGAAGAGATTTTGTCCTTCGGCACGCAACGCATCATTGCTCGCCGCTATCCAATTGGCAAACAACCCTGTAGGCGTAGTAGGAGGGATTTAAATCCCCTCTGACGGTCACAAAACTACGGTCTATGCACGTTCAGGCATGGACGAATAAGCATGCCAGTATTGCCAGCGTGGGTTGGGGTAGGTAGTAGTAGAGGGGGCATAATTGGTCGCGCGTGACACGCCAAAGCACACAGCCAGAAGCGACTTTTCTATGTATGTGCATGTGTGTGCAACAGCGCTTTACGTATAGGGCGACCTCTAGTTTCTTGCGGCGGCTGTGGAATCGTCGTCATCGGCTGCCTGTGGGGACTCTGTTGTACTAGCAGGCGAGTGAGAGAGCGCGACGGACGGACGCACGGAGCAGCGGACGTGTACAGCAAGCAGCAGCGCTGTGGCAGAGCCAAGCCCCCAAGCAAAATGGCGTCGGGTGCCGCCGAGCCAGTTAAATTTGCAGCCAGCACGTCTAAACGCCCGAAACATAATGCCATCCTCGACTCCAAGCACCTTGATCAACATAACGCATCTTCTCAACTGCATCAACAAGGTATTTTCGTGGGAAATATGGTTCAATTTTCGGAAGGTCGGATTGCATCCAATATGGCCGCCGTTGGCCTACCTTTCCGTCAACTCCTCCGAACCAACAGCGCACCGAAGCGCAAATAGCCCAAGCGGACGCCATGACAGTTGTTCGACTGTGCAACTCCGAAATTTTTCGATTTTCCAACTACCACATTTTACAATCACAAACCTCCTCGTACTTGTTACCCGGGTGATCGCTCGGTAAAATAGCATAGGTTTTTAGTCATGAACTGATTGGTTGTCGGGAATGTCGGTTAAGAGGCAATTTTGAGCGGGAAAATTTCGAGGCGGGAGCATAACGGAAAGATTCCATTGACAGCCGCGAGAATTTTCGATGGCGCTCTCGCACTGATGGCACAGCACCGAAATGTTGGAGCTACGCGCGCGCGCTCGTGTCAGCTGTCGTGCGAAGTGCATGCGTCAGATTTTCGAGCGTGTTTATGTTTACATTTTCATCTGGGCATCGTGTGATGGATTTTTTTAATCTTAAAATTTTAACAGAATTGAAAATGAAGTTAAAAATTTTTTTCAGGCACGCTCAGAGACAGCAATGCTTTTTCAGAACTAAGCGATGTTATTAAATCGGCTTCTACTTCGTCTGATGTAACCAACTCGTCTACGCCGACACGTACCGATTCCATGAGTGATGATACTGGTTTCCCGTAAGTTTTTAATTTTTATTTATTTTTTATCCGATGGTGTTTTTCAAAAATCATACGGAAGTATTTATTATTTATTTCGAATTTGCAGGATTGACACTGCAGATGAAAAAGATGAAGTATCATCTACAGTTTCAAACTTATCAGAGTTATCAGGAATTTCTGGATTGTCCGACGATGATGATGGTGGTATGGGGTGGAGGAGTGCCCTTTCTTGGGTTCAGAAACAGATACAAATGGGTACAGATCCAAGGGATGTTTTGAAGGTGATGTTCTCTGATCATAGTGAAGTTCCAGAAGAAGTGGATGATATTACTCTGTGGAAGGTTTAACATTTTTTTAGTCTTTGCAAATCCTTGTAAAATATTTAATTTTGAAATAATGGTTGTTTTGTTTGACAGATTGTTATCAATAGAATGTCAGAGCCACCAAAGAGACAAAAATTATCCCATATCAACACAATGTCAGATGTAGTCCAACTGATAAAAAATTGTAAAAACATCATTGTACTAACGGGAGCCGGCGTAAGCGTGAGTTGTGGCATTCCCGACTTTAGAAGTAGAGACGGCATTTATACCAGATTAGCACAAGATTTTCCAGACTTACCTGATCCACAAGTGAGTTTTCTTAACAATCGATATTTTTTCCCTTTCGGGATGATATCAAATGTCGATTACATACGGAAAGGTAAATTTCGCTCTAGACGGCCCCTTAGAGCACAGATAAAAACAGTCATTAAAAACCTAACGTTTCGGATTGATTTGGTATTCAATCTATTCTCAAGAGTATTATGTAAAAATCTTATGTTAAAAAATATATATCACAATGTTACAGAAAATATATTACAATGTTACAAATTAAAACGTTCGTGAAATATATAATGATTCGCTATATTACTACCACAAATCGGTGAAGAACGGAGAATTGACAATTGCTTTGAACGTTATTATTATTCAATGTATTTTTCCTCCTAATTTACAGACATGCAAATTATTTTTCGATACTCTGTGCGCAAAGTGCGTCTTTCCCGCACGCTCGGCAGAAAACGTGCGTTGAAAATCGTACTTTCCACAAGTCGTATCAAAAAATACGGTACGGCACATGTTCGGGAAAGAGTTTCTCGTCTCGTGTACCTTTCCACCCTCGCTTCGTTCGAGCGTAAACGCCACACGAGACAAGAATCTACTTTCCCGGATTTGTATCGTAATGTCCTAATTTTTAACTTGAAAAGTTGAAACTTAAAAGTTGAAACTTGAAAAGAAAATAATTATTTCCTTTCATTTCCCTGATAAGTTAAGGGCAATTTCGACTTCAATATTCTAAACGTGAAATTTTTGGACAAAATTCATCCCCACCCATTTTCTTGTAAGATTGAAATGACCGTCAGAGAATTGTCATGTCAAAAAATTCAACAACCAATGGAACAGAAAAACAGCGTGCGTAGATCTACAACGGAATGGGGTAGTGCGATTTTCTCAGTGGCATTTATAAGCAAAAGTCGGCGGGAAAATAGTGGTATAAGAAGTTTTCGAACGATTGCGAAAAACTTCTGGTTAAACGGAGTAGCGAAAGATCATAGGTGCCTCTATTTAGTTTAAATTTTAACGATCCATCGTCGTAAAAAAAAACGTATTTGTATTTAACTGTTTTATTTTACTGATTTTATCATATTTTCAGGCAATGTTTGATATCAACTATTTTTCACAAGATCCTCGACCGTTTTACAAATTCGCACGTGAAATTTATCCAGGACAATTCAAGCCAAGTCCATGTCATAAATTCATAAAAATGTTGGATGAACAAAAAAAACTTTTAAGGAATTATTCTCAAAATATCGATACGTTAGAACGCGTAGCTGGTATCAAGAATCTGATTGAATGCCATGGTAAATTCGATACTCAAGTATTAAAAAAATTTAATTTGTTGATTAAATGGGTCATTATAAAATAATCTTTTTAAAGGTTCTTTTGCGACAGCATCGTGTACAAAATGTAAACATCAAGTGTTGGCGGACGATATTCGAGAGGATATTTTTGCACAGAATATTCCAATGTGTCCAATGTGCCAAGACGAATCGCTACCTTCTATTGGAGAAGTGAATATGAGTGATAATTACAAAGGTGAACAAGTGATTTGTTATGTACATATAAAATTATATATGGTTTTAAATCAACAAATCTAATGTCACTGTATTCCTTCAGATTTAGTGGCACAAGGTGTAATGAAACCAGACATAGTATTTTTTGGTGAAGGCCTCCCAGACGCCTTTCATGATGCGATGGCTAATGATAAAGATATCTGCGATCTGTTAATAGTCATTGGCTCGTCATTGAAAGTCCGACCAGTTGCGTTAATACCTTCGTCAATTCCCGCAAATGTCCCGCAAATTTTGATTAACCGCGAGTCACTCCCACATTTAGAATTTGACATTGAACTGCTTGGCGATGCAGACGTGGTAATAAATCAATTATGCCACATGTTGAATGGTAATTTTAAGGACGTATGCTGGTTTGACACGATTTTGGAAGAGGCTCCGAAACTACTGCCACCCAGGTTCCCTATAAATGATGCTTGGGATCAAAGTCAAGACACCTCGACTCAAGACTTTTCACAAGACAGTGCACAAGTGGATTCCGATAATTTCATAGCTGGTTCCTCCTCATCGAAGAGAGAATTTGATCGCGATGAAAAGGATAAGAATAACGCTCTTGATGACCGGCCGTGGAAGAAAATCAAAGGTGATACGGATTTGAAAGAACTCTTTGAAGATGAGCCGATATCTCATATTTCTTGTACAAAATTCTATTCGAGCATGATGAAGTATTATGATAAAAAGGGTACGAATACAGAGAGTGATAACGACAGTGTAACTGATACAACAGCACATAGCAGTCAAGAAGAATCGCAAGACGATCAAAAAGAAAATAATCAATTAGATGACAGACCTTGGATCGACGAAGAGAATAAAAGTAAAAACAATGAAAAGTCAAGCGAATTCTCCGACGACATGATTCATGATGCCGAATGTATGGACGTTCGAAGCTTGTCGTTCCACTCCGAATACACAGAGCGTACTGTCAAGAACTTCACATTCATCGAGGAAAGTCACAAAAGACAATTAACCTTCGATAACAGTCCCAAGTCTGTAGACTCGTCGCGAAAAAGTATGACCCTGAGTTCAGGCGAAAGTCCGACAACCTCTTACGAGTCGTCATCGCGAGCGGCTGAAGAGATTTTCATAGCCGACGACTGTCACGTTGTTCCTAGGATAGATCTTCTCCGAGATGATTTCACTCCCGACAATTTGAATCCTTCAAAATCATTCGACAAACTAGAAATGAAACCGAGACATGCGTCGATTGATTCAGTAATGGATTCTGCATTAGGGGATAGCTGCAGTAGCTCCGACTGCCAGAAGAGGAAGAATGATAACGAGGATGACGACTCAGACGAAAACAAAAAATCACACAAATTCGAGAGCCATTCATCGTGGCAACATAACGTGAGAGATAGTCTTGCATCAAGATTACCTGGTGAACTTTAATATTTTCAACTTGAATAAATTGAGATTTCATTCAAACAGTAACTCGAGACCTTTTTTTTTCAGAAAACGCATATTACCAAATGAAACCAGGAAAGTACATTTTTCCGGGTGCCGAGGTATATACAAATTTCCCGTGGAATGAAGGGGTTCTTCAATTCAGCGGGTTGAGGTCAGCATTAACGGAAACTCAGTTATGTGATCATTGACCAGAAGAAAATGAAGTCAAAATTGAGACTTAAGTGAGCGATAATTAGAATACTAAGATAGTAAGTGCATTTTCTAAGATGTTTAGAAAAAAAAAGTGCGATTGTTTGATTGCTAAATGTGACTTTTCTAATTTACAGGGAAGACATGCAAGATGTTGGTGTAAAGAAGACTGAGGCCAAAAGGATATGCATGTTTTCATTGTCATTGCAAGAGAGCAGCGTAAAAAACTGCCCTTGGTATGGAACGTTATTAGATGAATGTTACGTAGCTTTTGAGTTATAACTCAAAGTTTGGTGCATTTAAAAAACAAATATGTTTTATCATTGAGCGTAGCAAGAAAAAACTTATAACATAGCAGGAAAAACAAAATAAGATATACAATAGGTTTTCTATACTGAATCAAGTGTATCTCTTCCTAAGTTATAGGTCGATTTGTCTGATCCATTACGAGAAGATCTAAGCCGTTAGTTGCTATAGTTAAGGGCTAATCTGCAGCTCTTTAAGTCTGCATTCGTATTGATCATGAAACTCATCATCATGAAAAAATAAACATAATTAATTTATAATATGGATAGAAAAGAATTATTGATGCAGGAATGCTATCTGATTTCTATTCTTTCAGATTTAGGTTGATCGTTGCTTATTTATCTGTGAACGCCTTATAAATATTGAGATAAAAAAATCACATCATTGAGCATTCGTTTAAATTGAAGTCATGCGTAAAATATGTATAGCCGCTATTTAGGTCGTTTTTAAATTAAATTAATCTAATTGTACATACACGTCAAAGTGCATACATGAAATTCACTTTTTGCGCGATGAACTTATTTACGTCCAGATTTACATGTAAACGTATAAGGAACGAATTTGGGTGTGATTTTTAATGTTTGAAACTTGCATAGGAAGAAATACACGTTGGACTGTTTTCGAGTGTGCGTGCGATTTAGTCAGGATATTTCTTTGTTTGAACTTCGAAGCAGCTGAAAAGTTCGAATTGTTAACAACTCTATTTAACAGAAATAAGCTGCAAGGTAGTTTTAAGTGAAAGTGAACACTTATTTGAGCCACAATTAATATTTTCTAATAAGCAATAATGAACGTTTCTTCACATCAGTAAGCCAAAAATATCAATTCATGTATTCCATATGCAAATTTAATTTTGTCGAATGGTTCGATAAGTTGAACTTTCAATTTTCATTGGAGCACGGGCGAATGTACAAAGCAATGTTGGATAGCTTCTCGCATTGCGCATTATTTTTATATGAAAAAGGGATAATTAATACAAAAAGCGCAACAATTCCCGACAAACCTGAATTTATCGTTTCTATCTTTACCTACAATCATCATTACATTTTTGTAGCGATTTTGTCGAAATTGTTGCTGTAGCTTGTACTTTCTAAGAAACAAAGAGGTTGTGTGCAAGTATATTATTAAATATAGATAAATTTATAAATATATTATATATAAATAAACCATATACATAAGATAGAATTAAAGAAATATCACGGAAAATTTGACGACTCGGTGTTCGAAATAGCAACGCAGCAAAGAATCGAGAATTACAATGATGAGGCTAGATAAAATCAATGCTACTCTGATGCATTCCTCGTGCTGAGCGTAGCATTTTATAAGAGTAAGACGAAGAATTTTGCTTTGTTTATTGTGAACTCTTATCATCAATTGTACAGATTTTCTTTTGACTATCTTTATTCTCTACCCGTACTTTTATTTATTTAAATCGAGAGCAAAAGTTGGTCAGTACTCTCTCTCCTGATCGTCATTTTTTTATACTTTGACATTTACGTAAAAGGAGATCTTGTTATACCGTGAGAATGGTACTTGAGTCTAAGTGAAAGAGAAAGAGAGAGAGAGTTTTATAACAGCATCTAAAGAAATTGACAATCACACCAACTTTAATCGACAGTACTGATTTCTTTTTTTTTTCTTTATTTGTATAGTTATGTATCCTCTGTAAATATTTATTATTTTTACTTATAGTTGTATAGTAAAATGTAAACTTCGACCGAGCAATCTGAGCGTGGAAAGTCGATATCAAATATTTTGTAATGACCCTTTATCCTCCTCGTTTTCGATATTCTAACGATCAGATTGCTTAGTTGCAGTGAGATGCAGAAGCTTTGAATTTTTTATAATTTGTTATTTAATGTAATGAATGTTATAAAAATGTTTTCTTTATTATCAATGTTGTACGAATATAATTCTGTTTCTTTTGGTATTACTAACGTATAAGCATATATAAAATGTAAATTAAACATTTTTCTATAATAGAAAGTGTTTTTTTTTTATCACTAAAATATGAAATATCCTTCGAGCTCAACGTTTCCGCGTCGGACTCTTTTATATATTTTTAGTTTTAATACAAAAAGAACTATATACTGTTTTTATCAATTGTTTTACCACTTTGATCAGAAGAAAAATTACCATTCAATACTTCACTCTTGAAAAAGATAATTAGGCGTTTGTATTACCGTCGAGAGGTCTACTATAATCTTATAAGAAGATAAAAAGAATACAAGTCAATTGATATTGTAAATATTATAGCGTTTGAAATTCAAAAATTACCTTGCGATTACGTAGAGATGCAGCCGCCGTCGATACGGAAAAACGCTAACGTAATTGTGATGTTAGTTTTTGCAATGGTAAAGCAAAAAAATGTTAAACATGTAACTTATTAGTTAATAATATAAAGAATTATATTATGATTAATAATAAAAACGTATATCGAATTTGAGAAGCTTGTGTCGTTACATTTCCCAACCTTTTTTTTCATATAATTGACAATTAAAATAACCATTTAAGTTAATTTTTTTATATCGTCGAGATAACGGTGAAAGTCGAGCTTAAAAATACTTTGCCCAAAAAAATAAAATACAAATAGTATTTTCTATGTTCAATATTTTTTAACAAGTTACATTTTTTTTAAGCATTACATCTTGATTAGGGATTTTTGAACGATTTGCCAAATGCGCGCAATTGAGTTCGTACATGCGCATTTTCCCACCGCAGATTCCCAAACAAACTTGTTGATACCTGTCTAGTTGTTTTGAATTTTAACTGCTGTTGATTCTTTATTGCCAAATTATTGTGAAACTGCTAAAAAATGTCTAACCAATTTTCATACGACGAATTAGTCAATCCAACAAACGATGATATAAAAAATGAGTGGCTCATCCAAGACTCGATTGTGTTTCTTCTGGATGGAACTCAGCAAATGTACGAAAATGATTCCGTACAAAAATGTCTTGAGGTAATTTATTTTTATTTCGCTTGAACAATTTGAATTGAACGATAAACTGAATGTTTTCGCAGGCTTACCATGAAGTGGTAAGAAGTAAGTGTGCTTTTAATAAAAATGACAAGCTAGGTCTTGTTCTTTTTGGAACTAAAGATACAAATTGTCAAATTGATAATGTTACATTACTGCAAAAATTTGAATATGTAACTGTTGACACATTGAAAAATACACAAAATATTTGTAAGTAACTCATAATTATGATTGTTGGTGTTGACCATAATATTTAATTTTTTACCTAACAAATTACAGTGAATCATGGTATCGATAAGTATAAAGAGCAGGCCCTCAGTTCAAAAGAAAAGTATCCTCTATACAATACCATAGAATATGGTTTCCAAGTAACCAATTCCTTTAAAACTAATACAGTTTCCCATAAGATGATAATACTTTGTACCTGTGAAGATGATCCTCCAATTGATGACAAACGACGTATTGAGCACCTGGTTGCAACATTTAATAATATGAATACAGAGTTGCGAGTGATTGGTTTGACAGATTCTTTCAATGACAGCTTGTTTTACAAAGATTTAGAGATAATATCTGGTAGTTGCAATAATGATAATTATAGGCCAATGTGCTTGAAAGATTTAGAAAAAAATGTCTTGTCTCTTGCAAAAAGTATTAGCAAACTACCTTGGCAAATTAGTTCTAACTGTGTAGTAGAAGTTACTTTACAAAATTTAGTTTCGTAAGTATTGTAGTAGTCAATGAATTTATCTTGAGTTTTATAAATAAAATAATGGTAAAAGTTACTTCTCAGATCTCCGAAGTATCCCCCCAAGGTTAAGCTCAATAAAAATACAAATGAAGTTTTAGAAGGTTGTACTGTTTTGAGAGAGGAAATTATGGAAGAGGATTCAGTGTTAGATGATTCTGAGGTAGTTGAAATTAAATTTTTTAAATGGTCCTTAAATTATAATTCAGACTATATTTTTATCTTAGAAATTGGAAACAGATGATAAAAACGTAATAACAAGTGATAAGCTTGTGTATTATAAAACTTATGGTGGTGAGGATATTCATTTCAAGCTAAATGAATGGAAAATGATAAATAATGCAGGTCTTAAACCTGGCATTGAAGTGTTAGCTTTTAAACCCATTATGTGTGATCCAATGTATCATAGTAATAATACTTATTTTGTTACACACAGCAAAACTGTTAATGAAGGTATGACTATTTTTATTTAAAATGTTATGTTTTTGCATCATTTAGAATCAATATTTTACTTGTGTTTTTACAGAAAGCAGAAATTTCTACAGGGCATTTGTCAGCAGGTGTACAGCAAAGAAAGTGATGCCTATCTGTAAAGTAATAACTGTTAATTCTGTTATTGTTTGCAACATGATACCTAGTGATGATGATGGTGGATTTTATATGTATAAGATTCCTTACGATAGTATGATTATCAATTTTTATAATTAAACCATTAATTTACGTATTGTTCTTCATTTTGATTTGATTTCCAGATTTTGTCAGAGAATTGGATATGGCATTAGAAGCATTTAAGTATGATGAAGAAAACAAGTGTCCAGTAAATGAAAATGGATTCTACCTGTTTAAAAAGTTGATAAACCATATGGAAATAGAATTTACTTGGAAAAAGTTCACAAACCCAAAGCTGGAAAAATGCATTGCTCACTTGGAAGCTTTGGCATTGAACAGAGTATTAAGCACTATACCTCCCGACAACACACGTACGTTTGAATATTGCACAAATCGCACGTTTATTTTATAATAGATAATCGGTTTCATTTACTTACACTCATTGAACATTGTAGGCCCACCACCAGTAACGGAAAATTTGAAAAAATTACAAATAGCACTAATGAACTGTTTTAAACTTCCTGATATTGAAAGCGCCAAGAAACGTCCGTTATCGCAAAAAGTTAGTGCTACTAAGAAACTAAAATCCGAAGATGATGTACCAACACTTGCTCGCAAGAATCAGGTATAACAACAATTATAAAAGAAAAACATATTATATTAGACTATTAAAACCTCTAATGGTTAATCTTTTTTATTATAAAGCTAAATTCGCTAACAGTGGTAGACTTAAAAGCTTATCTCGAAAGTGTGGATATCGTACCCAAAGGAACGAAATCTGCACTCATCCAAGCGGTGAACAAATATCTTGGTCTTGACGAAGCATCGTGTTCTTCATAAATTTTGTGATGTATCGCAGATCGGAAACAAGAAAAGTTTAAAAAGTTCCCAAAAAAAAGCTTTTTTATATTCCTGTCAAATAATCCATTAATTTATATTTTCTGTACGCATGTCGAAATAAAATAGAATAATTCATCCAAAGAAAGGCAGATCAATTGCGCGTATTCAAACGGTCGTGAAAATTCGCGCCACGCGTCAGGCGACTGCGCTGATCAACCACAAGCGCGTCGTCGTCACCACTGTTGTCGCCAGCCGAGAAGGACAACTTCCAACGAAATTACAATCTCAATCGTGCGGTCGGTACAGCATCAGCGAAAAAGCGCGAAAGAGGGAGAGACAGACGGGTGAACAGACGACGTACTGTAATCAAAGTGAACGGCGGCGCGTACGCGGAGGTGGCCGTGCGCTCGCGCGTGTGTTTGTGAGCAGCTGGACATAAAAGGCCCGGCAGAGCAGGGCCTCGGCTCAAACGTACACAAGCAGCACTGCGAGATTCATCATTCGTCGACATGTGCGGTGAGTCGCTTCTCTTTCGTACTCCCGACTTTCACCTTATTCACGCCAGTTGCGGCCGATTCTCTTTCTCTCTCGCGCGCGTCGAAGGCAGCCTTATCCGATCAACCGGGACTCCGTGCTCCAATTTTTACGCGACCGACGAAGAAAACTGTACGCCCCAGATAATACACTTCCGACATGGAGGGAGGGGAGTAAAGCTCGCGCGCGCGGACTGTCACCCGACAGCTTTTCGCTTTGAATACGCACGCGTGCTGGCGAAACGGAAAATTTTTTCAAGAGAAAGAGAGAGACAGAGAGACCCAGTGAAAGTTGAGTAGTCACCCGCGAAGTCGCTTGTGCGCCAGCCTTTTTCCCGTGACGTGCACGTGTGCCGCGGGAGAACGTGTAATTGACATAATTTATCCACGGAGCCACGGTATATTCCATTTTTGTTTACGTGCTGCCGCAGATTCGGCAATTTGCAGGCTTATTTTTTTTGCACATGTTGAAAATAGAAAAGAGTGAATCGTTTGAAATAAGACTGAAATTGTGAATTGTAAGGTACTGCTCCGATGTTTTATTGCACCTTATCTCGCGAACGTTCTTCAAAATCGAAGCTTTTCATGAGACGATGTCGCAAGTTTTATTGTTATTACGGGATTTTCGTTGCCTGGTTTATTGATTTATCGCAAAGCCAAGATACCGGCAATCCAATTCTACATCGTAGCGTAATTCCAATACAAATGTGACAGAAATTAATCATAGAAATATAAATTGAATAGACAACGATTCGAAGCATACGGCAAGGAGTGCGCATTAGCTGGCGCAACATCGTCGAGAATTGGCCTGCTCGCGGCGTCGATTTGCACATCTTCCCGATCATTGAGATACAAAACTCGAGCCGTTCCCCTCACTCGTAACTCGTTCTCCGTCTTTTGAAAGACGCCAACGATGAAAGTTCAATTTCTAAAACAAGCAAAACACGCGACGAAAGGCAGCGGCGGGCTTTCAAATCACACATGCTCGCGCGCGCGCGCATGACACGTGCGTCAGAAAAAGAGAGGAGAAAAAACTGAGAAAAAGCCATCGGACTCCTTTCACTTTCCGCGCGTAGGCACGCCGCGCCACTTGTCTCAAGCAGGCTTTTCGACGTGCAGGCGCGCCGAACAATGTAGAGCCACGCGGCCGGAGAACGACGGGGAATGTCGCATCGCGACGACGCGCGGGGGTCGTTCAACCGGCGCGAAATTGGCCCGGTGAAATTGTTCCCGGACAGCGACGGGAGCCAGCCTTCAATTTTCGCGGGCGGAAGATCGACCGGCGTTCCAAGGCGGCTTCGCGTCGCGGTGGCGCCTCGTTGCGATCCGCTAGTCCACTCTGCGCCCGCGCCTACGTCGCAAATCCCCCGGCGAGATAATGTCTAATCGCGTCCTCGGAGGCGCCTTTATCGCGCGCGCTCGGGTCGCCGGCGCGCACTCGCGTGTCGTGCCCACAGCGCGCTCGACAGGATGACGGGAGGTAGCGCGCCGCGCCGAGTCGCCAGCGAGACCCGACTCACCACCGCGCACTTTTCGTTGCAGGAATATTCGCCTACATCAACTACCTGACGCCCAAGAGCCGCAAGGAGATCCTGGAACTTCTGGTCGGTGGCCTGAAGCGCCTGGAGTATCGCGGATACGACTCGGCCGGTGAGCCACTCGAATGTCCATCCATCGGGACTGCGATCGGGGCTGAGATCGGTCGGCCCCTCTCGCCACATCCGTACCCGAACTTCGCTTCTTTGTTGCAGGCGTCGCCCTTGACTCGGACGACGGCAAGGATATCGCCATCATTAAGAAGCAAGGAAAAGTGAAGGCCCTCGAGGACGAAATCTTCCAGCGTAAGTCGTGCTCTCTGCTCTGCCGCTCGCTCGGGGCCGCGTGACGGGCCAGCGGCCGACGAGAGATGCACTTTACGCGCGCGCACTAGCGCTCGGGCGCCTCGAGCTGGCGAGGCGCCTCCGCAACTCGGAGGATCGGCCGTATTCTCGCGAATTCCGCGCGGTTTGTTGCCCCTGCCTTTGCCCACGCCTCCGCGGCCAAAGCCGTCGATCGGCGTCGCGCATGCGATTATCTCGCGATGCCAATTTTAGCGCGGATGCCAGGGCGGGGAGGGGAAACGAGTCGCGGCGCGCGCTTCTGTCACTGCGCGCCGGTCGCGGTTGCGTCACGGCGATCCGTCGGCGAACTTTCCCGCGTGAACCCCGTGGGCCATGCTTGCAGACACGAAGCTCGACTTCGACTTGCGGATCGAGAGCCACGTGGGCATCGCGCACACGCGCTGGGCCACCCACGGCGTGCCCTCCGAAGTCAACTCTCATCCGCAGAGGTCCGACGTCGACCACTCGTTCGTCGTCGTGCACAATGGTAAGTTCTGCCGCTCGGCTCGGTCGCGGGCGAATCGGGGGCTCTAATCTCGGCGTCGCCGTCGCTCAGGAATCATCACCAACTACAAGGACATCAAGATCCTGCTGGAGCACCGCGGCTACAGCTTCGAGAGCGAGACCGACACGGAGATCATCGCCAAGTTGATTCACCATCTGTGGACTCAGCATCCAAATTATTCGTTCCGCGAACTTGTCGAGCAAGTCGTCCAGCAACTCGTGAGTGGACCGCTGTATTTTTGCTTTTTCTTTTTTTTTTTTCCTTTTGCTTTTGCTTTCCCATCGGGAGAGCTTGTCATAGGAATTTCAGGGTCGGCAATGCCATTGTCATTGACATATCTCTGCACAGGAAGGCGCGTTCGCGCTCTGCTTCAAGAGCAAGCACTTCCCCGACGAGTGCGTTGCTACCAGGCGCGGCTCGCCTCTGCTCGTCGGCATCAAAACCAAGACCAGATTAGCCACGGATCATGTGCCTATCCTCTACGGCAAAGGTGAGTCATTCAACTCGATTGTCAACTTTTTTTTTGCATTCTCTTGTAGGTGGACAAGCAACCAGCGGTGCTCTACCACCTTCTATCGAGAGAGTGAGTGAGTGAGTGAGTGAGTGAAAGAGGAAGAGTGTGCGTATGTTTTTTTGTCGGATGGGAAATTCTCATTGTCTGTGTTGTGGTATCTGAGGCTACCAAAATTGTCCTTTGGAAACATGTAACTGTTTTGTGTAAATTAACTTTCCCCGCGAACCTCAACGACCATTTTTAATTAATCTTCTCGTAGTCACTTGTGACTTTCTTTTTTTTCTGAGAATGCGTTTTCTTTTATTAACAGCTTGTCATGAATTAGTCAAAGTTTTACACGATAACATATGGTTTTTTTAGCATGCATGATCTATTAATGTGTTAAACTATCCAACGAGTCACTACCAGGTATTTTTACAAGCAAGAACGAATTTTCAATTGTCCTATTATACATGGTTTGCCGCTAAAATATATCCAACTGCACGTAGATAAATCGCACCACTTCACTTTAGACAAAAGCATGTAGATTTTGTTTGTTGCTGCACATCACGTCTATTACAGTAATATTTTTCAACACTCCGTGCGCAAAGTGCGTATTTCCCGCACGCTCGGCAGAAAACGTGCGTTGAAAATCGCACTTTCCACACGTCGTAGCAAAAAATACGATACGGCACATGTTCGGGAAAGAGTTCCTCGTCTCGTGTACCTTTCTACCCTCACTTTGCTCGGGCGTAAACGCCACACGAGACAAGAATCTACTTTCCCGCATTTGTATCGTAATGTACCATTCTCTTGATACGATGCATACTAATGAAATAGAAAAGCATCCAGAGATCTTAGAAACGAGTGGAAATGTTTGATTATACTTCACAAACAATGTTTCTTTTGCATGAAACATCCTCTCTTCCCGGTACACATGACTTATCGCCCGATACAGATGACCTTCCAAGCACTGCCAAAGGTATATAAAACACATGCCACACTTTATTAATAAAAGTCCACCTTGATATGTAACTAAGCGAGAGTCGCCCTCTTTTTTTTCGAATCTTTGACGAAGGAGAAAGAGAGAACTGCCGGTTACCAGTTGTCCTTTACGGTGTCTCGGCACCGCAGACTTCCGTCTTTCTCTTTCCTAGCGCACAACGAATATACTCGCCTGACCTCTATATGCTCTGATCTTCAAAAATTCGATATTTATGTATACTCCTATGATGCCTCCTACCATCCTGCTTTCTTATTTATTTCCTTTTTTTGTTTCTCTTTCTCTTTCTGTTTTTTTTTTTTTTTTGTTTTTTTTTTCTGCTACTTGACAAATTCCGCAAAAATCAGACGGGAGCGAAGTCGTCGCCAGCGGCGAGATTGCAAACGAGTTTTCTCCGCTGAGAGCGCTTTTTTATCTTACGCATTTTTTTGAAATTTCAGCTCGTAGTGAATCATAGGAGATTACGTGTATATTTTTTCCGACACTTATCATTTTACTTGTTTTTGCGCTACATAGTGTTTAAGCATGGCTAATTTTGTTTTTGTTTTTCGCCTTTTCTCGATGAAAAAAAAATCGCAGAATCTGCACCGGCCAACCAAAAAGGTATCTTCATTTTTACATTTTTTTTATATTTTTTAGTTGGTATTTGTGGTCGAGGCACTCGGCTTTTATCACACTATCGTTAACTGCTTAACCTTGCATGACGTTCTGGTGATTGCTAATTTTTTAAGGCAGGTATATAGGATTATTATTTTTGCACAATAAACAGAAGAAAAAATTCAAAGTTCAATGATTATAAATCAATCAATAGCACTTGAATTTTTAATTGTATTCGAAATCATAATACGTTTGATAAGGTGATGGACAATCATTTAATAGGAAATCTAACTTTCAATTTACAGGAAAATCTCGATGGTCTAAAAAAATGCTTTTATCAAAAATCCAAAACAAAACAGCTTGAGTAATCACGATATGTTAGTTATTAAAGCACAATTCACTGTAAAAAAATTGACCTTTCTTAAGCCAAAAAATGCAAAAAGCTACTCAACGCGAGGACAAATTTCCGATTCTGAGTACATATACATTTTTGTGCGAAATAAAAGTGAAATTGTCTAAACTATACGCATGAAGGTAAAATTTAACGATCAAAAACGCCTCTTCCACTTTTAGAAAAACTCGGCGCGCACTCTTCTAACACCGTTAACACAGAGGCATGGTGTTGGCCGTCAGCAAAAATCTCTTGTGACTGTAACGCAATCGCGGCTCTCACTTACACGCGCACTTTCTGACAAAAAAAAACATGTAACTGTATCAGTCGTGATTGCATTATGTCACTCGCCAGGTATTTTGTCTCTTCGCCTCGTCCTAACGCCATTGTTCGTCGATGTATTTTTTCAGAGCACCGGCCCCACCGTGACTACCCCATAATGCCACGAAGCGAGAGTACTTCCGAGTTCCAGCCGCTCGAAGACAAAGAAGTCGAGTACTTTTTCGCGTCTGATGCCGCGTCTGTTATCGAGCACACCAATCGTGTCATTTTTCTTGAGGTGATTATGGATTCTTTTTCTTTTTTATTGATGATCGTTGTGTAGCGTCCGTCCTTCGGACGATTCTGTTAGTCTGTAAATTTCGATGAATGTCAATTGAAAAAGAAATCGCCTGTATAAAAACTGCAGAAATGTCTTCGGCCAATTGGAAAATTTCGTTAATTTCTTTCACGAGCATAAGAGACGAATTACTCTAGATTACGCGTCATTATTTCTAATGCAAAGTAAATACCGAGATAAGCGTTCAATGTATCATCAATCTCAACATTGCTGACGAATTATGAAAATGAATCATTCAATATCGATTCCAATTATAAATGTGGTATTCGAGAGAATGTCGCTAACGATGCAAACGTGACCGAAACGCATTTGATTAATTTGAAAGCAAGCATCGATCACCGCGCCCCGATGCGAACGAAGTCTCTCGGTAAAAAAGGAATGTTTACAAGTCGATTTTTTGTCCGCAACGCAGGACGACGACGTAGCCGCCGTGAAAGTAGGCGCACTCAGCATTCATCGACTTCGCCGCTCGGGCGACGATGCCCACGCCCGCGAGATCCACACTCTGAAGATGGAAATCCAGCAAATCATGAAGGGCAACTACGAGTACTTTATGCAGAAAGAAATTTTCGAGCAGCCCGAGTCGGTCGTGAACACCATGAGGGGACGGCTCAACTTCCGCGACAATACCGTCACTTTGGGCGGCATCAAGGTAGTCCATTCGCGACGATCGATGCATTTCATAAAACTAATCGTCCAGCTTGGCCTTTCTCAGGACTACATACCCGAAATAAAGCGCTGCAGGCGCCTGATGCTCATCGGCTGCGGCACCAGCTACCATTCCGCCGTGGCGACCAGGCAACTTTTAGAAGAGCTCACCGAGTTGCCCGTCATGGTCGAGCTTGCGTCGGATTTCCTCGACAGGCATACTCCGGTATTCCGCGACGACGTTTGCTTCTTCATCTCGCAATCGGGTAAATTAGATTGCGATCACCGATGGACAACACGAGAGACGCGCGCTGGTCTGTTTTTGCGCGGGCCGAGAAAATAAAAATGGAAAATTTGCTCGGCAGGAGAAACCGCCGACACATTGATGGCACTGAGATACTGCAAGGGACGTGGCGCCTTGATCGTCGGCATCACCAACACCGTGGGCAGCAGCATCTGTCGCGAGTCCCACTGTGGTGTTCACATCAACGCCGGGCCTGAAATCGGTGTCGCCAGCACGAAGGCCTATACCTCGCAGTTCATCTCGCTTGTTATGTTCGCTCTGGTCATGAGCGAGGATAGACTTTCTCTTCGTACCAGACGCTTGGAGGTACGCGCGCTCTACTTCCGCGGTTTCGAAAAGAAAACAACAAAACAGAACAAAAATAATCGAAAAATGACATGCACAGTTGATCGTAACGTGTCTGTGTGTTCTGTTATCTGCGAGTAGATCATAGAAGGACTAAAGAACCTGGACAATCAGATTCGCCAGGTGCTAAGGCTCGACGAGGAAGTGAAAGAGCTTGCAAAATCACTATTCCAGCACAAATCTCTGCTGATCATGGGCCGAGGATACAACTTTGCTACCTGCATGGAGGGAGCACTGGTGACTATTTGCTTTGCCTTTTTATTATATTATTAGTCTCCCGCGCAAGGTTCTATTTGCGTCACGCTGCGATAGTAACGTTTTGTTGGTTTTTTTTTCTCGCGCTCCCGCAGAAAGTCAAGGAATTGACCTACATGCACAGCGAAGGCATCATGGCTGGAGAATTGAAGCATGGACCGCTCGCTCTCGTCGACGGCTCTATGCCCGTCATTATGATCGTCATGAGGGACCCCGTATATACTGTGAGTACCGTTCTGGAAATATATTTGCGTTGTTATTTTTGCATTTTTACGAGAAAGCGCCCGTTCGCGGCGTCCTTCCGAGATGTTATTGCGCGTGCTCGACGCAATCGCCCGATTAACATTTGAATGGATGCCACCTGCTAGTTGTCGTCACTCAAGCTTTGTTTTACCAAGCTCGAGCACAATTATGCTCTCGATAGACGCAAATGGACAAAAAGATAACGTTGCATTTTCAGAAATGCATGAACGCCCTGCAGCAAGTAACAGCCCGCGATGGCCGACCAATACTTATCTGCGAGGAAGACGACAAGGAAACGATGAGCTTCGCCTCGAAGGTGCTCGAGATTCCGAAAACCGTCGACTGCTTGCAAGGAATTCTGACTGTTATTCCGATGCAACTGCTGTCGTTCCACATTGCCGTGTTACGTGGCTGCAACGTCGACTGCCCACGAAATCTCGCCAAATCCGTCACTGTCGAGTAGTAATAGTCTATCGAAGCGGACAATCAAACATTCCGGTCGGGAAATACGACGTGAATCGGCTGTGGACGCAAATCGTCGAAATTAGCAATCGAGCACGTGAAACAAAAAAAACTAAATTAATCTGAGATTCTTAGCTCGCTTTGACACACCCTTATCTTTCCTTTCGTTGCTTTTACTGTACCCGATGTAAACCTGCATTTTATGTTTCTTTCCTCTTCGTTCCTTCCAACGAAGATTTTTAATTAATATTATTTTGTTAGACTACGTATATATGTTTATCTTAAGGCACAATTCTTTCGTAACGATGTATTAGAGACTTAAATCTAGAAAATAGAAAAGTTTTTTATATATCATAATGCTTATCACGAAGAAAATTCAATATCAGACTTGAAATGAGAAATTGCGACATACATATTTGTAAATATATATTCCACGTTATTTTTGTAAATCTGATAGCCATCGTATTTGCGTTTTGTATTGGACTGTAAACAAATCTACTATTATCCTTCTTTAGTATATGCTTATTAGCTTTCTTTTGTATTTTTTTTTTTTTTTGGACTTGGTTAATCAAATTTGATGATCGAAAAGTATATATGTTAAAAGATTCATCTGAAATATAAGCTTTTGTAATTTGTATTGGCACGATATAGACTACACTGAAGACTATGGTCGACGCGAGATGTAATATAGTGAGTTGCGACATCTTGTTTGACAACACCGTTCAATGTATACCTTGAGATTTATGTTGCCACTCACATTAGACAGCTCGAGCAGTGTCTATAAATGACAATAAATATTACGTTACATATATACTCGTGTCTTTCAATCGAATCAACCTCTCACACACTCGATATTCGCACTCGAGATAACAGTAAGCTCCAGTTGGTTCCTTGGCAAGTTTGCGCAACCCTGAACCATACGTTTGGCTCAAAAAAAGTCGAACATGCCCGAACCCACATATTTCAAAAAACCATCCAAAAGATTGCAAACAACCCAATCAATCACTCCAAAGAGCCTCGTTCACCGAGAAAACCCCGAAATTACCGCAAGCACTCTGGTCTCGAATGAATTGCGCGAGCTCGCGTTAACCCTCATCACCAAGAGGCATCGTTCAGCGGCAACGATGCTCAACTGCGAAATCATCATAATGATCGCGCGCGTCATCGTCGTCGCCGAGAGTTATGCGGAACGCGTGCGCACGGATTTAGTTGGCTCTCTCGCCCGTGCGGGCACGTGCCGTCGGGCTTTGCTAAATTTACAAGGCAGTCGTGCCTCTCTCTCCGCGTAGCGAGCTTGCATTTTCTATATAGACACCTCCGCAAGCTCGCCAGAAGCGCACCGTCGCGAAACTGCGCAAACTCGCGTCGTTCGTCGCGCCCCACTCCGCGGTAACGTCGGCTCGGCGTGGAGCGGCTACTACGCGAGTCAGTGGACAAGCCGCCGGCAGCGAGTGCGCATCGTTTGTCTGCTTTGATCGCCACGCACACGTACACACAGCGACACGGCTACGGCCCGGAGCTAGCGAGAGAGAGAGAGAGAGCGAGAGAGAGGTTGTGTTGCATAGGGGGGGAGGGGGCTTTCAAGTCGCTCTCTCCGTCTCTGTCCCTCTGCGCAAGCTCGTGCGCGCGCGGCGGCAGGCTTGACGCGAGCACTGCTGCTGCTGCTGCTGTTGGTTTGGCTGCCTGCCTGCCTGCCTGCCTGCCTGCCTGTCTGCCTGTCTGCTTATTGATCCAAAGTATACGAGAGCGAGAGAGAGCAAGTGTAAGCGCGCGCGTTAGCGGCAGCAACCTCCTCCTCGTCGTCGTCGTCGTCGTCGCCGCCGCTGCCGCCGTCGTCGCCGTCGACGTCGTCGCGCAGTACCGCTGCGGACGAACGAGCCTGCGAGCAAGACACACGCGCGAACGCCTCTCTCTCTCTCGCATCGGAGGCACCGACGTGTTCCTGCATTCGGCACTCTACTCCGCTGGGTCGCTCTCGCGCGCGGGCACACACGCAGAGCGGCGCTCCTCGGCGCGGAAAAGCGGAAAAGCACACTCGCGGAGAGCGGTGTTTCTTCCCCGTCGCACGGATAATTGTGCGCGCGCGCGCGCGCGCGCGTGTGTGTGACAACGTAGGCGGCCGCGTACTGCTGGCGCGTATGCGTGTGTGTGCAGCAGACGAGGAGGCACGCAGCAGAGCGAGCGAGTTACGTGCTCGCGCGAGGCAGGGGATCAAGAGGTTGTTTGTTGTTCGGTTCGAGTTGTCGAAGGGCGGTCGTCGGCAAGCGGTGGCTGGTCGCCGACGCAGCGAGGGATAATCGTCCAGTCGACTCGAGTCGAGGAGGCAGGCGGCGTCGCAGATCTCCGGCTGGCTGTCCTCGGTGCTCGACCGCAGGAGCGTCGGCCCAGCCGCAAGCCAGCGCGCTGGTTCGCTATCACCTCGGCATGGCCGCCCAGGGCGCTTGCACGCGCTTCAGTGACAACTACGATCTCAAGGAGGAGCTCGGCAAGTAAGTAACGCACACGCTCGCGCCGCGGTCGCACACCGACGGGGGCTGTTCTATTCGCGGCTCGGCAGGAAAGAAACGGCTATTCTCGCGCTCGGGCCGTGTGTGCGCGCGCGAGCCCACGCACCACCTCGCCGCGATTATTTTTGGCCGCGTACACACGGGCACGTCGCCGTGCTCGCGGACGACGTCGACCACGACGGCCATTGTGCCACGGTTAACTCGTCGTCGACGCGGTCGGCCGAGGGGGTCGATATGTGTGCCACCTATTTCGCGCCTCGCTCCATTCCTCGTCACCTGTGCGCCTGTGGCATCGCGCCTTGGATTCTCGGCTGGATTTTCGACCCTCTATCTCTCTCTGGCGCTCTCGTCCATTCTCTCCTCCTCGTGGCTCGCTAGCGCCACACCCTCCTCCCCCGAGGAGAGTCCATGTCGAGACTCGCTCGCACTCTCTCTCCCTCTCTCTCTCTCTCTCTCTATCTATATCACTCTCTCTCTTTCTCTCTCTCTCTCTCTCTGGTGCAACCTAGCCTAAGTGCCGCTGCCGGTCGACGTCTCGCTCGTTTTCGCGATCAGCCAGCAGCGCGGGGCACGAACAAATCGACGTCGGCGCGGCGCCCGTAACTCGATCGTCTGGCCGTTTCATTAGTCGCGGACGCGCGCGTACGTGAATCGTTGCGGCAATTGGAGCAAAGTGAGCGAATTGGCCTACAGGGCGCGATTCGTCGTCGCGCGGCCGCGACGACCTTTCGCCGTGTCGTCTTCGATCGCGCGAGGCGGGCGCGCCGCGTGCCGTAGCTGGCGCTTCTCCCGCGAGGCGGAGAGGCGCCAATTCGCCAGCGCCGGCCTCGCGCTCCGTCGGCGCTCGAGGGGCCTGCTGCCGCCGGGAGGGCATTCTCGCGGCGGCCAGCCCACGTGAGGGCCGAGCGCCAGAGCGCTCGGGCGTCGATAAGGTTTCCTTTCCAGCGACGCGACAAGCCGCTCCGGGCACTGTCGCGCGCCGAACGATCGATCGATCCACGTGCATGCCAGCTCACGTGCGCGCAATTTTCCATGGGACGACGCGCTCTTGCGCAACCCGCCGAACGAGGCTGCGGGTTAATTAGCAGGACGCGGCGCGCGCTAATTGAATGCCGGCAGGACTTTCGCTAATCAAGCTTGTGTTTTCATTTTTTTTTTTCCTTTCGACCACGTCCGCGCTCAATTTCTCGTTTCGCGCGAGGTAAACCGGCTTTCGGAACGCGTCGATCGGCCGATCAACGAGAAGAAAAGCGTATTCCCGCGCGGCTCTGGAAAAGAAAGCTGACGTGGTAGAAAAAAGAATCAATAATCGCAAAGGCGAGCGCCCTATATATTGGCTCTTCTGAAATCCTGGCTCTCGAAACGTCGAGTCGTGGCGCGCGCGGCCACTCCATAATTAACGTCTCGATCTTCTCCGTCTCTCGCAGAAGCGGGCAAAGGAGCTATTAATAATAACGAATTTTGCCCGCCCGCGACTATTCTTGGCCCCTCGGCTTGCCACTTGGCTACGTCGTATTTCCAATTTCTATCTTGCCGTCGGAAATCCTGAATAATCGAGACGACCAGGCTAACGAGACGGCGCCAAGAGTTCAAGGACGCGCGCGGGCCTCGATCGTGCAGCGCCGAGCGCGCGACGCGCTCCTAATCAGGCGGGAGGTCGAACTGCGGAAACGACTTTTCGGCCGACAGGCGACATCTCATTGAAAATCTAATCGCGGCCGGAAGCGAGATTGCGCCATTCTTCTTTTTCCATTTCGCGAGTTAGGCCGAGCGCGAGACTCTCATTTCCCTCGCGATCGTCGCGCGACAGCTCGATCGGCCCACCCCCCTCCCTCCTCGACTCCCGCTCGGTCGCTACGCAGAGAGCCGCAGTCGCTGGGTCATTTTCTTGCCGCAATTTCGGCGAGAACTCGACGTCGATTTCCGCTTGGAGGACGAGCAACAATTAGCGCGCGCGAGAAAAAGAACAAGAAGGGTGGGGGGGCAATGGGGGATGATCGATGCCGCCTCGGTCTCCTCGCGTCGCCCGAAAGGCCGATCGGCCATTCGGTGCTTCCCGATCCGCGGAGCGCGCGCTCAACGACATCGCGTCAACCTACTTGCGAGCCGCTGATAACGCACGCGTGAACGCCGCCTGCCTCGTCTAAATGCGAGCTCACGCGGCCTTGGCTTCATCGATTTTCGTTAGCCGCGCGCGCGTACACACATACGCACACTCGCGCACACATCCTTCGATTAGGCGTCCTGCGCGCCGTTAATAATCGACTCCGGGCGCGCGTTCTCTCTTTCGCTTTTCCCTCCTCTGCCGGCTGGAAGATTGATAAGGCAGCGTCGTTTTATTTGCACGCGACGCGAGTGCTACTCGACGGGCTTATCTCACAGCCGAGAGGCGCGGCTCTTCTAGCCAGCTTCTTTTTTCCGCCTCTGGGATGATCGGGTTTTATCAGCGACGTTAATAACGCTGAGCTTTTTTCTTTTTTGCAAAGTTATTATAAGCGATTCTCTGCGCTACGACGTGAAAAAAAAGTGCAATTTCCACACAGTGAATCTCGACCTCGCGGCATTGTCGTTCACGCGAGCCGTAAAAATAGTGGAGGTCTTGCGCGAGACGATGGCAAGCCGCCACTGCGGCACGTGGAAGATCCAGGTTGCGTGACCTTGCCCGCGCGGATTTCACTTTTTTTATTCTGTCCCCCCCCCCCCCCCCCCCCCCCCTCCCACCCAAGCCGGTCGACGGCCCGTCGACGCTGGCGACCAACGGTTTTTCCGCGCGACCGGCAAAGCGGAGACAAGGCACGGGCGCTCGGGCGAGAAGCCGATTAGCGAGCGCGCGGCGCGCGACAACCGCGGCAAAGAATATCACGATCGATCGAGGGCTCGATTTGGCTCGTCTCTTCCGCGTCGCTGAATCTTTCATGAGACGACAGCTTCTTGCCCCGCCGCCGCTCCCCCCCCCCCCCTCTCCCGCTTCTTCGGTCTTTTTTTTCCTCTCGGCCTCGATTTCAAGCCCAGATAATACCCTTAGCGAGAGCCCTGCAGCTGAAAACTGTCCGAGCTTTTATTGCAGATACGGGCGAACGAGTGGGAATGTACGGGGAGAGCTTCTTTTCGCGGCATTCTTCGCTCGCACAGGCGGGAACGACTTTGTCGTCGCCGGCTTCGCGATGCGCTACCGAAGAGAATCGGCCATTTTCGCGTCGATAACGCACAGGCGAGCGCTCGACGATTGGCGCGCTGACTTTCTAAACTCAATGTCCCGCGAGTCCCTCACCCGAGAGAGAGAGAGAGAGAGAGAGAGAGAGAGAGAGAGAGAGAGAGAGAGAGAGAGAGAGAGAGAGAGAGAGAAGCGCGAGAAAGCTCTTTCTTTTTGGTTTTTGTTTGACAAACGAAACTTCGATCCGATCGGTAGCTCATTCCGTCCGACTTTCCAGCAAAGTTCACGCGGTCTCGACTGAAAGCTTTTGTCCGGCGAGGACGCGCATATCGTATCGTTGAAAGGGCTGGAGCTTATTTTTGGCCAAAAGCTGGGCCGTTGCCTCATCTTTGGCCAACGAAGGTTCTACTTTTCGAGCAATCGCGCATCCCCTTTCGACCGACCTTCAGTCAATGTCCGTGCGGAAATTGAATTCCCGATGAGCTGTTCTGTGGAATGGTTTGGATTTCGGTTTGGATACTCGCGAAAATAACCGCCAATCGAGGCCACGGTTTCGTGACTCGGAACGCAGTTCCGTCGAGCGCTGCCCAATAGCCTCGACGATCGTCACGTAAATCTCCCGCGCGTTTCGCGCAGCGATAACTTCTTATTTCGCGCTGTGCTTCTCCAGCCTCCCCCACGGCCTCGCCGTCCCTTCGCTCGCCCGGGAGGACTGCGAACAGGCGCGTGCTCTCACGCTCACGCCGAGGCCGGGAATCGAGGTCGCACGGGGGCGCGGGATTGTGTCCCCGCAGAGCCAAAGCCGATACGCACGCTGCCGGCCTAGGATTACGCTCCATTCTCTCCACGAGACTAATATCCCGCAATTCTTTCTCCTGTCGACAATAAGGGAATTCTAATCCGCTTGGATTCGGAAAGCGCCAGAGACCATTTGCCGAATCCACTTTGGCGCGATAATTCGCAGGAGGTCTCGTCGCCGTACGCCTCTATCCGGCTCAGAGACGCAACGTATCGCGGACGCACGGCGCGACAGGGACAGAGAAAGAGCTCTTCGCCCTCCCCTCTCCCCAACCTAGAAGCAGCTTCCCGCACGATCGCTCGCGTCGGGCGATTTCTCACCGCGAGACGAAAACAATCGATTCGTCGCGGACGGCCACCCTCGAGAGTCGAAATCTCATTTCCGAGGCCGTCGCCGCCAAGAAATGTCCCATGCCAGCCAATTTCAGGTCGAAGGCGAGTCGGTCGCGCGCTATTGTCGCGCGCTTTTCTCAAGCGAGATAACCGCTAGCGAGCAGCACGTCGTCGCTCCCGGCAACTTATCTCATCTCGCGTTCGGTGCGCCTAGACCTTCCTCGTCGTTCCCTCGAGTGGACGATTGCGTCTCGTTTGTTGCCGAGTGTAAATTCAGCGAGGACGAGAAGTTCGCGCGAACGCGACGCGACGAGTGTCTTATCTTCTCGTCGTCGTCTGAATTTCGCGTTCGCTCGGCCCGTAAAGGAAGGGAATAAAAAGGGAAAACACGAGCGGGACCGTCCGCCGTCGAGGAGGGAGCACGTGCGGAGAGCGATCGCACCGCGCAAAAGTAACGATCGCGCGCGCCGAGGGTGGGAGGTGGGCAAAGGCGGTTCCGCGTGAAACCGAGGGCCCGCGTCCGTGGGTGCGCCGGCTCGCGCTCGATACTCGCCGAAAAGAACCACTCGAAACTCGGAGCGCCGCGAGCTCGAGTTAGCTCGCGGAAGAGCCCCCCACCCGCGAGCCGAACGGGAGAGCGTCTCCTCGACGCGATCCTCGGACCGGCGGCTCGCGCGGCAAGCGTGACGCGACACTTTCGCTTTTCCCCGGGAGCCTATCGATCGCGGGCCAGCAGGCGGAGGATACGACGGCTCGAGGGACCTGCTAACGCCCGTGCCCTCGCGGTCGCTTATTTTCTCCCGTGGCAGCGGAGGGGGGAGCGCCTGCTAAGGACTCTCGTTTATTGATTTGGCGGCGGAGGCGCGCGCGGTGCTGCTCCTTCTTCCCTTCGCGAGGTACGGGCGTCCCTCGGAGAATGCCGATGGCTTCTAACTAGCCAAGGTCCGGTCGTCGTTGCCATCGCGTGTCCGCTGCCTACGACCAAACTGCGTTGGCGAAGAGTCGACTTCCGCGCGATAAATATCGAGCAAGGTTTTCGTCGCGGCGAGGGCTTTTCGGTTTCGCCCGTCAGCCGAGCGAACCCGGACGATCGAGGCGATCGACGCTCGATAGAGCGCGAAGAGCCGCGTGCTAACAATGGCGCGTTGGCTCTGTTCAGCGCGACGGGCGTCGTTCGCTTTGACCTCGCGGAAAATCGAAATCCCGATCGAAGAAAAATGTACGAATCCGCTCCGCCGGGGGCCGGAATGAAATTCCCGTCTGCGCGGAGCGAGACCGAACAGCTCGTCCGGAAAAGCAGCCAGCAATTCAATTGGGCCGCGAGAGCGCAAGCCGAAGCACGACGCGACGAGCGAAACAGTCGGAATCGTAAGAATCGCTGCTCGGCGAGGCATCCTTCCTTCCCGTTCGAGCTTATTATCCCAAGGAGAAGCGCAGCGACGCAGCCAAGAGGCGGAAAGTATGCCGACGTATTTGGGTCAGAAAGAGAGAGAGAGAGAGAGAGAGAGAGAGAGAGAGAGAGAGAGAGAGAGAGAGAGAGGTGCACACACAAAGCTATCGCGCTACCTGGTCGCGCGCACACATCAGGTTACGCGGGCGCCACCAGCGCGCGCCTTATCGATTGGAGCCTACACCTACGTACGCGCGCGCTCGAGAGACTGTCGAGATCCGCGCGCGCCGCCGCCCGATCGGTTCGGTCTCGCTGGCGAGCGAGTTGGCAATCCAATGACGCGCCTCGGCGGGCGCTCGCGCAGTCTTGCGGGCGACAGAACCGCCGACCTCGAATAGAACAAGGATGCAGCTACGCGCGAGGCTGGCATAGTGCGAGTGCAGGTCGAGGTGAGAGACTGCTTACGTAAAAGGCGTCCTCTTCGATTTGGCGATTTCGTCTGCAGCCAAGGCGGAGCGAACGAAAGGCCGGGAGTGCCATTTCGATGCGACAGCGTTGCTCCTTTTCCCTCCTCCTCCTCCTCCTCCACTTCGTCGAGAGAGACGCTTTTACGAGCAGATACGCGCGTTCGGGAACGAAACGCCGATCGCGTCCGAAAATAAAGCCTTTTCCATCGACCCTTTTTTTTCTAATTCAAGCGCGCCGCGCTCCGCCCACGTAAACGAACAGCTGCTGCTCCTCCGCTCGCGTAGCGATCGATTCACCTGCAATGACGACGACGACGACGACGACGACGACGACCAAGTCGCGGGGTGGGGGAGAGACTCCGAAAAATGAGGAAGCATCTTCTACGCGAATTATTCAACGGTACACGCACGCGGGCAGAGTTGAAGGTTTAAATAATAGAGAAGCGGAGTAGCCAAGTTCGATCGGACGAGCACTTGGCCGGATTTCTGCGACCGCGGCGTCATTCGGAGACTTTCGTCAGCGACGCGACGAATAGTCGATATCCGACGGCTTTGCCAGTGCTTATTTCCGCGAACGATGACACAGGTCGAGATAGACGAGGCGGCGGACGGTGCAGTCGCATTCCGAGTTTGCGGAAACTTTTGCGGACCGATCGGCAAGGTCTACGCGTTATTGTCTACTACGTTGATTGTCGTTCGGCGCGCGTCACCTCCAAGTACCAAGCTCACGCTCATCTGTTCGCAGGGGCGCCTTCTCGGTTGTCCGGCGATGCGTGCAGAAGAGCACCGGCTTCGAGTTCGCAGCGAAAATCATCAACACCAAAAAGCTCACGTCCAGGGGTAAGTAGCCACGTGCTTTCGCGCTGTCCACCAGAATAGATTGTGCTTTTATTTGTTTTTCTTTTTTTTTTTTAATGCGCGGGAAATGCCCCGCGTTCGTCGATAACAACGAGGAACAACTTTGTTTTCTTTTCGTTTTTTTTTTTGAGCGCCTGCCAACATCAAAAGCTCTTTGGACGTCGACTTGTCTTTATAAATACATCCATCGGCGCGAATATTTCGAGAGAAATCTCCTCTGCGGATTTTCGCGAGGCTCGTGACCTAGTTTCGGTACGTCTGAGATGTTCCGCCCGAAAAAATAGCCAGCGCGCGCGAGCCGAAGACGGCGTTTCGCGACCAACTGTTGCCCGTCGGGACGCGGGCGTACGACGGGCGGTAACGCGGTATCGATCACTCGTCCGCTCGCGGGTCCGCACGTCCGAGAGCGGCAGAAACAGCAGCAGCAGCAGCAGCAGCAGCAGCAGCAGCAGCATCGATTTTCGAGAGCGCGACTGCCGGAAATTAAAAGCGAAAGAGGGACCTTGGCCCGCTGACCTCTCGAGCCGAATGCCGACCGCGGCGAGCTCTCGCAAATTAGTTTTCGGAAGTGGTCGTCGTCGGGCCGAGGATCGGAGAGGCTTCCGCCGCGCGACGCAAGGGGGGTCGCGTTGGACGGCGGACCTCCCCCGGGGAGGCAAACCATCGCGCGCTGGCTGCTAGATCGGAAACGAGGATTCGTAGTCGACGTCGACCGCAGGCCGCGCGCGGCGCGACATCGATTTCTCTCCGCGCGTGACTCGGCGGATTGATGGGGCTTGCGTGCGCGCCGAAAGAGGCCTCCGTGACCAAACGCCCAAGTTGATTTCGCCCTCCGCACCTGCCTTTTCTTTTTCTTTCTCCGCGCAATAACTGGCGCGCGCGGGTGCGCCGCGAGTCCGATTTGTCCGGTTCTCAGCGGGGCGAGCGTCGAGTGCTGTTACTTTTCGCCCATTCTCGTGCGCGCGGAAATCCGATGCGATCCGAGCAGGCCGCTTCTGCTCGTTCTTGCGAGCGTTCGCACTCTCGCCCACCGGTGATACTCCTGGTTGACTTGGGCGCAGCGCGACGAACGCTAGCGTCAAAGTAGAAAGTAATCGAACCGAATGCGCAATCTCATCGCGCGCCGCAACCCCTAAGCGGAGCAGGCGAAACGCACGAGAAAGCAGCCCTTTCTTGCGACAGAAGCTCGCGGCCGTCGCGTTCGAAAACTCGACGGACGATGCCCGCGTGGCTACGGCTGCTCGCGCCACGACGAACGAGACGGTACCCCCGTGCGCGCCCACGTTCCGTCGGAGCATAATCCAATCTTCTCTTCTACCCGAGCGCTCGACCCGGTCGAGAGCCAACTCGTTCACGGCGGAGCGAGTTCGTCGCGAGCGAGTACCGCGAACCGGTCCCTCCCCGCTCTGGACTACGGGCGAACTACAGTTCGAGCTCGAGCCGGCCGCGCCGTCGAGTGCTTCTCGCGGAAGAACGCCGCGTCGACCAAACAAAGCCCCATCGCCAAGGCGCTACGCCGTCCCTCGAACAGCGATCAGTTGTGCGCGCGCAGCCCGATCGCGGGCGCCAACGCGCGCTGACGCCTCGTTTTTCTTTGCAGACTTCCAGAAGCTGGAGAGAGAAGCGCGGATATGTAGGAAGCTGCAGCATCCGAATATCGGTGAGTCGGCGCGCCTGGGCGTCGCGCGCGATAACGAGGCGTCGACGCGACTGCTCGAAGCGACAGATGCGGCGCGAGAGCGTCGATCGCAACTGATCGTGCCGACGAACCTCGGCCGAAGGAGGGGGAGAGGCGGGCAGGCCGAGTCGGCCGACTATCGGCATTCGTCCGTCGATCTCGGAGGCGGCGGGAGCACGATTAGCCGCCAGAGGCACGCGCAGCGGAGCCAGATCGCCGCCGACTCCTTGGACGCCGCACAGTCAACAAGTGTTATCGATCGGGCTCTCGCTGGCGCGCGCACTTTTTCGCCCCGGCCGAGGGTGGGCCGCCGCCCCGTCGCCAAGCCGGGGTGGACGACCTGATTTCACGCGCGGCCTACTTGCACGCCTCTCTCGCTGCGGCGCGATCTATAATTAGACCGTGGCGCGTCGCCTCGTTATCGCGCGCCGCGCCGAAGGTTCGCGCCCGCCCGGTCGGTCGGTCGGTCGGCCGGTCGGCCGGTCGGTCGGCCGGTCGGTCGGCCGGGCGCGGGACGCATTTAGACGTGGTTTTTTGTCCCCGCCGCCCCATGGACCGCCGGCAGTGCGACTACACGACAGCATACAGGAGGAGAACTACCACTACCTGGTGTTCGACTTGTGAGTATACGAAGCGCGCGCGCGCGCGCGCGGCGAGCGTTCGCGCACTGAACCGATTGGTCGCACGCGCAGGGTGACCGGGGGCGAGCTGTTCGAGGACATCGTGGCGCGCGAGTTCTACAGCGAGGCGGACGCCTCGCACTGCATCCAGCAGATCCTCGAGAGCGTACACCACTGCCATCACAACGGGGTCGTGCACAGAGATCTGAAGGTAGGCGCGACGCGAGGCGGCTCGGCTCGGCGCTGCGCTATAAACGGCCGCGTGCTGCTTGCAGCCCGAGAACCTGCTGCTGGCGAGCAAGGCCAAGGGCGCGGCCGTGAAGCTGGCCGACTTCGGGCTGGCGATCGAGGTGCAGGGCGACACGCAGGCATGGTACGGTAAGTATCCGCGCACCGGCCGCGCACCGGCCGCGCACCGCCGCGCACCGCCGCGCACCGCTCGCGCCCCTCTCACGCGGCCCCTCCTCGGCGCGCAGGCTTCGCGGGCACGCCGGGCTACCTCAGCCCCGAGGTGCTCAAGAAGGAGCCCTACGGCAAGCCGGTGGACATCTGGGCGTGCGGCGTCATCCTCTACATCCTGCTGGTCGGCTACCCGCCCTTCTGGGACGAGGACCAGCACCGGCTCTACGCGCAGATCAAGTCCGGCTCCTACGACGTGAGTGCTCGCGCCGCGGCGGCCGCCGCCCCAGCGCCAGGGCCGCACTGACCGTTGCCTTGTTGTCTCTAGTACCCGACGCCCGAGTGGGACACGGTCACGCCCGAGGCCAAGAACCTCATCAACCAGATGCTCACGGTCAACCCCAACAAGAGGATCACCGCGAGCGAGGCCCTGAAGCACCCCTGGATCTGCGTAAGTCGGCCCGGCCGAGCGCCCGCCGCCGCACCGCCCGCCGCGCCGCCGCCACTCATCCACTGCTCTTTTCTGTTCCGCAGCAACGCGAGCGCGTGGCTTCGGTGGTGCACAGGCAGGAGACCGTGGACTGCCTCAAGAAGTTCAACGCCAGGCGCAAGCTAAAGGTGAGTGCGACTGCCGCGCCGCGACGATCGAGTGCCGCCGGTCTCGCGGGCCGCGCGTCTACGAGTATATAGCGGCTCGACGGCCGCGCCGATCGCTCAGTCGAGCGAGCCTCGTCGACGTGCGCGCGAGCAGCATGAAGAAGGTCAAGGGCCTGCGGAAGCGGCTGATCATGTGCCGCAACGACGAGAACAAAGCGCCCCGGGTATAGTCACTCGACGTCGCGCGCGCGACCGACCTCGGCCCGCGATGGCCGCTGCGCCGCGCGGCACGCTGCGCGAGATCATCGAGATCGAGATACCCGATAACGACGATATCCCATCTGTCTGTTGCCAGGGCGCCATTCTCACCACGATGCTAGCCACCAGGAACTTTTCCAGTAAGTATGACGCACAGGGTAAGTACCTCCGGCCGTCGGTCTTCGCTTCTCTTCACTTCGCTCCCGTTGATCCCCCACGGCTATGTCCGGCTCTATCCGATTCTCAGGTCCAACCGACGCTCTGTCGCTCGTTTCTTCGTTGATTTTCGTTTCGTCCTCTCCTCCTTGGCCTCCCTCGCACTGCGCGTGGCGCACTCCGCTCGAACAAAACAGCCGCGCTCGCGGAACGAACGAACGGTCGAACGCGCAAATCCGCGACCTTTCAACCTGTACTTCTCGCGCTCTTCGGGAACCTGCCCCTCTCGTCACTCAAAACTACACCGCTTGACTTTTGCGTATGACTGATTGTGGATACATACATCTCTCTCTCTCTCTCTCTCTCTCTCTCTCTATCTTCCTACATAACTGTTGCTTTGCATTATCATCATTACGTACATGTGGACTTGAATTGGTGTCGTGCGTTAACGTAACATTCCAAGTGAGAACATCAGTCTCGTTGGTATTCATCGAGTTTTTTACGCCGGAGTCGAGCGTCGAGAGCGTTCCATAGAAAACGAGCTTCGGAATGTATCGGCGTTGTATAATCGAACCGTGGCAATTACGCGCTCGGTTGGGAGCGTCTCGATCGCTACTTACATAAACAACAGACGTTACTTACATAAACAACACCGATGGATAAAAATACAAGCATGAAAAAATGGAGCTTTCGTCGATCGCGCCCTTGCGCGATAATCCGAGTGATCGTGTTCGGAGCGCGGCGCCACCTAAAACTCCTCCCTTGGGTAATGATCCTTTCACTGATAGCCCCACCAGTAGCTTATGCATCATGGCATTCTCTGTACATCTATATGTAATTACACTCGCATTATGTGCATGAGGGTGGCTCGAAAGTCGAAAGGAACGGGCTCAGCCAGCGGAAATAAATCGCTAACCTGCTCCTTTCCGCTTCGACCTTGTCTGCATAATACCATGTAGTTATACAATATTTACTCACCCCACCTCCCCCACGTTACCGCTCGCAATGCCCACTTTCAATCTTTACGCATACACATGTGTGTACACGTGCGCAATGACGACCAATTTTAGGATTTCAATTGGGTGTGCCAGTGACGTCTCGAGCAACCACGAGCACCATTTGTCATTTTATTTTCTTGAAAATCGAACAAACGCGCCGCCAAGGCGCGCGCAAGCGCAATTACAGGGGAATCGTAAAGGACGGAAGCATCTACGCAGGTCGACGCGCAGAAAGGCATGCGTGCGAAAATATGGCCGCGATAAACTTTACGATCCACTCGGCCGTTATTGCCCGCAAATACCGTATACGCAACGGACCCGTTCGCTAACGCGCGGCTCCGTAATGCGCCCTGCGTCGCGCGAGCACCGATCAAAGTCGCGTCTGCTTCTTTCGTCGCGCTCCTGTGCGAGAATGGCGTCGCGCGCTCGTCTTTCGGCAGACGAGAGAGAGAGAGAGAGAGAGAGCGGTTCGGATTCCGCGGCAGCAGGAACGAAAATTACGCGCCGTCGTTGTTTTCGCGCGCGACACGTCGCGTGTTCCTTCGTTGTTGTTTTCTTTCTTCCGATTACGCAGCCGCGTCGACCGACGATGATTATTAATCGAGGCCGAGTCGGTCGCGACGACGCCAAGTTTTGCAAAAAACGGGAATGCTATGATTATAATCTAATTGAACGCAGTCACGACGCCAAATGCTGTCGTATTCTTTTGCTCGCTTTCTTTTCGAGTTCACTTGTTACTGCACATGTCCGATCATAATTAATTTATGTGCGCCTCGATTCGCTATAATAGTTTCCATTGTTTTCATTTCGTTTCTTTCGAATTTGGGAAATCTCATTCTGCACAAGAAAAACGCGTTCTTCTTCGTCGAAAAAGTTCTCTAGAGTAACGGTCTTGAATCGCAGATGCGAGGCGGTTCTGTGAATTAGAATTCCCATTTTCTCAACCTATAAATTATGTGAAGTGTTGGTCGGAGGTACGATTATATATATATATATATATATATATATATATATATATATATATATATATATATATATATATATATATATATATATATATATATATATATATATATATATATCCGTTTAAATTTAATTTTCTAATAATCATATGATATAGACTTACAATTACAAGCTGTAATTATATCTACATACATTACAAACACTCTAGAGTCAAAAGTCAAACAAATACGAGACACTTGACACAGTTACTTGAAAGGAAAAAGTCAAACATAAACCGACAAAGCAAGGCTCTCAACGAAGTGGACAATAAGCAACCTAATTGGCTTGACATATCCGCTTTGTCGAGGCTTCGCGCAAACACAAAACGCACTTTTGCACTCGGCATGATTTCCCTATACCCTAGTGCCCTGCTCCCCCTCCCCTCAAAAAGAAAAAAAAATAATTCACTATACACAGTGCGTGATAAACGTTTGACTCCTGTAATTGATTTTTTTTGTCCATCCCCTCGGGGAAAAAGTTCTCTGTCCATACTGTGTTCCCATCATCAATCTAGCTGAGTTGCTTTTTTTTTCGTAGAAAGTGTAAATGTGTAAGAAATAGACTTTAGACACTTAGAAGAGTTTCGTTGAGAAATGTGTACGGAGCAACAAGCAAAAGAAAAATGACACGATATATGCTGTTTAGAACTAACTGCTAATTCATTAATCGGTTTGGATTTCGTTTTACTTTTGCCTATCAGCTGCTAGAGCGATTCTTTTGCAGAGTTCTGTTTCTTTTTCTATCGGCTAATCATTTTTTCCAGAATATAGAGTAGAGTATTAATAAACGACAATTAGCATTTTGTTTTCAAAAAGCTGCCAAGTGTGTCGATTTGCATACGTAGTTTATTACGTAAAAATTCAAATTGCATTTAACCATGAATTATAATTTGATGTGAAGCGTATATCATTGCTAGTGCAGCATTAATTAAAAGCGGATATTAAAAAGGTAAAATTCCATCTTTCCTTTTGTTTCTCTTTTATTTCGAATGCAAATTCCAGCTCGGAAAGATCAGGAGTAGGAAGTTTTTAAATTGTATTTACGCGCAGCTATAGCTGAAAAATTCGTTCTGTAACAATGGACGCTTTGCCATTCGAGACACGTCGTCCTCAACTAAATTAATAAACGAAATTGGTTCTACGGAGGAGCTATTGTTTCGCTTTAGGAATAAATGCGATGAACGCTGATTCGATGAAAAAGTTGGTGCTTTCTGATAGATTCCACTCCATTTCCGTCAACTTCATTTTTTCAATTTATTTTCGATGAAAAAAAGACTTTTTATTCCTTATTGCAAACTTACATTTACATGACGAACACTATTTTACTTTGCGTGTGTCCGTGTGTGCGTGTGCGTGTGTATGAAAACAAGGGATATATGCATATGTACACATGACTTATAATAATAATTCTTTTTTTAACGAGATATTTAAGTAAGTGATGTTAATAATAAGGTTCTATCTGCGTTTGTTTTCTTTGGTTGACCCTGTTACTCAATCCCATCAAAATTTGCAACTTTACCGCCAATTGAATCCGATCTTGATTGATCTCACGCTGTCGATCTGAAGAATCTGGTAAGAATCGTGTTTTGCCTTTTTCGTTTTAAAAAAAAGACCGTCCCAATTCTTTTGTTCTTTGAACTTCATTATTTCTAATATTTATCTATGAACTAACGCTTTGTCGTGCGAGTCGATGCAAAGGGAGTGTGACTGTTTTGCCTCGGTTCGCGCGATTCTCTCCGCACTTCGTTCTAATTTCTTTTGGCTTTCGTTCTACTGATAATGATTGTCACGGCTGAACGTGAATGACATACTGAAATTGGCGCGTACGGCGCTTTTGCACGTTGAGCATGCACGAAAAACACTCGCGGACCTTGAATGATTCCACCACTGAATCAAAAACAGAAGCGAGGAACGTTTCGATGTTTCGTGTTATAACACCACAGCATGCTGGTTTCTTTTTTGTAACTATGACTACACTTACAATGTACGTTTATCACGATTCATCCACTCTCTCATACACACTGTTGATCCGCAAGTTATCCAATGATAAATAACTTACTTCACGCAGACAAACTTTTTACTCCTTTCTAATTCCTTTTTTTTATCTTCTCTTTTCTATCCTCGTGCTCTTTATATCTTACCTTTAACGCATACGATAATAATACTTACATTTTAAGCAATATACTTGTACTTTTACTTCTATACATAAATTTTATAATACGAGACACAAACAAACATTTTTTTCATGATAAATCGGAAGTAAATATTTTTCGAATCTTGCAGCGTACTTTGGCACTTTTCGGAAGAAAATAGAAATGTTTGCTTCCGCATCTTTTTTACTATATTGCTTTTTCTTACTTTTCTGTAGAGTCGAAGTACAAAACAATATTTGACAAGAGCAAAATCCGTGTTTGGAATCGGCGTTTCCATCGCTAAATAAAAAGAAAAAAAATATCGTTGCAATTCGCAACCCTGTCATTCTGGTGGAAACGTTCGGCACACGAATCATTGTCTCCATTGATGTCGACACGTTCCTTTAACATATGAAAAATGAAGATTGCGTTTGAAAATGGCGTTCGCAAAACTTTGTTATCATAAACTTGAAATCGCGTAAATAACAACGTCCACTTCCATCATCAGTTACACGTCTGTGTTTTTTTTCTTTGAAACTACAAGAGCATCGTCAAATGATTTCAAGTGAAAGTTATTTGTTTCTCTCTGTTCGATACAATGTTTAAATGTCTCTAGATATCTGTTTCGTGTGCTCGATTTGACGGGGAAACTGCTCAGTAATACTTTTTTCATTTCCAAATTATTATTCTCTTCTCTATATACTATTTTCTTTTTTCTCTCTCGCACAAGTGAGAAAAAAAAAGAAAAAAAGAAAAAAATATTTGTTTTGATTTCTCATTGTCGTTACGAAAAAAGAATAAATAAATCAATAAATCAATGAATTAAAAGAGATGTAACAAAACGACTTGCAAGATATAATAATGGTTTGAGAAACGACTCACTCTCCAAGACTGTGTAATGTTTTGTACTCTAGGTAAAAGCATCGTGACGAAGAAGGGCGACGGGTCCCAAGTGAAGGAATCCACCGACAGCAGCACAACGCTCGAGGATGACGACATCAAAGGTAGGACATTCAATTTGATTGTTACGACTCCAGCTCGGCATCGGTGACTTTTGCCTTATAGTTTACGCGATATCTTTCAATTTCCATGTGACTTGCTATGAGAAAAAGAGATTTGTTCGACTACGAAGCTTCACTGGTGCAAACGCACAACTGTGACGTCACGTTTAAGATTAATTATCATGAGGTTTACAGCATACTAGGTTCTTAATTAATATATACTTTGGAGTAGGCTTCTTATACTTAGATATCAGTGAATGGTTGATTTGATGCCTTGCAATCAAGTATTTTTTTTTTTCGTCCGAAGCTTAGAAACAGTAGAGCATTTGCCAAGGAAAAGAGCGGTTTTAAGTAAAAACAAGCAAAAGAACAAAAAGAACATAAAAGAAAGAAAACGAAGATTGGCAACTCTTCTGTCGGCGATGCAATAAAAGACCTCGAGATCTCTGTCGCTCCACTATATATACTACTGCGTAACAAAAGTCTTGTCTTTCTCGATATATCTGTGACTACTGCATATTTACCGTACGTCAGCAGGGCTGTGTAAATCTATCCCTCGTTGTGCATCACCTATCTTTCGTAGGCGTCATATGTATCTAACGGCAACATCTTAACCACGTCCACGGGCGTTAACGAACAGGAGGAAATAAACGTTGTCATTTGTCGGCTATCAATCGCATTTACTCCACACTCTACCGATACTTGTAATCGTAATTAATGTAATAACTGTGACCTTGCTGTAATGGTACTGTTCTCTCTCTCTATCTCTCTTTCTCTCCAGATCGAACTTGATCGAACACGTGTATATCAGCTACGTAGCTTCCATCCCAACCATTGCTTATACATTAGTTCTGTACCAAAGCACAGCCGTGTACTTCGTTTACGTTGCGCCTGTCTCTCTCACTCGCTCGCTCTCTCGCTCTCTCTCTCTCTCTCTCTATCTCCCTTCCTCCGTCTCGCGCAGAAAACGAAGCAGGGCAACGAACGCCTCCTCCTCCGCCCAAAAACCTGCACGCTGTTTGCACGCTGCGACTGTTGTGGCGAGCACGCTTGCCTTCAATTTCACTTCTCGCTCGTTTCTCCACTCTCCCCGGCGCGCCACCGTAGCTTTCGCCGCCTCATCGTGCGATCCCGATGTTACGCCCGACGCAACGTGCGGACGACCGCGAAAAGAAGGCTCTCGGTTCGCGCCACGCACACGACAAAAGCTCTGCTAGTCCCTGATCTGTTCACGACTCCTCGCAGCTCGCAAATGGTCTGTCTCTCTTCCATCGTAGCTCCTGTCGTATCCTCTCTACCATCGAAACTCCTCAGTAATATTAACTGTAGAAAACGGGTACGCGGCACCTTTTCTCTTTTCTTTTTTTTTTCTGGGCTATACAGGCTGACGTAATTAAGCGATGAATTACCTTGGATCATTATCCTGTATGTAATTGACTAGTATCTAATTTCTCTATCCCCTCTAATGATAGAAACGATGCTCACAAATCCATAACACGTAGTTGAAACGTAATCTATATCAATATATTTGATCGACATGCACGCATACGAATCGATAGCGAAGTAAAACGCTGCCCGGTTTACTGATTGTATCATCACTATAGCCGTGGATTATCGGTCAGTTGTTTTAATTTGCTGTTCGTTTGTCAAACAAAAAGAACGACTTTAATGTGGATTCGATGCTTTGCGAACAAAAAAGAAGAATTATATAAAAAAGAAAATCACTGACCACCATCAAAGGTTACGATATTATGGTACATCTTTATGACCACTATTCTGTACTATTTTATCATCACCATCAACTGTGAGATAAGTAAAAATTGCGTGGATAGTTAAAATAATCGTAGTCATTTACTCACTCTCTCTGTTTCTCTGTTTTGATTAACTATAGCATTCGTCACTTGTGTATCTAACGAGTTTCGCATACAGCAACGCGCCTGCGCGTTGAAAAATTTGATAGCAAGGTCAGCACATAGTACAAAACTTTTTATACATTTCTTAGCGGCTCGCTTTGAAAAAAGGACGCAATTTTCGTCGTTCCAGTGTCACGTCCTTTTTTCAACAGCCATATACAGACGCCTTTTTTAATCTTACTAATTTATAACCATTATTCTCCTTTAATAATGCGCATCTCTTCGTCATTCTTTCAGCTTATTACTAAACTCAAATTTTTATGCCTGTCCTATAATTTTATACGAAATCATTTGGTCTACTAATTTTGTCTAGCTATAACACAATAACTCAATAACGACGTGTACTTTTCAAAATTACTAACACTTAGAACGTGTACATAGATAATGGGGCTTCGTTGAATAGATTGTGTACAGTCCATTAGGGGCTATAGCTCGTAGATTGAGTGTGTATATTTGACGTTTATATGTTTTTAATTTTTTTGTCTCAATATAAATAAAATTAATCTAGGAGGAGGGCGAATAACGTTATGGAATTAAATAAATCACCTTTCTCGCTTACGTAGACAGACAATGATACTCAATCGGGTATATCGTAACACTTGCTACTTTTCTTTTATTTTTTACGATTATTCAATCGCTTTCCTCGACTTATCATTCACTATATCCTGCATTTTTTCTATATTGAACAATTCTCTTTCACGTTTTCACCGTATTTATCAATTGCTCACTATATATTCCATAAATGCCTTATCTGCTCGACACACATCCGCTTCGTTCGAAGTATGAATAATTATAGCCGTAGATAGCGGCAAATTGGCACTGGCTGTTAATTGTCCCGAGCAGACATGGCATTTATACTTATATTGTCACCAATTTATACTATTTATTCTCTCACATTCGGTTGATATAGCTTCGTGTAATCCCCTGTTTTGCCAACAACAATCCGGTTAATCCATCAGTAAATATATTTACGTATGATTTTTTTCATTTATATGTGTAGTGCGTAAAGAAACGTTAATATATATCTATATTTTTTTTTTTTTTGAGAAATAAGTAATACATTGAGTTGAATAAAAACATTGAGTTGACTTTATGCACCATTTATCAACATCACGTGTCCGTGTAGTCCGGTGTTATGGATTTCTGAACACCAGATTTCTTATCGTCTGATTTCCATGTTGCCCGCTCTATTATCTTCTTTTTGTTATACATGGCCCTTCGTCCTGCTTGCTCTCACACCTCTGCATTGTTACCGAGCTTTAATTAACGCAGCATCGTTTGCGTGATAATTATTACTCAAGACTTCTGCTCCCACTTTCCCCCGCCACTTTCTCTATTATTTTTCTTTTTAATTTCATTTTATAAAAACGTCGATGACGAATAATCCCTGCTATCTGTGCATCTCTTCATTATGTGCATGCGTCGCTTTCGTTTATCTTCCTTTGTTTTTTTTATTTGTGCTTTTATGTGACGTACAAAGTTTGATGAAAATAGTTGATTGCAACTCAAATTCCAAAAAAAAAAAAAGATTTATATTTGAAAAAAGTAACTTGTATGATTATATTTCCTTGCATACTTTATCGACAAATCAAATTTAGTGCATCGATCTTACTGCATGAGCTTCTTGTATTGCTTACGAATCCCGAATGTAAAAAGACTTGTTGTTATCAAAGTAATGTTAGCCTATAAAACTATATGATAATTAAACTTTGAGCCATACTTATATTATACTGTGTCACGAACAATATTTTTGTCGACCGAAAATTTCTTTGATGCCGAATTACGTGCACAGGCTTGCAGTCGCATAGGGCTAGACTTTTGGCAAGCAAACCCGTAATTATATGACGGTAAAGGGAGATCATACAGTAATTCCATTTTTTTTTACGTCCATGTAAAAGTGCGTAGACCATATCTATACACAATTATCCGCCATATAAATGTCGTAGGACACAAAGTGGTTATCATTCATGTACGAAGCAATTGAGAAGTAATAATAAAAAAAAATAAATACATAAATAAATGCCGTCTAGTATTGGTAAACGTCATGTGTATGTGTATATGTTGTACAGAGGATAAGAAAGGCGGTGTCGACCGGAGCAGCACTGTCATTGCCAAAGAGCCCGAAGGTAAAACGAGCAGACTATAATAATCTCAACTACTAAACTAAATTTTGTGTGTGCGTGTATCTCAGCTCTTTCTCATATCTCTCTCTCTCTCTCTCTCTCTCTCTCTCTCTCTCTCTCTCTCTCTCTCTCTCTCTCTCTCTCTCTCTCTCTCTCATTTTTTCTTTCCACGTGCGTATGTCCGTCCCGACTTCCGCGAGTGACGCAAAAACAAGGAATCGTTTTACCGCGTGGCTTCCATTAGCTTGATTGCCTCCCCGCGGGCGCGAGCCTCGCCGACCCCACGTCCGCACCGGCGAGGCTCGCGCGCTCGAGGTCGCTTCGTTCGCGCCGTTTTTGCCCTGGTCCGATCGCGCTGGCCGGCGGGCGTCGCGCGTCGACCAATTCGGACGGACAACGACGGGAGGGCGGAAACGAGGAAGCGAGAGGGGCTCGAAGGAGAGCCACCGTGGAGCGAGCGACCAGCCGGCCGCAGCTGCGAGCGCGACGCCCGGAGGCCAGCCCGTGGCGAGTCCGCGGAGACCGGCGGCGATCCGAAGCGAGGCTAACCCACCACTAACCAAGAGCCGCGTGCGGCGTGTGAAAGGTGTGAGTCGTGCCCTTAACCGCAGCATCGCACTCGCGCGAACTAACGCAACGCTGCTAATCCGAAAGCGGACGATGCCAAGGTGGCGGGCGGCACTGATATTTTCGGCTAATCTGTCCGCCGCCGAAATAACTGCTCGCCGTGCGCGTCCGCGACGGCGCTGCGCCAGATAGCGCATAGACTCGCGCCAGCGTAGTCGCTCGCGCGCGCGGTCCGCGAAAGCTTCCGCGCGAGGAGAGAGGCCGAGCGAGGTCGCCGTGCGCGTTTCGACGATGTCACTGGCAGCAGCCTCCAAGCAGCAGCAGCAGCAGCAGCAGCTGGACAGCCGTGAGTCTCTCGCTTGCCGCGTAGCGCCTGTGTGTTGTGCCAGCGCCTGCGGGGCCAAAGCTCGCGCTCTCTCACGACCATGAACCTGCCGCAGCGGCCTACGGCTCGCAGGGGACGCCGCCGAGCAGCCCCGCAGCCGTGGCCTCGGTGTTCTCCAGGGCGATCGGCGCGGCGCAGGCGCACCGGCAGCAGATCCAGCAGCAGCAGCAGCAGCAGCAACAGCAACAGTCGCCGCCGCCGCCGCCGCAGCCGCCCGGCAGTCCGCTGAGCATCGTCGCGGCCGTTCTCTTGCAGAGCGCACAAGGTACGGGCGTCGCGCTGCCGCTCGCTTGCGACCCGATCCCCGTTTGACCTCGCGCGCTAACACGGGCCTTGCGTTTCGCCGAGCCCCGCTTCCGCCGCCCGCTAACGGCCGCAGTGTCGCGCCGGTCCCACGCAGCCCGGCGGAGTGCGGCCGCGCCGCTTCCACGGCGAGCTCGACCGGTAAGCTGTGTGTGCGTGTGCGAGTGCGCGCGTGTGCCAGACACCTGTCAGCCCTGCCGCCGCCGTCCCTCGTTCTCCCTTTTGCGTGCGACTCCCGGCGTGGGCGTTCGCTCGGCTCTACTCATCGGCCAGCCAGCCTCCGTCACGCCCCGTCGCGAGCAAGTCTGTGTGTGCATTGGATCTGTCGGTTCCTAGACTTCTTCCTCCTCCCTTGTCCACGGCACCTCGCTACTTGGCTGATGCGTACACTGTTGTTGCTGTTTGCAAACGAGGAACACAAAGTAAGATTATGTATTGCTTCGCTTTTCTGCCGCAGTAACATGTACAACCCTTTAATTTCCAACTCTTTTTTGCTCTTCACTCTGTATTTATCTATCTTTGTATATTGTATTGAATATAACCTCCCCGGCAAGGCTAGCGACGCAGGGCGAAATAGAGAAAGACACGGAACAGTAAGGACCTCTGCGCATCCGTCGACTGAATATTCATTCGAAGCGACAAACGAATGATCAATGAACAGCATGAATATTCAGAGAGAAAAGAAAAACCGCGCTTGACCAACGAAATAAATAAATAAATAAATAACAGAAATAGAACCACGAGAACGGAAAGGTCGAACATTCGGAAGAAATTGTTTTGTTTTGTTTTTGTAAGAGGAAAGAAACGTCTCTGGATTGGTTGGTTTGCATGCCCGTTACTGTTTGTTTTCTCTCTCTCTCTCTCTCTCTCTCTCTCTCTCTCTCTATCTATCGGCAAGCAGCGGGTGGAGGCGGCGATACGAGCAGCGGCAGCAGCAGCAGCAACAGTAGCCAGAACAGCCAGGGAGGCGTGTCGCCGCTCAACCCATCGGCGTCGATGGTTAACCCCAGCGACAGCACCCGCCAGGTGGCCACCTCCAGGCGACAGAGCTCGGCGAGCACTGGTCTGTACACCTCTCTCTCTCTCTCTCTCTCTCTCTATCTCTCTCTCTCTCTCTCTATCTCTCTCTCTCTCCTTCCCTCTCTTTTTAGCGACACTGCGCTCTTATCCGCTCACTTCCTGTGTTACGTTCCTCTGTGCGCGGTTTACCAGAGAAAGCTCGTCGACTACTAGAGCGCGAGAGGATTCGCGCGTTCGTCGCCGAGCTTTCGCGAAGGATGGCGATACGGATCCCCGCTTCTCCGGGGCTATCGTCTCGCGATCCTGCCAATGTTTGACGAACCGCCGTTACATTTTGACAATTATTTTGGCATGTCCATGTGTCACTGTCTCATCGAGATTATTCGCTCTTTGCATTCACGTTTGCGTACACGTGACCGAGCGTTCGAAGCCCGACGAGCCGTGAAAAGAGAGCCTGGTCGTTGGGCTTTGGATCTCGGACGGATACTCACGCATACTCACACACACACACACACACACACACACACACACACACACACACACACATGCATGCATACAAAAAAATGGAATTTGCATGCTGAAACAAAGTGTGTTCTGCGCTTGTACGTTGCATGTGAACCTCTGTGCACACAACCTCACCAAATCAAAAACGCACGCTCTCTCTCGCTCTCTCTCACTCTCTCACTCACTGTCCATCGAACCGATGGCCACCGCCCTCACCGCCGACGACAACGACGGCGACGACGACGACGACGACGTTAAAAAACGCACGCTCATCACCGAACGCAGAGCCGGAAGGTCCGAGCCACCAGCCGGGCGGCTACGTGCAGCTGGGCCACGGCACGCAGGAGGACGGTAAGAAGGTTAGCGCCGGCAGCAGGAGGGTGTCGGCGGGTCGCAGCGCCGAGGCCGCCGACACTTGCTGCTCGCTCGGGCGCTGCTCGCTCGCGTAGACCGCGCGCGTGCCAGAGTCAAGAGGGCGCCGATCGAGTTTGGTGGGCACAACGCAACGTAGGACCCGCACGAGGAGTCGAGCATGCTGCTCGTCTCCAAACTCCACTGTCGCGCGTCTGCATCCCGTCTCTCATTCCCAACCCCCAACCCCCTCTCCCAGCTCGGAGTGCTTACGAACGTTGGCGACGAGACGTACCTACTGTACGCGACGGGGTTGCGATGACGACGTACCGGAGGATTGTATCAAACGTAGGAATAAGCACGTCGACGAGAAGTTGCACTTGTATATGTACGTTCGCAGACGAGGAACCTTGTGCTTTGGTGTACGACACGCGCGTATAGCTGTACGACGTCGATCACCTTGTGTCAGTTTGTGTAACGAGTCGCTGGAGTCGACAAAAGAACAAGAAGAAAGCAATAAAAATACAAGGCTTGACGCAAAGTCTCGCGTTACATCATATCTTCCTGCCCCGGCTCTTCGTACAGCGCTAGTCACTTGTAGAAGCCTCGCAGTTTTCGGGAGTCTCGACCGAGGCCCAGCGGCAACTCGCTCTCCGCAGGAGCAGTCATTGGCGCGCGCGCGAGGCACGATTTACACCTTTCTGGAGCGGCGAACGAACGTTCTCGGCGAGGTCGCCAGGGGCGGACTCTCGATCGCTCGACGACGAGAGAGAGGTTTCGCGCGGTCGTCTTTCTGCTCGCCTTCACCTCCTCGGACAGCCGGCTCGCAGTGGCTGCGCTTCCCGGCTCTTCTCGTGCACGACGGCCGAGTTATACGCTTGCCGGCCTCCCGATCGGCTGGACCGGAGAGTTTTCATTGCAAACCCGAAGTGGAACGTCGAGCGAGAACGGAGACACTCGCGAAATGGGAGAAGCGCCGGGAATCGGTTGGAGCGATTCGGCACGTCTCTCGTCCGCCAAATTGTACGTTCTCCGCGTCTCTCCCGTGTCTCGTCGTCGCATTGCCACGCTGAGGCCCCGAAGTATGCATAGCACGTACGCAACAGCGAATAGCGTCGACTGTCCGAAGGAAGTGTCTGCTTGATATTGTCCGTATATGTGTCAGCCCGATGAGAGACGATGATATGAGTTCGGCGCGTTAAAACAGTTTTTTAATGATATTGCTTGTAGACATACGAATCGTCTGTCCTATCAAGACCTGCAGCCAGCTCTCAACGAACTCGCAGTGCTCAGGTAATGCGTCCTCATTCCGTAGAACATTTTTAGTGTCAACACCCACATTTATATATATATATATATATATATATATATATATATATATAGCAGGCCACGTCCTACCATATATATACTTTATAAATATACATGAATTATTATTTTTTCATTAACAAATTGTTTTATTTTTTATAAACACACATTGTTTGAGTTTTATCACCTTCTTTCCTTTCATTCTTTTCTTTTTTTCTTTTAATTTACGTTTACATTGATCGACGTACGATTATTCTTATTTGAACTTGTTTATTATTGGCTCTCTTTAACAACGTTGCGCGCAAGTTTTTTTTTCAATTAACTAATTAACTTGTTTGTACTTGTGCACTCGTTTGATCCTCTCTTTTTATACATACGGTTTTTGACCCTTTCACACATTGGCCGTGAGAAAATTTCAAGCCAAACTTTTTCGTTTCCTGCAAGCCCCTTAACAATCAACAAGTTTTTCTTTAGATCGAAATTGTACGTGCTAACCTCATTTCGGAGAATATTGATTACGAGTTACTTTCTTTGTAAAGTGTTCCATTGTTTGTTTGTTTGTTTTGTTTTTTATCAACTATATGCATTTACACGCACGTAATTTACTGAGAAAAAATGACGACTTTTTTTTGACGATAATCACTGACTTGATTTTGAATCTCACCGACAAAGATTTACAAATAGATGGTTGATATGGTGGTGGTCAATGGTTGATATGGTGGTGGTCAAAATAGTCATATAGTGACGCTTTTGAAAAGATAAAAGACAAAAAGGATTTGTCAATCGTAACGAGAGAGAGAAAAGCAGGAAGTGAATAGAGGAAAAAAAGAAAAGGAAAGAAAAGACGAAAGTAAAGAGGGCAAGTATATGGTGGAATAAGTAATACAAGTAACGACTTGTCTCTTCGATCGGTAATCGTGGACGAAGCTACGTGTATTTCACAGTAGTCAGCACAACGGAGAACGTGCAAGCAAAAGAGCAGCCGGTAGTCACAGACTCGTCCATGCAAAGCAGCTCCGGAGCGCCGCGGAAGGGCAGTTGCACAGTCAAGTATTTGGTTCTTCTCGCGCCTTCGCGCCTTCGCGCCTTCGCGCCTCTTGTTTCATTGTGCTCGAGAGAAAGCAAACGAAAGAAACGTGCACGTGGCTGCTGTGCTGTGCGACGTTGTTTGATCTTGCCTCGCTCGTCAGCGATCGCAAGCCGAGCAAAAAGGCGGCGATCCGCGAGAAAAGAGCAGAAAAACAAAACGTAACGACGACGGCATAAGGAACAAAAAGAAAACGAGAAAGAAACGCAGGGAGCGACGAGCGAGTGTACAAATGTCTGATAGTTTTCCTATTGACGCTTTGCAGCTCGACGCCAGGAGATCATCAAGATGACCGAGCAGCTCATCGAGAGCATCAACACCGGCGACTTCGAGGCGTACACGTGAGTCTCTCTCTGTTTTCACGCGACCTCGCGCTCGGCCGCGATCGTTGCGAATCAGCTTCAAGTTGGTCACACGGCACGGCGACGCTCAGGAGTTTACGCGCAAAAGTGTCAAATAATCGAGTGCGACGTGTGCGGACTTTCGCGAAAGTTTAATTCGGCCTCAACTTTCAATGGCCACGCAAATTAGTCACAGAATCCAATTTCACGGCTCTAACGACATTTGGAAATTATTAGCATGCGCGGATTGCCATCGCTCGGTCGATTATTTGTTGCGTCGCGAAACATTTATTTTAACAAATTATAACAAATGTGTTCTCGCGTTGTTGGTCAAATTAGTTTGTTCGCTTTCGCGAAGATACTCGATACTCGATACTCGAGGAAATATTAGCACGTAAAACGCGAAAACGTGCTTGTCGAATTGGCGACTGCAGCGCAACGAACGAAGAATGCGGCGTCGTAACGATGCTCACGAGCAAACAATTAATTTTGCAGGAAAATCTGCGATCCCCACCTGACCGCGTTCGAACCGGAGGCTCTAGGTAATTTGATCGAGGGAATGGAATTTCACAAATTTTACTTTGACAATGGTAATTATATCTTGTTTGCATTGCACACTTTCATCAAACGCCGCAAAGCACCGTTCGACGAATCAAGTTATAGATGTACGCTTAAATCGCCTCTGCGACCTCTTGAGTTTTCTTTTTCTCTCCCCTCCGATTCATTTCACGGGCTTCTTACGCTTTTCTCACGAACTCCTTTGCCCGTCGAAGAAGCGGCGTCCCTTCGTTACTTTGAAAAGTTCTGTTTCCGCCTTTAAACGCACCTCCTTAATTATCGTCCCGACATGCTTTGCACTCTGTCCCGCAAAGTTTTTAACGCAAGTGCGCGATGCGGCTTACGTAATTCAGAGCGGCGCTTTCGACGGAAAGCAGGCCGACGCGAATGCACGAAGCATCGCGTCCGCCATTCCGAGACATGCGAATTTGACGCAAACGAAAAACCTTGTGTGTTTGGGTGGAAAAGTAGTGCTCGGGAAGAACTGCAAGGCGGTGAACACGACGATCCTGAATCCGCACGTTCACCTGCTCGGCGAGGATGCGGCTTGCATCGCCTACGTCAGACTCACCCAGTACATGGACAAGTGAGTACACGTCTCATGAATAAGATCCGTAAAGCGGCGCGCGGCTGTCGGTGTGCGCTCGTCGGGCTGCGCTTGGTCAATATTTGCCTTTGTCAAGCTCGCCTCTCGAAAGGCGTCGTTTCGCTCTTTCCTCATTCTCGTCCTCGTTTGTCTTTGCCTTGGAGAAAGTTCGTTAGGGACGTTGATGGGCTCGCGATCGAATTGTTCGAGTGCACGAGGTCGGGCGTCGGTCGGGCGTCGGTCGGGCGTCGGTCGGGCGTCGGTCGGCTTCTTAATTGGCTCAGTTACTCGTCGCCGCTCGCGGCAATGTGCGCATACCGCGACTGCAGCTCGGCCGGGAGTTCCTCGGTGTGACCGAGCGCTTTCTGTCGCAGACACGGCGTGGCGCACACCCAGCAGAGCGAGGAGAGCCGAGTCTGGCACAAGAAGGACAACAAGTGGCAGAACGTGCACTTCCACCGGTCGGCGGTCACGGGCCCCTCGCCTTTCGTCTTCAACAAGTAAGCTGGCCAGCGAGCGCAGCGGAACACCTCCTTCGCCATCTCCGACCACCGCCATCAGCATCGCGCAACTCAAGTTTGTCCGCGCAGCGGACAAGCGACCACAACAGGACAAACTCGGTTTCACGCTCTCCTTCGTTTTCGTTCTCGTTTCAGCCTACTCATCCTCTAAGAGCACGCCCGACGCGCATATTCTAATTCTTTCGTAGCTAGACAAGCTGACAAATACGCAAACAGACAAACAAGCAAACAAACAAATACAGAAAAACAAGGGTACGGGAGGGGAAGAGGGAATCGCCTTAGATAACAAACAAACAAAAATAACCGACCAACGTGTGCCAGCATTGATGACCGTGTGTGTACTAGGGTCTCTTCGTCCCGGGTCCTCTACTCAAGACTGCACTCAACAAAAAAATAAATAAATAAAAAATAATAAAAAAAGAACAATTTCAATGAACCAGCTCGTCTTATATCTCGTCGTCTTAATCTTTAGGTAACTACAATTGTATTCGGAGCGAGGAAGGAAGCGAGAAAAAGTCGCACCGTCGGCAAAACTGACAGAGAGAGGGACATAAGAGAAAGAAAACAAGCAAAGCTCTTTAAATCGAAAGTATTATGTAATCACACACGCGGCTAAAGAGACACCTCCGACTTGAAGAACCGGACCAATCGTCAGCGTTCCTCAACTGTTCCGCACTTATTTAGAGCCGACTTTGTAATGTCACACGCGTACACACACACGCGCACACAAGCGCGCGATTACACGTACGCGCAGAGAATCTCGATTTACTCGTACGATTCTCATTGGCGATCTGCACGCTATTAGGTCGCGCGCAAGACAGAAGCGCGTCTGTGTGTCAAGGTTTATCGTAACTTTAAATAAAGAGCTGCGCTTCTCGAGCTTTTTCTACCTTTTTAGAATAATTAAACTAAACGAAAATACAAGGTGGAAAGTTTTGTGTGTCGATCACGCCATTTTTTTCTCTATATCTCACGCGTTGTAACACACGCACACACACACACACACACACGCACACACACACACACACACACACACACACACACACACACAATGAACCAACGCGTCGTTATCCTATATCAATTTTTCAAAGAAACAGTCAAGTTCAAATATATATACTGCTAACGAATAGACTACTGTCACTTTACAATGAAGAGTCGCTTCGATATAAAACGATGATTGATTATTGTCTACTGAAAACATAGAGGAGAGTGTGTTGTACAGATGGAACGGTTTTCCAAATCTTCCACGCGTCGACTTGTGTAATTGTTTTCTTTACTTTTATGTTGGTTCTCCTTCGATTTACGTTCTATTGCTCATTGTAAAAGGCACACCAACAAAAAATAAGCCGTCATAGATGTGTTTGCGTTATATATATTTCTATAATAGCATAGGCGTATGTCTCGTAATCGTACTTACGTAGGATAAAAGAAAGCGAATGCGGTGATTGTATTGCGCTCTGCTGCTACTGCTGCTTTTTAATCGATCGCAGCTCATCGACAGGAAGCAGACAGGCAAACAAGTAAACAAAATAAAATTAAAGTTAAACAATTGTATCGCACTGCGTAAGCTCATAACCTCACCTTGCAACAGAATTACACCTCCGCGAATGTATATGTACATACATATGTTCGAGTGTGAAGAAGGCAAAGGAGGCAAAAGATGAATAAAAAGAAATTGGAGAAAAGCAAGCGCGTGACTGCTTCTCGTGCGATTGTGTGAAAATAAAAGCATAGCCAGCGATGCGGACGCTTTTTCTTCTGGACAGGGCTGAAGGCGAAGGAACGAGCTGAAAAGCGCGCGATTGCTCCGAAAGCGAACCTCAAAAAATGAATAAAGAGAAAAGAGAAAAGAGAAAAGAAAAAAGAAAAAAAAAACGAAAAAAAAGAAAAAAGTCTCACTGTATCGCGAAGCCGAAACGACGAATTTGCGCTCGCGTGCGCTCTCTCTCTCTCTCTCTCTCTCTCTCTCTCTCTCTCTCTCTCTCTCTCTCTCTCTCTCTCTGTCGTAATCTCTCCCTTTATATGATTAATGTTATATAAATACATATGGATTTTCATTGTAAGAGGATGAGTCGCTCTCGGGGTGGCAAACGCGTTGTGCCGCGTGAACACGCATTATTATACGCATTTACTTTCCGAAGCAAGGCGACGAACATGCACGATAAGGAAAAAACATTGATAGTCTCACAGCAGCAAGAATGGGGAAAAAAATACGATGATGATAATTTGATGATGATCAGCGGAGGCATTAAACGATTTAGATTGAATTTTTATCGAATTTAAGTCACTAAGATATGAATCTTTCTACACGTTCGTACATCCTTTACTATAGTGTGTAATAACTAAGTCTCCATCTAAGTAAGAGAAAGATTAAAAGGACATTTTTTCGCGATCGTATATATATTATATATAAATATATAAATATATACATATTAAATAGAAGAAACGAGCACTACGATGACGGTATGATTTAATATATTTGAGACGCGAGAGTAATATATGATATAAGTATAAATAATATATATATATATATATAATATAAATATAAATATAATTAAGGTAAAATTAAAAGTTATATAAATATAGTTATTTCTACTATTCTGTAATTCTTCGCTTCTACGTGTGATTGTTGTATAAAGTATTTGCTATTAATTTTCCTCTCAGAATTATTATACGCGTTATACGATTATATTGTCATTATTATGACCATATTATATACTGTTATTCTCTGTCATCATCATTGACATTGCAATTTTACTATTACCGCCAACACCACTGCGCTTAATAAGCAAATATCATTAGGTCGTTTTTAACATTGTAATAACGAAACAAAGCAAGAATCATTGAGAATCCAAGCAGCTCCATTTAACAAATATCAGGCTTAATAGACCAACATAATCAACGGATGAGGCGATTGTTGTGTACTTAGACAAATATATAATGATTTTTTGTCATTTCGTTTTCCGTTCACTATAGATATTCATATACACATAAAGGACGTTTCATTCGTTATGCCGAAATTAAGCTTCTTGATATTACTTTTATTATTACCGATGTTCTCTCTCTAAAGTTAAAGTTTTTAAAATATTCGATGGATGCGAGCGCAGACACGAAGGAGGCAAGCTGGTCTCGTGCTTAGGTGAGGGGCGAAAGAATAATCAACTTGTTTCTTCTTGTTATCATTGAAGTCAAAGAAAAATTTAACTATTGCGAGGCGTCGAGTCAAGCTCTCGGCTCAAAGTTCGTGCTCTTCGAAATTCGCGAACAGATTTCGAGACGGCGCGCTCCAGGAGACGCCTCTCGATACTGCTCACTTTTCGAATTCTGTTTTTCTCTACCTCTGTCTATCCGACGCCAAGTATAAATAATTAAAATGCAAAAAATATATTATATATATATACATACATACATACATACATATACATATATATATATATATATATATATATATATATATATATATATATATATATATATATATATATACGAGTATAATAAAAGGTAAAAAAAATGATGGTCGTTGTCTTGGATTCAATGTCGTAGATTTAAGTTTTCATGTGTCTACTTGGCGTCGACAAAGGCTTTCAGTTTAGCAGAGCTTGAGTCTTGATGATCCGCCGTCGCCGACGAGATTGAGATATTTAATATTATGGGTGTGCGCCACTTGTTAAGGCTCAGGGCTTTAATGTATTACCTGTCGCGTCTTCGTGAAAACAGACAACCACACTAACTATACGAAATTATCACTTTTAAAGAAAATTTAACTTCTTAACGAAAAAAAATGTAATATGAAATACCAAACACAAAAAAATTAGAAAAAAAAAATTAATTAAAAAACTCGAATAAATTAAATAATTATTGTCAAATTTAAATAAATATTTCATGTATTCAGAATACTAACAGAACATCATACAATTACAATAGTCTTTCATTATTATTGTTATATATAAACAAAGCTGTCCTTTATATATATATATATATATATGTATGTATGTATGTATGTATGTATGTATGTATGTATGTATGTATATATATATACACACATTGTAGAACTACTTTGCAATAAAGTTCTGACAAGCAGTTGAAAAGAAAACCTTCCAAAACTTTACAATCTTCACAGCTTTCTTTTGACAAATTTTTCCTTCTCATTCTCGCAATTTGATTTCTCGAGAATACATTAAGAGGTCAATCCAGTGCTTTTTTTATGTTCCGAGGCAAAAAATTAATAACGAAGTAAAAAGATGAAACTTTCAAAATTAACGTACACATCGAGATGAAATGAGACGAAAATTTTCATATGGACATCGACGTTCTGCACTCACTGTTTGGCCTAAACCACAGTTGTTATTTGTTTGCATTCAATTTAAGATTGATAATTAATATCCGCACTATATATGATGAAAACCCATTAGAGTCGTTTACAATCTTGGCAAGGTAAACCGAAACAAAACAAACAAAACATGCATCGTGGTACAGGATAATTGACGAGTGGTGAAGTTTTCTGAAAAAAAAATCTCTTTTTATAAAGCAATACTCATGTCTCCTTTTGATAAAGATTACGACGTAGAACGATAATCTTGATAATATTGAACTATGCACTCCAGGTATATAGATATTATATCGTTCGATGTCGAACTAAGTATACCCTCGCAAGATATCTAACATTGGGAGGTAATTCCATGGAGTATATAAAAATAAAGAAGCGTGCTGCCGTAACGTAGTTCATAAATTCGCATTGATAAAACTTTTTCCAAAGGAGAAGACGATATCAGAGTAAAATAACGAAATAAGTAAAGACGAGAGAGCAACTTTTTGAGAATTGAGCTTAAACCTATATAACGACTAAATGATTTACAATTTCCCATATCAATCACTAGCGTTAACTGTAAAACTTTATACGAACACTATATTAGCGTTTTTCCATTTGGTAACGATACTTGAAAAGGATATATAAGACTTGAGACGAGAGATTATAAAGAAAAATTTTCCATCTGCCGATCGAATTTTTCTTACTTTACATAAAATAAACGATAAACGATGAAGTAAACTGTACGTTCAAGTGTTGATAGTTCATCCGTAACATGCGTTTCGATATTTTTACATGTTTCTACGGAACGTTCTCGATAAGAATCGTAGGGCTACGTCGGACAAGTTCATCTAAAGAGAAAACCAAATAAGAAAAAAAAAGATAGTAATAGCCATTGTTTAACGAGAAACGAGCATAAATGCGTTGTCACTTTTATCCGTGCATAGTAGTTGATTTTTTACATAGTTGACAGATTTTAAGGTTGACGCGCCCCCACGGAACTTGAAGCATCGCTTTCTATCCCAAGCCTCACACGCGCGCAACTGGTTCCCCTACGTATTTTTTTCATTTTTATATAACACGTTCGACACGCGTCGCCAACACACACACACAGACACATAGCCATGCGCGCGCGCAGTTGTGCGCGTTAGCCACGTACGCCTAGACGTTGTTGTTATAATTTATCGAGAGACACTTGTTAATAGAATCAATCAGTTGAACTGTATGATTTGTATGTATAAACTCGGCTGCGTAGCACGGACGTCGCGTCGAATTATCGCGACGCGGGCACTTTTTTTTTTTATTGTTGACTGTGTACAATGTATTTGTTTTTACTATTACTCGGTCGATTTCACGTGCGTTTTAATGCAATTCGTTACGATGCAGAGAAGCAAACTGAAGCGGACTGCGCAAGGCAAACGCGATGCGCTCGTCGTGATCACACGCGAGAGAGGAAGAGAGAAGGGAGACGATTAGGCTGCTTCTGTTGACTTTACTCCGATCTGTTTGTTGCTTTCGGTGTTGCGACGGCAAATTACGAGAAAACGACGGTCCAACACGAAACACACGCGCGCGCTACGGTAAATTCGATGTATTGTTCCTCCGAGGGAGGCGCAGATGTGTGGAGCATTATAGCATAATTATTACAAATTGCAAAAGCCAGCCCATAATGTAATAGGCTTAGTAAGCGAACCAGCGAAAGCGCGACTACGTAGGTCGCGCGACAGCGAGTTTTAGATATCGCCACAGACGCCAGGATCTTCGTACGATGTTTATCTTCCTCGAGAATCAATCGAGCTTTTTGTGTTTCGCTATGTACTTATCTTTCGATAAATAATATATATACGAGCAGGAAGAAACAAAGGAGATCGCATATAGATAAATATGTGGAGCGAGCGAGGGCAGAGAGCACGTTTACGAACGAAAGACAGTTTATCGCGGGAGTGCTTGCGTTGCCGTTAACAATTGCCAACTAAACCAACAACCAAACATTATGAACTCTCGTCGGTATTAAATATAAAACTATTAATTATTACAAACATTATAAATTTACGATAACAATAACGATTGATTACAATTTTGTCCTAATGTTCAAAAAATAAAGATAAATCTCCATAAAAGCCACTGTCTTTGCCTTTTTATTGCCTGTCCATTGCATTTCCTCAGTAGCACCATTCTAAGTATACCGAGAGGTGAGTAATGAAATGAAAATCGATCGTTTTGTAAAATATCTGCTGGAGAGATTTTTCAATTTTTAGTAATATGTTCGATTAAATTATTGCGAGTTACGCAGATACCAAACGGTCTAGCGAATGGTGAGAAAATATTTGATAAACGGTGGTGACGCGCAATCAACATTTCATTTCCAAAAAAGTAAATCTCTTTTGTCATAAATAAAAAATGGCACCGTTAAGCCTACAGTACGCAGATTCCGAAATCATTTTCGATCGTTCTAACACTCAGAAAGCTGTGGCAAACTAAAGTTATTCAGAAAACAAGGTACCATGCAAACGGTGAACTTTGCGGGGCTTACAATTGAGATTGTTGAACTCGCAACGAATAAAAGGTAAAAGTTTTAGGACATCTGTATTAAGGCAAATGTTGCGATCAAGAAAACTTGAAAATACAACGATTTTCCCCGACTAGTTCCCTTAATATATTTGACCTATCCAAATTTGCATGAATCTTCGATCGCAGCAGCATTTCGTTCGGCTTCAAGTATTTGTAAACCGACTTGGACATAGCACATCTGTCCGTTCTGCGAATATAGCAAACATAAGCTCGTACAGCGCGTGATCCCGCTGATAAATTTGATCCTTTGGCAACGTGTCGGATGAGTTTCGCCCAAGTTTAACTAGCTGGCCAGCTAAGGGTGTGAATCTGTATGAGAACGAACGTCTCGGATGGTCGGCGCTTCACCAATCTCGATGATCGCCAAGTGCGTTAAATCCAGTTTGATCGTACCGGAATCTCTACCCTTATCCACAGCTCACGATGAGTGCCGTTCAACGAATCGCGTGCATGCCTTCGACGCGCAGACGACCGATAGTCTAGCTGCAGAGGCGATTACACTGCATATACGGCCTATCCTCCAATCCATCAGTCGCGGTGAGGAAAAGCACGCTCGACGGCCAAATGGCCGCCCCGTGGCAACTTGAGCAGATCGCACTGGACACTCGTCCAGCAATCTGGAATTTTCCGCGAGATAGCGCAGTGGAGTTCTGTTCTGCCCGCCTCTTGCTGTTAAATCAACGCTTGTGCACAACGATACCCTCATAACTCTGCTTTCCATCGGTTAACAAAACGAATACGACGAGTAACTACGATTCTCATTGAAAGCTGCCATATATTCAAGTAAACACTACGGGCCCCTGCAAAGATGATTTCCACAAAGTATCCGTCTCTTGAACCAATTGGTTTCATTCAAAAGATCCGGAATAGAAGCACAAGTAGATAAACTGTGGCGGTTCTAAAACACTTGAAAGCTCCCGGATGACGCAACCCGTATTTTAGAACAGCCACAGGTTTTTCACGAAGCCGAATGCAGTTATTTATGAAAAAAAAAATGTATTATGGTTAGTAAAGACGTCCCTAGCCTAAAAATGCAATAAAAAAAGTCGACAATTTATTTATTATTATAAATAACTGCATCCGGCTTTGTGAAAAACCTGTGGCTGTTCTAAAATACGGGTTACGTCATCCGGGAGCTTTCAAGTGTTTTAGAACCGCCATAGCTTATCTACTCACATGCGTCGCGATGTTTTGAATAAACGACAACAGTTGTACAACCTATGGTCCTATATCTATCGAGCAAGCACAACTCCAGATAGCAACAGACAACTTTAAGAGAATACCATTTAAACATATGTTATTTCAAGTAATATGTTATTTCATAAGGTCACGGCGAAAGTGCTGACATTCTCACTCTTCTGAACATTTTTAATGCGCGAGACCGTGGTATTTACTTGAATGCGTGTGACAGCGTCTTCGCCGTCGGTCTATGTCAAACAATGCATGGATCATTTTCTATATCAAAATTATAGTTAAAGTCGTAGGTAGATTCACGTCAATAGTATCAAATTTATTGAAATTCTGCGAATAACACTTTGTCCGCGCTCTCGTCCACGCTTGTATATGAACTAGCCGGTAACAAATACGAAAAATCGCTTAAAAAATAATACAGTTTTTAGTGAATCACTTGAGCAAAAAATACATACACATACATACAAATGTATAGTCGTGATAATTTTGTGAGCATTTAGAAAAATTTAACAAAGGCGTTTGAAAAACTGAAAAAAGTTAGCAATGAAAAGTCATACAGACATCATTTCTTAAAAAATCGGAAAAATACAAATATCGGCATACAATTTGAATAACTAATACAAATTTACCATAAAATAAATTTAATACTTTGGCTATTAATGATTTATTTATTTTAAAAAAATTATATCTATACAATTATAGTGACAATAACTATAATTTTATTAGGTAAAATATAAAATAAACAATGACGATTTTAAGGCGATAGGGGTGAGTCTGTTTTGAATAATTTTTGTCTGTAAATAGTGCAAATTCAGCTTGATGAATGGATATTTTTTTAATAATTCACACCTTCTCGGCTAGAAGTGTACAGATAGAGAGCTTAATTACTTCACCTTTACTAGATATTAGTCGGTTTCTGACTGAGATTTACAGATTAGATTAACAGATTAGCCCTTGGGGAAATCTCGAAGGAAAAACAAGCACAATTTTAAAAGACGATGATTCGAAAAATTATCATAGTATTACGGAATATAGACGCTTCTAGATACGCAGTCTCCTGTATGAGCTTGCAGTAATTGAAAATTCTGAGGAATAGCGTGTAGGTATGCAACTCTGCTGGAAAATCTTTCGTTGAGAGCGAATTTTAATGTGCAGCTTGGGAAACCAACATGGTGTAGACAACGAACACTATTGTTAAATAATAAATACTATTTTGTAAGTACCCACTCTTAGCTAATATCAGTTTGATAGCTTTCGGAAAGTAAGATTTATCATGTTCTTTCAACTATGCCCATGTCCATTAAAAGCGATAAATCGTTCCAAAGATACTCGCAACATATACACACACATTCTTCTTTCTAAAGTCAGCAAAAATAACATTTGAATCGCTTTTTAAGCAGAATTGTTGCATCTTGTCTGCTAACTTTCTATTTCATTCCAGAGATATTACTAATGTCTGCTTTAAAATCAAAAACACTAATAATACCAATAGCGACTAACGATGGCGCCACAGTATGCGCACACTGGGCTGCCGAGTTTATAGTAGGTATATACTTGAGTAAAAAACTGGATTACTATTATTGGATTTTATCGACGAATTCAGTGTATCCGGCGTCCTCGTAGTTTGTCAAATCGGCTACTGTATGTGATATTTTGTAATAAGTTTTGCATTGCCGTCGGCTTCGTAACATTAAAAATGCCACCTACCATTCAAAATGGAGCTGCGAATCAGAGAACCGCCACAAGACCCACGGAAAAAAGGTAAACACTGTAACTTAACCTGTACTCAACTAAATTTTACTCTTACCAAGTGTTATTATTGTGTTTGTTCACGATCTTTTAGAGTGGAATTGATCTGCAAAGTGAAATATTGCAACACCCTGCCCGACATCACTTTCGATCCCAAATTTATTGCGTACCCTTTTCAACCAACAAGGTAAGCTTTGGTAAACTTTTGGTTTTTCTCGATTATGAATTAGAATTTTTACAATCTGTCATTTTTGTGCAGATTTATTCAGTACAATCCAACTACTTTGGAACGTAATAATAAGTATGAAGTACTTACTGAGCATGACTTGGGTGTGGAAATTGACCTGATAAACAAAGATATTTATATTGGTGATCCCAATGCTCAGTTAGATCCAGCTGATGAAAAGTTATTGGAAGAAGATGTTCTCACACCTCAGGATTCTAAAAGATCAAGACATCATGCTAAAAGTGTGTCGTGGCTCAGGCGTACCGAGTACATCTCTACAGAACAAACAAGGTTTCAACCGCAAACCACTTCTGACAAAGTTGAAGCTAAAGTTGGTCATAATATCAAAAAGCATTTCAAGGTATGTTTTTAACTATTCAATTCCAATGATTCTTCGATAAAATATCATTAATAATTTACCTTTGTTACAGGAAGATACTTTGTACATGGACCGTGACTCTCAAATTCGAGCAATAGAGAAAACATTTGAAGACAATAAAAAACCAATTGAGAAACATTACAGTAAACCAAATGTACATGCTGTTGAAATATTTCCAGTTTACCCAGACTTCAAGGTACTTTACTTTATTTTTATATATTTGATATTTCAATAATAATACAAAGGTCATGTATTAAAATTTATTCTTTTGTGTTACAGCTGTGGAAATATCCATGTGCTCAAGTTATATTTGACTCTGATCCAGCTCCTGCAGGTCTTTCTGTACCAGCACAAATTGAAGAAATGTCGCAGGCCATGATTCGGTTAGTATTTTACATTATAGTCATTATTAAATGAAGATTTTTATATATTATAATTATCTTAACATTTCAGGGGTGTGATGGATGAGAGTGGAGAACAATTTGTAGCTTACTTCTTACCATTGGAAGAGACACTTGAGAAAAGGAAAAGAGACTTCTGCAATGATATTGAATATGCAGAGGAGGAAGAGTATGAGTACAAAATGGCTAGAGAATATAATTGGAATGTCAAGAATAAAACTTCCAAGGGTTATGAAGAGAATTATTTCTTCGTTGTTCGCGATGATGGGGTAAGTAAACTGTATTATTATTGTCGTCATTCGTATACTAATAGAGACGTTAAAAAAAATTTTAAGTGAGAACATTTTTTATTTTATTTGAATTCTCCATATATTTTTAAATTTTAAACTTATTTATATGGATTTACCCTAATAATTTTGTTCAGGTCTATTACAATGAACTGGAGACTCGTGTAAGACTGAGCAAGCGACGACAGAAAGTTGGACAGCCACTAAATAGCACTAGACTAGTTGTACGTCATCGAACAATGACTGCACCCGAATTTAGAATGCAACGGTACCGAGAGAAGCAATTGGAACGACCTTGTGATGAAGAGGAAGAAGAGGAAGAAGAAGAGGAGGAGGAAGAAGAACAAGAGGAAACTAAAACTCAGGAAGACAAAAACGAGGAGGAAAAAGGTTTGTTTATCACAATGCAAATTATGAATAAATATATAAAATGTCAGTTTTAATAATAATGACATTATCCTTATATTAATTTTACTAACATCCCCAGAAGGATCAGACAACGAGCCAAACGACGAAACACGCGAAAATAGCGGTTCCCGAGCATCTTCACGTGCATCATCCCGAGCTTCTAGCAAATCTCGCTCACGCTCACCGTCGAAAGCTCGTTCTACACGTTCAGCTCGATCATCACGATCAGTTCGGAGTCAGTCCAAATCGCAATCTCGATCACGATCACGTTCTGGCTCGGGTTCTCGTTCTCGATCGGGTTCGCCAGCCAAATCGCAATCTCGTTCGCGTAGTGGTTCTCCAGCGAGATCGGGTTCAGGTTCACCAGCGAGGTCAGGTTCAGGTTCACCAGTAAGATCCGCCTCGAGGTCTTCTGCCAAGTCCAAATCAAAATCCAAGTCAAGATCAAGATCGAGGTCTGCTTCAGGTAGTGGGAGCGAAGCTAGTGGCAGCGGTAGTGGTAGTGCTAGCGGTAGTGGCAGCGAGTCTGGCTCCGAGAGCGAGTAAGTTGTATCCCCTTTTGAGGATCAGCTTATGATTTTATATCGCGGACTATAACTGTAAATCTTCTATAAGATTTGTTGTAAAAGTAGCTTAACGTTCAGATTGAATTTTGTAAAAAAAAAAATTAAAGGAAAAGATTAGTTTAGTTTTAGTATTCAGTTATAATTCAGTGTTGAGAAAATTGGTTACGTAGACGTGTAGATAATTTTTTCCTTTTATGTTGATTATGTATGATAATTCTCATGAAATCGAATTGTATTTAACGTTTAATAATACGTTTTGACACTTTTTATTTTATTCTTATTAAGGTAGTACTATAGCCATGTACATAGTGTCTATGCAAAAAAAAAAAAAATAAATAAGTTGAACAAATGTAATAATACGGGATTTTTATATTAAAACAATGATTATTTCTACTGAAATGATTCCTATAATTGTCCGTGTTAAAAGTACAATTTTTTAATAACAATCACATTGGAAAGTCAATTTCAAACTTTGCATACATCTTTATCAATATAAACATTAGTTTTAAGACTAGTTTCAAAAAATTTTGATTTTTTTGAGTTTACTATAGTACTACTTTACGCCTACTTATAAAATGTAACATTGAGATCTTTGATCAATCAGCGTCTCAAGCGAATATTCGCGAACCATATGATTGATAACACTATTAACTGATAGCGATTTACAGTTAAGTGTTAAATTCTTGCTAACGTGTATAATAAAAACTAGTAAGACGTCTAATCTATAAATAGAAAGATGTTTTATTTGAAAAGATTACAAAAAAAAAACGAGAAAAGCAATAAATGTTTATAGTTGAAAATTGATTTGCTAATCCAAACACAAATTTAGAACACAATCAATAGGGCACTATTGCTACATTATTGTACTTATGACAAATATGAAAAATGAGTTTATTGATCTTGTCCACCTTTCAAGACAAGCAGACCCTTAAGACGGTGAAAACTCCAATGAATCGATACTATCATCGTTCTTTCATACTTATGCTATACATATTACTTCAAAATTAAAGTTCGATTAGAAATAAATTATTTATATTACGAACACTCAATTATGAGTATTACTTTGGACCATAGACATATGTGGTTAATGGCAAAGTCATATCTAACGAATATAGTATTGGTAAACACGGAAATCTCGTGGACAAATCCAGGAATTCTACATGCCTGTGCATTATAAGCTGGTTCGTATCAATCGTTAATGAGATTAAGATAGTTGGATGGACTGGTTATCAACGTATGTGCTGCAATTTTCGAAAGACATTAAGAATTTCGACTAGATTGTGAAATTATTATGCAGAAATAAAGAAGAGATAACTAAAACGGTCTAATATCACCACCAGATGGATGATGTACGTATATAAAAGCACAATTTCCATCTAAACGAAAGATATTTGTCATATTTGCTTATAAATAATTTGCGATGGATATTAACAATAGAACCTCGAGATTGAGATTCCAAAAAAGTAACTCAAAATAGGATGGCTCAATGGATAGAGCATCAGGACCCTTCCATGCGGGAGGCTTTGGTTAGATTCCCAGCAAGCAATGATTTTTTACAAAAAGCAAATATACCTAATTTAACAGCGTAACTCTGGCAGTTTGGAATTAACATCAAGCTATACGTCCAGTAACGGGGGGATCGCCGTCTTTTGGGATTCTACAGAGGAATTGACGGCAGGAACATCATGTAATATTTTTATTTAAGCCTTTTCCATGGCCTAGAAATACCTAAATATTAATAATAGTAAAAATTCCTTTTCATATCGCTTACATCTACTTTTTATTTCATTATCTTAAAAACTATTCATATTTTCATTTACTCTACCCTATTTTCACTTCTACATCCTTATATTTTTACCTTTTTATTGTGTTTATTATGTATACATATCTATGACACTTACATTTTTACATTTCTTACATTTTTTTTCTTTCTTCCTAATCCTTTTCGAGTCTTTAAAGGGAGCTGTCTCCCTTTTTTTACTCTGTGTACCTGCATGTATCAGACAATAAATAATCATGATGATATTTGGTTAATGACTTAAACAGATTTTATCTGATCAGTTTAGATAGTTCCATCATAATGTTTTTTCTTTGGAATTTCTATGTACGTCCACGGAAGCATTCTTCAAATACCTTTGTTCTCTCGATTAATTTTGATTGATTTTTCCATATAATTGACAAGTATTCATCTAGAAAAACAAACCAGAATAATAATAAAGAATTGTATTCAATATTTAAACTCCTGGCCACTATACTTTTCTCAAAAAGTAAGACTTAATACAGTGTCGGGTACAGCCAGATTTCATAGCTATTTCATGCTTACTCGCAAGTATGCCGCGACCGCGACACATTATTATATTTACGTAGTGAAAAAAAAATCAAATGAACATCAATAAGCTGCACGAAATCGTGTTTATAATATGTTTTAAATATAAATTTTAGACAAATAAATTCAACGCTCAACGATTAGCATTCAAAAATGTCGTCTGCTCGTTATAGTCGGAAGCTCGAAACTGGCGCGCGCTCGCAGTTGCGCTTGCCGCCGTGAGAATGCTCTCTGATGTTTCGTTTGTGAACTGCGAGCACTGAGCAGTTTTATAGCCAAGATTGCGTCATTCCCGAGTTAGCCGTCGCAACGTTATCTTGTGCACACATGGTAGCAACAGCGCTTGGCTCATAAAAAAGAAAGGAAACGTCAAACTTGTCGTGCTTTATTGCGAAATCAGCAGCAGCAACCAGTCTATAAAAGAGGTGAGTTCGATTGCGCGGTATTTTAGCTATTTTGCTTTCAAGATTTAAGTAGTTTAGCAGAAGGAGAGCACGAGAGAGCCTACAGGTTCGAATCTCTCTTTCTCGGCTCGATTCGTGGCAACCTTGCGTTATTTATCGTTTTTTTTCTCCGTGACGCTCGCACGGTAAACAGCGAGTAGTCAAGTCAATTTTGGCTTTATAAATGATAGTCACGCACAATGAGGTACGCACATAATAATCATAAAGAATCTCTATTGCGTTATGAACGATAGTTTTAATTATATTTTATCTTGAAGAATGCGTGTGATAAGGTGTCGCAGGTATGTGTATGTGTGTGTGTGTGTATGTATAAAGACGCGTAACGTGATTTCTTAGGGTATTAGTTATATACCGTCAGATTATACTTGTAGAATTATTTTCTCGTAGTTATACAAATTGACCTAACGTTCTTTTTTTTTTCTTAAATTGTGGTGTAATTTTGTGCAATATTCATTCCAGATGCCTCCAGCAAACAAAGAGAACAAGAAACGGAGAAAGATACTGTCCGAGGAGGATGAAGGTGATGAGGACTATAGAAAGAGGAGAGACAGAAATAATCAGGTAAATATGCCAGTAATCTATTACATAAATTCTAATCAAGTATAGTAATATTAAATACATTACACATATTTATAGGCTGTTAAAAAGTCCAGAGTGAAAAGTAAGATGCGCACCCAGCAAACGTTAGAGCGAGTGCACCAACTCAAAATAGAGAACGAATTGCTTGAGGAAAAGATTAAAATGCTTACAAAGGAACTTGGCTTCCTTAAAGATCTTTTCTTGGCACATGCAGGTATGCACACATCCAATATTCACCCTATTGCTTGACATAATACTGGAATACGAGCTACCCACTAAACTTGCAGGTTCTAATATACATTCTCCAAGCCTTCAGGATGTAGACCTCAATGCTCTTCTGGCGGATGACAACAAAACAGATAATGCAAAGAAGTCGTAGAGAAGCTAATGCAGCTAAACATTCTCTGCACCATTAGAGAATGTGAAATGGACAATCTAATTTGAGCGCATGGGGGAAATTGCCATTGGATGGGCGCCAGTGTGACAAGTGACTGTGAATAAACGAAATAAGCAACAACAGAAAAACAGGTCGATCAACACACACACGCACATTTCGTGCCGCGGCGCACACTGATCGTTGCGATTGCTTTACTCCACAAAAAAGCAAAAAAAGAACACGGCAAGAAAAATCAAATCAAGGACACGCTACAGGCTCTCAGGATGGTATCCGACACACGAAGGCGTGATTATGGAGCTTGCAGCTGCCTCCTTGTTACATTAATTCATAAGCATTTAGTCTTAATATTACATTTGTAGATCGCCTTTTCAATATTTTGTACAAATCTTAAATAAAATGTATCTATGAAAGAAGAAGAAAAAATGGCGAAAAATCATTTATCCACCGTACATACGTATATCTCTTGTTTCACATGTAAACGCGGCTTAGCAAGAATCGATTTGCCGTGCTGGGCAGTTACTGGTTAGATGGGCGGTTGAGGGGGGGGGGGAGGGCTTGTCAGTAAGTACACTAGTAGTAGTGTCGCGGCGACTGTGCTTTCGAGAGTCGCGCGGCGCGAGAGCGGAGCAGAGCAAGAGCAGCAGCTGCGCCATGGAGAAGGTAGGCTAGGTGCGAGGCTAAAAGACTGGCTGAAGTCGAACCGTGTCTGCAACTTTGGCAGCCCGGAAGGCGGGGCGCGCATGCGCATGCATGTGAGAGATAGCTCGTCGGCGAAGGCATTCGTACTGAGGCCAGTAGCTAGAGGCAGAGCAGCAGCAGGCTGCACGGGCTGAAGCCAGGCAGGAGGCACCGCCTGTGCTTGTGGTGTGCTCTCTCGAGTAGTAGTTCCTCATCTCTTTCTCTCGCTTACGTTCGGTCTGTCTTTCACTCGGTTTCTCGGGTCGTGCTCTCTGCTAGCTAGCAGACGACTTGAGAGAGGACGGACGGACGACGACATGCTGCCGAGAGCTGCTTGTTGTTGGCTGCAAGTTGCTGTTAGAATTTAATTGAAAGCTGGGTGTGCTCGCGTGTGTCGAGCGAGTGTAGCTGTTGTGATAGTTGGTGATACCTACGGACGACCGTACGGCGGTCGTATCTGACAGAAGAAGAAGCGGAGGAGAGGAGCGAATCGTCGCAAGAGGAGAAGGAAGCTCGTCGGGCGGGCGAGAAGATCGCGATAGTAGCGAAGCCAAGTGCGAGAATAGAGCTGCAGTTTGCAGAGCTCGAGCACGGCAGAAGTGAATAGTGCGACGGTGGTCATAGCAGCAGCAGAAGTGTTGTCGGTGGTGGTGGTGGTGCGTGTGCAAGTGGTGTTGGAGGCGACCAGCAGTGGGAGAAGTTGGCGAGCAGCAGTCGAAGGGTGGCGGAGGGAGGCGGAGGCGCTGCTGCTGCGGGAGCGAAGGGCGCCGCGGTCGGCTCTGCCTCCGAAGAGGAAGACGAGCAGCCTCAGCGGCAACCTGCACCGGCGGCGCCGCCTGCTGCTCCCGCCGCCGCTGGTGGTGCTGCTGCCGAGGAGGCGGCGCCCTCGCTCGCTTGCCTCTCTTGTGTCATGGGGTGCTTCGGCAGCCAAAGCAGCAAAGCGAGCCAGGATGATACCAAGAATCAGAAGAGGCGCTCCGACGCCATCACACGACAGCTGCAGAAGGACAAGCAGGTCTACAGGGCCACCCACAGGCTACTATTGCTTGGTACGTGTCTCTCGTTCTTTCTCTCTCTCTCTCTCTCTCTCTCTCTCTTTCTCGCGCTCATACTTGCGCAGACACACACATACACTCTCTCTTTCTCTCTCTCTCTCTCTCTCTCTCTCTCGCGCGCGCGCGCGCGTTGTATGTAGTATTTTTAGACTCACGTCAATGTGTGTCTGTGTGAGAAACTCTGCGGCTGCCTATACAAGCCAGTAAGCAGCAGCAGCAGAAACACACATACACACTAATGCACATGCATGCACAAAAGTGGTGACGTGCATTTCTATCGATTCGATGATTTTCTTTTTCGACTCTCGCCTCTCTATTTCTCTCTCTGTGTTTTTTGACCACAGGTGCGGGCGAGTCCGGCAAAAGTACAATCGTCAAGCAGATGAGGATACTCCACGTGAACGGCTTCAGCGAGGCGTAAGTCGAGCATTCACTTACATATACGCACGTACACCCGCATAAGAGCAAAGCTCCTCGCAAGAGAGAGATCAAAAGCGTTTGTTTATTTTGTGTATATACCATCGTCGTCGCAGTCATTGCGATCGCGGAAAAATTCCTAGCACTTTATCTTGCGCTCGCCTCGCGAGCTCCGAGACGTGCGCTTGTATATTAGCCTCTCTCTGTCTGTCTGTCTGCCTGCCTCACTCTCTTTCTCTCTCTCTCACTCTTTCTCTTTTTCTCTCTCTCTCTCTCACTCTCTCTCTTACTCTTTCTCTTTTTCTCTCTCTCTCACTCTCTCTCTCACTCTTTCTCTTTTTCTCTCTCTCTCACTCTCTCTCTCACTCTCTGTCTCTCTCTTGCGATAAGAAAATTTAAGCAAGGTGAAATTACAAATTATAACAAAATTTATTGTTGCTGCGCGCTGGGGCGAAAACTCGTTCTTTCTCGCTTTCGCAGGGAGAAGCGTCAGAAAATCGAGGACATTAAGAAGAACATCAGGGATGCTATTTTGGTGAGTTATTATTTTTCTTTTACGAGTGTTCTTTGAAGTTGGAAATTTAATCGTGTTGTTATATTGTTCGCCCGTTGTTTCGCAGACGATAGTCAGCGCCATGAGCACCCTGACGCCGCCCGTCACGCTCGAGGATCCGGTACACCAGAGCAAAGTCGACTATGTACTCGACGTCTCGTCTTCCCCGGACTTCGATTATCCTCCGGTGAGTCTTTCTCTCATACGTCGTCGTCGAGTCTGTCTGCCTACCTCGCAAACGTGCAAAGTGGACGATGTTGGTGGTGACGATGATGGTAGTAGTGGTGGTGGTGGTGGTGGTGGTGGTGGTGGTGGTGGTGGTGGTGGTGGTGGTGGTGGTGGTGGTGGTGGTGGTGATGGTGGTCGTGGTGGTCGTGGTGGTGGTGGTCGTGGTGGTGGTTGTGGTGGTGGTGGTGGTCGTGGTGGTGGTTGTGGTGGTAGTGGTGGTGGTGGTCGTCGTCGTCGTAATGGTGGTGATGCCATATAAATTTGCTCATTACGGAACTGCAGAGTAGACGCATGGCAAAGACGTATCCCGTTCATGCATTATCTTTTTATATTCTGAGAAATCATTCTTGCTCCGGTTTTTCATCCGACGACGATGACGTCGACGACGACGACGACGACGACGACGACGACGACGACGACGAAGGCTGCTCCCGCTATATTTATGCGTCGAATATTAATATTGTAAAACGTGCCTGTCTGCGCGCATAGTCAATGGAAAGTACGAAGAAGTGCTTCTGTTCCGTCCGTGATACTACTTTTAGCAATCCTTCATCGCGCAGAATTTTCTAAGAGCACGCGTGCCATGCTTCTGCATAGATCTATATACGAGAGAGAATTAACCATCCGGGCAAATTGTCTGTCTGCGCGCATTGGCAATTCAAAAAAGAAAAGGCGGCTTGCAAAAGATGAGCCTTCTAGAGAGAGAAAGAGAGAGGGAGAGAGAGAGCACATAGAGCTTTGAAACACCGGAAGCAACCAATTCTCGCTTTTATGATGCTATGTATGTGCGTCTCTCTCACTGTTATTCCATCGTACCGTTGTCGCGTATCGGCTTTCTTGCCTTGTATACTGTTTTGTCTCTCTATACATACATACTCCAGGAATGCGCTACTTTATCATGTTTACATATATGCATATTGCTTTTGCAATGCCTAATGAGTTAATTTTTTTTTTTGAACAGGAGTTTTATGAATTAGTCGAGGCCTTGTGGAAGGACCGAGGCGTGCAGCAGAGTTTCGAGAGGAGCAACGAGTATCAGCTCATTGACTGCGCCAAATAGTGAGTCTATCTGTCTGTTTGTCTCCTCCCCCTCCCTCCTCGTTATTTCATTCCCTCGATGCATCACTCTCTTCTTTAAAATTAACTCGCGTTCGTTGATTGAGATGTCTATTCGGGGGCGGTAGACGGCTAAATATAACTGCAGCTTTTAAAAGTTAGCTTGATTTATGTCACTGGAAATATCGATTGCGGAGCTGACTTCCCCCCCCCCCCCCTCTCGCTCGACTACGAAAGTCTTCGAGGAAAGATTTCCTCAGGGAAATTATCTATTTCTTTCCCCTTTTTTGTTCTCTCGTACAATGTCGCGCGAGTTACGATTGGATTTTTGCCGAACCACCAAGTTCAACGCGAATACGCACGCGCGCGAGGGCGACGTTTTGAATGCTACGGCCGAGAGGACTTTCTTCCGTTTATTGCTCGAAAATTTTTGGCGCGGACGCGTGCGCGAAATGACAATGCTCCTGAGCAGAAAATTTCCTTGTTTACGTTTCACCGAGCGATACTTTAGAGTCCACTTTCCACGCGCACGCGCTCGCGAAAAAAAAAAAAAAACAGAAGTATAAGAAAAAGGAGAGACAGTTCAATTTCGCGGAGTTTCGACTGAAAATTTGATGCATCCGAACGCACCCTGGTGCTGGTCACCTCCGATCGCTCGAGCGCGTCAGAGTAGATCATTGAAAAATGAATCGCATATACGCGATCGATTTGTCGCTCTAAAAATAAATCGTAACGCTCCCACGCATATGGTCGATGACCCGCGTTGTCTCTCTCTCTCTCTCTCTCTCTCTCTCTCTCTCTCTCTCTCTCTCTCTCTCTCTCTCTCTCTCTCTCTCTCTCTCTCTCTCTGCAGTGTTGGCTTTGAAGTGGCGGCGGCCTTCGATTTGAATTTCGGCTCTCTCTCGGTCTCTCTCGCTTGCGCAACATCGTCGTCGACGGAAACGAAGTAGTTGCCTCGCGCGCGGAGGCTTAACGAGATAATCGTCGTCAGCATGTGACTTCGTTTCGCGCCTCCCGCCATCTAACTACTACTACTCGCTAATTACGCACAGCGCGACGAGCGACTATTCTTAGGATGAATATTGCTTTTTCTTCTTTCGGTGAACGTGGTTCTCTTTTTTTTTAACGCGCGTTATTTTTTTGCACAAATTCATTATTAAGGGTTTGGAAATGGTTTGTTTTGGCGAGGTATAAAAGAGTAATGGTAAAATATATATCTTTTTACTTATGTTTCGAGCAAACTCACGCTTCTTCTGCGGAGAATGTAACTTTAATTAGAGAGAGATAGAGTGTGAGAGGAGAACGTTATCGCTTTGTTTCTGTTTGGCGCGAGAAAGAAAGAAACAGGTAGTGAAAGAAAAAAGTTTCACTCGCTAATCATTCATTCGGCGTTATTTACTTCAATGATTACCGTGTGCAGGTTGTAAAAGTGACAGACAAGCCATCTCTCCTCCAATTGATCTTAATTAATCATTGGTAGCTTTGGTAGCTTAAAAGCTCACCCGCGAAGGCGGAGCGCGCGCGATAAATAATTTCGAGTTTGCAGTGCAGAATTTCCCCGTTCGGCGAAAAACACAACGCTCCGGTGAAAAGAGGAAGAGAGAGAGAGAGAGAGCGAGAGAGAGAGAGAGAGAGAGAGAGAGAGAGAGAGAGAGAGCCGCGTGCACGTGCGACCAATTTAAATTTTGATTTGCGCAACCTTGCGCATCGCGCGTCGAGTTTCCGAAACGTGCCGAAAAAACGGGAAAAAAGGTCAACGTCATGGCATATTTTTCATGCTTGGAAATTTTCTTCAATGAGCAGATAGATAGATAGATAGATAGGTGGAGAGAGAGAAAGAGAGAGAAGGAGAGTGGCTGCTGCTTGGTTATACAGTCTATAAATAGACGGGTTGTATTTTAAGAGTCGAGATATAAAGCGGCGCTAGTGTTGACACGCCACCACCGCTGCGATACAGGTTGCCGCCCGCGCTATCGCCCTTACAACAAAGATTAGCTCGTTCCTATGAAGACAGAGGCATCGATTTTTCGCAACGAGAACTCTTCTCTCCTGTTCTCTCGGCTTTTGCACCGATGACGAGTCGTCGAGGCGGTGCTTATCCTCGACGCGGTGCGTTTGAGCACACGAGCGCACGTGGTTTTCGAATAAATCGAACAAAAAAATCTTCATTACTCGCGCCGCTACACGCCGTGTATCTCGCTATTTTTAGATAGCAATTCACGATTGTTATTTTTTTCCTGATAAAATCGATCTAGGCTATATCGAATAGATAAAAGTTTTCAAACCAGCGTTACGCTTTCTTTCCATTTCTTTTCTTTCTCTTTTATTTTTATTTTATTTTTTTTTTTCAATTTCACCTTGCAATTACGAATCGCCTCGCAATTAGTTTATCCGCGGGGCAGATAACGGAGCAGACGACTAAAAATAAACGGAACGCCGATACTCGCGCGCGCGGACGAATCGACTATGATGAAAAGGGGAAACGACATCAAAGCCCGAAAAAAAAAGAAAAAGCGAAAAAAAAAAACAGTGGCGCGCGACGAGACAATCAATCGCGCGGCCGAAGCGCCAGGGCATGCGATTTATTTTAGCGCGGCCTCGCTTGCAAGACCCGCGCTTCAATGATAATGATGATGATGATGAGCGCGTCGCGGCTGCATGAGTCACGACCGGTGAAAAAAATCTTTCTCGATTTGGCATCGCGCGATACGCGCGCTGACGGCGCTCGAACGGAAAAAAAGAGAGCGAGAGTGAGGGAGTCGAGGGGGTTTATTTTTGCATGCGAACGCGCGGCGGGCAAAAGTTGGACGGGTTTCTTGGAAAAAGTCCCACGCTGCGTACACTCACGCGCACACACGCACATCGAGAATTAATTTTTATAATTTTTATTTCGCATAAGCGCTTTTCGAGGCCTTGAGCGCCGACACTGTCATTTTTCGAGACTTCTTGTTCTTTTTCTTTTTCTTTTTCTTTTACGCGAGATATCTTTTCGTTTTTTGTCGTTGTTGTTTTGAGCTCGCACGGGATATTCGTTCCCATCGGTAAAAATAATCTCGACGTAAAAATAAGACGAGCTTATCGAGGATATTACAACTCGCGTGCCGGGGTGAGAGGATACGTTTCAGAGCGTTACTCATCGACTTCAAAAGCAGCAACGCTCCCTTTCCAATCATTAATCACGCGATATTTCACTTTTACAAAGGAAAGGAAAATACATCCGTGTGAATTTTCAAGGCGCGTCGTTTCGAACGTTTCCGTCGAAGGGCCAAATCTTCAGAGTGGAGCTTGCATAATGTTTCGCGATCGGCTGACGGATGATGTAAATTAACAAAGCTACGTCCTCGAAGGAGATAAGCTACGCAGGCGCACGTCGAAGCGCAACGCAAGAAAAACAAGTAATTGACTCTGTTTCGTTCCTCCGCGCCGAGACGAACGTTCGCACACAAAAAAAAACAACGAAGAATCTTGTTCAACGCGAGCTTGCGAAAGCTCGAGCATCGCGCGAGTAATTAATGAAACGCAGCCTTTCGCTATTCCGAGTATATATATTTCGGAAGAGCGACGTTATATCGCGCTTGCCAAAAAAAGATTTTCAAGCCGTTATTGCGCCACCGTGATACAACGATTCCTTCTCTCTCTCTCTCTCTCTCTCTTTTACTTTTTTTTCATTTCGGCTTATCAGTTTCGCCGTTTCCTTCCTTGACTACTACGCGAGGCAGATAAAAAGAAGCTCGTGCCTCTTTTTTGCTCCGTCGTTCGGCAAGCGTTTTCGTATATTCCGAGCTCTCGAACACATCCCACAGAAACGACGACGATGACGACGACGACGACGACGACGACGACGACAACGGCAAAAAGAAAGCGATCGCGCGCCTCCTTTCACCCCCCGGTTCGACAAAAAACACGGGCGAGCGGGCAAAAAAGGTGTCGTCGCTCGTCTAAATCCATCGGAGCGCAGTCAGCTGTGAGGGCCCTCGCGATCGATCCTCCCTCCGACCCATTTGCCTAGTTCGCCGAATTCCGCTGTACGCGCGTATGCACCACGGCGCGCCCGGAACAAAAGAGTGGGCGAGGAAGAGGAGGCGGCTCGCGGCAAAGGTCGTCCCAAGGAAGCTGCTGGCGCAGGTGGCAGTGACCCATGACCTGGATCGCGAGCGCGCCATAGCCGCGGAGGAGGTCGAGCCGAGCGAGCGATCGATCTCCTCGGCGCGCGCGCACACCCTTTAGGGACTGCCGCGCTGCAGCCGGGATCACTTATTTAGCGAGTCTTCCTGGGGGATCGACGCCTGGATTATTCACCACGCCAGCGTCCAGCCGCTTCGTTTCCCTTCGCCGCCGCGCTCGCGCTTTGGCGCGCGGATTCGACGCCGCGAGAATTCGGAGTCGCTGGCTCCAGCTTGCATCGATTCCATTCACGCCACGAATAGAATGTTTCCCCTTGGCTTTCAGCTTCGTTCGTTACGAGTGAGCATGCAACAACTGGCCGTTTGGTTTTGCCCCTTCCTCCCCTCGAATCTTCGATACTCGTCATTGCGAAAATTCAATTTTCGATATTTATCGGAGCAATGGCACACGAATAAAAGGACTTTTCCGGTGTAATAATAGCCTCTCTCGCATTCAACAATTTATCGATTGCTAGTCTTTCTCGCACCGAAGAAAAAGAGAAGCAAGAAAAGGCATTTTCATTCAAGCCGCTATGTCCATAATTAAAAGCAAGGCCGCGTGCAAATGTATTCGATTCATCAATGGGTACACGTAGACGTTTGTCCCTCTCGCGTGATGCAACGTCGCCGAAATCGCAGTCTTCCGTGAAAATCAAAGAGTCGACGATACGATTCGCCTCGATTCTCAAGCGGCGAAATCGCGATCAGAGCGGACGGGAGCGCGAGAGCGAGTCGACGGCGCAGCAACGAAACAACGTCACGCCTTGCGACGTGCCATGGACCTGAGAAAGTGGTAAACACTGCGAGGTGTTGAAACGTGTGGCCGCCTCTCGAGCGTGCTCTCCGATCGGCGCTCCGTGGAGTCTCCACGCGTCCCCGATCAAACTAAAATTGCGCTCCGTCGCCTCGCTACGAAATGAAAAGGTAGCGAGAGAGAGAGAGAGAGATAATGAAAGAAATGCGATTATTTAGTCGACGCACGCTCCATCACGGATTCCATGAAAACCTCCACTCTTTTTTGCTTTTCGTTGTTCCAGTTTCCTAGATAAAGTAGCCATCGTGAAGCAACCCGACTACACGCCCACGGAACAGGTAAGCTCGCGCTCTCGCTTGTCGCTCGTTTCTCGAGAGAAGAGCGAGGCACCGTTGTCGCCAGCTCGCCAGGCATCGTCGCCGCCATTCGCGAAACGGCCGGTTCTTTTTTCTTTTTTTTTTGTCTTTTACTCACTACTAGATGTACTTGGAGATCGAGCGAGAATGGCGCTGTGTACTTTCGTATTCGCGACGATGCCCGGCGCGCGACTCGAGAGTGAAAAAAGCGATAAGGCGAGACTTTGTCGCCTCGATGTCTGCGCGTCGCCCATTACCTTTTGTCTCCCTTGCAGGACATACTCAGGTGTCGCGTTCTCACATCGGGCATCTTCGAAACGCGATTTCAAGTGGATAAAGTTAACTTTCAGTGAGTACATCGCAGCCCGGAGTCGCGCCTCGTACGCCGAATGCTAACGTCCCTGTCTTTCGCAGCATGTTCGACGTCGGCGGACAGAGAGACGAGCGAAGAAAATGGATTCAGTGCTTCAACGACGTGACGGCCATCATCTTCGTGACGGCTTGCAGCAGCTATAACATGGTGCTGAGAGAGGACCCGACGAAGCTCAGACTCCGGGAGAGTCTGGATCTCTTCAAAAGCATCTGGAACAATCGGTGAGCTTATCGTCGTCTCGACCGGCGAGTTTGCGAAAATCGGGCGCGCTCGATCGAGATCGGCGTCTGGAAAAGCCGGTGAACGCTTTTCCTGTGCGCCGGCAATTTAGCGAGTCGGGCTACACTCGGCCAATCTTTGGCCGGCGCGCGCCATCGACGCCAAGAATTGGAGCACTAATTGGACTGCATTTTCTGTCTCTCCTCTATCAGATGGCTCCGCACAATATCAGTAATCTTGTTCCTAAACAAGCAAGATCTGCTTGCGGAGAAGGTAAAGGCGGGCAAGCACAAATTGGAAGATTATTTTCCGGAATTCGCGAGGTATCAGACGCCGGTGGAGCCAGGCGTCGTAACGGACCCCTCGGAACCACCCGACGTCATACGGGCCAAGTACTTCATTAGAGACGAATTTCTTGTAAGTATCGCTGCCTGTCCCCCTCGCGCGTACGCTCCGCTTCCATTCCAAGCTTCGCAATCGCCTATTCACAAGTGGCGCCAATGGAAGCGCTTCGTGTGACAAGCCGCTATCGCGCCAAGGTGTGGAGCTCGCTCGCTGCACTTGCCGAGCGACGCTCGTCTTCTCGTCTTCGAGTGGCCGTCGTAAATTAATTATAGATTTGTCCGACATAGCTACACGAGAAGTATTGTATGTCTCGCCGAGTTGGCGAGTTGGCGATAAGATTAGAGAGCAAAGGAGTTTTCATGGATTATCATCGTCGTCGTCGTCGAATGTCTCGCGATAACGTCAATTTGGACGGTGCTCGACAAACACACTCTCTAATCTCATTAAGCACTCGAGAGTCTGTTTGTGCGCCGGAAACATTGCTGTTTACATAGAGTAGAGAGCGGAGAAAAAAGGCTCGGCACTGGTGTCGATGCAATAGCAAGCCCAAATGGATTGCTCATTTGGCTTGGCGCGCGATCGCTGATCGTTGCGTTTGTCGTTGTTGCAGCGCATAAGTACGGCAAGCGGCGACGGCAAGCACTACTGCTATCCGCACTTCACGTGCGCCGTCGACACGGAGAACATCAAGCGAGTGTTCAACGACTGCCGGGACATAATCCAGCGGATGCATCTGCGCCAGTACGAGTTGTTGTGACTTGGCAGTCTGCAAGCTGCTGCTGCTGCTGCTGCTACTACTGCTGCTGCTGCTGCTGCTGCTGCGTTCTGTCGCCGTCGTCGCCGACGTCGTCGCCATCGTCACCTATTGCCGGTGTCGTCGTCGTCGTCGTCGTCGTCTCTAGCCTGTAAAAGAGCTAGCGAGCAAGAGGACAAGACAACAAGCAGAGAAGGAAGGAGAATAAGAGAGCTGGAGACAAGTGTGTGTCCTCCAGTCAACCACATGCTACCGCTACTGCTAGCCGTCGTCGACCTCGTCAATCGCGTCCTTATTGTCGTCGTCATCGTCGTCGACGACGTCGTCCGGTCGATGCCGAAGTGCCCTGTCGTCGCCATGAGAGAAATACAAGGGCAAAATAACAAAATAAAAATAAATCATACAAACGATCGGACAAAGTGTGCGCATTCAACATTCACACACACAAACACACACATTTACGCTACAATTTACACGTGCTGCATTCGAGTGTTGATGAATGAATGTGTAAGTGAGAGAGTGAGAGAGAGAATGAATTGTTCGTTGAGAGAGGACTCGTTCGTCGATTATGATGATGCTGCTGATGATGATAATGATACCCTTATTCCCACCCAAAAGTATGCGAGTATTAGATGCTGAATTTACTGTCTGTTTCCCAGTAGGTACAAACACCATCTCCTTAATACACGTAGACAAACGATATAACATACTTACACACACATACACACACACACACACATACACACACACATAGATAAACGTAAAGGAAAAACAAACTTCTCGTCAGAATTTCCGTCGATCTTCGTTTATCGGATCCTTTTTTTACTGACGACCGCTTCCCCACGTCGCGAGCGCGCATTATTACTTTTGTACAGTTGTGACCGTTATTTGTCTATAACATTTACATTCACGCACGCGTACACGTACAAGGGAATCTCTTTCGGTTTCAAATTCATGTACATGTAAACACGACATTAAACACACACGTATATACATACACACGCGTAGTCTCTCAGCTACCACCTTTTTACGAGAAGAGTATTTTGTGAGATTTTACAGTATTTCGAAGAGCGTTTTAATTGTAATAACTATCTATTTGTAAGCTGGCGCTTGCGCAATTCACAACTTCGCTCTTTCGCCATATTATTCTCTCTGATTGTGAGGAACGATATCGACGATCATATGCGTTCGTTTCTCGCCGACTCTGACAATCGAATTCTGTAATGTGTATAAACAATAATTAGCGAGTATATTCAATCAATTTAGTTTTCTCTTTTTTTTTATGATTATGCTTTTTTATCGTTGCCTTGTTTTTTTTATTTTTAATATGTTGTTTAATGTATCGAGTCTCGTTGTTTATACCCGGTGATTTCATCATTCGATCATGGTGCAATAATATACTGTTTTAAATGACGCTTTTTATTCGTCTCTCGTTGGATCGTTAGACGACTTTTATTTTGTATTTATTATTTCGACTCCCACTTCTTTACTCTGTACGGAACGAACGAATAAAATTGTGAACAAAATTTATTGCGGCATTTAGATGCGTACAACCGGTGAAATTTGCTCTCACTAATTGTCGATATCGTTTTCTTTTGTAATGGTCAGTGTGTTGTTTTGTTCTTCGCTTTTCAAACGCAACAGTGCGCAACATTGGCTACATCGAGCGAAAGAGTCAAAGATGTATGTGCAAGCGTCAGTGTGGAAGGAAGACAGCGTCGTTTTATTTTTGTTTGTTGAAAGAGGTTTAAGTTTGATTAATTGAAGAAGCAAAGTATCATTTATTTCGTTGTTTGTTATAATTTTTTCAGAGTATATGAAAGTATCATTGATTTTTACTTATCAATGTGTATATCAAAGTAAATGTTTCAGTTGTTTGTACCTCATTTTACTGTAATAAAAACAGAATCCTTGAGAAAAACAATTATTCCGCATTGTCATGTGATTTGTTGAACCCTTGTCGATAAATACGGAAAAAAACATAGTTATCAACGTCAATTACTGGCACACTTAATGCGACTGAAACATTTACTTTTAGCACACACGCAGAGAAAGATTGCGATTCTTCGATTGTTGTATGAGAAAAAAAATCATTGCAAGACTGTTTTCAATGTTTAGAAACTTTTGAAAGATAACTAAAGAAACCAAGAGGAAAAATCAATAACTTTCCTGTAATTAATCTCGTCACAAATATTTCGCGCAACTTTTTACCGATTCTTTCAAACAATTTTTCATAATTCAGACCACTAAGTTCTCGCTTATACATATATATATTATATAGGAAGATGCGAATTTTTAAGATTGTACATTTCTCTCAGTGTGCAATTTTCGAAGAATTGATCGATAAACAAAGCAAAATAATAATTAAACGAAAAAAAACACAAAAATATAAAACTGAGAGAAGAATAAAACAAAAAACTATATTAAAGCTGTATCGACTAGATAGAAAATGCATAAGTCTCATCCTTCCCTGAATTTTATTTGTTATTGCGTGTTTAGAGAAAAGAACAAAAAAGTAACAACTTATCGTCAAAAAAAAAATTATCACTTGTCGATAGATGACGAGCAACGAGTCGATGCAATGTGTCGATTTGTTTAGATAATTTAAATAGCCCAAGAATACAAAAAAACGACAAAAAAAGACCGGAATATACGACGGGAATCAAATCAGTCTTCGTAAAAAACAAAGTATATATACGTATTATATATAAAAAGCGAGAGAAACAAAAGAGAATTGCGAGGGATGTCTACAATCGAACGACCGCTGCGGGAAAAAAGACAATTAACAAAAATAAATAAATAAATAAATAACCAGCGAGCAAAAAAAAACTTTTTTATAGGTGCCATTTTCATGCGTGTAAGTAGCGCGTCAAAGTATGAATTCTACGTGTATACGAAGGAAAGAGAGTTGCGTTATAATTATAAATAAAGTGAAACCTAAGAAGGACTGCTGCGAAACATATACGATCGTGTTTCTAATCTACTATAGATTGAAACAGAACAAATAAAGAGGCAAAGGTTAAGAGATGGAGGTGGAAAATATTTCATTCTCATTCTGTGATGATTGCATGTTGGTAAAAGGAAGAAAGAGAGTAATAATAATGAAGAGAGAGCAGCATAAAGACGCATTTTGTTTGCGAGTTATTGCGATACAGCCATTTTCATTTAACGCGATAAAACTTTTATTAATTTAAGGAGACACTTATTACACCGGTCATCCCTTACGTTTTTTTAGCGCTGTCCATGAGCATCCAGTTTCGCGTACGCGCAACGTTGATTTGTGCGACAAATAAGTGTCTCCTTAACAATTGCTGTGTTATGAGCAAGAGAAAAAGAAGAGCAAAAGAAGAGCTGTGAGGAGGGATGAAAAAAACGTAATCTAACGAGACGTAGATAACAAAAAAACAGTAAATAAATAAAGTATGCGAGATCCACACGCACTCTCAAGTAATGTATACTCTGCCAAGTTTTGCGGCAAAGTCTCTACCTGTCATTCTTTCTCTCTTCACATACACACAAAACGGAGAATAAAAATAAAAAGCGAAAAAATTACATACGTCATCTTATACACACAGTAAAAAGCTCCCCCCTCTCTCTTTAAATATAAATATATAAATTTAAAAGTTGATGCGCGCGCGAATCAACGCGCGTCAACGATAAAAATCATGCAAAGATCCGCAGTACGATCATTTATATATACGCCCTGAAAGTTAATTGTTTACCTTTGCTTTCGAGAGTATTTTAAGAAGTTATGTGTATAAATTATATGTGTAATTACAAAAAAAAAATGAATAATGAACAATGAGGAACGTTTAAAGCGATTAAATGAACGAGTCGTTCAGTGAATTTATTACACTTTGCAAAACATACACGACATATGAAAGGACACACACACGTACATACTACCTTATATATGTTTCGTATTGTGCAATACCGTTTGATTTAAATTCTGGAGACAGGGATTTCTTTATTTTTTCTTCCGATTGAGTAAAATAGCGCGATGGTTTCTTGGGATAAGAATAATAAAAAGTGAAGAAATCAAAAGAAAGATATACGTCGGACGAGGATTTCAGTGTAAAAGTTATCGAATAAAAAGTTTGATTGAGAGTTTTATTAAAAACTTATATAAGAAACAAAAAAATAACACAACACGTTTATCATTTTTCTGCAAAATCACAGAATATTTTATTGACAAAGAGAAATTCATGAAGAGAGATTAAGTATGTTTTAGACGAAATAAGAGGTTTCGTTTTGCGAAATGAACAAAAAGAAAAAGTTGATTGTTAAGTTTGTTTCCGTTTTTATCGAACGGTTTGATGTCTTCTCAGATATATGAGTTGCGCTTGCGATTCAAGGGCTGCTAACTCTGCTACTACCGGAGCCATTTCTTGGACGTGATCTTCGTAATTCGATCCTGTAGTCATATAAGGAAAAAAAACAACATTTTGTCAATGTCAACAATTTTTTTAATTGCTGAAGTACATACTTTAAGAATTAGGTTAATCAATCTGTTTTTTCTTTTAAAAGATTCAAGAGTTTGATAAACATTACCTAGTCCTACGCGTTTCTCGCCGTACACGACTTTGCCGTCGAAGTCGTTCATTGGCACCTTCATATCACTCTCTATTTGTTGAATTGTTACATTCAAGTGATCCTCTATGTCCGCCAACAACTGCAATCACAAATATTTTATCTGATGTTTTTTTGTTACTTTAATTTACCTGTAAAGTTTTGAAACTGTTCGAATTTATTAATGAAAAGTTAAGTTCAAGTGACTTTCAAAAATTATGTTTATAAATTAATTTTTTATGAAAGGTAAATTTTCATTTGATTTTTTACCCTTGGTTCGTTGTACCAAATACAACAGCCACCTTGCTCTGTGAGGTTTGTATTATGACAATTACGACCACGAGAAGAACACCATTCACCATGATACCACACTTTCTCTGGGACAGAGGATACGAAAGATATAGCTAAACCCATTCTTTCTGCACGACCAACTCGACCAATTCTGTGGACGTAGTTCGACTTTTCGTCCGGAAGGGTCATGTTGATCACTAGCAATAAAAAATACACTTTAGAATCACCAGACAATTTTTATATTTTTGCATAACTCACTGAAAGGTAAGCCAGAAATATCCAATCCACGAGCAGCAACATCAGTACAAATCAAGAATCGTACTTTCTCATTTTTAAAGCACTCTAAGTTGTATTTACGTTCGGGCGGCTTACGATCACCGTGGAGGCAAACGCAAGTCAATTCTCGATCTCCAACTGATTTCAAGTAACGTTCCAAGTTGTCGCAATCGATTTTCGTTCGACAGAAGATTATCGCTCGGTCCATTTTGTGCTCTTTGATCGCTCGAAGACAGTACTCGCCTTTTAATTTTTTTACTGCTTCAGAAAGTGCCTCTGGAAAAGAAATAAAAATGTTGAAAATACGTTAAAACTGTTTTTGATAAGTAATAACTGTAAAATTATATAGGCTTATTGTAATTTTATTTGCCTGCTGATGTTCCTCTAAGATTGTCTCGAGCGTGAACACTGTCAGTTTGCATATGACGCCTAAGATTTTGCCATGTAGTATCCTTCGTTGGATCAACGTTAATAACGACGTGATGAACTGTTTCTGGAACTGCATCCTCTCCTTTCAAATCAACCCAGGTTGGGAAGTGCATAAGCTTTTCCTGCAACGGCACATGTTATTATCGAAACCGATTCTAAACTTCAGCAGAAAAGTATTTGTTCTACTTACGGCCATTTTTTTAACTTCAAAAGCATGCAAAGTAGCTGAGCAGACCACCATTTGAAGTCTCTTTCCATCACTGGTGATTTTAGGCATTTGTCTGTGCAATCTTTCGATCAGCTCTCCATAATTTGCTTTCAATAAACCGTCAGCTTCATCGAGTACGAAAAACCTATTCAAAAAAAAGATAAGTTATTCAGAAGAGTAATAAAGTCAACATTGAAAGGCTCTTGAAAATTACCGGCATTGATTTAGCACGATATAACCATCCTGAATTAATTGATCTAATCTTCCTGGTGTACCAACTACAATGTCTATTCCATGATTTATGACAGTCATTTGATCTTTGATACTTTGTCCACCTACAACTAATACTTCTCGAATTTCTGGATCTTTTAGATGTTTCATAAACTAAAAACAAACAATTATACAATCATTATCAATTTAAAAGAAATTTAATGAACTAAATTTATCTGTATACTTTATGAAATTGATCAAATGTTTGCTCAGCAAGTTCTCTGGATGGCTCAATGACAATTGCCTGAGGTGCATTAGGGGATGGTTTTTCAGGGGCACTTTGACTTTGACTACTGTTGACTGGATTCACTTTGATTTGCTCTTTGGAAGCTGCAGATACTGCAATATAACCTGTTGGTGGAGGATATTTGAATGGTTGTGCTCCAAAATTGAATGACATTTCTGCATTTTTCAAAACTACAGCTGGGTAAAAAGTTTGTGACTTTTGTTGTGCAGTTAATGTGAATGCAGGTCCTAAATCTACTCCATTCTTCCAGAATCTTATTTCTCCTTTATCTAGATCAAGAAGACAACCAATTGTATCGTTCATCCCAAAAGCTTCACCATAGCTATCGAACTGCTTTGAATTTGATTTTTTTCCTGTGCCACCAAATCCCCAGCCAAATTTATCAGTTCCCAAATCCAGTGATGCCTATCAAAGAATGACTGAGATTATTTTCCGTATTTAAAAAAAATAATAAAAAATTAGTATCTTTCTATCATACCTGAGGAGTAGACCAACCCACTCTACACAAACCCTCATCAGTGACAGCAGATTCATAATAGAATTTGCCACTTCCTTGGATTCCTTTAGTGGCTCTACAACCATGCCACTCTTTCTGTTCACGACTTTGACATCGAAGACCATCAGGTGTTACGACTAGAGATCTTCCTCTGTCGTATAAGCTTAGCATCCATGTGGGCGCTAAGTTACAAAATAAGATTGAATAATAATAGTTCACTAATAGGTATAACAATATTTTGCCAAGTAGACTTACATATAGGAGTAGTAGTTTTAGATCCTGTTTTTCCAGATTCTAAATCTTTTAGAGTTTCCCACACAATCTGTAAAATTGGAATACAAAAAGCTCCAGTTTTTCCACTTCCAGTTTCAGCAGCCATTAAAACATCACCACCACCCAAAATTAATGGAATGGCTTCTGCTTGTACATCTGTAGGAAGTCTGAGAAAAAATAATAATATTTCAATTATAAATGTAATTCAAGATAGCTTTTGCTCCAGAAGTTATAACTTACGTCCACTCCATGTCATCAAGAGCTTTTGCTATTTCAGGCTGCACACCCATTTCTGAAAATAAATGTGGGAGTTAATAGATGTTTTAATTTAATATAATAAAGTAAAGTTTAATAAAATTTCGCATTCCCGTGGATATTTCAAGTGATTTTTTTAAAAAGTGCAATTTTTGGAGCATGTCTGAAAAAATGTAATTACGATGTATTTATAATTTGAATTACCTTCGAAAGCAGCCATTTTTTTCAAATAGAAAAAGCACTTATTTCTGAATTAAATTTTACTTGATGAATATTTTATTTCGCTATAAATAAAAATTAATTACTTCGTCTCCTTACTCGTTACTACACTTTGTATCAGTTATTTTAGGTTATAAGTGGAGAATTGCCGCTTGCAGACGTTTGTCGTCGCAAGAGTGCATCAAGTTTGAGTGCGTTGAAGTGTCTATACTGTTTGTATGTATATACATTTATTTTATACACAGTAAATTCTTACAGTTGTTGATGCAAAACGCCGGTTTGGAGTTATTATAAATATTTTGTGGCTATATAAAAGTTATTTTTTTCAAGTGTCAGATTAATATTAAAAACAAAGGTTAAATAAATATTTGTTTTCATTTAAAAACGTGGAATAACGAAACACACATAACCTTGCTATTTAAAGAATTTTGCATTAAAAATTAATTTTTTTTTTTAGATGAGTCGAAAGGAAGCTTTATCTAATTTCATTCAGTCAATTCACGGTCGTCCGGTGGTCGTAAAACTTAATAGTGGTGTTGATTACAGAGGTATGTCAAAAATTATTTGTTTGCTTTACTATTATTGTTTGAAAATTATATACATTTGGAAAAATGCTTATAATTTTTAGGTGTACTGGCTTGTTTAGACGGGTACATGAACATTGCACTTGAACAAACAGAGGAGTACGTGAATGGTCAATTGAAAGATAAGTATGGAGATGCTTTCATCAGAGGAAACAATGTGTTGTACATAAGTACTCAGAAAAGAAGAACAAATTAATAAGAAGAAATGCTATTCCTTATATTAATAAAATACATTTATTTGTAAGTTTTATATTAATGAAACACTTAAGTTCTTGAGTACAAAATAAAAAACTATTCTACAACATTATTTTCAGTTGATAAACAATCTTTCTCTCTCTAAGTTTATAAAAAATTCACTATATGTTTTCTGTAGTTAGTTCCAATTGCTGATGCTGTTGCTGGTCTACCTCATCAAATAATCTCTGAAACTCAGCATCTTCTATCTCGGTGGTGATTTCACTTCTTGATTGGTTTTCAGTTCTCTGAATGTCAGAATTATTCTGTCTGTCATCATCATCGTCATTTTCTACTATGAATTCAGGACGTATGTCATCGGCTGACAACAATCCCAGTCTGTATCTCTTCAAATGAGTCTGCAAATCTTTCTTGTGACCTAAATGTTCACACTTATCCAGAAAATCATCAAAATGTAACTTGGGATACAATCTGAAAGCCCAGTATTCAAGCCTTTTCATTACTTTATCGAGGTCTTCTTTCTCATGACCTTTACCTTGGAACTTGAATCCTTCATAAAGTTTCTCAATTGTGTGGATACCTTTGGGCCCTTTCAATCTCTCTGTATTTAGAACGAATCTTTTGTTTAAAGTTCTTTTCTTTGGCGGTTTAACTTTCTTCTTTTCTTCATAACCACTTCCATCAGCATTAACCTCTTCGGCGGACACATAACCATCTTGCTCATTATCTTGCCTATTATCGGTAACTATGTCATTGTTTTCATATTTACGAACGATATCGTCATCGTCATTAATATCTGACAACTCTGCGTCCGACATTGTTGATTATCTTGTTTTCTTTCTTGGTATTAAAAAAAGTAAAATAATCAGCGGTCACTTGGTAGTCACAAGATCTATATCCGTACTCTTTCCCGCCAGTTTCCTTCTCAGCTGTTTCGTCCATTTATCCCGTCGATAAAAACAACTACCATTCATTTCGATCCACACTATTAGTTTATACTTTCATTGAAGATTGTTTAAATTATACATTAATTATTAATTCATAAACCTTATCTCGAAATGAAACTGCAAATCTATCTTCATTCGAAACTGTCGTCGCTGTTATCATCATTGTCGTTCTCGTCATTTTTGCTCGTTGATTGTTGATTGTCCCTAGTCTCTTGGGAATTCATCCTCTGGAGGAATGAAACGAGGAGTCTTTTGTTTAACCTGTCCGTTTGGGTGATTTCATGCACCGGAGCAGGTGGCTCATTACGTTGAAGGTTCTGAGGATCTTTTGGTTGCAAATCCTTGCTCACCTCGTTGCTGTTGTAACATGGTGTTCCAGGCATTTTCAATATTACTCTCTTTTTCTTTCGTCGTATTTATAATAATTTATCAGTAATTGCACACATATCCTTATAATATGAGTATATTATAATTGTAGATTTGTAGACAATGTAAATAACGCGAGGTTATGTGCGTCGCGGTGTAATCAAGCCGCGAGTGGCGCTGTAGTTGTTTTTCGCGTCACGTAGTGGCGCCGGTAGTTTGATTTGGAACATTTGGATAGGCAACTAGCGTTGATAACGGTTTTTTACCGTTTCGATCTTTCGTTGATTTTCATGCACTCTATACTTCTATACCATATTAGTTTCGATCACATGTTTGATTAACTCAACAAATTTTAATGTTGCACGTAAACCTGTGTACGTGTACATGTGTCGCCAAGGAATCGTGTCTCAAGGAGCCACGTGTTAGCGAATATCCTGTATAAATATAGGATACGGGTGCATCGTAAAAGTGCAAAAGAAAAGTGAACGAGCGACAGTGGCGTGACCGCGTGGAATCGACGGGGGTAGACGTAGACGAATCAGCGAGCGCCAAGGATCCGGCATACTGCCTTTTCTCATGCAGTCCTAAGTATACGTTCAGCTCAGTCGGCTCGCGAATCTTACTAAGTACGCATCGTGTGGTCGACGACCGACGAGCTATAATTATTTAGTGAGAGAATCAACGTTTGTGTGTGCCTGAGGCTTCAACGACGCTCTCCATTTGTAACGGAATAGGTACGAGAGTTGCCATGCTGTAAATATATCTATTGCGGTTAAACACATAACCCTGTAGCACCTACTGCATGTTACTTCGAAATTTTTTTTAAGAAATTCAGCGATGATCATGATGTTACTTTCCTTCTGCTGTTAACAATTTACATTTTTGTTGTGGCATAGGGTTAGTCTATTTGCACGAGGAAAATTGTTTACATTCAGAATGTTTTGCTGCAGTCATACCTCGTAGCAATACCTGGCGCCTCTCGCGAGCAATCGATCGACAATATTTTTCGTTCGATTTACGAGTATATAGACACAAGCCGATGATATTTAATACAGCTCAAACACGCAGCAAGTAACGCTTTAGACAGTGACGTTTCCTAAAATTAAATGTAAAAGGAATTCCACTAACGGTCACTATGTTTATCGAATTATTATACGCGAGCGATTGCACCTGCTGCCGACGACACCGATCCTATGTGTCGATGCACTTTTGCAAAATATGTACGTTGCTCTTTTTTCTTACAATCCCGCGTTCTTGAGGATTCACATGTGCATAACTCAATGAGATATTTTTCAAAATTCGAATTTATTCCACACTTTCGGTGGAAAATTGTATTCTTGTATTTCAATCGGCCTTTTGTTTATAATCACCACATTGATTTGTGTGATTAGAAATAGGTTCTTTTTTTAATAGTCGTAAGAATGTTGACATTTCGACATGATTACAATTGATTGGCGTAAAATTGTTGTCGATTGGTCAAGTGAACAAGTATTTAGCGATTAGCATTTCAAATAATTTAAAATTACTTCTTATTGTTGTCATCAACAATCATTATAGAGTAACTTCGTGCAGTTTTTCAACGCAAAAAAACTCAACAATTTTATAATTCTACCACACAAACGTTTTTTGTCTCTGAAACCGTTCGAGTTGATCATTGCATTTTTTTTTAAATGACCTCGTTTGCTAAGATTTCACCCCTTTGATTTTATTAACTCGTGCGTCATCAGTTATGCCATTACGTACAAAACGACTGCGCACTTGTATTTATGATAAAAATTCGGAACCAATGGAGATTCGGGTAAATGCAGCCTCTCTCCGATGGACCTTTTTTCCCATTTGAAATTCCGGTTCGCGTCACTTTCTTTTTAGCACGGTGCTTTCGGCTGCGGCGGATGGTTATAAGGTCACGTGAAATCGTCATCGGTGCTTCGAGACAAACTCCTGTCGTTACATTCCTTCCGATCGGCAATTGATTGACTAATTCGGCTACTTGCATTATTTTTTTTTAAACTAGTGAATTATCTAATTGGAATTTTGCTTTTACAACTGATTTCATCTAGACCGATGATAAGACTACAATAAGTTAGAGCATTCTTTTAAGACATTTGGATATTTTTTATTATGCAGATTGAACTATAATTCAACGTTCTTCGTTGCACTAACATTGAAAAAAAAGTTCAATCTAGACTAGCGTGTTTGACGAGTTGATACTGTGACGATATCAAAGTAACAACTGCAATCGCTGATATGAAGATGTTCATATGTAGGCTTTATCATCTAAACTAATTATCAATAGCGCGATAGTTTGTTGGAGATCGCGAACGCAAACACATTTATCTCATCCCTCAGCAAAAAGTGCTTTTCTCTCAGAATTTCTTTTTGCTGTACATAGAGAAGAAAATCGAGGTCAAATTTTTTTGCAATATGATTATTCAGTTACATTTTATACTCATTAATACGTAAGACCAATAAAAAAAATTACCTATTTTGTGATGTATTTTCTTTTCATTGGTTTGCCAAATAATGTTTTGGAATACGAGCTTTTACAAATTAACACATAAGATCGAAAGAGTGTTTCGTGAGCGTTTTAGAATGAATGTTATTCAATAAAGTAATAACAGTTGAAGCGACGCAGTCGAACGTTATCGATTATACACAAAGGATTAATGACAGATAAACTGCACATAACGCATTGGAAATTTCTTCGGTCGAATGTCTTACCTAATGAGCGTTTCTTTTCTGCAATGAAACGGACGTTTTGAATTGGAATTCTGTGTCTTTTGCATAAACAACAGCTTCGCATGCGCGAGTCACAGGTTTACATAATGGAAAACTTGTTGGTAATTACTTACTAAAGCGATAATACTTAAAGTAGATATTGCGTGCGAATGCATTTTCCAATTCGATTCTGTACGTCTTCTCAGCCTTTCATTTGCTGAGATTGTATGCTTAAAAAATCATTAGAGTGAGAAATAGATCTTAAATCTTTGCTTTTATTTAAAATTTTGTTTAATGTGACCGGCGAACTCTGAAAGTCTGAGAAATGAAATGTTTCTACGTGAAAAATCGAGAAGTAGAAGGTAGGAGATTGATTTATTCCAACGGTCCGCCGTGCCATTGTCGTTGATCGAACGAAGCAAAAGCAGAACGATTAGAGTAATTGCAAGGTATAAGGCTTCCAATCGATGCGTTAATTGAATGCGCACTCAGACAGGAGACATTTCATAAAAAGCGGTAAACGCGCATCGCAATGGTCGAGGAGAAAAAGAGTCGTGATCGCGACAGCGGGTGCGCGTGCAAAGTACGCGGGATCGCCAGCGCGGCTCGCCGCGGCTGCGCGGCATTCGAAATCGGCGCGGACGAGGTGGCCTGATGCGCCGGGCTATTGATTAGCGCGGCGCGCAGACGGTTCGCAACCCGACTCTCTCCCTCTCGGCGGCTGGGTCGCGCGCGCGGTGCATCCGACGCTTTGGCGGCGGCCGCTGTCAGGCGCGACTCCGCCGCGAGCCCGCGAGCCGGAGCCCGGTCAGCCGCCCCCGCTTCTCGGCGACGCCATGTTCGGCTACGTGCTCAAGATACTCCAGGGCGTCTGGAACCATGGCAGCCTGCACGACTTGGACAGCCAGGGTACAGTCGCGCGACTGCCGTCCCCGCGAGCACGCTCATCTTGCTTCCCTTGACTTTCTGTTGCAGACATGGCAACCGTTCAGCCGCTCCTGTCCAACGGCATCGCCAATGGCCTTGGCAAGAACGACAAGGTTTGTTGTCGTAGCTTTTCATTGCCTCGCGCCCGCGCCCGAGCGACACTCTGGGACGTGCGTGCGTTAACGCTCGATACTTTGCTGTATTTCAGGCGGCGAATCACACTGCACCTCGATATGCCGTCGCCAGTCTGACGGGCCTTGACGGTGAGTTTTTTCCGCTTGCCCGGTTGCCACCGACGCTCTCACCCTACTCTGTATCTTATCGAGGATCGCTCGTCGCCAGTTTTATGTTATTGTGGAATTACTGACGTTCTCGTTGACCGAGAGAGCAAATGGAAACGTAGCGTTGTTTTTAACGAATCGACGCTATGTGAACGCTTCAGTACGCATTCTGAAAAGTGTTCGTTTCCCACCACGATCAATTGTCTTTTATTCGTGCACTATCCACGTCGAGACATTGCGACAGAAAAAAAATTGCTTCGATTAAAACGTTGAATGATCGACCACGGCGAAAATGAAAACTCCGATTGATCGATGCTCGATGTATAAGTGACAATGAGTCCTTCTGTTTCTGTCATTCGTTAATTGAACTGGTGCATTTCAGGCCCCGACCAGATTCTCTCGACGGACGTGGACACCACGTGCGACGCGGACGGTCGCGTTCGGATAAAACTCGACTACCAAGCCGATGGCAGGTACAAACTTATCTCGGTCCCGGGACTTCTCGCTCGCACCGCCAGCAAGTACCCTAACCAGCCGGCACTTATTTCCCGGCCTGGTGCCGATGGCAAACGCACCACCATCACCTACAAGTACGCTTCGCATCTTTTCCTATCCAATCGATAAATCGATCGAATTTCCAACGAGGCCTTTTCCGCTCGACAGGCAGTACGAGAACCAGGTGAGAACGGTGGCCAAGGCGTTTTTGCATTTGGGTCTCGAGAGACACCACAGTGTCTGCATTCTTGGCTTCAACGCTCCCGAATGGTTCATCTCCGATCTTGCAGCTATCTACGCTGGGTAAGCTTGGTCTCGTCAAATTCCTGATAACGGTGACTTACAGTTACTCGTCGGCCGAGCTTTGCGGTTTACAGTTTACAATCTTTCTGTTCAAGCGAGATAATTGAATGAATTACAGTAGCGTCGGATTTTTAAAGATTAAAAAAGGTTTCCGTCGACCTTCAATCAATTGAAAGCTCGAACTAAAACACCATTTTTTCACTGTTTCCTTTTTTTTTATTCCACGAGTAATTTCTACTGTACGGTTGACTATTTTCCGTGTTGTACATCGAGCAGAATAATTAAGGTCATTAGTGTGTAATTGCGTCATGGCATCAGATTGTCAATCATACACCTTGTGTACAAAAAAACTGATATAACCTTGTCAATTTTATGATTGACATTAAGCAAATGAGTATCTAAGAATAATTGAGAAATGATTAGCTCACATACTGCATATTATTACCAATATATTAATTGAAGGAAATCACAACAAAATTTAGTTGCCTCCTAATTATTGTCTTATTATGTCTATATATATACGACTATACCCTCCTAATTATGTCTTATTCTCTTTGTAGTGGATTCGCCGCAGGAATCTATACAACGAATTCGCCAGAGGCGTGTCAATATTGTGCGGAAAGTAGCAGGGCCAACATTGTCGTAGTCGAAGATGACAAACAACTACAAAAAATTTTAGCAATCAAAAAGAATCTTCCAAAATTGAAAGCTATCATACAGTACGATGGAATTCCCAATACAAAAGATGTTCTAAGCGTAAGTTTATTTTTTCCCACACATTTATATCCTCAGACACAAGAATTTTCTAGATTTTATTTACATTTAGTTTACGTTTATTTGACAGTGGAACGAGTTATTAGAAATTGGTAGACATCAGTCAGACGATAAGTTAGAAAGTGTCTTGAAGACAATCGCTATCAATGAGTGCTGTACTCTCGTGTATACTGTGAGTAAGGAATTTTTTTTCGACATTAAACCAGAGAATGAAAATATCAACGTTAAATAATGTTCATAGTCAGGAACCGTCGGAAACCCTAAAGCCGTTATGTTAAGTCATGATAATCTCCTGACTGATGCTCAGGCAATCCTAGCAGCTGGCGATTTAAAGAACGAGGCGCAAGAAATCGTCGTTAGTTTTCTACCTCTATCGCACGTCGCTGCTCAAGTACGTAAAAACTCACTCGTTAACTTAAAAGTAACATTTATTTGGTTGTAGTTAACGATAAAAAAATTTACATTATAGGTTGTAGATATCTTCACATGTATGTTGATGGCCGCAACAGTATACTTCGCCGACAAAAATGCTCTGAAAGGTAGTCTCCTTGACACGTTGGTTGCTGCGCGACCTACGGCTTTCTTGGGGGTGCCGCGAGTTTGGGAGAAAATTTATGAGAAGATGCAGTTAGTTGCTCGAAACAATGGCTTCATCAAATCGTGGATTGCGACCTGGGCAAAGGCTCAAGGTCTTCACTACAATATGAATCGTATGAACGGAGTGGAGTACAAGTCATGGAGTTACTTGATCGCCAAATGGTTGATCTTCAACAAAGTCAAAACTGCTCTTGGGCTCGACAGATGTCACGTGTTCGGTACAGCAGCAGCACCTCTGAGTACCGACGTCAAAAAGTATTTCATGAGTTTAGATATTGTTATTATCGATGCCTATGGCATGTCTGAGTGTGCTGGTGCTCATTCGTTGACAACAAACAACAAATTCAGATTGGGTAGTGTCGGAAAGACTTTTCCTGGTTTTTCCACTATGTTGGATAATATGGATAAAGATGGAGAGGGCGAGATCTGCATGGGTGGCAGACACGTGTTCATGGGTTATCTTAACGATTCTGAGAAGACGAAAGAGGCTAAGGACGAGAATAATTGGTTGCATAGTGGTGATCTTGGAAAGAAGGATGCTGATGGCTTTTTGTACGTTACCGGAAGAATCAAGGAACTTGTAATTACTGCTGGTGGTGAAAACGTTCCTCCCGTTCACATTGAGCAACTCATTAAGAAGGAGTGTCCTGCTCTTAGTAATGCTATGCTCATTGGTGATAGGCGAAAGTATTTAACAATATTAGTCACGTTAAAGGTAATCTTGATATTTTATTATATATTATGTTAATTTTTATATACTGGTAAGTAATGTTGTCACTCATTTTTAATTGATTTTTCTTAGACTGAAATGAATGCGGAATCTGGCGAACCATTGGATGCTCTTTCTGCCGAAACTCACAAGTGGGCAAAATCCATAGGAAGTAAGGCAGAATCCGTCAAAGATGTTATTAATACACATGATCCACTTGTAAGTTAAAATGCAGTTTTTATCAATTAAAAATCAAAATATATCATTAAATTATATGAATTTATTTGTTTGAGTTCATGAATTGAATTGAATAACTCTTTTTATAGATTCATAAAGAAATTGCAGAAGCAATAAATCGAGCGAACGAGAAAGCGATAAGCAATGCTCAGCGTGTACAAAAGTTTCGTATTTTACCCCATGACTTTTCCTTGCCAACAGGAGAATTGGGACCAACATTAAAGCTGAAAAGAAATGTTGTAGCGAAGAAATATGCCCACCTTATCGAGGATATGTATAAGGAATAAGAACATTTATTCTTTGAGAATCGGTAGTTCGTTTATCGAAAAGTTTATCGAAAAGCCAGAGAGTTACTTATTAAAGATACTTTTTATACGGCGACTTGTGTGAATAACAAAAAAAGTGTGTGTCGTATATTGAACAATCAATAGCGAGAAGAAAAAAGATATTACAGATAGAGCGTCGAATTTTGTGATAATTTGTGAACTGAATCTTCAGCCTACTTTTGGTTTTGTTTCTAAATAAACATTATATTTCTACTAAAGGGAACTCTACCAGCTTATCTCGATTATTAATAATCAAATTTGTACCTGCTTTTAATTTTTATTTTCACAAAAACGACGGCTTACTTTTTCTTTCTAAATATCATTACTAACAGAAATTATTCTTTTCCGTTAATATTGATTTGAGCTTTAATTTCATTCTAGTTTTACTATACTATTAATAACGATATTGTATATGTCTATTAAGGTTACACTAATCCTCGTACTTGCGTATTTACATTGCAATATATTTCTTTTGGTATTAATTCGTTATCGAATATACGGTGATATAAAGTGCGGCATGTAAATAATGTGAATAATATAAAAATAAAAAGTGCCTTTTTGCAACTGAAATTTTGTGGAAAGTGTAAATTTTTGCTTAAATATGTCGCTGTTTGATTTTTTTTCAGAAGTGTTTATTGATATTACAATGTACAACAAAAAATAGCAATATTCACAAACCATTGCTTAACACTCGATGTAGTATGCATAAAACATTTTAACATATATTCATTAAGAGTGGCTTGCAATAAGAAAAATCATTTGTAAGACTGATAATCTCATTCTTTAATTGATATTCTAAAAAACATGTATTTCATGTAACAAAAGCTTTTTGGTTTATAAATGCATTTTCCTTCATAAACAAATAATTACTTATTTGATGTATACAATTTTATCGTTAAAATTGTAATTAATAATTTTTAAGATATAATTTATTTGATTGTAAGATAAGGTATAATATTGTTTTGGTATTTGAAGTAGGAGGGTGAATGGATTTAATTTATAAATATTTTCAATTTATAATGTTAGTACATTATAAAAACAATAATAAAAGTTAGTTCGTTAAAACGATGTTTATTTTTTAATTTCTTAGATCAATCAAAATAGAATCTCATAATTTTACAATTGCGTGTGTCGTATATTGAACAATCAATCACCAGAGAAAAAAAGATGTAACATACTCGTATATATATAGTCCAGGCAATGGAGCAGAAGTCGCATATTTTTTTTGGGACAGTACGAAATGTTTACAAGGGATAGGTAATATTGAGTGTAATAACACACCTTTATCCAAAGTCTGAAATTAGTTGAAAAATTTAATCTATTTTCAGGTTTTTACGCAATAACCATTTCTTTAGCAGTTGAATCGAAAAATGGTCTAATTGTCTTTTGTTTGTCACGTCAAGACCTACAAAAGTATATGTCGCATGTCGATACATCTTAATTAGGAAAAAAGTTATGAACACAAAAAGGCCTATTTTTTATTTAATAATTACCGTTAAATATTTAATTATACAGGTTTTCCATTCACCTCAATATATTTCTTATCGCATAAAGATTATGAGCTTTGAAGTCGCAAGCTCTAAGTTGAATTGTCTATTCAGACGGTTAACAACAAATTAACTGTTTCGTTTTGTCCACGGTTGGGATCATTAACCAAAGTGACACCTATTATTTGATCGCTATTTACTAGAATTTATAATCGAAAAATGCTATTTAAATATAAAAAAATTCAATTTGCAACTTAAGGAAGTTTTTCTAAAATATTGCTTAGTTGTAAATAAAATTCACCGTATTAATATTCGCTTCGCTCGGGCGTAAACCCCACTCGAGACAAGAATCTACTTTCCCGCACTTGTATCGTAATGTACTATTCCCATCAGGTAGAAGTGAAAGTTAATCATTACAAAAGGACTACCTTTTGTTCTATAATACCTATTAGAAGTTAGAGGACAAAATTGTAAAGTAATCATTTCGTAATCAGTATTTTGAATTTTAAGTGATTGTGAATAACACTATTGAATAGAGTACTAATTCTAAATAAATAGAAATGTCTCAAATTTATTATACCTTTTTTTTTCCTCTGACCCTAAAAGGCATTGTAAAACCAAAGGTAGTCGTTCCTAATGACTTACCTTCACTTTTACCTGCTTGTAAATATCTTGTATTTCTTTGTCAACGGAAATATAACACCTTTGTCATTCAAAATCAATTGAAGCTTTTTTGACCGTTGACCGATATACATTGTAAAACATCAGAAGTGTAATATACACGGTGAATTTTATTTAAAAACTAAACAATATTTTAGAAAAAAATCGCTGATCTGCAAATTAATTTTTTTGGTTTAAATCGCAGTTTTCGATTGTAAACTATAGCCAGTACCGATAAAAAATCGACGTCACTTTGAGTAATGATCCGAACAGTGCACAAAACGAAACAGTTAATTTGTTGTAAACCGTCTGAATAGATTACAATTAAACTCAAAACTTGCGGCTTCAAAACTTATAATCTTTATGTGACAAGAAATATATTGAGGTGCATGGAAAACCTCTATAATTAAATATTTAACGATAATTATTAAATAAAAAACTGGCCTTTTTGTGTTCATAACTTTGTTCCTAATTAAGATATATTAACATGTGACATATAATTTTGTAGGTCTTGCGGAGACGAACAAAAAACAATTCGACCATTTTTCGATTCAAACTGTTAAAGAAAAAGATATTTCGAAAAAGCATGAAAATAGATTATATTTTCTTTCAAACGGCTAGATTTAATTGGACAATGTTTATTTATTCATTCCGGTATTTATGAAATTACTACTGTTTTCTAGGTAAACAATTTTAGATAAGAAAAAAATTTAATTATCAATAAAACTTTCGGGCATATAAATCTTTCTTTCGTCCAATTCCTGTACTTACCTAAACAACTATTAATTATGCCTTAATAAAATTATAGCCAACATACTTAGTGGCGCAAATAATGATAGCTTTGATTTCGGAATGATAAAGTAAACGAAAAAGGAAACAATGATAAAACTTAATTGGACAATGATTTTTTATTTATTCCGGTATCTATATAATTAAATATTGTACATTAATGGTTTCTAGGTAAACAATTTCAGATAAAAAAACAATTTAATTATTTATAAAAAATTCGGTCGCACCAACCTTTCTTCTATGCTTATCCTGTACTAACATAAATTATGCCTTAATAAAATTATAACCAACATGCTTGATGACGCAAATAATGATAGCTTTGATTTCGAAATGATAAACGGTAAGGGAAACAATTATAAGACTTGATTGGACAAGGATTTTTTATTTATTTATAAAATCAGATATTGTACAATAATGGTTTCTAGGTAAACAATTTCAGATAAAAAGAGTAATTCATTAATAAAAAATTCGGGGGCACAAATCTTTCTACCGTCCTTGTCCTGTACTTACATAAATAACTATCAGTTATACCTTAATAAAATTATAACCAACATGCCTGGTGGCGCAAATAATGATGATAGCTTTGATTTCTACGGTTGGTTAATGTTTTGCACCTATTTTCGACTTTGCATGATGGTACTTTGTTACACTCATTATCTATCCGTTGTAAAAATTTCGTACTGTCCCAAAAAAAACGCGACTTCCGCTTCATTGCCTAAACTATATGTATGTTACATCTTTTTTTTTTCTCTTGACTGATTGCTCAATATACGACACACACAATTGTAAAATTGATATTCTATTTTAATTGATCTAAGAAATTAAAAAATAAACATCGTTTTAACGAACTAACTTATTATTGTTTTTATAACGTACTAACATTATAAATTGAAAATATTTATAAATTAAATCCATTTACCCTCCAACTTCAAATACCAAAGCAATATTAAACCTGATCTTATAATCAAATAAATTATATCTTAAAAATTATTAATTACAATTTTAGCAATAAAATTGTATACATCAAATAAATAATTATTTGTTTATGAAGGAAAATGCATTTATAAACCAAAAAGCTTTTGTTACATGAAATACTTGTTTTTTAGAATATCAATTAAAGAATGAGACTATCAGTCTTACAAATAATATTTTTCTTATTGCAAGCCACTCTTGATGATTGTTCAATATACAACACACACAAATGATAAAGTAACCAGTACCTCGGCATTTATAGAAATAACTATCAAATGAAAATCTTTGATTAACAAGATTGCAATACGATTTAAAAACTTGAAAATTTATTTAAGTATAAGACATTGACTCTTCGATAGATGCAGAGAAGTGGAGTCTTTATCGATTAGTCGCTTATATATATATCAATTTGTTCTATTCACTGTTCAGCTTGTAGGTCATCAGATCTGCAAAAATAGAACAGAATATGTTAATAATCAATTTTATAGAATTGTTAATATTACTATTTTATATTTTAATTTACTTACATTGTCTACATCGTCTTCATCATCGTCGCTGATTTCATCTCCAAACTCAATATCTTCATCAAATCCATCTTCCACAAATGTGACAGTGTCGTTGATGCGAACTGTAAAAAAAAATAATAAGTATGCATAATATGCAGTTGATATAACACTTATAATGAAAAAATAAATATCTAAAGCTTCATACCTGTTTCTGGGAATTCACCATATGTCTTCAAATTTCTAGCTTCATCAGCTGTGTATTTGAGAATAACATCAGCCTTGGCATCTTGATAGTCACGCAAACCAATAAGGATAATGTCGCCTTGATTTATCCAAACTTTCTTACGCAGTTTGCCTCGAATATGACATAATCGCTTGACTCCATCAAAACACATTGCTTCAAGCCGTCCATTTCCCAACATTTTTGTCACTTGTGCGTATTCTGAAAAAACATTGATTGAAATATTATTAACTCAATGAACAGACTGTATTTTCACAATAATGGTCTGCCATAGAAAGAGAAATATATTCACAAAAAAAAATTATGATTCATCAAGTAGACATTTTTTCTGTTGATGTACTCACCTTGACCATCTTCCTTGAACACCAACTCCCTTTTTTCAGTTTCGTTTTCGTTCTTTCCTCTCCTCCTGTTTTTGCCTCCCTTTCCTGTCGAAGTAACAAGTAAAAGTTATGAATATAATCAAAAATATGACGACAAAATAAAACAACATGATTGAGGTTTGCAAAGAGTAACAACGCATAATAATTGATTGATGATACAAAATATAGGTTATCTAATGCAAATAAACACTCCGTGTTTGAATATCAAATTTAAGCGAATTATAATTGCTAATAAAGCTAAATATTAGTGTAATTCACCAAAATGATGGAACTTACCCTTATTTTTCGGCATATTAAAATTCTATTAAGGATGTTCCGTAAAGGCAAAGTTTCACAAGCAGTGGAGACTGTCCTGTCTAGCTAGCTCGAAGGTTGGAGAGCGAATAACGAGATTGACGAGAGTGCCGTAGGCATATAGAGTGCCATGCGCGAAAGAGAAAGGAGGGGGAATGACGGAAGTACTACGTGAAGCGCCTCGGTAACGAAGGTCACTATTAAAGAGTGCGATAAATAAATACTTAAACACAAGTTTATATGGATTTCTTGCATTTTTTTAAATTCATATTTATTGATATCGATAGTAAAAACGTTATTTTTCTAGATATTAAAATTATGAATATTTTCATTGCTATTTTGACTAGTAATTAACTACTATCCAATAGCAAAGCGTCATTATGAGACGTCTTAAGTGTCATCATTAGCGTCATACAACGCTGACCTCTAGCGCCATATAGCTGTTTGGTGTTTATATCATCCATTTTATTATTTCGCGGTTATTTCAAATTGAGTGAAGGGTGTAATGATAAATTGGCAAGTAAATAGTCATGAATCGGTATCTCATAGACAGTTTAAGAAGCATAGATTTTGTACTTACCAAATACTATTGCAACATTGGTAGTTGGGACTCGTAAACAAAAATTTTGTAATAAAGATTGAGAGCGCGTCGGTCGCTTGGGGACGTTTTCGTAGGCGTTGACGTCGTTGACATTTTTCCAGTTTTCGGTATTGTCACGATAGCAGACGAAATGAGGGAGTAAATAAAAACTATTCACGGACTTCGAAGCGATGTATTTGTGCGGGAAATGGACTCGTTCGTTGTGATAACAATTCGTAGCAACAAAAGGACACTGTAAAAATAACATTGTGAGGCTTATCTATATTATACAACTTGCTCAACAAAAATGGATTGCTTGTCTTTCTCCCAAGTCCTATATGTATTTGTCCTAATCCAAAACTTCAACTTGGTTCCAAGATTAGAAAAGCGTTGTTTGAGCGGAAATCATTGATATGACGCTTTGTAAATATAAATTGAAAGTAGAATTCAAACTTTATCCATGTTCGATACATAAGTAGGTCATTTACATTTTGTGTCATTTTTCTTTAGTAACAAAATTAAGGTTGGATGTTTATTTTTCCAGATAATTATACAAGTTAATCAATTTAAATAGCAAAATGGAAGAAAATATAGAGTGTGTAGGTTTTACATTTTACAATAATTTTGATTCTGCAAACCTTGCAAAAGTTGAAAAAGTGGAAATCAATAAGGCTGAAAATGGTATGTTCACGTATGATTTTCAGTGCACTCAGCTTTGTTACTGTTTCATAATAAAAATCATTTCAGGTAAAAACGAAAACAATAAATCTCATAAGAATTCAACACTTGAAGTTCCTAGCTACGAGTTCAACCTTTGGACAAAACAAGATTGCCATGGAACAGAGTTCCAAAATAACAACAGAACTTGGTTTCATTTTGGTATAAAAGCTTCTATGCCAGGAAGTTATGTGAAGTTAAATTTAGTTAACTTGAATAAACAAGTAAAAATGTTTAGTCAGGGTATGTGTCCTGTTTTCAAAGTGATACCAGGACATCCACAATGGGATAGAATAAAAGAAAAACCAACATTTATGGTAACTAAATTATGTAAAGATAAAAATTTTTTTAAATCCTTATCATAACATAATTTATTACATTACAAATTTTAACTTACTTTTACAGGCAGATGATAAGAACAATGAATTTATGTTATCTTTCAATTACCGTGCTTCAGAAAATCCTAATGCCATCACATATTTTGCCTTTACCTATCCATTTTCTTACACAGATTTACAAAATTATCTTAAAAAAATAGATGCTAAAATGTCGAAACAAAATACACATCTTGCAAATGACATTTATTATCACAGAGAATGTGCAATAAAGTCATTAGAAGGAAGAAGACTGGACATTTTGACAATAAGTTCGTATTACAATAAATCAGTGGAAAGAGAAGCCAAGATTAAAGACTTATTTCCAGAGGAAAATGAAGAACGACCTTATAAGTTTTATGATAAAAAAGTAATAATATTTTCATTGTAATATCTGTCTAATTGCTTTGTCTATGTATTCAAGTTATATGTGGTTTTACATTTGTAGATCATTTTTTTGAGTGCAAGAGTTCACCCTGGAGAAACACCATCAAGTTTTGTACTTAATGGTTTTATAAATCTATTATTGAATAAAGATGATCAAATAGCTATAATGCTTCGACGGCTTTACGTTTTTAAACTTATACCCATGTTAAATCCAGATGGGGTAGCACAGGGTTATTATAGGATGGACACAAGAGGAGTCAATCTCAATCGACTATACCTGAATCCATCTAAAATAGACCATCCAACAATATTTGCTGCGAAACAACTGCTTAGGTATCTATGTAATTGTTTATCAGTCTCACAAACTATAAGCTTGCTTTGCCATTTATTTACTATTGGATTTCAATTATTAGGTATTATCATAACTGGTATCGTTTACCAGAAGATTTAGTTCCTGATGTACCAGATACAAACAATATTGGTACTAGCACTTTTGACCTTACAAATAATATAAATTCTATTTCAAATGAGACTAATAAACTGCTTCAGAGGGTAAATTTTTTATAGATTTTACATTCTTACTTGAAGACGTTATTCATATTCGATTCGTTTACAGGTAACATTAATGTCGCTCGAGGAAAAGAATAAACGCATAGAGCAAGGAAGTCGTGTGAGAAATTATTTAGTTCAAGCATCTGAAAAATCGATAGGTAAAATTTATTTTTAATCAATAAAAACATACTAACAGTTTTTATAGTATATTTTATTAAATTGTTTTCAGTAAAAAATCAAGGATTTATGGACTATCAACCAAAATGTATTGATAGGGAAGAAGACATTCCATGCAGAAAAATAGGTTCAGCCAGCAATATCAAACAATATTCTAGAATTGCCGAAGATTCTGGAATATTTTTATACGTCGATTTTCACGGCCATGCATCGAAAAAAGGAATTTTTATGTATGGTAACCACTTTGACGATGCAGAAGATGCCTCTGCGTGTATGCTTTTACCGAAATTAATGTCCATAAACAATTCTAATTTTCATTTTACATCATGTAATTTTGCCGAGAAAAATATGTACCTCATGTAAGATTGTCTACATTCTTGTCGCGAATGTGATATTAAATTCTTGAGAACATGTTGATTAACTCGAACTATTGTCTTAGTGATAAACGAGACGGTATGTCACGTGAAGGATCTGGCCGAGTTGCAGTGCATAAGTTATTTGGTTTGATTCACAGTTATACTCTAGAGTGTAATTATAATACTGGTCGATTGGTGAATAGCGTGCCTGCAAGACTGAAAGAAAATGTACATAAACTTCACAGTCAAATATTTGTACCACCAAAGTATAATCCAACAGTTTTTGAAGAGGTACCAACTACAATATTCAATTTTACGATTGATCTATCAAACATTAATAAAATCTTGCAGGTAGGAGCTGCGTTTGGGCCATCAATTCTTGATATGACTGGTAGCAATCCGAACAGTAGACTACCAAACAGTCAATATCGGTCTTTAAAAGGACTCAAGTCGTACTTAAAATTGATATCGACGAATCACTACCAAACAACTTTGAATAAACCTTTGCTCAAGGTAAATGTTTCTGACACAGATAATGACGTTATTGATGTTGATGATGTTGCTAATGCCGAAATAAGACAATGCACTTTGTGTTGACAATTAGAGAGTTTTATAAAAAATGTTTTTACCAAGTACTTGTGCCTTGTGGCAATTTTATTTACACTTTGGTAAATAAGCATTTTCGTGTACTAAAGAAACTCCAACATAGATGATAAAAAAATTAAAATGATTGAATATCTTTATTTAACGAGATTAGCAGCTCCGTTTTTAGCGTCAGTCACTAATATAAAAAATTTAAAAGTATTATGTAGTATATAATAAAGGTTATACCACATAGCTTCACTTATCAAATTATATTAAAGTGTAGTGCCGATAAAATTAGCTACTAGCGATTTAAAAAACTCAAAAGTAATTATATTGCGTTTTTTGAAATTTAAATAGTAGAACGATCCTGTAGGGTATATGACATTGTTCGACGCTGAGATCTTTTAATAAGCATATTTTTATTATTTTGCGCACTATGTTTTCCAAATGAACATGGTAGATCGAGAAAGGAATGTTATATTTATTACGTGTACATACTCAAAAATTCAATTGTTATTAAAATATTTTCCTTCTCATTATCTACCTCAAAGTTCACTTGGTTACACCAGTAATCCATAATAGTAGTCAATCAATTTTTTTCTAATAATATCATAACAATGAAATAACTGAATGAATAAATATATTTTTTTTACATTCATTAGTTTACACAGTAAATTATGGACTACTGTAAAGAAGCACGTTTAATTTGATGTTGCTAATATTAGTTTATAAGCACGCTACAGCTTTGTGATAACTTTGCTTTATCACTGTAAACATATTTGATGAAAAAATTTTAACTTTATTTTTACCATATGATTTCTATTTATAGATAGCTGGAAAGACTGTAGTATAGTGAAACAGCATTATAATCTAAAAAAACAGGATCTAATCTCGTATAGTTTGTATCGTAACTCACGCTTTGTTCCTCAAAAAAATAAAATAATATAACCAAATGTGATTGACTGAAAAAATTAACGTGTTCAGTGACTACAAATTTATATATCGAAAAAGAATGATAATGTATAATGTGAAGTTTTTTCAGCACATGTGCATATATATTAATGTGTATATTAGAACGAGCGCGCAGTTTTTTTTCGTACAAGTTATCTCTCGGACTTATACATATGTGTATATATGGATGTGTGCATTAACATATAATTTATAATGGTTTTTGTAGAAAGAAACAAAGTGTTGACAAATATATGATAACTTTTATATTTACAATGTGAAAGTATACTGTTTCAATAAACATCACCTCGCCGTCTTTTTTCGATCAAATCCAAAAATCATCTGAAATAGGTAACGAACATCTTATTACCATAATTTGGCAACCTCTATAGAAGCATGAGACACGTAGATAAACAATGACAATGAATGAATGCGCACTTGGACTACGAGGAAGACGAAATCGCGTTTGGTTTTGCAGACGGATCGATACTCACAAGACTCGTCGTCCAGTGAGGTGCTCGATAGGCCATCGGCTCGCACGAGTCGTCGCAAAAGTTTCCGCGCCACTGACGGCCTCGCCAAAGCTAAAGTCAAGCGCAATCATCAGGTACAGAAGCCGCCGAGGCCCACCACCCGCAGCACTGTCAAGAGCAAGCCGGTCGATCAGCCGGCAATCCGAAGAACCGGCGAACCCGACGGGACCGCGTTCCCGAAACGCCAGCTGCCGACTAAGCTGAAAACGCCCATCGCGAAAAAGATCACGATGTTCGCCAAGCGGACCACCGTCAAGAAACATCAGGACCCGCAGAATTTGAAAGCCAACGCCAAGGCTCGTCGCGTGATACGCATCGAGCTTCAACGGACGTTCAAGAGAAGTGCCGCAAAGATTGCTAATCATCCGCAAAACAAGCCGAAAAGTCAGAAAACCAAGGCGAACAAGACCTTCGTTCTGAAAATCTCGTTGCAATAATGTCGGGCACTCAAATTCACGCGTGTACTCAATCGTAGGGAATCTCTAGTCGCCAAGTAAAAAGCTTTATACACGTATTCATCGCTGCTTTAATTTTACGCGAGTATCGTTCTACTTGTCGAAAGGTCCGAGCAAGTCCAACTCAGAGTTCGGCACGGCGAACTTGCCACTCGAGGAATAAGTCGATTTGGTAACTTTGCGCGGCAAAGCGCAAGACACGCACCGCTGGCTGACTGCCGAAAGTCGCCTAGCGCGCGCGCGCGTGACAACCAATCGGCCGACGAAAGGCGCGGAACGTTGCATCCGTCGCGCGAGCGTACGCGCGAAGCGCAGCAGCGAGCGCTGGTCGGTATATATATCCCCCACCGCGAAGGGAACTCTCGCGCGATGACGAGGCCGCCGCTGGCGCGCGGTCGACGCCTCTCTCTTTCTCTCTTCCCCGTTCAGTTGCCGTTGGTCGCTTGGTAACGCTCGGACACTCGAGCCCGATTAACCTGCCTCAGACGCGCGGGTGGAACCGCTTCAGGCCGGGACGAACAGTTGCTCTCGGTCGCGGCCTTCCCCCTTCCTCGACCTCGGCGTTGTCGCGAAGATGGGCGCCGAAGGCTCGACGGCCAGGTTTCTTCTCGTGGTGCTCGTCGGCTGTCTCGCCTCGAGGACAGGTGAGTCGAGCCTACGCGCGACACCGCTTCCTTGGGCGGGGCATTGCAGGACGCTACCGATTTATACTTTTCTCTCTCTCTCTCTCTCTCGCACGCGTGCGTCCAGCTTTTTTCTTTCTTCTTTACGGAAAATCGGTTCGCACGAGAGTTGACGGGGAGATCCGCGCGATGCAGTCGAGGACGGAGAACGCGGCGCGAGCGTGTCTCTCATTGTTTACACCTGCGTGTGTGCGTACGTGGTTGGGCTTGCGGTGTTCAGTATACAGTAAAGTATACTCTACGTGTTTTTCTCGTACGTGCTACTCTTCTCTTTCTTTTTATGACGAGGATTATTTTTTGTCGATCGATCGTGAAAAAAACACTCGCGTTATCAGTGGATATTTGTTCATGGTTTTATTTCATTTTGCTTTAAGTTTGTTCTTCTGCACGCGAACAACTTTAATTAACTCGAAACCTCAAGGACTTCCCTCACGCCCGTTCGAAAGTTCAGTCGAGTCCGTGGATAATAAAAACGATGAATCGCTTCATCGCGATTTTTCATTCGGATTTTCAAATTTTCGTAAATAATGTTCCAACCAAAATGATTGCCCTACATCCCGGGGAAACGGACGTTGAGCGTCTGATGTAGTTTGGACGCGGCGAATCTCGGCGGAAATCACTAAATTAATTGAACGCCCAAGCCAAAGTTGCTCACCGCGAAATAGTTTTCCAACTAATAACCAAGATGCTTGGTCCCGCGCTTGAGGCTTTTCCTCGATTTTTTCCCCGAGCGGCATTTAACGCGGATAAAGTACGCGCCGCTGGCTTATTATAGAATCCAATCGACAATGCACTCGACGTCGAAGACTCGATGATCGATTTGTTCGCACTTTACTTTATTTCGAGGCTTCTGCTCCGTACTCAACTCTTGATTGTCATCTCGCTAATCAAGAATCAGTTGCATCGGAGAAATGATAGTCGAGGACTCGAGCCGCTTGTTTTTAAATTTGAGTACTGCCGAATTTGGAACAAACGGGATTATCTGCTCGTTCACGGTGCAATGCTCCTTTCGCGCTGTTATCGAGCGTCGTCGACCTGACTGCGATAAACGGTCGATGATTGAAGACTCGATGGATCTGTGCAATCAAGTCGAAGAGATAATAATTATCTTTTGTTTTGCTGCCCTTATTGTTTCGTTATACTTACTTTCAGCGCTGATCCGTTCTGAATGGAAACGTCGTTATGCCTCGATTTCACCATTAGTTTTTTTTTTTTTTTTCATTTCTTTTAATTTTTTCTTGGTTTATTTTTATGGTTTTGTTTAGCGTACGGATTAGAGTGTTTCCGATGCGTGAGCACAAACAGCACCCGTCCGTTCTTGTGCAACGAATTCCTATCGCACAGCGAGGACTTGGAGCCGGAGAGTTGCGATGACGTTTACAATGCGCAATACTGCATCAAGCACGTTGGTCGATTCGAGGGTAAATAAGACGCTGCTCAACGAAATTATTAAAAATAAATAAATAGAGACAACTAACGAGGATGCGATGGGAAATCATACGGGAGGTAGTGGTAATATCAAAGAGACTCTTGACTAACCATTGATCTCGAACTTGCTTGGAGCCTTGGCATTGGAATGCTATCAGTGCGCTTCGGCCGACGAGTGGAAGTGCGACAACAGCCAGCTGGTCGCGAATTACCTCCAGCCATCGAGTTGTGACCACGTATTCGAAGCTCAGTTCTGTGTCAAAACAATTGGACGCTACGGAGGTTCCTGTCGTATTTCACTTGCTGTCTGTTGTGTGGCTTAGAAAGTTCTATGCTTTGTTATGGATTTTCATTTAATTTTATGTTGGCTTCATAATACAAATTTCAATGATTACATTTACGCTAAAACGAAAGCAAAATTATAATAGTTGTCCAGTAAACGTAACGCTCTTACACGAAGACGCTATCTGTCAAGCAATTTGACATTTCTCCAAGTCTATGAAAAAATTCCATTGCATAAGAAATCGCACACTTCCAATCAGCAAATAACGCGTCTTTTTTTCCTTTCCTGCGCCAAATAACGTTGAAAGTAGGCCAACGAATAACTTTCAACGACTAACACACGTCGTTCGTTAGAGAAATTTTTTACTCGGATAATACTAACATCGTGACTTTGTTTCGGATTTTAAGTCATCTCCAATCTTGTAGTTCGTTGAAAGCATGCAACACTAATTTAGCAAGAATGATTGTTATGTTATAATACATGCGCGAGCGATATTAATGATTAAGCTTAACAACAACTTGATCTTCGTTAGGTGGAGTGGGAACCAAACGATTTTGCTCGTCGGTGGACCTAGGAAACTATTGCGATTACGTGCAGCAACCTGGCGATAAGCTCAGTTATCGTACCTGTGTCTACACTTGTAACTCAGACGGTTGCAATCCAGCTTCCAGTCTAACTCCATCTAGATGTTTAAGTGGCCTCCTGTGTATCATAAGTTTTGGATATCTTTATGGAGACAGATAATATACTTTCTATCCTTTCTTTTGTCAGTTTTGTGAATGTACTTTCTAAATAGTATATTTTTAAATACGCCATTTTTCTATTAATCTTATTGGAATACCACTACAAACATTTTAACAAAGTAAAAAATTGCGCGAAATATTTACTTTCGTTTAATTTATTATAGAAAATTATGTGTTTCTGATAATTAGCAATTGTATATTTGTTTTATACTATATAAAGTTAAGTGTCATTCAATATAACTATGTATTTCAACCTCATTTCTTCCTTTCAATTTGATTAAGTTTCATTTCATATATTGTTAAAATATTTTTTTCAAGATTGTTTCTAAACTTTTAAAAAAAGTGAAATCCATGTATAGAACGACACAGATGCTGTAAATTACCTTCAGATGAATTCTATAAATTATTGTTATCGAATAACAGAAGAAAAAATACTTCAAAAAAAGTCAAATTCGGTAAGTATATATGCTTCTCATCTAGCTTCCAATGAATATGTTAATTAAAATGAACTGCTTCGTAATAATCATGCATCTCCATTTTATTCTTTCCTTTAAATTTCCACAGATTTCGTTTGATCCATATTGTTTGAATATGTTTTCAAAATCTTTCTGATGTTTTGAATATAGTGAAATCTATGTAAAAATGACACGAAAGCTCTAATATACTTTCGGACGCTTTTGAAAATTGAATAAAAAAGAATTTTCTATGTCAATGCGGAATATATATATACATAGTATCAACCCATCTACTTCAATTTAAAGATTGCTCAAACTTTACTTTCAGCTACCTATAAACGTAGAATATCATATGTAAACTAAATGTTTAAGCTTGCAAATATATTACTGAATTCTTAACGAAATGTTGGTATACATATCATATGATAAATTAATGAGTTATATAAGTTGAGCTGAAAATATATGCCATATACAAATAAAACATGAAATTATGTATGAGTGAGTGTGTGTGTATATATAACTCCACTCAAATACACATAATATATACAGTAAAATTATTATTAAAAACTAAATATCAAAAAACCAAACGTGTTTATTAAATGTAAAGGGAACATTCTTGGCTATTTCGACACATGGAAATAGATCATCCCACCGATATTTTGCAATTTGGTAGATTTTCTAGTATCATGAAACTTTATAATTTTGTCCATATTTTGTTGAAAAATAATAATTTAATCATAAGTTATTAACAATTAGGAAAAAATTTTTCAATATGCAATAATTTTGTCGCTATGACAGATGGATTTTTAATACACTGTAAGCCAAGCACTTTCAGATTACTCTAACAAAAATGACAAATATTAATTTCTTAAAAAGCTATAAATTTTTTTATAAACATTGCATTTTATTTAATGAACTAAGATTAAAAAAATGTCGTCCACACCATTGTATTCCTTCGATTTTTTTACTCAAGAGGAGATATTAATAATTAGGCCCTTTGTAAAATCGCTTGTAATTAGCGACAAGATGAAGCGCGTCAGAAGCGACGCCGGGCCGCTGCATATTATTAAGACAGAAGTAACATCACTAAGCGATTCAGCACTACCGGTCAAACATTAGGCACCTACCTGCCTTTAGCTTCAGTGATTTATAGTTACGAATCGTTCTCCTTATTTTCATAAAGGATCATCATTGACCTTTATGACATTCAATTATACCTGATGGCTGTACCCTGTGCCACACTTGGAGACTGACCAGTTTTCCTTTGTGTGCATAATATGAACTTAAACCTAAAATTGCCATCATTAGACGACTAAGCAATGCCATTCCACTTGGCTGCCAGCATCTTCAAGATGGTGAGACAAGATGGAAAAATTATATTTATGATTGGTAATGAATCCATACTGAGTCTTGGCGATCTAAAAAAGATTTGATAGTCGCAGAGCCAGAGTGGATTTGTAAGTTACAAGAAAAATATAAGAAAGTTGACATATCTTCAGATCAACTACATATTTTATTAGTATTCTGAAATATTCAGAAAATTACCAAGGTTTTTAAGTGTTCTATCGATATAGTTATTTTATCTAAATTACGTAAAAAACATGGTTTTCCAAAACGTGCGATAGAAATTAACAAGCTAAAAGAAAATTTGAGAAAAAACGAAATAGCTGTAGATTTCGACGTTTCCGACAATTATAAAATGTGTTAATTGCAATATTTGCCATTCAGTCAGTTTATTGCAGTAACGTCGTTTGAAACAAGAATGTATACTGTATACATTTGATGGTGCAGCAAGTCAGTATAAAAATAAATATAATTTTTCCATCTTGTCTCACCATCTTGAAGATGCTGGCAGCCAAGTGGAATGGCATTGCTTAGTCGTCTAATGATGGCAATTTTAGGTCTAAGTTCATATTATGCACACAAAGGAAAACTGGTCAGTCTCTAGGTGTGGCACAGGGTACAGCCATCAGGTATAATTGAATGTCATAAAGGTCAATGATGATCCTTTATGAAAATAAGGAGAACGATTCGTAACTATAAATCATTGAAGCTGAAGGAAGGTAGGTGCCTAATGTTTGACCGGCATTGCTGAATCGCTTAGTGATGTTACTTCTGTCTTAATAATATGCAGTGGCCCGACGTCGCTTCTGACGCGCTTTATCTTGTCGTTAATTACAAGCGATTTTACAAAGGGCCTAATTATTAATATCTCCTCTTGAGTAAAAAAATCGAAGAAATACAATGGTGTGGACGACATTTTTTTAATCTTAGCTCATTAAATAAAATGCAATGTTTATAAAAAAATTTATAGCTTTTTAAGAAATTAATATTTGTCATTTTTGTTAGAGGAATCTGAAAGTGCTTGGCTTTCGGTGTATTAAAAAATCCATCGCGACATCTTTCATAGCAACAAAGTTTTTACATCTTGAAAACATTTTATTGAGTTTTCCAAATTCTTGATAACTTCTTATCCTTCTTATAGAAAAAAGATTCTTATATAAAAAAAACTTATTATTTTTCGACGAAACTTGAGCTAATTGTAAAGTTTAATGATACCAGCAAATCTACCAAATTTCAAAAAAATAGGTGATATGATACATTTCCAAGGTTCGAAATAACCAAGAATATACCAAACACCAACAAAAAATCGAGGTTAAGCGTGTAAACAATAATAATATATAAACTCTAGCTTTGACTGACTAAAACTAACAAAAATCGAAGTAGAAAAAACACAACGCATAGTAACATAATAAGAATATATACTTTGACAAAATTTGTAACATTTCACCAATTGTGTATATATTATGAAAAATAAAGATATATAAGCTGACCATTGAAAAACCTTGATCCTAAACATTGAATCAATACTTATGGTTAATGTTTTTAAAAATTTATATTCCGAATAAAGCATGTACGTACATACCTGTCAATTAAGAAAAAAAAACTGAAAAAATCAATGAGTACACGTATAAATACGCGCGCGCGCGTGTGTGTGTGTGTGTGTGTGTGTGTGTGTAATAAAATGAAACATTGAAATTTTATATTTCATTAAACTTTGTTAATTAACTCAATTTTTTCACTATGAGCACGATTCCAACAGTCTTATAAAGCATACTACTGTGGGCAAAAAGTAAGGTGAATTTTCAATTTAAACTTCGCGGGCTTAACATTTCGGGCTAGTTCTTTTTTTCTTGAGTTGGTAGGACTGCGAATGACATCTGGGACAAATTTCATGTCAATGTCATCATCAGTAATATATTTACGCTTGTGTTTACCAAACGACCAAGAGTGCATGTTTCGATTTTTACAATGTCTGATTTAATTGAGCAAAGAAGTGCCATCAAATTTTGTTTGCGGAATGAAATTTCGGCTGCGGAAACGTTGAGGATGTTGCGGAAGGCCTTTGGTGATTCTACCATGTCGCAGAAAAATGTTTATAAGTGGTACAAAGACTTCAAAGAGGGTCGAGAACGTGTTGATGACTTGGAGCGCTCCGGACAACCATCGACGTCAACAGATGACCAACACGTCAATAAAGTGAAGGAATTAGTGCTCGAAAATCGTCGGTTGACTGTTAGAGACCTTACTGATATGATCGGAATATCAGAAGGATCTGTGAAAATAATTTTGAAAGACCATTTGGGCCTACGAAAAGTCAAATCTCGATATATTAATGATTAACGACAAGGTTATTAGTAACTATAACCAACAGCATACATTCTCTTTTCAATTGGTACAAGTTTGATTGAATTTTAATATATATTATCATTTACATACATACAATTATATTTTGAATAATAGTTCTAAAATATTTCAATGTTTATACATTCACATCATCCATGTGGAGTAAATCTATAAAATAAAATACTTATTTATTACAATTTTTCGTACATTATAATTAATTAGTCTTGTAAAATGCATAAAAAAGTTCCTTGACTTCCATGTCAATACCTTATATTTTATTTTTTATATTATACATTCTGAATTTTTACCAATAAAACTAATTCGATTATCTTGCTCTTGTTTAAATTTCTGAATATTTTTCTTCTTTGTAGGTGTATATGTAAGACGAAACAGTACTCTGTGCAATAACGTCATTGTGTATCTGCCAACATAGTCAAGAAAAGCATTTCTTTATTGTAACTACGTACATTTATTCTCTAAATAGAAATAAAATTTCAATAATGTTGAATTATACATACGCCCGCGCGCGTGTGCGTGTGTGTATCAACAAACCTTTATAATATAAAACTTCCATTTTTTTCGATTCAAAGAATTATGATTCAAATTTTTAAACATCAGATAGTTTTTCAAATTGCTTTTACTATCTTTACATTGTTCTCATTAACATGACTCGATTGATTAATCGATTCAGAAAATCTTATACGTAGAATTTTCACTGTTTGTGATTCTACAATTTTTTTATCGATATATACAAGAAAGTGTTAAATAAAATACTAGATGACGAAATATAAATCTAGATAATAAAGTGAAAAGTTGAAGAGAAAAATTGTTGACTATTCCCCAACACTGCGACAAACAAAATTGTACAGTGTAAAAAGAATATATATATATATATATATATATATATATATATATATATATATATATATATATATATATATATATATATTATGATAAGAAATCTCTGGAATCACCATTTATTTCTGATGTCACGTTGTACGAATACATGTCAATATGAAACATTTCTATTTGTGAAGTTGTTTTTTATATATTGCAGTCTATTATTTTATATTTTTTTATATCTATGGGTGTAATAAAATAAAAAAATTATTTATATGTGTCTAATATATTTTCTATTTTATTCTTGCAAAATTTGAACGACAATTGAAAAAATCTGATCGAACTCTTTAGTGAATGCATACAAATATATTCGTCGCTTAGCGAGTGTATCAAGTGTGCAAACTTAGCGAAATATACTTATTTCAATTTGCGTATAGACTTTCTTCTTTGGCATATTTATATCCCTTCAAAGCCCAAACTTTGGCACACTTGACCCATGCTTCTACATTGATAATTGTTAATTATGTAAGAAGTACAAAATACCGATATCCTTTTTTTCACATTGATTCAATACAAAATGCACTGATCTCTTCGAAACTACAAAAATGAATACATAGAAGGCAATTTATTTATTCTTCAGAATTTGTTTGCTTTGCCAAGGCACGCTATGTATACAAATGTTATGAGATTAGTGCGCTATAATTTGTTTAATCTTGATGAAAATATTTGTGTTAGACATGGGCGATGTATCATACATTAAACGTTCGGTCGAATGACAATTGATTACAAATTCATATCAAGTTCATGTTATAATTTCTAACGTGAAATTTTTTTTTAGAATTTTCATTTCAAACTAATTGCCTAACATATCAGTCAGTAGATATGTTTTACAAAATACGTTTCAATATTAATTTTCGTCAGTTTTATACGATTACTTGATAAATTTTATTGTACAGTTTGGTCCAAGAATATTTTTAATTCTTTTTGATTTGTAAATGTCTGTTTTTTCTACATAAATATATTACTCGCATTCACATTTTTTTCTTAGTATAACCATATTTTTATCGATACATAGCTAATATCGATTGCCCAAATCTAAGCAATACTTTCTCATAAATTTTAAAAGTATAATGTAGTATTACATTTAACTAAATTTACAACATATGTATAAACATAAAATTACATAAATTATACTCCAATCACATTTCCATGCTAAATAATGATACACGATAATTTATTTTTTGTCTAAACAGCTTATTCAAAAATAAAAGTATGTAAATCTAGAAACATCTAGATAAATTTTTTAATGATTATTTGTTCATGATTATTTTTTGAAAAATAAAACGATACATACACAATATCGTGTGTATATTACAATTCAACGCATTAAATACATGAATTAATTTCATATTGTCAGTATATGAATCAAGTATTATAATGTTAAACAAGGAATGAATTAATTAATACGAGGAACAAATCACAGATTCTATTGCATAAACAATACCCAAAGCGGTAAATTCATTTGTTAGTCGTGAAAATTGGTAATTTTTGTTTCCATTAAATTTGCGGTGATCAATTGAATACTGCCTATTCAACATTTTCTTCTAAAAAGTGCCTCTAGTATCACAAAATACCAGAGTTACAATTGTTAATTTGTCGAAGTAGCACGTAAACTATATATCAATAATCATCGGGTGCTTTCATTTTTTATTGCGATTGCAACGATGTTAAATAATAAAATAATATAAAACTAAATTACTCGAAACTTCTACGTTTTGAGCATTCTCATTAGAATACACGTACAGATTTATAAGCCTTTTTGTTGCTGTTGTTTTCGCAGCTGCTCTTCCAACTCCTTCACCCGGAGTTGACTATTGGCTAGTTGACGTCTGACTAGCCTAAGTTCGTCAGTCTGCCGAAGATAAGCTACTCTCAACTCGGACTCATTAATTGGGATTTCGGTATCCAGCACTTTGTTGTCGTTGAGCGATGGTGATATATTATTCTGTATCAGAAAAGCAAATGTTTACATAACAATTGCCAAAAAAAATTTTTACATAGTCTAGTTAGTTATGCAATTTTGAAGACCATTAGTAATAATCAATTTTTTTTCAAAAGACTGGAGCAAATCTATCAAAAGCCCAAGAAATTAAAAAAAAATACAATGCCGAAACCTACCTTAGAATAAAGGGAAAAACTTCCGAACTTGCTAAGGAGCTCATAGAATTTGATGCTACATCTTGGTGTCTTCGAGATGACCATGCAAAGTGTTAGTGTGTTAAACAAAACAACTTACTCGTCAAAAAATAGCCTATGTACTAATGAAACTAACGGCAGACTTAGCCAATTTACGATAAATAAAAAACCAAACGTAAAGCGAAAAGCAACGCCATTGATGTTCAAATTCAAGCTACATGACATTAAATACAACACACCCCGTAAGTCTAAATATCGAATTAGTCATTTCAGTTTCACCTGTAAGCCGACATTGTTGAACTTTTGTTGCAGTTGATGAAATTTGGTGCTCTGATTGCTCGATGTCTTTTGACTTTTCTCCGATATTTCATTATACTCTTTAGGTCGATAATCAGGCACTGTTTCCGTCGACAGGAACGCGAATTTCTTCTTCGTGTTTGCGTCCGTCGTCGATGTCAGGTGAGAGGGTTTGTAAACTCTCGGCTTGTGCGTAGTGATGCTTCCACCTGAAATACGATACATAATGTAATCGCGACGAATGTTATGATTGACGGTATATTTACACATTGTACTAACCAGTCTTGAGTGATATCAGCACCGGCGGACTGTTCATTCCGCTAATCCAGTCTTTTGCCGAGATAGATGGTGTTGTACCCACAGTGTCTGGGTACAAATCATCTTGAAATTGATCGCTCTATATACACAATTCACATTAATTCAAGACGTAAAAGCTAAGCCATTTTCTGTATTTTGAAAAAATTAATGAAAAACTTACTTTACGAGGTACAATCATTGATATAGGCTCGCACATGCCCCTCGTGGCGTGCAATTTAAAAAATCTAAAGACCTCGCAGATTGACGTATTAACTCCGCGTTTAGGCATGACGCCAAGGCCACGCTGAGGATTACCAGATATAAATTGACTGAGATAATGCACCCAAGGTGCCTCGTTCACAACCTCGTAGTATCGGATATTACCGTCGCCCTGTAAATGCGTATACAGATATCAGTTATTTAAGATATTGATTCGTAGCGTGCGATTGAACATAATAAACGCAATAAACGACGGCTATTGACTTACCTTGCCAGCTAGGTAAACCATGTTGGTGTCGTGGTCGTAAAACGGAAAGACGATACCGCTGCTCGAGTCTATCGTTTCGCACGTCAACGGTGCTGACAAATCGTGTTGACTCCACACTGCGTACTGACGATCCGAGTGACGACTGAAACCGGTGGTCAATAGGCGACCCGATGCTCCTAAGAATACTACTTTGCTTGCTTTTGTTCCCGCGTGACAAATGCCCTCCTGTAAAAAAAGGCACGTTATCGTTAATTTACGAGCGGAACACACACTTGACGTAGTTTTCTGGTTATTATTCTTTATATTGATTTATTGATTCTTTAGCTGCGAAGGTAGTTCAAGTTTTTTAAAACAAGCACATACAAACTCGCGACTGCACACGATTTTCACGAGAGCCGTAAAGTTCACGCCAATGGTCGTTAAATTCATCAGCTAGTCTCCTTGCGACTTTCTTGTTTGGTGAACGCGCACGTTTCGTAATGACGTCCGACAGCACTGCACGATCGATTGTCATTAGCGATTGCGACAAAATGAAAATCGACGCAATCATCAACCGATCAACGAAAAGAAAAGTAAAATCGATATTTCGTAGGCCGTGGCGTTTTACTTTGTCTATAGCTTTCATCGAGGCAGACGCCGCGCAACCTTTCTAATCACGGCCTCAATGTCAGCATTCCAGCTCTCCTTCATTCCGTCGGTGCTTTTTAATGAATGTCGCCCTCTTTTCCGCTCGACAATCGATAAGAAGTCCTCGCGCACATGCACAAAAGCCGCCGCCGCCGCCGTCGCCGCCGTCGCCGTCGCCACAAGTGGCCGAGTTCAACTATCGGGAAATGTCGCACGACGACGAAAAGCCGACAACGCGCGGCGAACGGAGATATTACCGAGACGACAATGCCGGAGCGTGGCTCGAAGACCCTGAGTTTTTTGTCCTTGCAGGTGGTGGCCAACAGGCTTCCATCCCTGTTCAGGGACATGCTGTAGATGACATCGGGATGACGATCGATCACGCTCACCGCCTCGCCCTTGCTGATGTCCCACACGATCACCAGATGATCGAAGCCCGCGCTGAACAGTATGTTCTCCGCGGTCGGATGCCACTCGATGTAGCCGACCCGACGCTTGTGGCCCTGTAGCTCCACCAGCCAGTCCGTCAGATTACGGGACAGACCGCCGTCTGGGATGTGCCAGAGCTTCACCTGTCGACACCAACAACAAATGTGTGTTGCGCCGTTGATGCAAAAGTTACGAGCTTATCTAGAGATCATTTTACTGATCGATTGGCTTTTGGCTTTACTTTTGCACAACTCGCCGATCATTCATCCTTGGTGAAGTATTAACAAACATACGAGGAAAACTAGCTGTACAGTAATTCTGAGCAATCCACGCGAATGAAAAATTTCCAGAGGACTTTTGAGTGAGTGGATCCAAGAAAATGAATATTGCACACATTAGTTCTACTCATCTCCAGCGATTAGCATTCTCAAATAGACGAGTGACTCAGCAATCAAGCTCGTAGTCGCACAGTCGTAATTAAAAAACAATAAGGACGATCGACGTGCCGATTGGTCAGCGAGATCCGCTCTCGCGGCGTGGAAACAAACGGAGTCGCTCACCGTGCAGTCGTCGGACGACGAGGCGATGACGTTGTCGTTGAATGGATTCCATTTGATGTCGAGCACCGGTCCGGTGTGGCCCGTCACTCTGTTCGCGTTGAAATCCAGGCGTCCAGTCTGAAAGTGCAACGAGCGGTCACGGGCGCGCGCCTTGGCAATGAAAGTCGGCGCCAATCTTGCCCAGTGGCGGAGGAAAGCCGGGCGCCGGCTGCTCGCGCAATTAGCATCGGAAATAGGCAGTGAAAGTGCAATTAACGCCGGATGGCATTCGCTTGCGATTTTCATCCGCGAAACGCGTGCAACTGCTGCTGCTGCTGCTTCTTCGCCGTCGCGCTTCGGCGATTTTTCTAGCCGCGAGTGCGTTCGCCTCCTCGACGCCCACGGCCAATGAAAGTCTCGCTTTGTGCGCGCCTGTGCACGCCCTTATCGCTCTCTTTCTTACTTTATGTACTTTGTGGAAATTCGGCTGGGCAGGCGCGATCCGCGATTTCATTTGTCGCTCGGCTGCCTCGCGCTGGACGGCTAATTTGCAAATTCAAGGAGGCGCTTTGCGTTTCGATCTTGATCATGCAAATGCATTTGGCTCTCCGCGCTCTTCCAACATCTGCCCGCTCGTGAATCATCTACGCCTGGCGTTTCGCAATGCCTGGCCGATTATTCAGTCGCGATTAGCGAGATGGCGGATTGGCTTTTTACGAAATGCTAATCGATCGACGAGACGCACGCGCGCCTGTGAAACTCGAACGCGGCGCATCCTCCGACCGTGTTCTCGAAGCAATTGTAGATGAAAAACGAGACAGCGGCTGGCCGATGTGAAAAGTCCCGAGCATCGGTCGCCCAAGCGAGACCGAGCAGCAATTTCTGAATCTCGTTATCGCTCTGAATTCTCTTTAATAGAAGGGTTCGCGACGCAAGCAGGGCACTTTCACCGCGAACTAGCGCCGACCAAAAGTCGAAAGGATGAATTTAGCCTCGCACTTTCCTAGAGACGAGCCGCGGGAGCTGTGCCGGCGCGATTTTTCCGAGCGCTTTCTACGGAATTCCTCGGGGGAAGCGCCGAAGAGCGGCCGCCGCGTCGCTTTCTTCCAGCGGCTTTCCAGCGAGATGACGAACCGCTTCCTCGAGGCGGAAGCGAGTCGTTCTACGGGCGCCGAGCTGCGAGTGCCGAGAAGAGTAGAGTGCTCACGTGATCGAGAGGTAGCACGAGGAAGGCACCGCCGCCGGCCACCTCGGTGACCACGGCCAGGAACTTGGGATTGACGGCGCAGAACTGCGAGTCGTGGGCATTCTTCGTGATCTTGATGTTGTCGTAGCACCTCTCCCTCTTGGCCGGTGCGCCGTACACATGTCGGAACTTGCTGCTCCGCACGCCCCGGAACCACGACTGCAATCAGCGAACAATGCGTTACGTCGACACTGGCCAGACGACCAGCCAGTGGGATGGTCGTTCGAAGCCGACGCTCGCGTTGATCAACTGTTACGCGTTGAGCTACGTCAAAGCAGTGCGAAACGAAGAAGGAAAACGAAAGAACGAAAGAAAGAATGAAAGAAAGAATGAAAGAAAGAAGGAAAGAAAGAAGGGAAAAAAAATAGGAAAAATTAGGTCGCATGCGCAGCTTCGAGGCGAACTGGAAAGATGTCTCGGACTCACCTGTCGATCGTTGGTCATGGCCGTGGTGGACTGCGCGCCGGATCCATGCAACGACTCACTACTTCAACACACACTACTGGCGGGTAGCTCGCTACTGCAAAACAACGCCAAATAGACAACCAGACGGAGCCGAGACTGGCGGCGAGCGGAGCGCGCGGCGGCCGAGGCGCGACTGGCTGTGTGCCGCGGGCGCCGCGCGATATACACGCCCGTGCCGTGGCGCGCGCGCGCGAGCATCGATCGCGGAAGCTGCCCGATCGCCCGAGCCAGAGACCGGCCCGCAGGTAGCCGCAGGTTCAAGGCCGACGATTGTCTTTCTCGGGACCTCCTCTCCGTCGCCCTCTTCCCGCTCTCGCCGTATCGTAGCTTGCTTCCCCGCGGCCATTTGCCCCCAGTGACCACGGTATACGTATGAATACGGTGCGCGTAATCTACGGATTGCCGGACGGCGCTCGGTAAGGCATTACGTACCTGCGCGATCCGCATTTTCGTGCCCCGTCAAACCGAACGTCCGCAATAATAATCGGCCAAGTATGAACGGTCGGCCGGACGAGAACGAGGCGCGGCCGTCGCGCGCGCGCGGAATCTCGCCACGGAGGAGAAAGAGAGAAAGAGAGAGAGAGAGAGAGAAAAAGTGAGCGACGGCAACGTCGTCGCCTCGCAATTAAGCCGCATAATGCGTAATTAGTCGCGAAGGGAACCGACGGGAATTGAGTCTTTCCTGCGCGCAGGCGAGAGGCTGCTGCTGGCTACTCCAATTACGCCGGAGCGAGCGAGAAAACGGACCGGGCGGGGTATTTTTAGAGAGAGCGATAGAGAGCTCGAACGCGCGCGGCCGTTTTCTTCCTTCCCTTTTGTAGGGTGAGCCGCGGCGATCGGTGTGCCGATGCCGGTTTTCGGCGAGCGAGTCAGCTGATCGGCGCGCCCGCGCCGACGAGTATTGTAGCGCGCAACGGAGGCCACGCGACACCTTTCGTGCCACTCGTCGCACCTTCTCCGCGTGTCCCTTATGTCGAACCGCGTACTCGTTGGCAAACAGTGGCGAATGAGAAACTTGATACTGCTACTCGTGGCGTTTTACGCAAGCGCGCTTATCCAATTGGAGTTTATACCTTCCCAACGACACAACACCCGACGGCACGCTGTCGTATAGTGTCCCACGTTTCTCTTTCTCGCGACGATTCTACTGCGACTATGCGGCGATTATCGCTGCGCCGATACAATGGAATGTCACGACCGATAACTTGATATTCTCAGCGACACCGCCGTCATTGTTTTTTTCGTGCGACTTCTTTCGGCAATGAGCAACTTTGAAGTACCTTGCGCGCTCAATTAATTTATCGTCAAGTATCTACGTGTTTAATCGTGTTCGCAGGGCGAACAATCTTGATAAAAAAGAAATTCTTTCCACGCTCGTAAAATTATACTATTTCGCAGCTCGCTGAATCGCCGTAATCGCGTTGTGCGTTATCACAGCGATAAACTTACAACTTTTTTTTCTAGCGAAATTAATTTAACAGAACGCGATCACCTCGGATATCAGTGTCCCATCCTCGCCGTTACGCAACTAAAAGCTATGCGTGAACGATAATTCAGCGATTGTCATCGATCTCGAGTTACATCACGCGCCGTGTACACATCGATCGATAAACGATCATTGGGCAATAAAATAGCCTTTCGAAAAATAATAATAAAACAAAGAAAGCATAATGGAACGCGCGTTGAAAAAATAAGTCTTATCTCGCTGTGTGCCAAGAGAGAATGAGAGTGTGTACATAGCAGGGGCGCGTTTGGTCGTAAAAAGAATAAAGGCACGATGACGCTGTGGAGCGTGTTGTCTTTCCACCCATCGACCGACCTGATTCCAAATCATCAAATCGGTTAAATTGATTATAGAGATGCATCGATCCGATTAATCACCTCTCTCTCTCTCTCTCTCGCTCTTTTTAGAAGCATGGCTTTATTGCCATACAACCCGTGCGTGTCATTCGCGTTACGGGATATCGCTCGCAATAAAGAGGCGCGCTTAACGAAGGATTTGATTTTACGTATAGAGCCAATTCACAAGATGAATTTTGTGGATTAGTAGGACGTGGAGAGTCGTTGGGCTATCGATTGATGGGCCGCTTTTTGCTCGTTTCTTCTACAGGAATTCTCTCGCGGGTAATTGTACGATACTTGGGGGGAAATTAAATGGTGATTGCGGACTGGATAATATCGAGCAATAAAAGATTAGTGGAAAATACTTCTGGAGCTAAGTGAAACAATGATAATTCATGGAAGTTAACTAAAAGAATCACTGGTTTACTTCAAACAGAGAATGCAGGCTACATTGAGATGTTTAAATTGGAAAATAATTAATAAATAGAATAAATTGAAAATTTCTATATGTACATTAACAGTCATGCACTTGTTCCTGCGCAATCGTTCACTACGAAACGCGCAAAATGGAGCATTCTCAAACAAAAGTGCATGCAAAATCGTATATCGATAGGTCCCGAAGTATATTCCAACGCAACATTGCAATCTAATCAACTATGCGTTATAAATTAAAACAATACGAAAAGAAAAACAACAAATCGAGAATAAAGGCAAAAGTAATAACGTACGCACGAAAATTTGTAATGTTCGTAGAACTCGCACTTCAATTACAATGTAATCGCCACCGCACCAGAACAACCACGAAATAAAACATCACTTTCGGAGCAATAATCAAGCGTCGGTCTCTCTCCCTCTCTCTCTCCGACGCTTGAAAACCGCATCTCCGCTCTACTTCCTGGAGCTCCGCGGACGAACGAAAAAAATATCTCTCTCGGCAGCGGAAACTGGCGATAACGGTATATAATACACGCAAATCCCTAGCGTGTACAGGCACGAATGGCGAGAAATAAAGTATCCGGTTTCTTATTTTCGGATGCCCTGTACATTTCATTGTTTACTCGTATCGTAGTTGCGCATGCATCAACAACAATACCTAACCTCCGGTTTCACGTTACATGTAGAACAAGACGAAGGCGAAGGGGGTTGCCGTAATAAGATAATAGTATGGTAGTAATTAAATTTGAATGCAGTTATTACGTACCTGCTCGAAAGATTTGGAATGAAGAAGATTGCTGTCGAGGACAGCGGCGAGCTCGAATCTCTCGAGGAGCTCGCCTCTAATCCGTGGCATATCGCTGCTGCAGCTGACGCCCGCCGGCTTAAATGACGACGCTACTCCTACTACACTACACGAAGCTCCAAGCGGTTCACTCACTCGCTTTCTTTATGTAGTTAATGCGCGTGAGTGGCGAGAGCGGAGCCATGAATGTTTTGCTCTTCGATCGATGCTGACGCCTGCGCAGAGTCCGAGGCGGCAAACGCGCAGGACCTTTAATTTCGCAGCTGCTGTTCCGATGCACCAGCACCTGCCAGCTGGCGAAAATGCGCGTCCATGTGGCGACAAGCAGTGCAAGCACATGCAATGCACGCGACTTTAACGTACGAGGGTGCTGGTTGAATTGAGGAAGTGGAAGTACCTGGGTGTGCGAGATAAGTTTGACAAGGATGAATGGCGTGCTGGACAAGAGGAAGCACTCGCCTCTTCACCAGGGCGAGGAACAGCTGTCCGACCCTGAGGTGAGTTAGAGAAGTCACGTATGTTTCTCTTTATTTGGATTTTGAAACAGTCTCAGTCGAGTGAAAGCAACCGTAATTTTTTTCTTACAATGGTGTTCTTTTTAGGAGCACATCTTGAAAAAAAAATTACAAATAAAGTCACAGGCTCTTGTGATATTAGGCCAAGAGCTTGATCAGTGTAGAGTGCAGAGGGATAGGTATAAGTTAGTTGCTGAACAGTTGCAAGAGGATCTAGACAGAAGGAAACAAGCCAGCGAAAAGAAAATTATCAATGGCTTTATAAGTCCTGGATTCTCCATACATAAAGATATTCAAGGCAAAAATAAAGGAACTAGTCTAGAAGAGGAAACAAAGTTAGTGGACTTGCTACAAGAAGCCAAAGAGGAAAACAAGTGCCTTCGGTTGCAAGTCAGCACCCTGCGACAGAAGCTCAAAGAGGCTGAAGACGATATCAAAGCCCTGCGTTCAAAAAAGTCTAATGACTTCAGGCTTACCAGTGAAGTGACTCCTGCCTTGCATCAGAGAGAAGAGATGATAGAACAATTGGAGAAATTGAATATCAAGTGTATGCAGTTGAAAGTGGATTTGAAATCAGCACTGGATGAGAAACAAGAATTGGAAATGGAAAGAGATGCTTTCAAGTGTAAAGCTCATCGATTGAATTATGAACTTGCACAGGCACTTCATGCTTCTAAACCTGTAGACATAGATGCTCTGGTCAATGAAAATAGGTAAGTGTGCTTTGTGTATTATGTAATCTTGATATACATTGGTGTACTTATTCATCATGCCTGATTGACAGGTATTTACAAGAAAGACTTCAGCAGTTGTTAGAAGAGAAAGACTTGGCACAGCAATCTGTTCAAAAATACAAGGTATAAAAAATTCATTTTTCGATTTAAAAAATGACAAATAGGACATTCATCTATATGACTTTTTCAGAGTATGTTAGATAGCAAAAGACAAAAGGGAACAATCAAGTTGGGAGGAAAGTCATCGATGGGTTCAGTTATGACCTTCAAACAAGTAGAACAATTGCTTAAGCAAGGACCAAATATTCCAGCACAAAAATCAGTCGATGCATTATCTGAATTGCATAGTGTTTGCACTGCCCTTCTTGAAGCTGTCAATGATAAAAATTTAGCCTTAGCACATCAAAAAAAAGCAAACAAGTAATTTTTACCACTTGGAACAATATCAATATAATGATTCTTGTATATACAATCACCTTTCTAAATTACTTGCATGATTATGGAAAGCAAAGTATTAGATGGCTTTCTAAAATTTCTTTTCATGACAAAATATTCATTATGGTATTTCTTCATAATGTCATTATGCTTTTTGATTTATTAACTTGTACTCTTGCTTTTTTTATTACAGAATTTTAGCTTCAAGAATATGCGAATTAGACAGAACAGTGCAGTCACCAACGAATAGGCTATTAGAAGGCTACTCAAGCGCGGAAGTTGACGTGAAATGTAAGAAAAAGCAAATTATACGTAAACAAAGGACTACATCCATCATAGGCTCACCATAAATTATCATTGTTAATACTTAAAAAATATATGCATGTTTGCAGGTGATTCAACTAGCGTCACATCAGACTTATCTGAGGAGCAATCTGAAAGCAAAACATTTGAAGAGACAACCGCGGATCAAGATACCAAGAGCAAACAATCTGACGAGACAAGTAATACCAGTGCCGAACCTTGCATTAAATCCAAAGACTGTATCGAGTGTTGCTCCATGAAGAGCAATATCGAAGAAAAAATTCAAAGATTACTCGATGAAGAGATAGAAACTGAACAAGAGAAAAGTTTCTTCCGGCCGATACATTATCTAGAAAGGAACGAAAATGAAGTTCAAATTCTGAATTTCAACGAGAGACTCAAACTTCTTCCTGAACATTTAAGAGAGCTTGTACAAAAAAATCTCGACGAGTTGCGTGCGAATGATCGTTGAAGAAAGACGTTTCTCTAACATTATAATTAAACTAGTCTGCGCCATTCCAAAGAATTTTTATACCGATACACTAAGGATTCACACTATCACATATACACAATACACACAAAACACACAATGCGTATCTTACTAATAAAGAACGTTATTTATGGATTGTTAAGCGATCGTACATTCTTTTACTTTCTTTTTATTGCCTTCTACGACAACATTTCTATTTACATTACAAGTTGTCACTTGCTAGAAGTCGTAGAAAAGGAAGAAACAGTAGATATAAATTAAACACATTCGTCTCGTACAAATAACAAGTAAAGAGTTCTATGTACACATAATTGTTACAACGCGAAGTCATCGCAGATTTGACTTGATCCAGTCGAGGTACTCTGAGACGCGAGTGTAAACGCCAGGATAGCCGGGTTCACCGCACTTGTTGCCAAACGATACAATGCCGATTTGCATCCAGCGATTTTCCACGCGAAGCATCAAGGGACCCCCTGAGTCGCCTTGACACGCGTCTTTACCACCTTGGCTATATCCTGCGCATAGGAAGTTCGAGGTGATCGGTTGGAAATACGCTTGGTTGCAATCGTCGTTGCGCCACACGGGTAGTACTGCTTGACGTTGCACTGTACTTTCCTTGCCACCTGCAATGTATTGCATTTTGGTTACTTATCATTCAATTTAAGTATGAATTATGTGTTCGTTTCGGGCGTCGACAGTATCGACGAAGTTTTTTTTCACAAGGATCATATTTTAAAGTCGTCGTACAGCTATTTTAAGAGTCGTCGTCGACTTACCGTAATAAGTGGTACCCCATCCAACAACCGTGGGCCTGGCACCGGCAAAGGCTTCGCCCTTATGTCGCGATTGTGGTAGGCAAATCGGTATAGCGTACGGCGTTCTCCTGACAGGACGGTCAAGCTCCAAAATTGCAATGTCGTTGTAAAAGCCGACGCGCGAAAACTTGCTGTGCGCGTGGATCTCTTTGACGTTGTAAGTTTCAGGGATCGACGGCTCGTCATCGTTCTCGAGGTCAATGTCGCCGAGTCTAACTGTAAACTGCCTTGCAAGGAATCTATAAAGAAACGAGCAAACGTTAACGGTGATTGCAAGGAAAATGGGTACTTTCCAATCCTAATTTTCCTAGGAAATCATTACGACCGCAGGTCAGTCGAACGATATGACGCAGCGCGGAGGAAAAGCTTTCCGACAGGGGGCTGTCTCGTTGGTCAATGATAAGCTTCACACTCACGGGCGTTGCCGCTGGTCTCTGGTACAGTGAGCAGCGGTGAGAATGTGCCGACTACCAATCAGCGAGCCACCGCACCAGAACTCAGTGCGCCTCGCGCCATGGAGGAATATCGCAGCCATCCATGGCCAGCGACCTGGCAGTGCCTCCTCGCCACCTACGACTCGGTACTTGCCCGCGTTCCTCACTCCACACTCTGCGCATACGAAGATAGTTACGGTCTTTTTTCTTCTTCATCTTCTTTCAAGAGAGAGCGAGAGAGAGAGAGAGAGAGAGAGAGAGATAGAACGATTTAAAAAGTGAAATCAAGACGTCATACCATCATCGTCGATGAAATTGTTGTCGATCGACTCGAAGCCACTGCCAGTCGAGTTGTTGCCGAGCAAATCGGTTGGATCTGGCTTTGTCGGTCTTCGCGTTGTCGTCGTTGGTACCGGGAATAACGGAATAGGTCTTGGGGTTGGTTTAGTCGTTGCGCTGAAAATCATCGTCGATTTCTCACTTTTGGTCGTTTTGCATTTTTCACGATGATTCACGTTTATTAAGAAGAATACAAAAGATACGATAGGGTCATCCAGCGACTAACTGAATGCGCAAATTCACAGCAAAGCGATCGATCAGATACCTGAGTGCCGGTGGTGGCGGCGGCGGAGGCGGCGACACATTCGGAATCACGATCTTCTCGACGGGACAGCAAACTCCAGGTACAAACAAGCTCTTGAAGCAAATGGATTTTTTCAGCTTGGTCAAGTCCAATAGCAGTTGCGGACAGTTGCTCAAGTCTTGACACTTTCCCGGGCCGTCGTCAGCGGTGGTACAGCTGGGCGGCGCTTCGTTGCTGACTTTGGGATCGCGGTCCAGCACCTCGACGACGTTGCTCGACGCCTCGGAAAGAGCGATCTCGCTCGCGGTTTCCGGCAGTTCGGTCGTCGTCGTCATCGTCGTCGCTGTCGTCGTGGTGGCCGTTCCGGTGGCTGATGCCGCCATGATCGGCACCGACGGGAAGGCGGCGGGCGTGGTTTGCAGCGGAAGAGACGCCAACGCGAGCGGCACCGGCGGCGGCACCAGCGGCGGCACCAGCGGCGGCGAGCTAACCGGTCTGCGGAGAGGAATCGGTGATGACCTCGCGCGAAGCCAAAATCGAGGAGCGACTCACCTCAGCGGCAGCGCGACCCCGCGAACCAGCGGAGCGATGCTGTCGGTGACGTTCCTGCCAAGGATGTTCTTCGAGATGGTGTAGATCGCCGAAGGCAGCTCCTTCGGCGGATCCGACGACTCGACGCCCCTGGTCATGTTCACGATGAAGCTGCCGACCGTGTTCAAAGCGCCCAGAGTCTCGGTGATGGCAGCCAGCGGGTCGCTTCGTTCGGCTGGCGGTGGACTCTCCTGCACTCGAACCAGCTGCAAGTGCGGACGCGGCGGCCGAGTGTCCCGACGAAGCAGTGGTCCCGAGCGAATCGGGATTTCCGACTCGGACCAGCGACGTATCGGCCCGTACGACGACATCTGCACGTAAGGCGAGGGCGGTGGCGGTGCTGGTGGGCCATAGCCGAACGGCCCCGATGCTGCTTTTCAGAAACAACAGCGAGGCATTAGGTTGGCCCGAGGTCGGCGTCGCGATTGCACGTCGACTTTCGGTTCGCTCGAACTACCGGCGGACGCTTTGTCCAGGTGTCCAACCGAGCAGGCCGAAAGCGCGGCCGCGCGCGTGCAATCGCGACGAGGCGGCGTTCATTTGGAAACTCACGCTGGCTACGGATTTGCACAAGTTCCTCGGTGTACGCGGAGCCGGCAGCGGTCAAGCTCGGCACCAAGCACAGCCCTGCAACAAGCGATCGAAACCGTCAAGTCAAGTGCTGGTGAAAGCAGCGCGTTGCAAACGCGAGAGCGTCCGAGCAAAAGGACAATGCGCTATTCGTCGTCGCTCGACGCGCAGTGAAAACCCATCGGTTATGATAGATTAGAAACCCATTAATCCGCAGTCACTCGCGGCTAATACGAGACTTTCTTGCGGACTGCCCAAAGTGCGCTTGAAAAATCGACGCGAGAGAAAGGCTTTCACTTTTTCGAATCGAAAGGTGGATGCAGCATGAAAAACGGCCGATTGGCGCGAGGGGGAAGGATGTGCAATGCAAAATTTCTCCTTGCTTATGACATTACGAGCTTTTTTGTTCAACCGCTCTGAATTGATGCTCACCAGCTCTGCTTTCTATGCGTCGAAGCTACGCAAACCAGTTTTCAAGTTCCTCGAGTGTTTTACATGAAAAGACGCTACTTCGATGCGGTTCTTCGGATCGAATTTACAAGTGAACGATGCGCTCGTTAAGCCAGACAGCGCAAAGTAGTCTAGGTGAGCATTGTATCAAACGAATATTGAACTTCTTATAAATGTACGTATCCGTTCGTCAGGCCGCGATAACGCCTGCTTTTCGACATTGCCAGACAAAATAAGAGCAATGACTTTACATCCGAAGTGCCAAGGTATAGCGACATAGTGATTTGGTGACTCGAACGTTGCGTTTGACTGGCGCGTTGCGAAACCGTTCTTTTTTTTTATCTATGTAATTGACGTTTTTAGATTTGGGTCGCGCGGCCAATAAAAGTAAAATTTATCAAAGCTGCTGATAAGGCGACTGCTTTCGAAAAAGCAATGAATTATTTAGCCGGCAAGAAACTACCTGTGAAATTCGAACAAAATAAAAATTAGCGACAAGCGGAAAAAGGTGAAACCGACCTTTCAAAACCATCGATTCTCGCAGAGCTTGCGCAACACACAGACATTGACGTAGTAGAAAAGCGTGTCCGGGATCTGGTAAAAACCCCGACGTGAACTCATCGCGGATACCGAACCCCCTTCGGTCACATAAACGGCGGATTGGCTAATGCGGATCAGGGCTTTCCCCTCTCCTTGGAAACGTAAAGACACGGAGTCTGAAGCAGTAAGTTTCTCTAATTTAAATTTTTCGCGCGTAGCGCGCCGCTTTCGTGCGCGCAATGACGAAAGCCGCGCGCGGCCACGGAGCTTATTCCTCCTTCGAGATATCCGCGATCGTAAATAATTCTTTCGAGCTGCTTCTTGCGAACTTGGCTGCCTGCAGTGTTTTCGTTTGTATGCTAGACAACGTGACTTTGGATGACGAATTCGCGGGTTCATTTGGAAAGGAGCACTTTTCCTCTCGTTCGAAGTGAAGCATACGTTTAGTGTTTCACTGGAAAGTTATCGAGGGAGATGTTTTACGAATAATCGAGACACTTTCTATGGAAATCCTGTTAAAAAATATTAAGTTGAATAGTTGTTCCTACTCGAAAAAATACATTCAATGAAATGAACGTCAATATCTAATATACTATCAACAAAATCACTTTATAAGAGGAAGATTCCTCCAACCAAGCAGAATATTCTTATTATGAAGGGATTATTTTTCAAAATGCTTTTAGAGACGAGTTACCTTTCGAAACTCTTCGAAATAAGCTTTCAAAGAATTCTTCATTTACAGAATTTTATTGCGAAGCATTATTGGTTTTTAATTTTAAAAAAGCTCTCAAATGAGAGATGATAAATTCGTCGACGAAAGTTAATTTTTACTCGAATTGCAATTTTCGCAGCTTTCAAATGAACGAAGCGATTCGCAAAGAAGACTGTAAAACATCTTGACAAGCTTAATCTTTAGCAGACGTCGTAAACAGTACTTCCTGCGAACTCGTCTGTTTTTCCAGCTTGTATTTCCCCCAATCAAGCCATCAACCTCGCGAGTCAAACAAAAAAAAAAACAGGCGCCTCGTTCCACTAATCGAAAACAATAAGAAAGAACGGAAAGCGCGCGCGCATTATCTAATCGTTAAATTTCACCTTAGAGCTACGCAGGTGAAAAGCCGTGTCGATAAGATGTCAGCTGGTACATATGAAGTAATCGTCAGCGCGAAGATCCGGACGCGACGACGACAACGACGACGACGGCGACGAATTACGAGAACGGGATTTTTCGGTATGCGAGGCGAGTGAGCGGGTCGGGCGCGAGCGGAGTCGCTTCATCGACGGTGAAAGTCCAAAACCTCAGATGAGAAAGTGTGCCTTTCTTCCTCTCACTGATTCATTGCCAATACGCGCGCGCATACACACACATGTCGAGCAGCAAAATAAAAGTGGCTTAGAAACGATCCCTACAAGAGTCTCATTGTGTTGGGATGATGTACGACGAGATTTGGCATGTGGTTTTATAACTTGACATACTTTTTTAGTACGAGGACGGCAACAGTGCCAGTCGGCGCGCGCGTGCGTACATAGAAACTGTTCGATTTAGCGTTCATTTCAGTAAATGAAATTTTGGGTCGGATTCGTCACGCTCATTAAGGTTGAGCCAATCAATTTCCATTTATTTCTGTCATTTTCGACATTTTTATCGTAACGAGCATTTGATTTTTTTTTTCATTTTTTTGTATTTTCTTACTTTCATTACAGAATGTTATGAAGAAAAAAACGAAAAGTGAAAGTTTTAAATGTCCATTATCAAAAGGCGTAAAACTGAGAATGTCATTTCAATCAGCGAGACAAGTTTGTCAAATAGTGATTTTTCTTTTAAAAAAAGGAGCTTTCCAGCGAGAAGAAAACGAAGCAAACTGCCGATAATCCAAAGCAATTGACGCCACACTTCGAGCTAAAGACAAAAGCTGCGGAAGTGAGTCGAGGCCGAGAGAGAGAGAGAGAGAGAGAGAGAGAGAGATAAAGTGCGCTGACAAAAAGCGTCACAACTACGATGCTTCTCGTGCCACTCGCGCAAGTTTCTCTCCGCACGTCGTCGATCCGTTCTCGGCCAAGTTTTTACGCTTGTCCTGGACCTATGCAAATAACCACGGAGATTTCACCATGTCCACGCGAACGTTGAAAGCGTTTCCTTGTCGTCTATGACATTGACACTGGCGATAGTACGGAGACGCCGTTTTATTTTTATCTCCGTTGCTCTCGTTCCTTCAGTTTTCGGGGCCGTGCGCGACGCCTTTTGCTTTTTATTTCCCCCTCGTCCCCCCTTTGAGAAACCGGTATGCGCCTTTATTTGTGTACACACTTTGATATCTCGGCGGCGTGAAAGCGCGAACTCCTTTACGGCGGAATTCCGCTCTTGCCATTGGCTCGGAAAAACACTGCGCGTCGTTACGCGAAACATTACAAAGTCGCTCTCGTCGCCGGGACCTTTTCCACTGGGCAAGCCCTTCCTATCTTACTTCAACACATCGCGAAGACCCAGTTTTCGTTTCAGCCCGAACGGCGAATCTGGATTTTCGAGCCCGCACGTGCGCGCGCGAGCTCCGAAGCGTCCGAGCGAGCGCCGAGCAAATCTTGCCCCGAAAGTAGAGTTCCTTTGGTATCTCGGACGAGCTCCCCGAAACCGTAGTTAGCCGCATTGGAGACGCGCGCGCAATTTGCGCCCGCAGCAATGGGAAAAATAAAGGAAAACGAAAAAAATAAGGCGGCGATCGTTCCCGATTTCTTTTCTCATTGTTTGCCGCGAGCGCGCACCGCTAACCCAGATCGGTCCGGGACTGCCGCGCGCTCCAGGGCCTCCGCGTCGTCCTCGCAGCATCCTCAGCGCAGCGCCTTGCGGTTCTTTTAATGGATTTCGAGGCTCCATTTTGCTGCTCGCCGCGCTAACGGTATCCTCGCGCCGGCGCGAGAGAAATTGATGCGCTCGCGCGCGATACGCCGCGGAAGATGCAACTGTATTTTACGCGGCGCTGCTCGCTGCTCGCTGCTGGATCCAGCCTTTTGCTGGCGACGCGAATCGAAAAGCTGCCTGCTTTCCGCACGCTTGCAGTCGCGAAGGCGACTTCGCTGCTCGTTGACAGTTGATTCAAACGACCGATAGTTTCGTTTGTTTTTCAAACCGACGGTCAACGAGCAAGCGTTTTGCATCGGAAATTTTATCGATTTCAAATTAAAAATTCAGCTCTCTTAATTTAATAGCTCTTGATGCGAACGGCAAATCTCACCACTTTCACCAGAACAGTTGGTCGCAAATGAGATAAGTAGAATGCACTCACCAATGAAGGCCTGAAAGGACAGCATCGTAGGGCGACTCAGCCAGCAGCGAAACCGACAAAAAGAGATTATTCGATCGAGCGCTCAGACAACACTCGGTATCACGCGGGTTGCCGGTCCGAGTGTATTCACCACACTGTCGCGCGCACTCATATCATCGCGATCGGCGAGCCTCTACCAAAACGCGCACTCCTCGCGCTCCGATAAAGAAAACAAAGGAGAAACGAAGAGCCCGTGGCGTGGCGCTCCCGCTATGGATTTGTGTGCGCGTAGCTGCGGAAGTCGCGCGCGCTTCGCGACGACGATCCCGACTGGCCGTGAAAAGACCTCGACACACTTCCCATTGCCAAGAGGCATCCCCGTGCTCGCGGCCGCCGCTGCCACCGCCGCCGCAGCCGCCGCAAGGGAAAGTGCTCGAGTGCGATAGACCCCTTCCTCTCCGCGCTGTACAGCCGGTTCCTGGTCCCTCTCGCGCGCTCGTCCGTATTCCGAAGATGTATATCTAACGCCCCAAATATCTGTCATGCGCCTCTCACGCGTATACGTTTTCGGCAAAAGTAAAAGTTTACGCATACCTACGTCACCGCTCCAGAGCGCGCTCTTTGCGCTTTAATTGTGTTTTTCTTGTTCCTTTCTTTCCTCCTCAAGCGTTTTGGGAGCGGACTCGCGTCACCGGTGCCGGGAGGACGAACGAAAGCAAGACTTGTAGTTTGTTTTTGCACGCTCGATACACGAGCAACGTAAATCAGAGGAATGTTTCATTATCGCGGTACTTAAGGGAGATCTTTTCATTTCAGTTTTTGATAGTTATTTCATTCGGGCGTTTTGCGCTGGAATGAATCGACTAATAAATTACTTACTCGATTGATTGTTCAATACTTTTACAAGGGATTAGAAAAAGAGTGTGTCAGATTAAATCATATTACCACCAATTGTTATTAATAATCTGAGTTTTCTTTTATTACGAAGCATAAATCATGCTACATATAAGTTCGCACTTACATTTGTAAACTCTCAAATTTCATGATAATTATAGCTAATATTACGTAAAATGAAATTCATTATAACGGTCATGTTACCTTTTTTAGATGGTTAAAGTGTATTTTCTTTTTATCCTTCCAGAAAAAGTATACATACATAAGATTAACTTAGTGTAGCTGAAAACAATGTGCGAGGGTTGAATGGAAATGTTTATCTTTCCACGTGATAATAATGGTATGATCATCTGTACACATTATACAGAACTAAAATGGAAAATCGATTTAAGATCTTATTATTTTTCAATACAATATTCCATTATATATAGTTTACTTGTATGTAAATAAATTGCCATGACGCAAATTATATGTGAATTTGCTATATTATTCGGCGCATCCATCGAACGTAAAATTACAAAAAATAAGGAATATCGAAAGTCTTCAGTACAAAAATTCACTTTAAGCTTCGTTTCTCTAACTTAAGTATTCTTATTTTATTCGATAATCGTACAATCATTTTAAAAAAAGGACCCGCAGGTTCTTTTTTTTTGTTTCTTTCACGTTATAAAAGCCTCTGATGACGCACCAGTGTGATGTGCTTCAAAAAATCTTGAGAAGTAAAAAATTCTCAGACTTAATATTTTCTCATGTTCTGCATTGAACCTTTATACGAGTCGTATCTCTCATATGGTCCGCTACTGTTTCCTTGCGACATTCCGTACTGCGGTCCACCTTGGTATACTTGAGATCTGGGATGGCCACCCATATTGTTACCCATGTTATTGGAATTATTCCATCGGGGATTAGACGGTCTGAAGTATCATTAAAAGTAACTTAACGTACATAAAATATAAGAATGAAATTAATATAATAAAAAAAATATTTACCTCGTGTCTGATGATCTGCTATTCCAACCAGTCTGTTCATTACGATTATGAGTTGGGTTATATGGCTTTGAAGGAGGACCCGAATGCCATCCCGTAGGTCTATTTTCAACATACCGATTGTCACCTAGAAAAAAAAAATTTATAATATAAGATATTGATAGAAATATTAAAACATTATTTTAAAAAAGTAAATACATACGAGGATTTGGCTTTGAATTTTCATATCGATTGTGTGTATCTCGAGAGCTTCTGTGAGTGTCGTCCGGTCTATGAACTTCTCTATCACGTTGAAAATTTGATGGCCGCTCATACCTTCAATTAAAGATAAATTTTACAAAAATTGCCTATTTAAGAACATTTTCATTCAAATATAGTACGAAGAAGCCATGACATGCCTTTCTTTAGGTGGACGATGATCAATTTCATTGTGATTTGGTCTGCCTTCTCTACGCACAACAACGTCTCTACCACCTCTCGGATCTGAATAGTCATCTCTTGAATTTCTCGAACTTCCAAAATCAGGCCGTGGTTTGAAACTCTTCTGTACAGGAATATCCTTAGATCTCGAGTCGAACCTCGAAGGCGGTGGACTATGTCTACGACTGGACGAATGTTCAGTTGCAATCCTCTTGCGTTCGGGTTCGTAAGCATCCCTTCCTTCGCGTCGCTCGCCTGTAGGTCTTTTGATGCCTGCAGGTACAGGTGGTGGTGCTCCTCCTCCTCCGCCTCCTCCTCCTCGACGTGTCTCTTCTTGACGCATCTGCAGTCTTTTCAGTTCCAATCTTTCACGCTCCAACTTTTCTCGTTCGACCTTTTGTCTTTCGCGTTCCAAGCGCAAAAGTTCGGCTTTCTCTTGCTCGATGCGTTCGCGTTCCATACGTAGCTTCTCACGTTCACGTTCGAGACGAGCGGCTTCGCGTTCAATGGCTCGTTGACGTTCCACATCCTCGCGTCTGCGCCTCTTCTCCTCGCGTACCACGCGCTCCTTCTCACGAACTCTCTGTCTCTCACGCTCCTCCTGGAAAGGTCACATACACATCGGTAGTTTAGTATAACCTAAGCTGCTTGAGACCGTGGCGACGATAATGCAGAACACAAAGGACAAAAACATATACTTTGATTTTAGCAAAAGACAGTACGTTATCTCGACTGCGATTGCGATCGCGGCTCTTCGAACGCGATGCCTTTCTGTCCCAAGAGCGTTTCTTGTCCTCGCTTCTGCCACGCTCGCGATCAGATCTTCGACCCGAGGATTTGTTGGAGCGGGTATCGCAGTCCTTTAGCGATCCTTCATCCTTATTTTCACTTGTTTCGCGTTTGTCTCTATCATTTGAGTCATCCGCAGATTTATCGACGGCATCATGCAACGAATCATCGTCTTTCTTCTCGGCCTGATTCTTCTCTGAATCTTTGTCTTTTGACTCAGATTCCTTAGATTTCTCTTTATCCTCAGGCTTATCGACCTTTGCTGTTGGCTCGCGCTTACGATTATGAGATTGTGCGTCGCCTTTAGCCTATATTTTAGAATAAAAAGATTAAATTAGCCAAAGATTCGCTAAATTATTTATTAGTTTTCATATTACTTCAATAAACAAAATTAAAATTCACCTTTTCAACAGAGATGACACGTCCATGTAGTTCAGTCCTGTGCAAATGTTGAATGCACTTTTCAGCATCATCGCTCGTGGACATGGTGACATAGCCGTAACACCTGGCTCCTGGAGTTTTCGCATTGGTAACAACTTTGGCACCGATAACCTTTCCATACTTGGAAAATATGGACTTTAAGTCGGTTGCACGAGTTGTTGATGACAGCCCAGATACCCACAGATTTCGGCTGGCAGTTGTGGATGCTGTTCCTTTGTCTGAAATTAATGTACATTTAATAGATATTTTAAATCATCCACGTATTCTAAAGTAAACTTTGCAATGTATACCTTTGTCATCTTTCTTAGAACCCTTTCCAGAGGCATCACTACTGAAATTAACAGTCAGAATAATGAGTAAAATTCTTATAGATAAACTTACAATTGAAGAATAAGAATGAAATTAGCTAATTAATAATAACAGTATCGAGGCTAAATAATCATCTCTGCAATTATGTTAAGAGCATATAAATTTGGCTAGCAGTTCTCCGAAACGAATTAGTGTCCACAATTATCTTGTCACTGTTCAAACACCACTTTTAGATTCAGTTTTTTCATTCGTAGCAAATCAACACATCATTGTCCATATATAATATAAATCTTCTGATCACATCATCCTTGTTTATTTGTACACGTGACAACAGCTTCAATCTTCTTGTATTTCATCAATCTCACACTCTTTTTCCGAGTTCTTACCATGTTATTGTTTTGTATCTGCGCTACGTGTAAGAAACGCGTGTATATCAAACTTAAAAATTGACAAAAAGCTGTACATACTCGCCAATAGTATCTTCTAATCCTGCGTGGAAGTAAAAATGTAAAATCAAGTCGGCAGCTCGCGTGCAGTTTGTTTTTAAATAAAAAAAATGACAAGTATACCCATGCAGATGTAGCGTAGGCGGCGAAAAATGTCAAGTGCTTTTGTTTGATAAAAAAGTAAAATCGAGTAGTAGTACGTAGCCGCGGGTATACGTGCCTCGGTTGCACACACCAACGTTGCTAGCCAAGTTATTTCGTCCTTAACATAACTTGTCAGAGCTAAGAATTCAAGCCTGCGAGTGAGGAGTGCGCAAAAGATTCTTGCTCCCGTCAATATATATTTTTTAACATAGACAATTTGCTTCGAGTACTCATCATAAGTTAAAATAGGGATGCAAAGCAATACATCTTGGATGTAAGTGTGTGAGATATATAGTAATTGAATCGTCGATATCTCTCCCTCCCTCTCTCTCTTTCTCTCTCTCTCTCTCTCTCTAAGAAGCGTCGTCCAACATGTATATAGATAATAATTCTCGCTCGCTCATCTCTCGCTTTCATCTCTCAAGTTCGTCGTCAGGTAATCATCTGCTATCATCAGCGCACAACCAACCTCTTGGTTCCATCGGTATCCTTGTTGGACGCAGCTGCACTGGTCGACGATGATGTGGCTCCTTCCTTGTCGCTGCTGCCGGCAGCTATGTCCGCTCTGCCGCTCCCTTTAGAGTCTCCCTTCTTGTCGTTCTGGCTTTCTTCCGTTTTCTTCTTGGCGCCTCCATCTGCTGGGACAATCAAGGTTGCAAATCTCTCATCAATCTCTCTTTGAGCTCTCTCTGATCTCTCACAGCGAGCTTTCTTGTGTATTTGTTTTTACATATATATGTTTTCAATTTTTATGTCAAGAAGAGAAACTAGAAAGGGGGTAACCGGCATTGCGGCTCAGCACAGCTGTTGTACGTATGAGGGAGGAGCGACAAGGTTATGTGATTGATTTTTTCTTCGATTTCGCTAGCCCAAGGATTGTTGTGACAGTAGGAATGGTTGTAATTTTTTTGTAATATTTTTTGAAGAAGCTTGGCAAGAAGGTTAATAAGTGACGTATCTGGTAATAAGCTATTGTAAACGACGTTCAAACATCCAACGACGCATCTATGCGGTAGGTCATAATGAAATAATTGCATTAGGAAATTGGTTTGGCTATTTGTAACTAACTTAATTAAAAGACTAAAACTTTTATATATGCCTACGTATTACTGTTGCAGCAGAGTTTTTTTATAAGTCGATACTCAAAGAAAATATAGATGAAAAATCGCGTTGTTTGGTGCCTTGGTTGCTGTTGTCCTTCATTTCACCCTGGGTTGTAGATGCCATGGAATCCAAATGTCCTCAATCCACTGGTTGTCCATTATAGATGATACTTCTCTTTTAAAATCCGTTAAAAAAAGCCGAACCGCGTCATTCTTGATGATTCCAATAGAGTTTGGTTGATTATTTAGCTGTGATGTTTATTTATTTACGCTAGCTTGCTAAGTTTCTTTATTTATATTGTTTATACGCTCTGCTGCAGCTTAGGTTAGACGAATATTTTGTATTGCATACAAACATTCTTTCATTACAATCATTACTTGTACTTCTTTAAAAACTGAAATTAAAAGTGTTATAATTTATGACTTACCTTTCTGCTTTGTAGTAGGCTCCAGCTTAAATCAATAAAAATCAAATGTTACACGAATTTATTGATAATATTAAAAAAAATTATAAATAAAATTATTCATACCTCATCAGCAAGGAGACTTTCCAACTGTTCATCTTCTCCAATTGTTAAGTTGATAGAATCTTCATTGTCGATACCATTTGCTTCAATTGCAGAAATGTTACTATTTTCTTCTGAATGGAAATAATCTTTTTTATCTGACTCTTCATTTTTATAAGCCAAAGTTTCTTCATGTTCCATTTCTTGCTCTGCTTCTTGTTCCATCTCTGGTTCTAACTCATGTTGTTCCTTAAACTCTGACTGTGGTTCATGTTGTTGGTCATCTTCATGCTCAGATTCATGAACTCCCTCCTGTAATATACAAAATAATTTAATAATTTTGTGAATTAATAAAAATAACAAAATTTTTTTCAAATACCATATCCAAATCTTCTGGTCTAGCATTAATGCTTATCTCTGGTTCCTCCAGATTACTTGTATTACTTGACTCATTGTGATCTATAACTTTATTATCTTTTTTATTGAAACTATCAATATCATTGGTTGACTCCTTATGGATTTCAGGTTCTGTCCGCTCTACAGGAGGTTCTTCTACTACAACTGGAAGTTCAACTGGCTTCTTTGGTGTAGGAGGAATTTTACTGTGTCCACCACCAGGAACTATCAAAATTTCATCTGGATCATTACCTTCCTCTCTGATAGCCTATAAAATTATTCAATGGAACATAATTCACTGACGAATGAAATGGCTAGAATGTGTATAACACAATGATCGTTGAAAGACAAAAGAAAAGGTTAAATATTGACAGCTGAACATATAAATCAACACACCCACGCAATAATTGAATAATCATAGTAGTGAGTATATAGATACCTTGGAAAGTCTGTCGAGTAAAGCAGCTTTGTTTCCAGTTTTGTCAAGCCCTCGACGTTCCAGTTCGGTTTTCAAGTCAATAACCCGCAGCTCGGTCAACTTTTTCCCTTCGACTTCGGCCATCTTTGCTCGTAAAGGTTAATTTAATCGGAAGACGGTACGCCCTTTTATGCCTCACTCTCTTTCGCTCACTGTGCACTTACACTACCGCGACAATCTGAACTAGATCAAAAGTGACGCCGATACAGATTGTAAAATGTAAAAATAAATGTTTCTTAGCATCACAACAAGGCGCAATTAAATTTTCTCGCAAAGCAAAATCCTGCCACTCGACGCGCACATACGGCTTGTAGGTTTGCAAGTTTGCAATGTCGACTAACGGAAGTGATGACTAGTGGCGTGGCTTTGACGATGGGAGTTGCTGAGAGGCGGCAAATTTGAAAATTTTCAATTGCACGTTTCACTTTCTTTACCGTAAATAGCACTTGTGTTACTTTGCACTAACTTAACATAAAAATCGATTAATAACTTTAGCATTTGGGCTATTTACTCATGCTATTGGTAAAATATAAATTATTTTCAATTTCTAAATGTGCATTGATTTTGATTGTTCGAATCAAACAGTTAATAGTTCGAATCGTCAAACGGTTAGTATAACTCTAAACTCTTACTATTAAAAAACAGCACTAAAAGCATATCTTAGCTCTATATTGCCGACAGAAAGCTACACATTATATTGCAAAATATTACGCAGTCAATGTCAAGGCCGGAAGTCACCCGGTGACCAAATAACAATTTTGTCATTAAGTACAATTACAGCGTACGCAAAGCTAGTTAACAATCTCTTGCAACGATTGTATCGACATGTTACGTGATTTTCAAAGCAAATTTTCGAATTTTCCGAAAAAATGGCGCTACCATTTTTTATTAGACGCCGGGCTCAAAGTAGCCACTACACTTACTATGTCTAAATTTTCAAATCCAGCTATTAATTAAAAACATAAGCGAAATTTCTTCGTAAATCTGCAATGAAAAATCACAGAAAATTTTTCATTTTACTAATCTGACAATTAAAAAGTCACTTCACGAGCAATAAATCAGTAAAATGCTTTGGTAGCTTGTGCAGCGCCATGCTGAGCCCGGATTATAGGGGGGACAGAGAAACGAAGCTGCAGTGCCGGCTGTCTCGCTCTTCCGGGCCTCATTGATTTTGCGGCGTACATCGCGCTTATTTCGCGTAAGCAGCACGACGCTTTCAGTCCACTGGAGGACTAGGTGTCTTTATACAGCTTAATCTTTCGCTGAAAATACTTTACAATTACTCGTGAGTATTGTTACTAAGCGATCATTCGTTCATGAGAAAACGTGCACTTGTTGATTTCTTTTATTGCATTTCGGAGCACAGGAGTTATTCGTGCATGCTAGCCACACACACAGTCCGTCCATTTTGGAACGCCTTCAATTTTTACGTTTTGCTTTGGAGATACATTTTCTAAATTTGGAGTTTGAAGAAAGAATAAAGTTCATAATGGAGGTTTGTTTATGAGTATTTGTTTTAGAGATTCTTATTTCAAATTTCTTGCCTTTGGTGAACAAAGCCTAACGGTTAGTTTCACAATTATCTGATATCTTTAAAAATTATTGTAATTTTTTACTTATTTTGCTAATTTTGTTTAAACTAATGTAAACAAAGATTGACTACTTTGCAAGCAGTTTCTAAGAAATAAATCGTTTTGTAATCTATACTTTAGAAATTTGATTTCATTGCACATTCATTTACAATGAATTTTAAAGGATATCTTATTTTCTTTTGTTGCCTTATGAATATATTAATTAGAATTTCCATTACAATTCACTTGTTAATAATTAATAACTGAATTAAATTTCTGAATTAACTTTAAAACCTCCTATGATCGCTACAAGATGATCTTGCAGAATATATGTTATAACTCAGTGATCTATAAAATTAGGGTTGTTTATTATTTTGTATATCTGTCTAGAATTCTATTGTCTTGATAAGTAAGTAATATGTATTGGTAATAATTGTTCTAAGGTACTGATATTATTGAATGTTTGTTTGATGCAGGCAGGAAACATGACTCCAGATGGTTACGCAAGGGTGTACGTGGGAGGTTTGAACGAGAGCATCAGGAAAGAAGACCTGCAAATGCAATTTGAGAAATTTGGCAAGTTAAACAAGGTGTGGGTTGCATTCAATCCACCAGGATTTGCCTTTATTGAATACTTCAATATGGACGAAGCAGAGATGGCCTGCAGCAACATGAATGGCACAGACCTGATGGGTGCTAAGTTGCGCGTGGAAATATCGCGAGGTCGTGGTCGTGGGGGTAGGGGAGGAGGCAGAGGTCGTGGGGGTGGTGGCCGTGGCGGAAGCGGCGGTTTCCGCAGCGGTGGTGGAGGGTACGGTTCTAGGGGTGGCGGTGGCGGTTATGACCAAGGAGGCGGCGGCGGTGGCAGTTACTATTCAGGCAGAGGTGGCGGTAATAGCGGACGCTACGGCGGCGGCCCTGGCGGTGGCCGAATGCGCGACAATTACGGTGGAGACGTCGGCGCCGGCGCTGCATATAATCAAGACGCCGGCAACGAGTATTATAACAAGGACACCGGCTCATCGAGGTACCGCAGCCGTTCGCCAGCCGGACGTAACAGGTACTCACCATGATGCCTCATTCCAGCAACATAATTATGTCTCAGCTCTTTTTATATATGTATATATATATATATATATACACGACCTCTTTTGGCATATGTGTATATATACACATCTACTGATATATACATATTTTTCACATCCAGTTGCATATCTCCAACCAACTCCAGCCCTCAAAACCTCCAAAATCCTACCATTGCTTCTGTTATCTGCATTTGTCCAATACCTACGAAATCACTTGGTCTGGTAGAGGACTGAGAAGACTTTCTTATATATACTAGACATTTGCTAGACATTTATATACCACTTGTTGCTCTAACGTACTATGTAGACACTTATGTTTTTTGATACGTATGCGTGCTGATCATAAGGGTTTCCATTGTGTTCATTGCTAGTTCTAGTCTTCTTCTGTTCTAGTCAATTCTTAATATACATACAAAATATTTCAAAGAACATATTTTCTATATAAAACACTTCGTTGTTGATCTTCGTTGTTAAAATTAATTTTAAATAAATTTTTTATAAATAAAAAACTACGTCGTTACGAGTTGCAACAGCACTTGAATATCTCCGTTGTCAAGTTGCAACACAGTGCCTTCGTTGTTAAGAAAAAGAATTTATATGATAGGGAACCCACCTTAATCATGACGGCAAGTGTACTCCATTTGTCTAATGCATGCACAGTTAAAGATACTTATATATTTTTCTAATGCTACTTTAAGAATGTTGGAGGACTCTCCAAACGAGAACTGGAAGCGTCCGCCAAAAAAAAACTTAAAAACAAAACAAACTTCTTGTCTGTAAGCAATCATTAATATATGAGTAATCAGAAAATCTATTTTTGCGATTCCATGTTCACAGTCAACGTCATCTGCGCGAATGCATTTAATTGAATCTACGCTACGTTGCCATACCGAACTCACTGCGGGTCGACAGCTTCGCCCGCCTTCGACGACTACCATTCTGTCCAATCTACGCAGCGACATGTGTACATAGCTTTTAAGAATCGATTGTAATTAGTGCTACGATTACTACCTTTTTTTTTTTCGTTTTTTTTTAAACATTTCAACTATTCCAATTTGATGCATATCAGGTCAATGGTTTTTTAGATGCTTTTTTTTATGATTGCGAAGACAAAGAGTTAAGGACAAGGAAAATATACTTGGAAAAAGACTGATTTTAATGAAAAAGAAAACAAATATTAATGATGCTTTTTGCTGAGTAAGTGTAAAGGCTTGACTTCCATACTTAGTGTTTTAAGAAATTCATTGAACACGTATCCAACTATTTTATTATGTTACTGATATTCATGATCATCAGGATTAGAGTTCTTGATTGATTTACTGAGATTTTTGACTACTTTAGTTTCTAGTATTCCATAATTTAACTCTTTTTATGCTTTACTCATTCATTCTCTTAGATTAACACTCATTGATTGTTGTATTGAAATTTTATCTCTAACTTTTTATACGAAAAAAAGAAAACGTAAATTTCAATCTTGATGTCTTTTTGTATGTTAAGTTTCTAGAACAAAGAAATCGTCTGCGATCAAGCCGCCTATGTTTTGTATGAATAAACATACGTTCTTGAAACTATGGATTAAAATCAGTGTCACTTTATATTTTGTAAACTATCTTCAATTGATGTTATATTAAAAAAATAACTTGCGCTCACTATTGCCTGCCACCCTGCCTGTCTGCCTGCCTACCTCCGTCATTTGTAAAAATTTGAAGGAAATTCAAATCTCAGCTATTTCTATCAAACCAAATATATTACAAAAAATTTAAGTTCTATAAAACAAATATTCATATATAAATAATTTTCAATTAAAACAAATTAACATTAAAACTTGTACCCTCGCGAAAAAGAAAAAAAGTGATAAATTCATTTTCTCAAAAATTGTTAATATCAATACCTTGTTTATATAAAAAAAAATCGATATTATTTTGATAATTCGTGAGTAAAATTGTTCAAAATACGCTTCACTGTTGCCTATATTTACAAATCACGTTAAGCACGTAAGTATTATACAAATATTGATACAAAAACCACACTACAGTTCCGTTTGTTAAAGAACTATTATTTTTCTTTAATTTTGACCAGCAAATTAGATCTTCTTTCTGTATTTTGAAAAAGAGCTCTAATTAGCTGTTTAATATGATGAGGCGTGAACTCATTTGCCAGAGGACCTTTGCCATCAGCCCACCTGTCTTCGATTTCCTTCAAAGATGCTCCCAATAATATAATCAGTTCCTTCAACTTCCTCCACTTTTGGACATGATATTCAATCAATGCAGGTTCCTGTTAATCATAATACGTATTAATTTCAGGTGATTTCAATTTTCAGCTTTGCTTTATTACAAAAGCAAAATGTAAGAAAAAGAAAGCAATAAAATGAAGTTGTTTTGATTTACTGGAAAAATCTGTGGTATTCTTTTTACAACTGTATCAAACAATGAAACCAATTCAGATGCAATATCAGCTGGAATATCTTCTATGTTTATTATTTTAGTACAAATGTCATCTACCATATCATTGACTATACAACCAAGAGCTCTGCAATATACTTTGATTGGTAGAATTTCTATCCATACAGTTTTTAAAAGTTCTAATTGTCTTATACATTGTCTTAGTGCTCTTTCTGTTGTTACTGGTAATTGAGGCATTTGGCCAATTGAAGATAAACCTTGAATAATATTTTTTATGAATTGAAATTATAATTAACTCTTAATTATAATATTTTTCTTGATAATTACCTGCCTCACGTAAAATTTCAAAAATAATATCTCTCTGATACTTCATATGGTTCAAAAAATATTCAGAGCCTACTTGTCTAAGTAATAGCGTTTGATCGACATAAATTAGAGAGAAATTTTGAGATGTTACTGATTTTATAGATTTGTATTTTTGTGCCAGTGTCAACAAATGATGTGCTAAATACATGCAACTGTTATGAAACAGAGCTATAAATATAATGTTAGTATATTAACGTGTCATAATTGTTTTAAAATAAAAAAAAGAAAACTGACCAACTTGTTGCGGTATTGTTTCCAAAAAGGATTTATGTATTTCAGGAATTAAGGCTGCATACATTTCAAATATATTTCTAGTTGTATAGAAAAGCCTTAAAACATATCGACTGGATATATTAGATGCTTCTTGTAAAATGTCTTCCACTAACTGCAATATTTCTCTAGCACTTTTACTACAATAAAATAATGTTTTGAAAAATGAACTATCAAAGCAAAAATATTATTAATTTGGTGAAATATATACCTTATTTGGCATTCTGGCAGTTGGAAAGTGTACCTACTTAATTTTCTATCTATAACCTTATTACCACATTCAAAGTCACCCTCAAGATTAGGAAAATTTAGTATATCTTCTGGCTTGTAACGAAAAGAATCATGAAGATCTTTTTTCATTATAATTCGGGCCATTTCTAACAGCTTTTCACACTTTTTATCAATGTATAAATCATCTATGTTACTTGTGTACTTTGATAAGAATTTTTCATTTTCATCTATGAATTTAATTTTGACTAAATAATTTTGAAATTCTTCAATTTCAGAAACAGTATATTGAAAAGTTTCCAATTCTGCTGTTGATGTTGGAATTACTTTAGAAATACAATCATTAGTAAGATTACATGAAAATTCTTTGAACATTGATTGAGATAGTTTAGTCAAAAAGTGTTCTTCATCCTTGATTAAAACATCAAAATGTTCATATAAATACTGAAAAAGTAATTTTAGATTATCTAGAACAGCTTTATATTTTGGAGCTCTTTTCTTGTTTAAAATCTCTACAGAAAATGTTGTATTTGTGCTTTGGACAAAACAGTCACTATGAATGATTGGATTTATGAAATGTTGTAATAATTTTGAGGATAATATGTCCATGCACTTTATTAATCTGTTCATGTGGTGCAATGCTTTAACGATATCTGTTAATTCATCAAGTTCACACTTAATACTTAACTCACTATTTCCCTCATTCTTATTATTCCAACAAACTTTCTCTTGCCATAATGTTGTTATATCCTCAATAAAACTATCATAAACTCTGTGATATTCATCCTTTATAGCATTATAAATATACAATTGCTGAATATCAGAGTTTTTTTCCATGACAAGACTGTACAGTTTTATCAAAGTTATTGCTGCTGTTGTACATCGCTGCTCTTCTACATCTTTATACTTTTTAATAGATTCAAAGCACTTATGTATTTCTAGTAGTTGGCTGGATAATAAAAGACTGTAATTATACTCTTTCAACTCAAGTGATAAGTTTTGCAATTCTTTAGAGGATGAACATAATTTGACTTTTACCTTAATGAAATGCAATGTATAATGTTTCATGGTTAAATATTCTAATAGTAAAATTCAAAATTCTTACCTCATTTTCAATTTTATTTTGCAATACTATCATCTGGCTGACAAGTTTTTCACTTTTATCAACCAAAATTTCATCTGGTTTAAGATATGGTTCGAGTTCAATGTATTTTTCTTTCATCAATTTGTCTATAGTGGACTTCAATCTTGTTGTTTCCTTTTTTATTGATTGAATTTTTTCAGTGAGTTCACCATTATTTTTTTCACCTTGTATATAATAAATATTAAAATTATTGAAAAATTTCCAAGAATCATCAATATATTTCGAAATTCTTATGTTTACCTTCAACAAACACTTCTCTTAAAAAAGATGCCATTGCACTAAGTAGCAATACTTTGTTCAGACGTTAGCTGAAATCAACAATCACAATTTAGCTAGCCTGTTAATAAATGAAAGACAGTTACACATATTTTTTCCATATAAAAACCAATCAAAATACCGTTCTGCAGCTGTTTTTGTCTACGTGTTTCGACTTTCGCGAGAGTAGCGCCAGACATAACCTTAATTGTGTTAGATCAGAATCCGTAAATATATCGCTGAACATCGACAGTTTAGGACTAAGGTGGTTCTTTTTCTCAGCACTCAGTTGTAGTAACAAAATTTTGTAAAAGTAAATAGAAACACTAGTGCTGCTGTTAGTCTAATACTGATGATTATGGATCGTTGTATCGTGAAAGGTTGTTCAACTAATTCGCTAAATAACACGATTAACATTAAACCAAATTTATTTTTTAAGGTGCCTAATGTAAGTGTATAAAACCAATTATTATTGAAAATGGGGTTATTAAATATCTTTTAAATATGCTGTTGCTTTTTTTACATATTAAGTAAGACTAATTTTTTTTAAGGATCCTGATGTCTCAAGAAAATGGTGTACAGCATTAGGTCAAATTCTTGAACCAGGAAATAAAGTTTGTGAAATTCATTTCAAAGAAGATGATATTTTAAAAAATTTATCTACATTCACCAAACTTGATGGTCAAAAAACTTTAACATTCAGGAAAAGAGTCAAGTTAAAACGAGATGCTGTACCTATCGTAAGTATTGAATTTCTAATTATTCTATCATAATTTTTGCAGCTAATTAAAATATTATACTTTATTAAATTTTGCATAGTCACCTATACCAAAAGATCCTTTAGAAATTGAACAGTCAGACCATTGGCTAGAAGATGAACTAGAGCACATTTCAGAAGATGATGTTCAAAATATCGATGATGATAATATTGATGAATTTAATACATATTTATCTCAATTAAACAATGGAGATGGTGCAGAAGAAGACAACAAAGATGATGATCAAGATATAGTAACATTTAATGTAAATATTTATTGACTTCACTTTTATACATTTATCATATTCAATACTTACTTAAATACATTTATAAATATATTGTAGGAAGAAGATGAACTGAATATTGATTCTACAATATATGAAGATGATTCTCAAAAAGTTATACAACAGAACGTAAAAGAAAAAGTTATGGATAAATATAAAAAAAATGGTATTATAAAACAAATAATTCAATCATCAGGATTAGATGGTATAAACAGTCAAACCCAAAGGCTTCTTCAAAAAAGAAAGCTTGATATATTTTCTCCAAAAAACAAGCTCTCTGAACTTGGTGTAAGCGTGTAAAAAATAATTGGTGTATATACTTTTTATATATATTTATTTCAATATATTTGGATTTACAGGTAAGTCCAGATGAACAATGTCTTACCCAAAATAAAATTAGAAAAATTGTATTTTCGTATCGTGTAAGAATTTATTTTAAAGTATAATGAAATTTCGTGCTTTGTATGTACAATCACTTTATTAGAAAAAAAATTTTTTTAGCCTTCTAAGCCCTTTGCTTGCTTTGACGAGTTAAAATATATTGTGCAGCACAGGTGTATAAGACAGCAATGGTGTGCTAAAGTTGAGCAAAGTAGTGTATTCTTTTCTTATGTAGATTTTGATGTATCAAGGGTTAACTGCTGTTTAGAAGTTACTGAAAATTTCAAAGTGAATGTAAGTATTTTCACAATTTTCTATAATAAGGTCATCAGACAAGTAACTCATTGAGGAACATATATTTAAGGCTTACACAGCTGACAAAGTTATCGCGATATACGTAGCTACCACAGATGGAATTAAAAACATCACTGAAATAATCGAAATAATGAAAGTGTTGGAGAAGAAAAGATGGTGTATTGGCCCAGGAGTACCTAACGTGAAGTAAAACGTTTTATTTTTTCCAAGATTTCACTATAAAACAAGTATTTATCGATAAAATTATTTTGTTTAGCCGGTCACCCGATTGCATAGGTGCGATGCCTCCCAAATCAATGAGTGTTAGTTGCTTTGCATGTGTAAAAGAAAAATTAGATTCTTTATCGCACACGAGGGAGCTCGCAACCTGCAGGATAAAATTAGAGGAATCTAGGCACAAATACGAGCTGATGAGAAAAAAGCATCATTACGCAAATGTTCAGGTATTTAAAAAGAAATGATGATTTTACATTTCAAACTTCTAAATAATCATACTCTTGTTCATTTCAGTACGAAAGATTAAAATCAGAAAACAAAATATTAGAGCTCCAAGTGGATGATGCGAAGAAAATTGCTATAAACGAGGTTCTAGATAGGCTACCAACATTACAGCAATGTGTGGTACGATATATAATACATTCGTCCTATACGGTAAAAAGTGCGCTGCGCTACAGTGAAACATGGCTCAACGAGTGTCATGTCATGCGAGCCATAAGTTCAGCTTTGTACGAATACATAAGGCACAAGGAGATCTTACCATTGCCGTGTCTTGACACTCTAAAAAAGCACAAATTGAGAACTAACGAACAATCTACGAGTAACGATTTTAAGACACAAGATCTAGATATCACAGCTGCTAATAATTTGAAGTTACCTGAACCTGAATTGCTAGAATGTATACCTGATCCTATAATTGTGATTAAGTCTGCAGAAGATTGTGAATTGCCAGTGATAACTGAATCAATAGATACGACTGAAACATCAGAGATACCCGTGTCGACTGATATGCCTGAATCTACGAATACAAATGAATATGGCCTAGTAGACATACTTCCGGAGTGTATTATTTCCGAAGACGTTGCATATGAAGTGACTGTGTCTACTGAACCATTTGAGGAAGAATATTAAGTTTGACTTTTATTTGTTATTAAACGCTTAATGATAGATTTGTAAAGTGTCATTGTAAATATTTCACGCCACTTATTACCCCTAAAGATTAATGCGATAAATAAATTTGTTACAAAAAGTTAAAAAATGATTAATGTGATTTGGAAAATTAGTGTTTTACAACTAGAATCATAATTCTGATTGATCAATTGACTTCTTAGATACCATCTCATTTCTCTCGTGCTCTTCTCGCAGCTTGAACTTTTGTATCTTGCCACTTCCAGTTTCGGGAAAATCATCTTGGAACGAAACGTATCGCGCTATTCTTAAACCAGCGATCTTTCCTTGGCAATAATTTCAAAATCATCATCGGTGAGAATCGACGCACACACTGAACGTATGAGTTGGATGACTTGCAGATGTTCCTCGAGAAAGTATTCGATATCCTGCTCAACCAATCAAGCGATCATTTCCGATTTAGATTTCAGGCAAATCGTTGAATATATCTTGGATAATATATTGTCTCTGCCTTGTATATCATATCCTCCAATCAACCGATGACGAGGCCGCAGCCATCTTTCCTCAAAATGTAGCGATCACCGGTCTTGAACCAGCCATCTTCTATGATGGTTTTCCGCGTAGCCCATTACTATGCTGTAACCTGTTATGTGAAGTTCAGCGGGGATGTCAAATGGAACGATATTGCCACGATCGCCCGTTACCTGCAATAATCGTAATCGAATTATCGGAGCAATTATCATTAAGGAAAGAAAGAACTTTACACTTTTATCACGAGGTGAGCTAAAATGCATCCTACTCTTGTGACTCGAGGGAATCATCGTTTCCGTCAGTCCATAGCTCGGTCTACAAACCATAAACGCAATCTTTCAATTAATCCTTCGCTCAAATTTCGAGTCGACGCGCAGTCATCCTGTCGAGCCGAAATAGTATTACCGGATTCTCTCGGAAAGCTCCGGCTGAGTTTGCGCATCGCCGATCGCATCAGTGGTCGATTTTCATTGCCGAGATCAAACGTCTATCATGTTAGTATGTCATACAGTACTGAGAAAATTAATTTATCGATAACCCTGTGGACTGGAAAAGAAACACATTCACCTATACTCGCGTCGTTGTTGATCTAAAAATAACGTCGTATTCTCGGCCGACAATGCCGTTGAGCGATTTCAGCGAATCGAATAAGTGGGATTCTCGAAGAGCAGCGTGAAGTCACGGCGTGCACTCGAACGACTTGGTCGATTACCACGGCGAAAGTATGGAAGAACGGCAGATCGAGACAGATACGGTGACTCGTTAGATTTGATCCTTCCCACGGCCTGCAACGCAGAGGTTCGCGTGTTTCTGAAGGCTCGTAGATTGCGTTGCAACGTTCGTACTCTTTCGGTATCGTTGAAGATCGATCCGACAACAGAGTCGCTTTGGAAGATCCGGGGACACCGGACGTGAACCGTGCCATTCCACGGACCGATCTCACCTGGATATTGCTCGCATTGAGAGATATAGAAAAAAGCGATGGGTACATCGGACGATCACGAGACCGGCGCGACAAGACGCAGTTGTGTAGGCCAGTTACCACTTCGTATGTCGTCGGATTCCCAGATGTCGATCCGATCGTCCCTCTTCGGGCCGACTTTTCAGAAAGACGTGCCGCTGTACGTTCCGATGCGGCCGTCATTTCGCTAATTCGCAACAGTTCGCGCTCAGCATCGTATCGAGCAGTGCGCCTGCTTGCGCGTTGGCAATTTCGAGACTCGAGAGCCGTCGGCTGTCAGTACACATGAATCGTGTTGAAAGACTTGTCGAGTTAGGCCAGTTTCGCGTCTTAGTTGGATTTTTTACGTGACAAGGTAGGTTAATTTCGTACTTGAGACGACCTATTTTCCTAATGTATGCCTGGATTTGTAGCCCTGGACAGTTAGTCGATGCGGATGCAAGATTAACTATCATGTGTAACATAAAAAACGATACCGTACGTTGGTCACGTTTTTCACGAGCATCTATTTTTAAAGATGTCACGCGCATTACTGGCAATGTTTGTATTATTCCGAAGAGAAAGAGAGAGAGAGAGAGAGAGAGAGAGAGAGAGAGAGAGAGAGAGAGTTGCGATAATGCAATAATGGCTCGCAAACCGCCGCAGTCTACTTTATCTTATACGATGTACTTGAAAACGAGATGTTCATTTACACCTAATATTCTCAATAAACTTTGTTTGCGAAGATTACTCAGAGAAAGGTAGGCAATTTTCGAACGACGAATTAAAACATTCAGTTTGCAAATCTCACTAAAATTCATCCAAATAGCAGCGAGCGACGAATGATTATCATCTACCACAAGATGCAATTGTGTTTTCTTAAATGCTTGCAACGTGCATTTATTGTACACATGTGCAGCGATATAAAATCGATTCCTACTCGGAAATATTCCTATGGAGTCGTGCACTATCGTCCAAGTTTGCCATCAATTGTGATTTTTTTTCCGAAATATGGATAAAAAAATCACCAATACGGAACTTGTATGAAAATGAGAAATTATTGAAAATGGCTGAACACAGATGTATCCGTATATGAAACGAAACGATAAATTTCCTCGCTGAATCAAAGAAAATCTTGCCTTGGATTCAAATGTTTGGTTCTTTTGTGCAAAACGATATAGGATAAAAGATTCCTTGAATTATTATGTGTTTGATTATAGGTAGTTTTATTATAGGTATTTTATTATAGGTAGAGTTATTGTGTATTTTATTATATGTAAAATCGGTCGACTTGGATCCATTATCAACAGCTTTAATATATTCCTCAAAAACATCCGATTGGAATCTGTCGGAAAAGTTACATTGAAAAGAAAAAGCAAAACCATCGATCGAGCGTCCGGAAGCGTCAAACTACCTCCGCAGTAAGAAGACCTGGCGCGCGAAAAGTATCGCAGCTCGAGGCGACAGACAGGCTCACTGGGCCCTCTTGGTCGGCACCACTCCCTCGGCCTCGAGCGCCTCCCTCAGCCTGAACTTCTGTATCTTACCGCTGGCCGTCTTGGGGAACCGCTCGCTGAAGAGGATGTAGCGCGGGATCTTGAACTTGGCGATCTTGCCGGCGCAGTAGCGGCGCAGCTCGTCGGCCGTGAGCCGGGCGCCGTCGCGCAGCCGAACGCACGCGCAAATTTCCTCGCCGTAGACGTCGTCGTGGACGCCGAACGCGTGCACCTCGAGGACCGCCGGGTGGCTCTCGAGGAAGCACTCGATCTCCTGGGGCAGAGGTGGCTCTCGTGAGTGCGGCTGTCGGGAGCCGCGCCGAGCCGGGCCGCGGCCGCTACCTTGGGGAAGATGTTCTCTCCGCCGCGTATCAGCATGTCCTTGATCCGGCCGACTATCTGGCCGTAGCCGTCCTCGCGCAGCACGTATCGATCGCCGCTCCGCAGCCAGCCGTCCGCCGTGATCGTCCGCGCGGTGGCCTCCTCGTCGGCCCAGTAGCCGAGCATCACGTTGTAGCCCCGCACCCGCAGCTCGCCGGCCCGGCCGAACGGGACGGTGCCGCCCTCGTCGTCCGTCACCTGCAAGCTTTCCGGCGCCGCCTCACTGCCTGCGTCCGATCGAATGCGCGCAACGGGGGCTCACTTTGATTTCCACGTGGTCGGAGATGAAGCCGACGGTCGTGTCCGTCAGTTCCGTGGGCTCGCCGGGCAGGGTTTGGTTGACCAGTGCCGTGGTCTCCGTCAGGCCGAACGCCGTCTGCGAACGAGACACCGGCTGCAGGGGCGAGGTCCGAAGTGCGACGGACTCGCAAATGGGCCGAGGGCGCGCGTGCCGCGCGAGTGGGGTGGAAGCTCCTCCGGGCGAGCGTTCCGCCGCGGCGCGCTCGAGATATGCGCATAGATAGACCGCCAATGAGAGTGTCAGTGAACTCTTGGCCGCCGAAACTCAGCCGCCGCGCAGTCGATAATCTTGCCTCTCGGCGCTTTGTCCGGCGCTCGCAAGCGACGTCCCCGACGGGCTGGGCGATGCACTTGCGAGCTGGATTCGGACGTGCTCGGTGCTTACCGTCAGCCTGTCGAATGCAAAGTGCTCGCGAATCCTCTTGAAGAGCTCGGGCGAGGCTGGTGCTCCGCCGGTCACCCCGGTGCGCACGGAATCGATCCTCGCCCCCGCGCGAGTTTGCACGTCAATCATGTTGGTCTGCGCAACAAACAGGTCGATCATCGAGGTCGGCCGATCTCTCGAGGAGAGACGTACCCACATGGTCGGCGTGCCGAAGACGACGCTGCACTTCTCGCGCATCACCGCCTCGACTGACTTGGCGGGATTGAAAGTGGGGCTCTCGAGGACGATGGTCGTGCCGGTGTGCAGATGGCCGCTCACCGCCATCACCATGCCGAAGGCGTGAAAGAACGGCACGTTCATGCAGATCTTGTCGCCGTCCAGCTGCAATCTTCGCATTCCCTGGAAAGCAAGATTATCGATTGCACGCCGCCACGTCGAGAACCGTCCCGTGGAAACTCCCGCTTATGTTTTTTATATCTCGACAGCGATGTCTTCTCCTTATTCAGCGAATCGCTTCTCGTGCACGTGCTGCATCAACTTTTGCCTCGCTCGTCAATAAAAATTGAATTACCACGGTCAACGCGGTCAATGGCCTCCTACTATTGATCCTAATTCCTCACCTGCGCAGAATTGTTAACGAGAGATCTGTGCGCTAAGAGCGTGGCTTTCGAGACTCCCGTGGTACCGGAAGTGAACTGAATGTTCGTACCGCTCCACGGTGAAATGTCAGCCTGTTCCTCTCTCACAGCTTCCACTTCGATTCGACTGGGTAAGTTCTCGATATCGTCGAGACGTCGAGTGCCTCTGCGAGACGAGAAAAATGAAAAGTTCAGCCATAAATTGTCGAACTACGCAGCATTGAGCTATTAATGGATGGCTCTCTGGATGATGCATGGTGGCTTTTAGCCTGATTGCTTATAGGCGCAGCTCGGTAGGTCGAGGTAAACGCGCTTCCGGATCTCCCTCTTTGCCTCCCCCCTCCCCTCCCAAGACGTTCTCAGTCCTTTTGTTGCGAAACTGCATTACAAGTTGGCTAAGGTCGTGCGAGGTATTCAAATGAGATGGGTTTATTAGGTGGCCGCGTTAGGCCCGAGCCGCGGGGAGAAAAAAAAAAATTCGTGCCGCAGACTTCTTTTAGCGCAGGGGTTCATTAACAGATAGGTTTCGTATCGATGTTGTGGGATTGGAAGCATGAAAATGCTATTCGCGGTTTGAAAGGCCGACTTTAAAGTAGAAACGCCGATTACGCCATTGAAATTTCAATCGAGTATAAATTGAAAAAACAACGTTTCAAATTAATAAACTTCTTATCCCGTCGTAAATCAAGTACTTCGGGCGGTTGGGCCCCTTGTCGCCGTGAAAAATGTCCGCAACACGAAACGGCCTTATCCAATCTCGAGAAGTAAATCAGCTTTAAGATTAACTACACGTCGGGATTAAAGCTTACACTTCCGCGCATTTATTCGCGCGTACTCGAATAATGCGCATTGAACGAAGCGAGAAACTGCGCTCGCGCCGGTCTACTCGACGAAAAGTTAATCAATCAACGATCACTGCACGACGGCGTGAAGCTTCGGGTACGACACGCGTTACGTCGCGGGGCCGATGACGGACAGCGCGCGGAGGGGCTCGGGATGCCGGCCGTAAAAAAACCGGAGATCGAATATTCATTTAACCCAGTTCGGAGCGAGGGAGAGGGCAGGTTGCTCGATCAGCTCGTCACGCGATCTTCATGAATACTCGCCGCGTCGAAAAGTCAACCGCCCGAGAATTATTACGCGCCCGTCGACGGATTAAATGCCGATGCACGCGATCCGTTATTGTCCGTCCGATCGCTTGCCAGATCGGTTAATCTATCGCTCGCTGCTGCCGCCCGCAAATTTTCCGATGCGTGTACTCGTCTCTACCCGCCGCGCCCCGCCGCGCCGTGCCGCGCCGTGCCGCGGAGCCTCATTTACGCTTCGTTTGCGCACAGATTATTGGACAGTAAAGTTATCGCGTAGATGAGATATCACTTATCTAGCGTTATCTATTACGTTTCGCTACATATCACGTATATAGCGAAAGAAAAGAAATTATCTGGCATTGTATTGGCTGCACGTACGCGCGGTTCTTTGGATTGATCGGGAGGCGAAGGTCATCGAATCGAGGAGTGTCATTTCAGGACGACAGCTTCGGCTCGAAAAAAATGGAAACAAGCTCTCCCGAAAATCTCGACGTCTGCACATCGGGCGAGCTTCCGGCCTCGAGTCTCGACTCGGCGGAACAAGCGAGAGAAAGGCGAGCTAGCTACGACTCACGCCACGTGCGCGCCCCCGTAGATGACGACATGGTCGAGCCGAGGCGACGTCTTCTTGGCCGCGAGCAGCATGTCCGCGTAGTTCTGGCTGCGGTAGGATTCCGGCGCGACCACTGCTCTCGCGCCGATCTTGTTCAGGCAGTAGTCCAGCTCGCCGAACTGGTACATGGGATTGAGGCCGGCGATCACGAGGCCGGCGCGGGACGAGGCCATGTAAGCGAGTAGCCATTGGTAGTCGTTGGGTCCCCAGATGCCGATCCGATCGCCCTTCTTCAGACCGATCCTCTTGAAGCCCGCCGCAATGCGATCGGCGCGCTGCAGCAGCTGCGAGAAGGTGAGCCGCTGGTTCTGGTGTACCGAGATCACGCTGTGCCGGTTCGGATATCTCTCGGCCGCGGTTTCCAGCAGTTGGCCGATCGTCATCTCCTGCAGCGGCACCACGCCTGGATTCTTTATGTAGGCTTGGTTGACGTTGGGGATCTCCAGGCGCAAGCACCGCTTCTGATGAATAGCGCACCTGGCGCTTCGGCAATCTTCGAACAGAGTACGATTGAGACGGCTGCTTCTTTCTGCTTCTTTCTGCTTGCGTGCTTCTTCGACTCGTGGAACAATCGACAAATAAGTCTGTGACCCTGACAATGAGGGCGACTGGACGATATGCGAAAGCGATCGACAGCTATTTCATCTGCGCGATGATGTATGACAAAGTGTCGTACAGAGAAAAGCCAAAAATCATCTGGCATTGCACACATTCATCACCGATAAATGGTAGTCAGTGCAGCCAAACTTTGGAAACAAGTGAAGGGATATGAAATAATTTAACTTTATTTTCCCAACAGTTACAATGATACACTCAAGTTTTTGGTACAATTCATTTGCACATTGCCGCTAGAATTATTTGTTTTTGGTTGATCTCATTAACCTCGAATATTTCACCGAAAACGTGTTCCTTTCGTTTGTTTCGAAAAAATATGCTTCGGTCTCGTGCGTTCGGTTTATCAAGTATAGACGCAATAAAATTATCATTCTGAGCACTGTGCTCTTTATCATACATTTTCAGCTGTGTTTTCATTAAAAAATAATGACGATATTTTGCTTTGTGTACAAATGAATGGTTGACAAATAACAATAAATCGATTCTAATCCCAAAATAAAGAACAATAAGGCGAAGATCATAATAATTTGAATATTATTGGCCTTGATTATGTAATAGCTTAGAATGCGTATGTGTAACTGAAGGTTCAATTGATCATATCAAGAAAGATCGCATTAACCAAAGCAATGGATAAAGCGTGATTCATAAGGAGTCATGATATAGCGCAATGTCTCGTGGAAAATTTTCGAGGAAAAGTGTGTAAGTAAACGAATATACCATTGCTTGCGCTCTTTCGCACGGCGGCTCTCACGTTCCTTAGCATCGTGCCTCGATTATACCGCCGTCGACGGCGACGTCTTTTCTGAAAAAGAAAACTCACCGATCGCCAACGTTAGTTGACTTCGCCCCGGACGCCACGCGTACGGCACACCAACCAGTACGCGCATGAGCTCGGCTGCACTGCTGCGGAAGTGAGTCGCGAGCGTCACCCAGCGATTCTCGCAACACTGAAGGCAGCGCGCTGTTGGTGTACACGCACACGTGTATGCCGCGCGCGCGTTAGCCGACCACTCTGCTCGCAAGGCCGTCGTGTCACTGTCATCTGCTTTCCTCTCTTCGCGGTTTTTCATCGCAGAGAGCCGTCGAGTGGACACACGAGGCAGCTATCGACGTCCTTTCTCTCTGCGCGTAACTGTTTTTCATTTTCATTCTTTCTTCTTCTTTTTTTTTTTCTCTCAATTAAAATTAGATGCTGTATCGCGTGTGTATTCGGCGAGCACGGTCTCACGAGCCGCGCTTTTCAGTGTCACACGCAAGTCCGCGCTCGCGCAAAGGTTAACGCGAAAACGAGCTTATTAACTGCAAAGTTCATAGCCCAACAAGTGTTTTACACAAATCTTTCGTGAGCGCAACGACGCGCAGCCCGGAGGGGGCCGCGCCGATGTTCGAGCGAAACATGTGTGGACGAAATCTGAAATCTGCCGAGCGACGTCTTGGACGTCGGATATTTACGCGAGGAAATTACCATTTCTAAGTATCGTAACGATGCCATTAATTGTGCCCGAGCGGCCAAATTTTCGGTTTACTTCGGCGTTTACTTCTATTTCGGTCAACGCGTTCGGCTTGCCAATGCCTTCGAAGATAAGCGCTATCAATTCCGTCGGAGGCTAATCGGCATTTTCGTGTCTGCCGCTCTATTGTACTTTTTCCTTGTCTGGCGTTACATAAAATGCAATGAGCCCGTGATCAGTCGGGCTAAATTAAGATTTATCAGCTGCGAGCGGCGAGGATTATCGAATTAGAAACTGATCGAGATACCGTGGCGGCGAGCCCGAGAAAGCCGAGGAAACGAGCGACGCGTAAGCGAAAAACCGAACCGAATAATAGGGCTAATAAGCGTCGCTGCACAGAAAAGGCCGAACGGCGGCGGTCGCGTGCCACGCGGGGGGAGCATTTGCATAAAGCCGCTGCGGCAGCGGCGCGGGTGTAGAGCGAGGGGGTTGGTCTCCTTGGCGGCGAGTCTTATTGGTCGAGGGGTAGCAGCCCAAGGCTTTAAACCAGGCCGGAGGAGCAGCTCGCGGCGGAACCAGTGAACGATCGGCACTGACTTCAGCCGCCCACCAGCCGCAGTCTCGCGTGGGCCTCTGCAGTGTCCGCATATCCAAGACTAAAGCTTGACCCACGCTGCTGACACGGTACTCTTCGTTTCTCCCGTCTTTCTCGAGCTGTTTTTTTTTTTTTTTTCTTTTTTTTTCTTTTCTCGTGTTCGCTGCGGTACGCTTGCTAATCGTATTTCTTTCTCTTCGTCGGTGTTTTTGAGTCGATAGTGGGATAAGCATGTAGGATTGATCAAGTACCGAGTGTTCGTCGTAACTTTGGTGAACAGCCTGCGAGTAACTCTAGAATAGAAAGTAATTTTTTTTTTTTTCAAAAATAAAAAGCATCGTTGGTTTGCAAAAGGTTTCAAGTACAAGCTGCGTTCACTGTCAGTACAATACCCGAAGCAGTGCACGACATAACTATATTTCATAAGAATGAAGTAGTACAGCAACAAACACGATAAATTAAGAAAAAAAGCCATACAGCACTTGTTGAAAAAGAAAATCATGGTAAAAACACGCCAAGGTGAAAAACTGTTTTTCGGTCCGCAGTACAAGGATGTAGCCGTGCGTGCGCGCGTGTGCGTCGAAACGAGGTCGAGAGGATGGTCGAGCGCTGAGGAGGGCTCCTACCGAGAGTGAGATAGGGAAGCGCAGCAATGAGCAGCGGCAACGCGAAGAAGGGCACGAGCGGCGCGGCGGGCAAGCAGACCGCCGAAGACAAGTCGAAGGGCACCTCGAAGGAGGACAGTCCGGCCGGCAGTGGCAGCGGCGGCGGCGGCGGCGGCGTCGGCGGCGTCGGCTCTGGCAAGGACGACGCGCCGACCGGGGCCGGCAGCAATGGCGGCCCGTCGTCGCAAGAGGCCTCCCAACCCAGCAGCAAGCCCGGAAGCGCCGGGGCAACTGCCAGAGAAGCGGCCCAGAGGCTGTTGGGAGTTGCGACGCGCGGCGAGTGGTCCGCGGCCGACCAACTGCTCAAGACCCTCGAGAAGGTCGTGCAGAGCGCCGGGGAGGAGGCTAATCTGCAGCCGCTCGCCGGTGTCATCGACCCCGTGAGTCCCCGCGCGACGGGATGCGCTTCGAGCTCCTGTGGATCGCCGTCGGGACTTTGCCTAGCGCAATGCCGTGCGCGTCGGTTCGCGCGTTGCTCGCGTGCGCAGATAAATCTTTTAACGGACGATGATTATTTCAATTCGCAACGAGCTCGGTGACGTCGAGGGCGATCTAGTCGCGCAATGTTGCGAGTATAACGCAAGAAAAGAGAGAAAGCGTATCGTAAAAAGGCTTATCCCGATGAAATTCATAGCTCGCGCAGTCTTTTTCCCGGGCAGAATCGTAATTTTATTTTTGTCCGACTAAAAAGTATGCAAGAGGAATGGAAAAGTCACGCGAGAAGTTTTATCTTTCGATATTGCCACATCCAAGTAGGAATTGGTTCTTTGTTTTTGTTTTGTTTCCTGCACGACTTATAATCTGAATAAGCGTATATATAGCCTACTCCAACGGTATACGCTTGTCTATATGTATAAGTATTTCGTGTTTGCAAACAGTTAAGCCTTCGGCATCGAGCAAACTTCTGTATTATCGAAAAATAGAGGGACTGTTCTTCGGAATCGATCCACAAGATACGCTCGAATGGCATTCTTCGCAATGCTTCCGAAAGAAAAAAGAAAGCTAGAGACTAAAAAAATACTGGACATTATCTATCGCAGCAAACTGGAATGACACCGTTCATGTGCGCAGTGAAAGACAATCGCACAGCCTTCCTCGACCGTATGATCGAGCTGGGCTCGGATGTGGGAGCGCGAAATCACGTGAGTATGCCCTTACGATCGTTGCTCGCGAGCCAAGCCGCGTTGCGATGAAAACGAAGAGAAAAAAAAAAAAAGAAAAAGAAACGGAAAAGAAAAACAGCGTATAAAGATTGCGTGAGCTTTGGCCAAGGCCAAGGGGGAACGAGCGCTCGTGCGCGCACCGCGGCAAGTAGGTTGCGAGTCAGTGGGACGAAAAAGTGGGTTCGCGCGAAAGGGGCGATCGGCAGCGACGATATCAAAGCACACCACCTCGGCCGGGCAGCATTGACCGGGCCGACGCGCGTTCACGCGATCTCGATCGGCCCCACACGGGCGACTTTAATGCTTCTCTCGTTTACGCGTTTTCGAGATTCGTCAAGTCGGTCGATTCCGCGCTCCTTGTTTGCTCTTTTTCCTGGGGGGGGGGGGGGGGGGGGGGTCTTCTCCCGCCGAGGCAACGAAATAGAGGGCTCGCATTTTTCGGCCTGCACGTTGAGCTCTCCACCGGCGGCCGATCGCCTTCAACGCAATCTCTCAAAGGCTCGTTCTCGTTGCGCGCACACAGGACAACTACAATGCCCTGCACATCGCGGCGATGTTCTCGCGGGAGGACGTCGTCAAGCTTCTACTTTCCAAGAGGGGCGTCGATCCTTACGCGCCAGGAGGAGTGAGTTTCCAATTGTCTTTCACGCAAGACTTTACCTTTCTTCCGTGCTCTATACTGCTTTTCCTATGACTTCTGTCGCTCTGCCTCCGTGCTCTTTTCCACATTTTTTTCCTTTTCAAAAAATACAGAGGACGTAAGTATGTACTTCGATACACGATAACAGTCTTCATTTTCATTCTCGTTTTTTGTCTAGTATGTGTACTTGTTCTATCTCGTTTTAGCGACTTGCATGCTACATTCATCACGTGTACATAAACGTCGCAATATTTGTAAATAGAGCACGCATAACTATAGTCGTCGTCGATGAATACTGGACACATTAAAAATCTAATGTTTTCTGATTTGGAAAAAACAAAAATATACGACAGCCTAAGCAACAGACTGCAGTTCACCTCGTGGCATTACGACAGACGGGAACTGCAACGTCTATTCTTCGCGTTCTTCTGGCTGCGGCAGGACGGGACATCCGTCTGAAAGTAGATGGCGTAAGTATTCTGCAGTTGGATTTATTTTCTATATCGATAATATTATAAATATAAGAACGGGATGTTGAGGCTCGACCCTTGATGAAAACCAAATTCCAACACTGTTCTGCGTCTTTTTTTAACGATTCGCTGGTAGGTTCTTAGCATTTTTCAACTTACATTTTTCAACTAAATTGTCACGACAACCAACTTTTTGTAAAATCTACGTTGTCAAATAATCTAAAAAAACTATTAAATTCTCGATCTTAACCAGTAGAACGCACCCTTGGATTAGCTATATGCTGACTCAAATAATCGAAGTACATTTAATTAAGAAGTACCGAAATATAACTGAGAGAGAATAGAGGAGACTATAGTCGAAAAACGGAGCAATGTTGGAATTAGATTTCAACTAAGGCTTGACCCTCAACAAAGTCGAAGTGTCGGTTTAATTGGACTTTTTTGGCTATGTGCGTAAGCATTACGCTGGACTACAACAGAAATAAGTAAACCTAAATAAAGCGAGAGTAATGGATTTGCATTAAGAGAGAACTCATTAACATCGGCGTTCGGGCTCGTCTATTTCGTATTCTAAGCCACAGCTCGATTTGGCAGCGTGACAAAAAGAAAATGCCGGTCTCGAAGCTAAACAAGAGCCGAAAATCTCGCGCGAGAATAGCAGAACAACAGCGTGCACCCGCGCGACGATTGTGCCCCGCCTGGGCAAAGTTTATCGCGAAGCGAGCAGGAAGTGCAATCGGTCGCGAGAGATGTTGCCCTCCCCAATCCTTCGCGCGCTCATGCCGCAAGTCGATCGCGTGGCAGGAGGCTATAGGCGCTCTCACTCTCCTCGAGGCTGCACAAAGTTGAAACGGCGCTTGGATAGCTTCCTGCAAGCTCTCTTTCTCTCTCTCTCTCTCTCTCTCTCGCGCGTTCTTTTTTGTTTGCCTGCGCGGAACGAGAGACGCTTTTAAAGGCAAAAACGCCGCCTCGATCGCTCGCGTGCACGGCAGTCAGCGCCGACTGGCACCGAGTCTTTCGCTCGTTCCATGCCCATAATTTGTCTACGCGTCTCCGGCCCCCTTCGACTCCGCTATCATCGGGAATTGATCTTCGGGCAACTGCCGCGAACTCGGCTTTCGCTTGGTTCGCCAACTCTCGCGCTTCTCCCGAAAGGAGACTCGGCGCTCGTCTCGTCGCGATCCCACGGCGGTTCGCGGCGACCACGGATGTGGTTTCGGAGAGCCAATAGCGCGTGTCCGATGCAGCCTCCCGACCGACCGACGCGTTCCGCGGAATCGCCTCGTCGAGCGGTCTTCGGGGCACGCAAGAAGAAAGACAGCTGCGCGGAGAGCGGCTGGTCGAGGCCCGCGTACGACGGCGGTTGATAAAAGGGGCAGCGACGCTCGGGGCAAGTCGCTTCCGTGTCAGCCGTTAGCGAGCGAACGCGCGCGCGCACGCGAGATGCAGGGGCGCGGCACCGCCGGAGTCGCGTATCGAAGGGCGATAGGCCCCGCCGATTCGTCGGTTCGATATCGGCGTTCGGGAAACGCGATAGATTGGTCGCCGAGCCGCGAGATGCAACGCGGGACGTCGCCGCTTGCACCTCGCGCAGTCTCGCGAGCGACGAGCGGCTGGTATGCGCCCGGCAAAGTCAGCGGCGGAGATCGTCGAGGAGGCTCGCCGCGGCAAGGACTTCGTGTCGCAGAATCGCCGCCTGGCGAGCATCGCCAAGTACTGGCAGAACGCCGCGAGGAGCGAAGCGCGCAAGCACCACGGCACCTCGCTCCTCGTGAGTCGAGTCTTGTGTATCGCTTGCTCGGGACTACGCGCGACGGACCAATCGACCGGCTTCTCGCCGCGACTTTTTCCGTCCCACGGAGCGAGGCTTGTTTGGTCTAATTACTGGCAGTGAAAATTCGCGACATCGCGAGCAGCGCGTCGCTCGCTCGTTTGTGCGTCGCAGCGGACACGGATGCCATTGCCGCGTAACTCCTAGAAAATATTCGTATAGCGAACGCCGTTGAAATCTAACAGAGAAGCAGCATGGAAAAAGCCGACGGAAATTGATTGCAGAATGGAAAAATCCCGCTTCTGTTGGCCGTGGAAGCGGGCAACCAGTCGATGTGCAGGGAATTGCTCTCTCAGCAGGCACCCGATCAGCTGAAAGCCACGACCCCGTCGGGCGACACGGCCCTGCACCTCGCGGCCCGTCGCAGGGACGTCGACATGGTGCGCATCCTCGTCGACTACGGCGCCGCCGTGGACATGCAAAACGTGGGTAAACAGCCGGACGCGAGTCCGTTCTCGAGTACGAAAACGAGTACCCAGCCACGCGTGGTCACCCGCGCGCTCCTCTCGCCGCAGGGCTCGGGCCAGACGGCGCTGCACATCGCCAGCGCCGAGGGCGACGAGACGCTGGTCAAGTACTTCTACGGCGTGCGCGCCTCGGCGGCCATCACCGACCACCTGGACCGCACGCCCATGCACCTCGCCGCCGAGAACGGGCACGCGTCCATAATCGAGCTGCTCGCGGACAAGTTCAAGGCCAGCATATTCGAGCGCACCAAAGACGGCTCGACGCTGATGCACATAGCCTCGCTCAACGGGCACTCGGAGTGCGCGACGATGCTGTTCAAGAAGGGCGTCTACCTGCACATGCCCAACAAGAAGGGCGCCAGGTCCATACACACGGCCGCCAAGTACGGGCACGTGGGTATCATCAGCACGCTGCTGCAGCGCGGCGAGAAGGTCGGTGGTGCCCCGGTGCTCGTCGCGCGACGCTCGCTAACGCTCGGGCTGCGCGCGCAGGTTGACGCCACGACCAACGACAACTACACGGCCCTGCACATCGCCGTGGAGAGCGCCAAGCCTGCCGTCGTGGAGACTCTGCTGGGCTACGGGGCCGAGGTGCACGTGCGGGGCGGCAAGCTGCGCGAGACGCCGCTGCACATAGCCGCCAGGGTCCCCGACGGCGACAGGTGCGCGCTCATGCTGCTCAAGTCCGGCGCCGGGCCGAACCTCGCCACCGACGACGGGCAGACGCCGGTGCACGTGGCCGCCAGCCACGGCAACCTGACCACGCTCAAGCTGCTGCTGGAGGACGGCGGAGATCCGATGTTCAAGTCCAAGGTGAGGTCCACTTGCAGTCGTCGTTGCGCTGTCCCGCCGGCCGAACGCTCGAAGGTCCCGGCTTTCGATCGTTCGGCCCGCGCCTCACCTGTAAATATTACCATGATTACTGTAAATAATCGACAAGTCTAATCCTCCACAGTGTACTTTATACTAATTAGCCAACAGACACTTTATCTCTATATTACCTGTAAATATCACATAATCTGTATAACTCACACCCTCTTCTCTCTGAGTTTTAGTCAACGACGTATGCGAATGTAGGTCAACCTTGAGTATGATTTTCATTTCTATTATCACGCTCTTCGACTGATTTAGGAAAACTTTTGGTTTGATTTTGAGATTAACGATAGAACTTAACGTTTTTCGCACACTTCGAAGAGCGCTGCACAGGTACGTCCGACTGCGACGAAACCACTCGACTTATCTCGCTTCTCTAGCCTCCCTAGTCGCCAGCACGACGGCATGGTCTTTTGCCTCTGACTCGCCGTAGACAGCGTAGAGCTTCCGTTGCTTCCGAGCCGTGGGCACCGCGAGCAGCGGCACACAGTAGCGCACTCGGACGCCTCGCCTGCACCGCACCGAGACAGCACGCGCGGGAACACGAGCGAGCCGGCGAACGTGCTGCGAACGAATGTGCTTGTAGAACGGCGAGACCCCGTTGCACCTGGCCTGCCGCGGATGCCGAGCGGAGGTGGTGCGCCACCTGATCGAGTTCGTGCGCGAGAAGAGGAACCCCGAGGTCGCCACCAGCTACGTCAACAGCCTGACCTTCGAGGGCGCCTCGGCGCTGCACTACGCCGCGCAGATCGAGCCGCACGAGGTGGTGACGCCGGGCGACGACCGGGCCATCGTGCGAGCTCTGCTGGAGGGCGGCGCCGACGTGTCCGTGCAGACTAGGCAGGCGCAGGAGTCCGCCTTCCATTACTGCGCCACCGCCGGCAACAACGAGGTGCTGGCCGAGATCATCAGCCAGATGTCCGCCACCGAGGTGCAGAAGGCTCTCAACAAGCAGAGCGCCGTCGGCTGGACGCCGCTGCTTATCGCCGCCCACAAGGGCCACATGGACATCGTCAACACGCTGCTGGCCAATCACGCGAGGGTCGACGTTTTCGATCTGGAGGGCAGGTCGGCGTTGCATTTGGCTTCCGAGCACGGATACCTCGAGGTGAGGCTTGCCGCTCGACGCTCGCTGCTCGCCTTCCTTTGCATTTATCGATCTCTCGGCGTTTAACCAGGCGCCCAGTTTCGCGCTTGGCTCGCCGATTTATCTTTCAATTTTCGATCTCACCGGAATGCTTCAGCTCGACGGTTCTTTTTGAATCCTTGCTTGTTGGTTCAGCATTCAGGTCATTCAAAGATACTAAAAAAGATAGGAATAGGCGATTTTTTTAGGCCCGTCAATTTTTCCCTTCGGGACAAAGTGGTCGATATTGAATAACACAAGCGAGATTTTAATTCATGCGAAAAAAATTTTTATTGAATGGAGATAAAATAATATACATGTAAATTTGGAATAAGAGCGAAAATCATTGCAGTTATTCCTGGTGCTCGATGGCCTTTTGGTTCAATTTTGCCTCGATGGCCTCGACGATCTTGTGGAACTTCTCGACGAATTGAGCCTTAATCTTGTTTACGGTTTGTTCCAATTTCTGCTTGTACTCTTCGTATTTTTCGGGCAATTTCTCCTTCAATTCCTCGAGCTTCTGCTTGTACTCCTCGGCCTTCTGCTGGTAGACGATCTTAGCTTGTTGCTTGAGCTGTTCGTACTTCTCCTTGTACACGGCCAGCTTTTCCTTGCCAATCTCGACGTAGCGACCAACCTTTGCCTTCAGATCGGCCACCACCTCGTCGAAGCTCTTGTTTTGGAAGTATTTCTCTCTGACGTCGGCGACGATGGTTTGAGCCTTCTGCTTGAACTCGTTGAACTTAGCTTCGAGCTTGACTTGCTCTTCCTTCAAAGCTATCTGCACCTTCACCTTCAGCTCTTCGAATTTCGCCTTGCTGACACCAAGACTTTCCTTGCCCTTCTGCTTCAGTTCCTCGATCTTGGCTTTGTACTGGGGGATCTTCTCCTCGATGATTTGCTTGGCCTTAGCTTTGTACTCGTCGTACTTCTCCTTCAGCTCGGCGTACTTCTCCTTGCTCAGTTCACCGAGTTCGACGGCCTTCTCTTTCAGAACTTTTAAGTAATCGTCGAATTTTTCTTTGCCCTCGTGGTAGTATTCCTCGACCTTTTCCGACACGGTGTTGATCAATTGTTCAACCTTGCTGACCAAGTCCTACAAATCGAAAACGGGAATGTATCAAATTTTTACAAACAAACGAGTTTTACTCGCATTGGCAATGGACATTTTCACAAAGGATCAAGCTCACAAAAAAAATTCTTTTTCTCTTCTTTTCAAAGAGAGTCTTTAAATTTTCTAGTAGATTTTCCAAAGGTTTGATTTTTGCAAACTTACCCGAGTTTCCTCGTTGACTGGGTGAGCGAGCACAAGGCTGACGCCCAAAAGTGCGAAGATGAATAGCTTGGTGAACATGGTGAAGCTTGATTGTTGCAAGTCAAACTGTAACGATACGACGAATCGGCCGAGTATTTATACCAAAAAATGAGAAGCTGCCGAGTGCGAATAAAACACCTGTGCAATCATTAGCTATCAATTGAGCGAGGGTTCGCATGTAACAAGTGACGATTTGTCACGTGTTACTGAAAATTATTCATATACTGCTTGAAAATATCTAGGAGGCATTTATTATGATAGATTAAATTTCTTGTTGTCATGAAAATTTATGAATAAGTTATGCAGTGATTGAATGGGTTATGTATGACGTAATTTTCATTCGATTAGGCCGCTTTAATGGTACAGTTACCAGACTTATGAATAACTAAAGCTTGGTAGTTCCGAAATATTTACGAGAAATCTGGCATCATAGATTTTAGAAACCAATTATAGCGAGTTCACGTTTCAATAGCATAATCCATTATATTCGACCACTTTAATCGACTAGAATTTTTCTTTTCGAATATTCATCTCAGAATACTTATGAAATTCTTAAGCTAGTTTGAAGATGGATTTTCATTGTTGTTTGCTTCAGTGGAAGAGCAAGCCAAAAGACATTTAAATAATTATACTTGAAAACTTAGAAAAGTGACTTTTGAAGATAAGGATTATGTCCAATAAAACGATAATCAGCATTTAGTAATGAGGCGAAACACGCGAGAAACCGTATGCAAATATTATTCAAGAAATGATGATGTCTATTGAAATACGTAGATCGTATATGCTTAAAGATTCCATTGCGATCTACTGAAAATATGTAATTGTTGAAATCTCTTTGCCGTTTTCACTTGCGAATGCTGTGATATCTCTATTTCATTATATGACCCACATAAACGAATCTTCGGAACCTTTAATTATTAAGGACTAGGGAAAGGCTAGAAGACAAAGCCACCGAGAAACGAAAGCAATGTTTCCTGCATTTGTCTATCGCTCTTTTCTGCAATCGCTGCACAATTTTGTGTTCGCTCGATTTAATGTCGCGTAACATTGATACTTAACATAATGTGACATTGAAAAATTCACGTTGCGGGTCTGACGCGTTCGAATTTGACTTTCATATGTTTTTGAGTATGCGATAAAGTGATTCGCGCCCGCTAGCTTCTCAATAAATTCGTCTAATACGTATGCTAGCCACATACAATTTTGCTAATGTATTAGATCGCTCGTAGAGAATTGGTGCATTTTCTCGTTGGTTGCGCTACAGTATTATTGTCAACGTAGGACGTAGCGGGGATGAAGCACATAGCTTGCTATTTAAATATTCAAATTGGAACTCACTGCGCCTCGATATCTCAAATATGCGTAATTCAGCTGTTTAAAAATAAAGATGCCTTAACACATTTTAACCTGTGGGTATTAATCACACGCCCATTATGCGCGAGCTTATCTGATTGATGGAGGTTGTTCTAATGGCATAGCGAAAAGAGGAAAACAACTGGACGAATAATTAATGGTCCGTTAAAGTGCTTTTTCGACGCTGCTTGCGCGAGTACTCGATTGACGTAGACCCAAGCAGGCAAAAACAGACGTGCTTCAAATCTCGTCTCGCTTAGGTCGCCTCGAAAAATCAAGTTGTAATGCAGGAGACGGTCACATCGGCCGCGCTTCGTCCGAGGGCAGACGCCCACACGCGGCTCATATCGCTTTCTCGCACTAGCATCCAAGTGTATTATGCACACTCTGGGGAACTATCGACGAGAATTAGGAAAAAAATAAAACGAATGTTCTTGTCGTTAAACCCACGTTTACATAATTGGACGCAATTGGTTCTGGCGCGTCGGATTGTAATTTTCTAAAAAATAGTAATCCGTTGCTCGACGAATTACTTGAACGCGCTACTTCAGAGGGGTTGGGTTGGGTTGAGATGACTTGTTATTTTATTTCCGCAATCAAAGTTCTATCGACGATCGAAGCTGCCAAAGCGCGCCAATGATCCGTTAAGTGACTTATCGCGTTATCTATCGAAATGAAATTTCCTCGCCAAGAAGAGATGCGAGGGAGCGAAAATGGTCGGCAGTAGATCTCCAACGCGCTGAGAACGAAAGCACAACAGGAGTGAGCCAGCGCTAGAGGTGCTCGAAAGCTCGTTGCACGCGCCCTATTTCCGAAAGGCATCGAGCGACGAACTAACGAGAATTGCCCGCAGGTGTGCGACGCTCTGCTGGCGAACAAAGCCTTCATCAACTCGAAGTCGCGCGTGGGGCGCACGGCGCTGCACTTGGCCGCGATGAACGGCAACACGCACCTGGTGCGCTTCCTGGTGCAGGACCACGGCGCCGCGATCGACGTGCTCACCCTGCGCAAGCAGACTCCGCTACACCTGGCCGCGGGCGCCGGCCAGCTCGAGGTCTGCAAGCTGCTGCTGGAGCTCGGCGCGAGCATCGACGCGACCGACGACCAGGGCCAGAAGCCCATTCACGCCGCGGCGATGAACAACTACGCGGAGGTCGCCCAGCTGTTTCTACAGAGACACCCGAGCCTCGTGATGGCCTGCACGAAGGACGGCAACACCTGCGCGCACATCGCCGCCATGCAGGGTGAGGCCCGTCGAGTCGCCGAGTCGCCGAGGCGTCGACGATCGTCGCCTCACTGCGTGAAATCCGTTCTCAGGCTCGGTGCGCGTGATCGAGGAGCTGATGAAGTTCGACCGCCAGGGTGTCATATCCACGCGCAACAAGCTCACCGAGGCGACCCCGCTGCAGCTTGCCGCCGAGGGCGGCCACGCCGAAGTGGTGAAGGCCCTGGTGCGCGCCGGCGCCTCTTGCGCCGAGGAGAATCGCGCTGGCTTCACGGCCGTGCACTTGGCCGCCCAGCATGGGCACGGACAGGTGCTCGAGGTCATGCGCTCGTCGCAGAGCCTCAGGATCTCCAGCAAGAAACTCGGCGTCACGGCCCTGCACGTGGCCGCCTACTTTGGACAAGCTGGTGAGCGTGCGGTTGTGCGATTGCGACGTCTAACTTGGCTCGCGCGCCGCCAAAAGAAATTCCAGGCAGGGGCGAGCCTCCGACTGCTGCGATCCACAGAGGGGAATGCTCCCGAGTGTATGCCCCCGTCTTCGCAGCCGTTAATCACGCGAATCGCGTAGTCGAACGACGATGAAAAAAGAGGATAGTCGCTCCACTTTCCGTTCGCTCCCCCTTGACTGCATTGTCGAACGTGAGCTATACGCGGCGCACAGTCCGATTGCTCGGCGATAAACAGCCAAAGAAACAACGAGTGCGCCTCTCGCTCTCCGGCGGAAAAGTTGGTCGCGTGACGAGCGGGACGGCGACGGAGAGAGGGCGAAACACGCAAGTCCTATTCGACCGCGTGGGCTCTCCGAGATTCCGCCGCGAGCGATCCGATGTATCGAGCGCCTTCGCCGCGTTATCGTCGCCCTGGAAATGGTATACGGCGTAGCTCGCGCTGAGAGGTGGGCGCTCGCACTCTTCTCCGTCGAGCTAAATCGAACATTTTCTTTTCGAGGTGCGAAGGGTGCGACCGACGTGACTATTCGATATCGGCCGTCTGGAAATCGATAAAGGCGCGAGCCGATTAACGCGCGCGACTGCCGTGTGCGATCGAGGGGCACTAAACAAAGTCGAAGGAGCCGCGCGAACAGCGCGTGCGCCGCCTCGTTTTCTGGGTGAAAGCGTTCGAGTGCAACCTGGACGGGTGAAAGGAGCGCGCGAGGAAGGGTGTCGATGAAGCGTGAGATTAACCGGACCTTGCGGCAAGGTCTCTGCTAGTCACCCCTTGCCAGCCCATAACGCCATCGCGCGCGCGTACATGTGTGTACGAGGTATCGCGACACGCCGTAGACCTCCGTGTGCGCGGTTTAACGCTGCACGTGAAAAATTTGAGTAGTGCCGACGAAGGATTTAGCCTTGTACAGTCGTTACAGTTTATCGTTTGTGTTTTATTAATTATTACTCTTTTTTTTATTTAGCGTAACCAAACATCGTTGCGAACGAATTCCGAAATCTACACTCTCGTAAGCTGAATTTTATTTTGACGGCACGCGATATTGTACCCAAAAAGCATACGAACAAACGTTAAATAATTGGGAATCTAGATTCATATGACCGTTGTTCCACGGTGAAGCTTATTTTTGAGTTTAATTTGAATTTTAAATTAAAATGACACTCAGGGGCACTAAAACTCAATAAACGACTCACTGTATATCGATAGAAGTCGTAGTCAGTATTGAGTGAATCGAAAATGGAACTTTCAGTCAGTGCGTGTTTTTCACTCTATTGAAGAAAGGAACACGTCTCTTGGGAGCTCGACATATTGAAAATCGCAATCTAACGTGCAACACATTTTCAGCTGATAAATATCCGCTGAACAAATGTTTTGACATAACGTCGATCGACTTTTGCGTGGCTGCACAGACACGGTGAGAGAGCTGCTGACCCACGTGCCGGGCACGGTGAAATCAGACCCACCGACCGGCGGTTCGCTCGTCGGCGAATTAGGACCCGAGTCCGGAATGACGCCGCTGCATCTGGCCGCCTATTCCGGCAACGAGAACGTCGTCAGATTGCTCTTGAACTCTGCCGGCGTGCAGGTAAATTGCGCGCCAATTTTCGCAAGCGACAACGAAGTTGACGGCCTACTTGGGTCCGCTGGCGGTCCGCTTGCTCTCACGAGCCAATTGGCGACTGTCGGACAGGTCGAAGCCGCGACAACGGAGAACGGGTACAATCCATTGCACTTGGCCTGTTTCGGTGGTCACATCACGGTGGTCGGCCTGCTGCTGAGCAGATCGGCGGAGCTACTGTACAGCGCGGACCGCGCCGGCAAGACCGGACTGCACATCGCCGCGACCAACGGCCACTACCAGATGGTCGAGGTGCTGCTCGGCCAGGGCGCCGAGATCAATGCCACGGACAAGAACGGCTGGACGCCGCTGCACTTCGCCGCGCGGTCCGGGCACCTCGACGTCGTGCAGCTGCTCGTGCAGAGCGGCGCCTCCCCCAAGAGCGAGACCAACCTGAACTGCGCGCCAATCTGGTTCGCCGCCTCCGAGGGCCACAACGACGTGCTCAAGTACCTCATGGAGAAGGAGCACGACACCTACGCGCTCATGGACGACCGGAGAGTGAGTGTTCGCCGCTTGCTTTCCGATCGCCCGTTCTATCCGAGCTGTCGCGCGGGCGTGTCGCGTTTGTCAGAAACTGGAGCAGCTCCAGTTACAATCGAGTAGCAGCGGCGATACCGAGGCGCTCTCGTCAGTGCGCCCCAGTGGAAAGGGCCGAAAGACGTGGTCGCGCGAACGAGTCGCCCTCGCGAGCCGCGGTCGCCGCGGTCGCCGCGGTAAGGCATTCGTTGCGATCGTCGTTTGATTTTTCCCGTGCGCAGTTCGTCTACAACATGATGGTGTGCAGCAAGAGCCACAACAACAAGCCCATCGAGGAGTTCGTGCTAGTGTCACCGGCGCCCGTCGACACCGCCGCCAAACTGTCCAACATCTACATCAAGCTGTCGGAGAAGGAGAAGGAGCGCGCCAAGGATCTCATTGCCGCCGGTTGGTTGACTTTGCCCTGCCGATCCGTAGCCCACGCTCGACGCCCGTCTGACGAGATTCGCGCGTGCGACAGGAAAGCAGTGCGAGGCGATGGCCACGGAGCTGCTGGCATTGGCAGCGGGCGCAGACTCCGCGGGCCGCATCCTCACGTCGATGGACCGTCGCAACGTGGAATTTCTCGACGTGCTCATCGAGAACGAGCAGAAAGAAGTGATCGCGCATACGGTGGTCCAGCGCTACTTGCAGGAGCTCTGGCGCGGAAGTCTCAACTGGAACGCCTTTCGCACGATGCTACTCTTCATCCTCTTCATCATCTGCCCGCCCGTTTGGGTCGTCTTCGCGTTGCCGCTCGGCCACAAGTACAACAGCGTGCCCATCATCAAGTTCATGTCCTATCTCACTTCTCACATCTACCTCATGGTGTTCCTCGCCCTCGTCGCCATCGTGCCAGTTTACCCGGTGAGCTTGCGTTTCATTCGCTGCTTCGTTGGTAGACGACCAACGAGGTAGCTAATCGAGATTACGCGTGCCGTGATGCAGTGCATTACCACTCGATAAAACGTACGCCGACGTCGTACAATTTGCGACGTTTCCACGGCAAACTGAACGCTGCTCGTATACGGTTTCTAACTAGACAGCAAGGCACAATATATCTACTTGAATCCAAGTTAAAAACCACTCAGTTATCAAATTGCTGTTCTATGGCATAACGATTTAATATTTCGAGAAAGACTTATTATCGCATCTCATTCGTCCGCACCTGTTACATTATCTTATCGTGACGCTGCAATGAAATTGATTATGTATATATTTCGAATAAGTAACCTTTGTTATGCCACCGTCCAGGTGAACCGGAATCCTCTAGTCCCATACTGGTACGAATGGTGCCTGCTCGTGATGCTGTCTGGACTGTTGCTGTTCGAGCTGACCAATCCAAGCGACAAGAGTGGCCTCGGCTGGATCAAACTGGCCGTTTTGCTTTTCGGCATCTTCGGCGTGGCCTTCCACTTGCTCGGCTACTTTGGCATCGTGCACATCGACAATTACGGCACACTCATCTACCTCAGAAACCAGTTGTTCGCGCTGAGCTTTCTGCTCGCCTGCGTGCAGATCCTCGACTTCCTCTCGTTTCACCATCTCTTCGGGCCGTGGGCCATCATCATCGGCAACCTGATGAAGGATCTCGCCAGGTTCCTCGCTGTCTTGGCCATCTTCGTCTTCGGTTTCTCCATGTTCTTCGTGGCGCTCAACCAAGCCTTCAATACCAAACAAGAGACCGTAAGATCTCGTAAACCCAGCGCCTTCTCGGATGGTGAGTTTCCTTGTTTTCGTTCGACTTTGCTATCCACCTTTTCTTTTCTTCTCTACCTGTTGATCCTTCTGTATAGGTCTATATACCTATCTGAATTCTTCAAATCTCTTGCGAACGTTCTAATATCTCAATTCTTGCTCTGTGTACGATTCAATCTCATGACAATACTTCTCTGACTGTCTTTTAAGTTTCAACTCATTGACAAGCAATCTTTGATTCGATTGTTGTAAAAAATACTCGAAACATTTGTAGCCGAGTCGTTATGCGGGTGGTTGAAAACAATTTGCGCAGATTTTTTTTTTTTTTGCAATTACAGCGTAGGTCTGTGTACGGTACGTTTTTGGGTCATTTTTTACAACACTTGTACCTCATCATTTTCATTCTATTTTTGGTCTGAAGTTTTTTTCGCTTATATTTTTGACCGTGGTCCTCTGTTTTTCCAAACCCATTTTTTTCAATTTTACGTCTCTTTTATTTTCCGTTCTGATCTGACTGTGCTTTTTATTTTTCAGAGTGTAATAATTTTCTTTTGAATTTTGAGCGACGCATAGCGTATACAAAATGAGCAACAATTATCACCCGGTGTTTCTTTGTTTTTTGAACGAATAGCCTTTAATCCGAAGAAGGGGAAGCGTCCAGGTAACGGTATCTCACACGTAGGCGAGTCGAGAATGATATACATATAATACAATTTCAACCACCCTCTAGCTTTAGTTCTCTTAGTCGTAGAAATCTGAAAGATAATGAAATTCAGCTTTTTCTGCTGCGCCGTCCCCCAGCCCCTGTCTACCGCGCGTTTCTTTTAGGTATACGTGTAAATAACCCCCTAAAAATAATCGAAAAAAATGTAAATAAGAGAGGTAGTGTAACCATGACGAATGATGCTATAAAAGCGGTAGATGTGGTGAAAAACATCTCGCAATACGTGGAACTGTTCGACATGAACGAACTACCAGCGATGAAGATGACAATGACAACGACGCCGTCAGAGCCAATGACTGTAAAGCCAACGCACCGTAGGCAGATGTTCGGCAAATACAAGAAACAGAATGCTTGCTGCGACGAAAGCTCCCGAGACCGTAAGCTTCACACTATGATCAAGCCAACGAGCAAGCAAACAAAGTTTATACGTTTAGCGTGTCGTCTCTTGTTACTTTTCCTTTTCTCTCTTTTGTTTCTTTCTTTGTTCATTTTGTGTCGTGTGTCGTCTATGTGTTGCCTATATATAGCAGCAATCGCAGCAACGACGATGGTCTCCACCCTCGAAAAGAAGAGGCTCGTGGGCGTGCGGCGACCCTCTCCAAATTCTTTCATTTTCCTGGCTTTACGCGGCAAACTGTGTTTTGTCATTGTGCATACGTCTTTCTTTGTGTAATCGTCTTTCCACGCGACCAAGCAGCTGCAACAAAAATTGTGTCTATGCCGCCGCTGACACGCTGACGCTTGTAAAATCTGGAGGACGAAGATGATCCGAACAAGAGTGAAGAAACCATGCTAAATAGCTAAGCATATAGCGCAAAAAAAAAAAATAATAATCAAAAAATTGAGAAAAAAAACAAACAATCGCTTAAGCATCAATCATCATTAAACTTTCACGAAACACACGAAGTACACTTTGCAACAAAATCATGCATCAAAGCGCCATGCAGCAAAACAATTTTAGCGAGTCAGTGTGCGTTGCAATACAAAGTGAAATGAGGAAAGTGCACCGTTTGTCTTCGTACACCACCAAACCGCAAAACCAACCGAGCAGGATCTTTTTTTTCTCGCCAAAGTAAATAAACAATAGAAAAAAAAAAGGCAACCGAACCACAGCATGAAATTTCCACAATAAGCAAAAAAGCATGAAGCATGAGCAAAAGGCAAACTCAAACAAAAATCCAAAATACAACTTCTAGAGAGAGATATATACATATATATATATACATATATATATATATACTAATGACATGCGCCAAACCAAAGAAAACTTAGCGAATGCGAATTAGAATTTTTCTTTCAAATGCGAACAATATCTGCTTTTGCGATGTAAAATATCGGCTGACAGTCAAGTAAACGAGAGAAATACGTGCGAGAGGCAAATTTGCGGGGAACACATTGCAGTGAAAATGAACCCGATGCTCGCCTTCGAGTACCTGTTCTTCGCGGTGTTTGGCCAGACGACCCACAGCGAGTTGAAGGTCGAGCAGCAGCAGCCCGAGTGGACGTCGAGTCTGTTCAAGCTGGCGTTCGGCATCTACATGCTGGTGTCGGTGGTGGTGCTCATCAACCTACTGATCGCCATGATGAGCGACACTTATCAGAGGATTCAGGCGCAGTCGGACATCGAGTGGAAGTACGGACTGAGCAAGCTGATTAGAAATATGCATAGGTAACTCATGTCGATGTGTAGCGATGTCTCTCGATAGGAGGGAACGCGAAACAATACCATGTGAACGCTTGGCAGAAGAAGCTTGTTTCATGACTCTGCTGCTCGTAGTTTTTTTTTCCTCTTATTTTGTCTTTTTTTTTTGTTTGATCTTCATCTTCAGCGGGACTATCACTTTCGTGTAGCATCGCACGATCAGTCGTGCGATCGCAGTGATAAGCGATCAGTGATGACGTGACCTTACAACTACTGCTCGGGTCATGTCGCGCGTCGTTTAGATGCTAGTCAACCATCGCCGCGCGACATCTTTTTTTGCCGAACTTTTTGAGTAGACGTGGTAGCGACGAGTTTTTGCCAACGTGAATGCACACATCGGCGAACGAGCGCAAGAGCCAGCGTTTCGCATATCACCGACATGCGGCTGACGTAGTTTTTGCCTAGAATAGACGCATCATCTAGTCGCAGTCATCGAACGACCGTCGCAAAGCAAATCACCGACGCAGCGAGATTCAGTTGGCAATCGTGAAATCGACCACGAGGACGCCCAGCGATCCGTGAACGGGCCAAAAGCCAGCACCACTTAACGAAACTGTTGCAGAACGACGACAGCACCGTCGCCGTTGAATCTGTTCACCACGTGGATCGTCTACTTCATCAAGCAGTGCCAACAGCGAACCGCCAGCAAGAAGCGCCCGTCGTTGGTGCACATGATGGGCCTGCAGCGCGCCGGTCGCATGTCGCCGCGCTCGAAAATGGGTGCCAAATGGCTGTCGAAGGTGAAGAAGGGCCAGGTGCGCCCCAACAAGGACAGCGTCACGCTCTCGGTGGTCCACCTCAGTCCGCTCGGCAGCCAGCTGTCGTTCAACAGCACCACGAGGATCGAGAGCGTCGTCGACTGGGACGCCATTCGGAAGAAGTACTTGGCGCTCACCGGCCAAGAGCCGGAGAAGGAGCCGGAGAAAGAAGACAACGAGAAGGAGGACGAGCAGCAGAAGCACGACGAGTCGAGCAGCGCCTACGGCGCGCAGACCGTCGCCGGCGGATCGGTGCCACCAATCTAAGCCGCGCGTCGACCAATTCCGTTTTGCCAAAACAGACAGAAGAAAAGACAAAATACAACAACAACAGCAACAACAACCAACCCATACAAAGTAGTATGTAACGCGATTGCGCGATCAAGTAGTCGATCGATAGGTCTTTGCTGGCTCTGTAGCGCATACCGACGAGGAGGGAGAATAATGAATTTTTAAGAGCGAGAGAGAGAGAGGGAAAAAGAGAGAGAGAGAGAGCGAGAAAAGAGTTGAGAGAGGACATAGGGACGACGAGTAAGTAATCGTTAAAACTGTCACGATAGTTGAGCTGTCGACCGGCATGTACCACTGTGTTTAAATGTACAACAACAACAAGCATTCACGTCATTGCCCGCTCTCTCACCAAGCTTCCCTCATGACTGTTCCCCCGCCCGATGTCTTCTAGATGAAAGCCACCCGCGCGAGAGCATGAGAGCGAACTTACGGCAGCGAATGCGAATTGCGAGCTAGATGATAGTGCGATCGCCCCCCACCCCCTTGCTCCTTTCATTTTCTCTTCTCTACCGCCTTGTTCCAGCTATAGAGGCTCTTTAGAGAACTGCACGACACTCGAGAACAACGATCACTCTTTTGTCACGTCAAACGATATCCGACGGCGGTCGCGCGAGAACGGGCCAAGTCCGCGTTGAGTTTTGTTTTGTCCCGCGACGGGGATCGTCGGTCCAGCGTCTGCTGCGTGTTACGATTGCCGTGTGTGACGTTGCAGTGAAAGTTTGGCCGCAAAAGACCGCCGAGCTGCTCTTCTTCTCGATATTCGGGCAGACCAGTTGGCAGGCGTTCAAGGAGAACCAGAAGGACGAGAGCCTGTTCGTGACGGTGCTGTTCAAGCTGACGTTCGGCATCTACATGCTGGTGTCGGTAGTGGTGCTCATCAACCTGCTGATCGCCATGATGAGCGACACCTATCAGAGGATCCAGGCGCAGTCGGACATCGAATGGAAGTACGGACTGAGCAAGCTCATTCGCAACATGCACAGGTTCGGACGGTTGTGCTGCAGTGTAGCCCCTTTGTATTTCTCCTTGTACTCTTTGGAAGCGCGCTGACGCAAAGTTTTTTGTATGACACGACTTCTTGTACGTTTTTCGTCGGAGGAGAGCCGAGTGATGTTGACGGAGTGTAGTGTTTGACATCACGCCAAAAAAAAATTGACACTGTTGTTTGTACATGTATGTTTGCTGATACAATAAAAAAATAATTCACGTAGACGTTTAGCTGATATCACGTAGTGTGGCCTGCTTATAAATAGATTTGACGTAGATAGCGTAGTTATCGTTAGACGATTTGTAACAAGTAATTGTGTAGGTTATTTTGTACATGTATATGTGTGTGCTATTTGGAGATGTTGTTCGTGTAAGCGAGACAGTGAAAAACTGCGCGAAAATTGCAAGCACTCGAGTAGATCGAGCTGAAGTTTTCGCGCAGTCGAAGCACGTATCGCAAGCCTGTGTCCACCAGTGTAAAAAGAGCCACGGCATCCAAAAGCCACAAGCCGCGTGGATGTGTACGGTAGCGTAGCCGAGTAGCCCAGCCTAGCTAACGAACGTTTGAACCGCGTAGAACGAACCAGGCGCCCTCGCCGCTGAACCTGGCGAGCTCGTGGACGATCTACCTGTACCGGCTGTGCAAGCGGCGCAGGGAGAAGCAGGAGCGGCCCTCGCTGATCCACATGATGGGCCTGCGCCGGAGCGGCCAGCTGTCGGCGCGCTCCAAGATGGGCGCCAAGTGGCTGTCCAAGGTGAAGAAGACGTCGCAGGTGGGCCACAAGGACGGCAGCTCGCTGTCGGTGATGCGGCTGAGCTCGCTGCCGAGCCAGCTGTCGCTGGGCGGCGCGGGCGCCACGCGCATCGAGGCCGTGGTCGACTGGGAGCTCGTGCGCCGCAAGTATCGCGAGCTGCACGGCGGCCTCGCCGAGAAGAAGCCCGAGGACGGCGCCGAGGAAGACGAGGCGGCCGACGGCGCGCCGGACGAGGCCGCGGCCAGCGTCGCGGGCAGCCAGGCGACCCTCGTGGCCGCCGCCCCCGCCGCCGCGACCCCGTGAACGGGCGCGGCCCGCGCGCTCATCATGGCGGCGACGACCGAGGCCGCGCGCCAGCTGGTTAGTACACGAGCACGGGAGCCCGCCGCGCCGAGCGCCGAGCGCCAGCCTGAGCACGTCGCCGCGCGTGCCGCTCGACCTGTAGCCATACGTACCGCATGCCCTCTGCACGCCCGGGAACACCGGTTGGTTTTTGCATGGAGGAGCTCCATGCCCGCCAGCGATCTTTGTGCCAATTTGTTTTGTCGTAGTTTTGGTTGTCTGTGTGTGCCTGTCCTTTTTTTCGTAGACCGCCTGTCGGCTCTAGACCACCTGTGTGTAGTCGAAGGTAGCCAACATGCCAAAACAATCGTAACCTCTGTGTGTAGCCTCTAGTCGCATAGTTTGTAGCCAGGAATCGCGACACGACTGCTGATCGCTGGGCGGGTTGCTGTTGCAGTGAACGTCAATTTCATCACTATCACGGAGAATCTGTTTTTCGCGATTTTCGGCCAAAAGGATACCGACGACTTCGCCATGGCACTCAGAGACAACTCGCAACCTGGCTGGACCTTGTTTTTATTTAAGGTACGCTTGTCATTCTGTAAGCTGCGCGTAAATCCGTGCGTTTGTCCCAAGGACTCGCATCGACCCTCCAGGGCAATGTCGCAAGCGTCAAGCTTGTTCGGAACGTCGAGCGCACGAAGGTCACCGCTCGCTGTGTGTTTAGCCAGGCCAGGCACATCGGCACTCGAGATACAGCCGAATTTACGATCGCATGTTACAATTTACAGATAACCTTTTCAATTTACATGATGGTAACCGTGATCGTGCTGATAAATCTGCTGATCGCCATGATGAGCGACACCTACCAGAACATCCAATCGCAGAGCGACATCGAGTGGAAGTACGGACTGAGCAAAATCATCAGGAATATGCAAAAGTGCGTTTGTTGGAATTGCGCGGGACGAGCCTTGTTTTTGTGCAGTCGGATGTCTCGTTGAGGCAGCGATAATCATTTTCTTTTGCAGAACAACGATGGCCCCCGCTCCGCTGAATCTGATAACTGCTTGGCTGACCTATCTGCACAAGACCCTGCAGGCTAGGCGCGAGACCAAGAAGAGGCTGAGCGTTATGAATAGTTTCATCGGGCGTCGGCTACCCAAGAGTCCTTTCGCGCACGTGAGCACCGCGTTCATCGATCGATTCTCCACCGATTTCTCCGACAATCATCGCCGATCCCTTTGCGCAGGGCACTAAAATGCACCCAGCCGGATCGACGAGAGACAGCCTCGGAATATCGCTGCTCCAGCCCAGTCCGCTGGGCAGCCAGTTGTCGTTTCGCAACGCGCCGATGATCAACAACGTCGTCGACTGGGACATTGTCAGGCGCAAATACAGAAGCCGCTTTGGCGGCGAGGTCGAGCGACCGAGCAGCTCCCAGCTTCTTCTTGGCGATGCGCCAGTTGACAAATGAACTTGTCTCTCTCTTTCTCTTCCTCTCACTCGTTTGTAATTTTTCTATAAAACCATTGTGTAATCGCAGCTCTAGTCATTAGCGATAAGTTGTACATAATAATATTAATATACGAATAGAAATGAGACGTTCGCAGATATTGTCCATTTTTCCATTGAGTCACCTCCATGTTCACATGCACTTAATCGTCCGTATACTTGAAAGTAATTCTAGAGCACTCTTCTTTCTTTTCAATTGCACTCATCTTTCTCATACCTTATAAAAAGTTTATTTTACTGCTTCGAAATGATCGTCAAGGCACTGATCAATTTCCAAATCCAAATCCAAAGAGGATCAACAAAGTTGGTGATAACGTCCAATTGCAAGGATTTATTGCGCGGAATCCATTTGACCATACGTACAAGCTGCTTGCGTCACGTGCACTATCTTAAGTTTCATAACCAATTACCAGAGGAGTACAAAATACACTAACGCTACAGTACATAATAATTCAGCGATCGTTTGCACAGGTTGTCAAAGTATTATGTTACATTCCAATTGACAGATCGAGCTTCATTGCAGTGGCTACTCGATTCGAGCCTGAAAAGCACACGGTTGTACGTTTGCTAAAATCGTATTCTTCGATATGCAACGTTGCTTCTTCTCGTCGCTCCCCTTCTGCAACTGCCGTATTTCGTTATACTCGCAACCTCGGCGTGCTATTTGGTTATTGCAATATTTCCAGGCTTCGCCGTCCGAAGATAGTTTTGGATTTTAGGCTCCTGCATTTGGTGCACCGAATTGTGTTTTCCGTGTATATTGTTGGTGACGTCCGCACGGGCAATTAATGCCGTGGTAAGGTAAGATCCAATTGAAGATCCAAGATAAACTTTTTCCGTTATTATCGTTTACACTATCAACCTCATCTCATGTCGTTAAAAGTACAGTAATACTTCAGTTTATTACAATTTTGCAATTTCTAAAATATCTACTGGAAGTAGAAAGTAGAGGAACGAGTAACAATTTCACAGTTCTTTAGATATTTTGCAGAGTGATCAGTATAAAATGTCGATCATCATAAATGCGAGAGAAAGTTAAGAGTCGTAATTACATTCAATGACTTTTCAAGAATAATCGCGGACAAACAATTTTTGTAGTCGAAATAATTTTTGCCACATATGCTGTATCTGTATATTATGGTCAATATGTTAAATATGATCTATATATTTACGACTATTTGATGGGTTATTGGTGATTTTTCAGATTACATCTACGATTATATTGTCTTGTATTGCCATAGGTAAGTACTACAATTAAAAAAAAAGGTAATCGTCGTGCAACAATTTTCTACTAATAATACTCCCTTATCGGCAAAATTTAATCGTGTTTGTATAATTCGGTCAAGGCATATCAATAAACGAGTTAAAAAACAGTATTAAAAATGCGTTTATTAAATTGTATCAACAACTCATAGTGTCTTTTTGCCAAAAGGGGACGCAGCATTCGTCTCGAGGAAATAGACTCCCCGAACACTGGATCTAAGATTCTCGCCCATAAAAGCAACGCGGTTTTTTGTTTTGTCGCATCTGTCCATTTTGTATTTTCGCCAACCGCTACATTCGACAGCGGGGAAAGCCAGCGGATTGACGATTGACTCGGACATGAATTGATGCGAGCGTCCGTGACTGCATGACTCTGCAATTTGAGGAAAAGCCATGCTTGTTGAGGCCCCAGTCACATATGTACGTACGCTTGCGTATGAATGCTAACTGACTTACTCCACCATCTTCTGAATCCTTTTTTTTCTCATAATCATTTGTTCAACTAATTGCATTCCTACTTTAACTATTTGAACTTTTAAATTAATGAACAAATTAATATTATCTACCATGTATCTATTACACAGAAAAACGTTATGACTCACACGTTGCACAAATGAATATGAATGTATTATTATCACATTGATTACTTGCTTAATTTACAGGTTGATTTACGATGATTGAACAACAAATTTTTTTTAAACTTCAGTCACATTAATAATAAAAAATAACAATTATGTTAACGGTAAAACAATTTTGAGGTCAACAAACTGTATTTTGTTTGCTCAGTTAGCAACATTTAATCATCTGTTGCGACTGTTGGTATCAGTAACCAGAAATACGAATTTCTAGTGATTGCACTGGAATCGTGTGATTCGTGCGCATTCGTACGCAAGCGTACGTAGATATGTGACCGAGGCCTGAAGCGCGCACGCGAACGATTTAACTGACGTGAACTCGATCGGTTTAACTAGACTAAGAATTTCGATTTCGAGCTTGAACCTCGAAAAAAAATTTAATGCAAAAAATACACAATCGCCAGCGCCGCCTAACTTTTGTAAAATTAGAATCTTACGCGCAATGAGCACCGGGCAACCTGGCTGTCGGAAGCTGCCACCGTTGGGATAGAAGTCGGCGTGTCCGAGTGGTCTGACGAAGCCAGCAGTGCCCGCACAGGTGTGTATAACGTCGACGAACTTGGCGTCCGACGGATCCAGCCTTTCCCTGGGGTCTCGCACGAGCGGCGCTTCGAAGTCCGGTCGCGCAGGGTCCATGCCTGTGATACGCGCCAGTCTGCCCGCCAAATTGCTCCCGACGAGGCCGGCTACGTGAGCGCCGAGACTGTGCCCGAGGATGTGGATATTGTCCGGGTTTGCGATGCCTTCCATTATCAGGTACTCCAAGAGTCGAGACGCCAGATAGCCTACCTGAGAGACACGCGAAGACTCGAATTTTTCTCGCACGGGACAGGGATTGTCGTGTTCATTTGTTTTACTCGCTTGACGAATCTCGCAGCTATTAAGTATTCTTTTGACGAGCCGGAAGACCAGTCGACTATGATTACGTTGTAGTAGCCGCTGTTCAGGTAATTCCGTCTGAAATCGTGCATCCACCAGCTACTCCCGCTATCCATCCAGCCGTGCACCAATACCTTCGTGGGCGCTGATCTGTTAAAATTGGCGCTTCTCAAACTGCCGATATCATCGACGTCAAGAATCACCGGCTCGTTTGGATTTTCACGAGTGAACAAGTAAAAGCCAATGCCCTTGTCTGTCACCGTCAAGGCAGTTAGTGGACCTTCCGTTCCCGTCGTCGCGTCTATTAAATTGTCCATCATGGCTTCTTCCACAAGTAAATTCGACGGGCTCTTGGATTGCTGTCGCTTTCGACTTTCAGCACTGACAGTAGTTTGATTTGCTTGATGAAAAAAGCTGAGATCAAATTATCATTGAACAAACGTATATTTCAATTTATATGTATCGATCGCCTAATTTATTCGACGTGACAAAGAACGCGCAATAAATTGAAAAGCAATTAAAATTTCAGTAGAAACGTAGTAGTTTTGAAGATTACTTGCAACGATAATGAGAAGCAATAACGGCAGCATAGACGACGCCATGTTGTTGAAATGCACATCTAATACTAATTTCGTTTGCAAAAATTGATTCCTTTTATACACGCGACTTATCCAACTAAACCAAAGGATCATTATTCTCGTTAGAATGCTTCATTACTATTTGTTCCGCGTATACTTACACATTTTCAAGATACCAACGTCACTGCCTTAATGGAAAGTTTTTACGGATTGAAGTTTTCCAAATTACTTTGTGATTCGATTTAAAATTATATGGTCAATTATAACGATCAAGTAATTAATTGAAATGTTCTGAATATAATATAAAAATAAGATTTGGGGAAGGGGAAATTGTATCATATCATTTACGTCTAATTTTATTGAAACTTGAAACTTTATTGAAATATTTAACTGATAATACATGTCTTGCTTATAAAAATATTTAGTCAATTCTTCAAAATAAGTACTCAAAGTTCGAACAAAACTTAAATACGTTGATCACAAAAAATTTCGCATGTATAATGTGCGGTTTTATATCGCCACATAAACTTGTTCATTTTGAAAATATATTTAACACATGTAAGCTTGTTATAACACTTTTTCAAGCATTTAAAATTTTTCGCTTGATTCTGTGTACAAACTTACAAAAAATAAATTTGATAAGTTATTAGACTGTTCCTCTTTTAATGTCCTACATATTAAAATAAAACTAGCTCTCAACTATAAAAACTGAATATGCACATGTTTCTGAATAAAACACCTTACTTCGAACATATTTTACTTGATGATAACATTTTTAACCTTTGTTTCACAAGATCTTATAAAAATTAAAAAATTATTTTTAACTTGATAACTAGTGAAATACTCCAACTTATTTTTCATATAATTTTGAGGCAGAGGTATTTTAGTGAAAAAATGTCATGAGTTTTAAAACAATTTTAATTTTTTTACGATACTAGTGTTATAAAATAATTTGAAAAGGCTACACGAGAAACCACTTTATCCCGCTAGTTTTATAAGTATATTGGAACGGACTCGCTTGATTTTTGATAATAAAAGATATTATCATATAAAGATAATATAGGTCTTTTTTAAAAATAGGCTTATAAGTTAAATCACATAATTTATCTAGACAATTTCAGTTTTACAAATTAAGTGAGAGATTTATCATACTACTTTAGCAATGTGTTTATTAGTGCTTTTCAAGGAGTGCGTTCCTTTTAAACTATGTAGAGATGCGCATTTGGTACTTATCCGTATTAGTCAGACCAACAAATACGTTTCTATATGAGTGCGTACAAATGCACATTTGGCACTGAAATAATTTATTCATTTTTTATATTCCAACTACAAAAAAGTCGCTGTTTCTAAATGTTTAAAAATATTTTATTTTATGTTTTAAACATTTGATCTGCTAGTTACTATTGTAGGCACTGTTTTTCATCACGATAGTCGCTAAATAACAATTCAGCTGAGGTTTTAAGGTTAAAGTGAAGAAAAAAATAGTATATTTCTTGTCAGGTATGTACAAAAAGAATAGTGAGCTCAATAGAAGGCAAAAACCGATAGTAAGTTTCGTAAAAAGGCATTCCCGGACAAGATAAGAACTATATTTTTCATCCAAGAATAGAAAAAAAGCTTCAAAGGTATGACTTAGTGGTAGGATTGAAAAAGAAACATTATATTTTGGTGGTTAAAGCTTTAAAGATATCACTAAACAGCTACGACTATTGTCATTAATTATTAAACAAAATAATTTTCGTATTAAAATCCAATAATTGAGATTGTGGTAATAGTACATTTCAAAACAACACATGGAAGATTTAACTGTTTGGACGCACATTTTCGGTCAAACCAAAAACGTTTCAACGGTACGTTGAAATCTACTTTTCGATACTCTGTGCGCAAAGTGCGCCTTTCCCGCACGCTCAGCACAAAACGTGCGTTGAAAATCACACTTTCCACACGTCGTATAAAAAAATACGGTACGGCACATGTTCGGGAAAGAGTCTCTCGTTTCGTGTACTTTTCCACCCTCGCTTCACTCGGGTGTAAACGCCACGCGAGAGAAGGATCTACTTTCCCGCACTTGTATCGTAATGTACTATTTCGATACTTCGTGCTCAAAGTGCATCTTTCCCGCACGCTTGGCAGAAAACATGCCTTGAAAATCACACTTTCCACACGTCGTATAAAAAAATACGGTACGGCATATGTTCGGGAAAGAGTTTCTCGCACTTGTATTGTAATGTACTATTAATGGCAGCGTTACCACTGGAATAGCACATTAACTAACTAGTAGATTCTTGTCTCGTGTAAGGCTTACGATCGAGCAAAGCGAGGGTGTAAAGGCATTTGAGACGAAAATTCCCAAACACGTTATGTGCGGTATTTTTCAAAAGAATATGTGAAAAGCATAAATTTGAGCGAACTTAAAGAAATTGAGCAATAGCGTCGAAATCCTTTTGACTACGTTAAGTACACTTTTTTCTAATTCTAAGTTAGCTTTTACAGTTGAAAATTAATTAGTCAAGATTTTTATTTCAACCAATTTGATTTATTACTATTTGGACTGTAAAAGAGAACTTGAAATGGGAAAATATGCGTATTAACTTGTTTCAAATTTCAGAATCTTAGGAGCAATTATTCCAATCAATATAGTAATTGTTTGTAATAAGAATTATAAAATATGACTATATTTTTTTAGTAACTTATACGTATTCTTACGAATGCAGAGATTTGTGTTCAAGATTACACCAATGAAGATAGACACTTACATAATAAAAAAATGAAAAAAAAGATTGTTACTACCATAATTCAAATAAAAAATGAAGAATATACAACAGCAATAAAATTAGAAATGTTTAAAACTAATAGTATAAATGCTTACTGTAACAAAATTGTCAACGAAAAATTGTTTATACGATATGTTTCTAAAACTAAACCGTAACTTGTCATTATGAAGATATCATTTGATTTTTCAGAATTCAATTTCGATTTGCTCAGTTTTTTTGAGAAAATGACACTGTTATATTCATAAATAGAATTTTCGATACATTTTTCTGGGGTGCTGATACTATCAGACACATAGAACTCCTATATGTTAAAATATTAATATGAATTTTGAATTGAGGATAACTCGAAAACTGGACGGTCAATCGATCTCATAAACTTTACAGAGATATTAATCAGCACATAAATTAGATTTTGCGTAAGTTTTAGAAAATTTTCACTGTTTTCAATTTGCTGTATCTTTCATGTTTTATATATTTATTTTATTCGTTTTTATATTAACCGTTTTAGTAGAGAGTAAAAATATTGTGACTATATCAATCTTTTACTCTGAAATCTTTTTATTTTTTTTTATTCGTGCAGTTGGATATAAATGACCTTAATTCAATTTACAAAAAAAATAAAAAATGCTAAACTCAAAAGAGCATCATATTTCAATATACATTGTATATTGTATATATTGTGGAAGAAATTGTATCGACATCTTGGAAAAGATAAGAAGTAGTTCCTATCAGTTTGAAAACAGTGTCATTTGTTAAAAAAAACAGAACAAAACTAGATTAAAATCTTAAAACACAAATTTCAAAAACATGTGTGTCTGTCTAGTTTCGAAAACTATTTCGTGTAATTAAAAAAACAGTTACTCAAGTATTTTTAACAGACTTTCGTAGGAAAATAGGTTTGATCTATTGATCTAATTTAAATAATACATAATAGGAACAAAATACCATTTAAATTGTAATTTTAGGTGTTGATCCTATAAAAAGCCTAAGCATTTTTATATATTTTTCTCTAGCCTCAATTTTAGTGTAGCACCATCTTTTTTTATGAAGAAAAAACGATGAATTCTTAGATTCTACTAACTCTCAATCTATCAAGATTCTTTCTGTTAAATATTTGAAAATCGAATTAAACTAATGTTATATTTTTCAGAAAAAAAAACTTACTATTATACTACTCAAAAATTTTCATCTATAGATATTATAGAAATTTCTCACAAAAATTTATATCATTAAATCTAAAATTTAGAATATGAAAACATGTAAAAAAAATAAATTATATAAGATCTCTGGAATAATAAGCTTTCTTCGTCAGATAATTTTTTTCAACACCATATCTTTCATGCTTTGTAATCGAAAAACCATAAGAAGCAGATACTCGTCTGATACAGTCCATTTCTTCAGGTATAAGACCAAATGGAAGTTCTTCTTTTAATATGTCTTTCTTATTTTTGAAGTCTTCACATATTTCTTTGGCAAATTGTTCAAATTCATCCGGTTTATCATCTTTGAACTTCATAGACTTTTGAGCAAATTGCTTTGCTTTTTCCTGGTAATCCTTTCTAATCTTATTAACCTATAGAAACAAAATATCGTATTGTACATTATTAAGGAGGAAGGGAAAATATAGCACGTAGAAATTAGCAAACATATGCATCGCACTACAAAATGTTCTGTTCAAGAGGCATAAAATTTCTTATTTTGAAAGCTCAACCGATAAAAAACTCCCTTTATTTTCTCGAGGCAAACGATTAATAAAAGTGACTGGGAGTTGTAAACTCTCACGTATTATAATTTACATAAATATACTTTTGCAACCTCAAAATTTTATAAGTACATATATAAAATTATGTTAGTTATTTATTATACTTAATTAATATTGATAATCAGACATACTTCAAGGATTTCTCTGTGAATGGGCTCATTATTTGGTGACATATTATTGGCCTTTTGTAAAGCCTTCATAGCTTTATCGTACTCTCCTAGTTGTTTCAAAGCCTTTCCATAACTGAAAGTTCAAGTTATCAAATTCATGTTGAGAATTAAAATGAGTTAAATTTTTTTAGAAATATACTTACTGATAATAATTTTTTGCAGATTTGCTTGGTAGTCTATCAAATGAGGCACATGCAAGTTTTGGTTTTCCAATGTGATTGTAACATATGATCAAATTTGACAAAGCTCTTGATAATAACTTGTTCATGTTCATTTCTTGTTCATCATTTTCTAAACTTGCAGTGTCTAGACAATGAACAGCTCTGTTGTATCTAAATGAGTGTACAAAAATGAATAAAACAATAAGAAAATATTGATAAAAATTATGAAATACTTTTCTCTTTTACTCCTACTCACTCTCTAACAGCTTGCTTTATTTTTTCTCTACCATAACTGTCTCTAGCAGTGTTCAACAAATCACGTACAATTTTCTCAATACGAGGAAACATTCTTTTCTCTTCATTGGTCAATTCTTCATATTTGTCAGCAGAGCCATTATCAAGAAAATCAATGAGCTCTACTTTAAATAAAACTTCAGAGTCTGCAGGGATACGTGGTGGACATCCAAGTGCCCCATAAGCTAAGTTTGGTTGAATAATAAACACAGATTTCTCAAACTTCTTCATGGAAGCAATGGCTATTTCCAGGCCTTTTATCATTTCACCTTTACCCAAGCGAAGTGTTGCTCGCTTTTCACGTTGGAACAAAGTAGAGTCGAAGGGTTCATCTTGATATTCAAAGTAACCAACATATTCAACTGTCACTTGTGCATCATGTGGAATGACTTCTCCAGTGCCTTCTTTCTTGATCAACTTTAGAACCTGAATTCAAATCAGTATTAATTTCCATAGCCATACAACATTCTTTACAAGATGTATTTACAAACCTCTCTATTGCCAAAGATACTAAACATTTTGGGTTTGAGAGTATCAAACCCAATTCCAATGAATGGAGTATTTTCAGCAGTAACATTCTCTTCGCTGTCATTCTCATCTTCCAAATTCAAAAGTCTTTGAATTTCCTGATTGCTAAGCTCAACAGTTTTTTTATGATTGTACTGTTCATCCTCATCAAGTAAATCAGGAAAATCACTTGTGTCTAATGTAAATCCATCACTGTTCAAGATTTGGCTAAGATAGTAGGACAAAAATAAGTATTTTACTCATTCACATTGCATAAATATATTTTTCGATACCTCCATGCACAAAGTGCGTCTTTTCCACACGCTCGGCTGAAAACGTGCGTTGAAAATCGCACGTTTCCACACGTCGTATCAAAAAATACGACACAGCACATGTTCGGGAAAGAGTTTCTCGTCTCGTGTACCTTTCCACCCTCGTTTCGCTCGGGCGTAAACGCACTTGTATCGTAATGTACTATATATTTTTTATTTATAGTACATATATTTATGTACTATATATTTTTTATTTATAGTACATATATTTATGTACTATATATTTTTTATTTATAGTACATTACGATGTAAGTGCGGGAAAGTAGATTATCTCGCGGAGAGTTTACGCCGGAGCCAAGCAAGGGTGGAAGGTACACGAGACGAGAAACTTTTTCCTGTACATGTGCTGTACCGTATTTTTCGATACGACGTGCGTTCAAAAACGAACTTTATCCCGAACATGTGCCGTACAGTATTTTCCGATATGACGTGTGGAAAGTACGATTTTCAACACTCATTTTTCACCAAGCGTGCGAGAAAGACATATTTTGCGCACGGAGTGTTGAAAAATTATACATTTAGATTGAAATTTCTATACTTTTAAACAATTCACCTCATAATGGCGTAGAAAACAAATGATAAATGTACTTAAATAATTAATTGTCGAAAATATTTGGCATAACAATTTTTAAAATACGTAATTATTACTTTAATTTCCCATTGTTTATAATAAATAAAAAAAGCTAAAATCCAACTTACTTGACAGTGAAACCTTCTCCAACTCTGATTGTTGGCATTGTTAACGTTAGCAATCTTCCTCTATGCAAAAATTATAAAATTCAAAAATTTATTCAAACAAATAAAAAATTTTGTTAGTTGCTTGAGTTCATTCAAAGTAGAAACAATCTAACAACGCGACCAGAACAGACCAGAACACAACTGACGCTATACGGTCATCACGCACTACTAAAAGTTCACGATGCTGGTTGGTTCGTCATACGATATGGCAACGTTGGAATTTGCGACTTGTGTTACTGCTATATAACAAAGTCATTAATGAATGTAATCTTTGACAATTCCAAATGTTACTATCAAAAAGTGAATTTTTTTAACCTTGCTAATTAATATAATTTAAAATAAATTTAATAATTTAAAATAAAACGAAGTAAACAGTCGAATTCATAGCTAAAATCTACAAATACATTCCTATAGAGAGGTTGTTATTGTTTACATATCTATGTTAGAGTACAAAAGGTTGTAACATTTCTGCTATTTTACGCAAGTATTTTACGAAAATTAAAATAATTATCTGACTAAAATCACGTGTAAATCGCAATGTCATACAATACTCAAGTTTTTAGAGTTGTTGCATAGCACAAATTGACGTTATTGCCTCTCTGCTTCGTGCAGTTTCGTGAAGCGTTGGAATGGAAAAAGTTCCTTCTCTGGTGCTCTTTGGCTCTGGCTCTTAAGCTGGGTTGTTATAAATCACTTCCGGAGCTCGTAAAACCTTACCCAATTTCAGTATTTCTTAGAAGAGGTAAACTTCAAAAAATCTTTAACGATTTCACACAAAACCAATAACAAAACGTCAGTTAGTTACAAGGTTTTCAACAGCCTTAAAATGGAAATCTCAAAATAGATAAAATTTTATTTTTTTTAATGTCTTCATGCGATTTTCGGGTTGAATGCTGTGAACACGTTTTAAAATATTCAGGACTTTTGTACCACTTTAAATTTTTCACTAGTTGTCCACATTGTCATGAATTCCTTAATATAGAATTCTGTATTTAAAATTATAGATCTAATTATTTAAAAACCATGAACCTGGATATTGATACAAGTGTAATTAATACAAAATTGCGATTCGTGCCTGTGAGTTTATTGATTACAGATTACAATTTATAATTTATTAAAAACCTATTGAATGTAAGAAATTATTCTATTTATAGGATGAATCAGGAGAACCTCTGCCTTGGCTACACAAAAACATGAACAATGATTTGGCAATGCCATACAAGAAGATTGATCCTTTTCCTGGTAAATTTTAATTAAGTCACTTTTGATTTTAATTTTGTTTAATAGACAATTTGGTAATAAATTAATTTTTTTCCAGGTGCTTGCATAAAGACTTGGACAGACACTGGAGATAAAGTGTTTATTAATGTGTGCCATTCAAAAGAGATACTTGCGCCAGAAGATATATCCGATGAAAAATTTTCTCAATTGATGATAGAAGAAGTTCCTGGTTTTATCATTCCTATGGCTATTGGTACAGAAAAGATGGCTAAAGATAAAGGTTTATTACTCAAAATTCTTGAGTTTTTCTTTGCAGAAAAATTTATTTAATATGAAAATATTTTCTTTTTGTAGAAGACATCGAAAGGGCTACTTATGATATTTTAGTAAATACTTCTTACTTTGAAAAGTGCATGAAAAAGCCACATTTTTGGCAGTTCACTGTTGCAGCCATTCTTGAATCCATTAATGATAAATATAAAAAAAATATTAATACTTCCAAGCATATTGTTTTAAAAAATAAAAAGGTTAATTAACATTACGTTAAAATTATTAGATTGAAAAAAGTAATATTCACTATTCAATATTTTTTGATTTGTAGGTGACAGGTTCTCTTGATACATTTACTATAGAAGATCGTAAACCAAGGAAACCTGTAATTAAAAAAACATTGATACAAGAACTTGATAGCAAAGAAATCGAAAATTTAAAAAAGAAGTCTGATTTGCAGAAAGAAAGTTTAGGAAAGAAAATTTCTGTAAAACATATGGAAAATCAAAAACAAGGTTCAACCAGTACCATCAAGACCTCTAAACTTCAGAATTATATTATTCTAAAATTAAAAGATCAGAAAAGTTTAATTGCTCTTTTTTATTTACCATCGTCAAGTATTACAGATCTTACAATAGATATTGGAGTTAATCGTATTATTATTGAAAATGAAAAAGCTGAATCTATTGTTGATTTGTTTCTGCCTCATAATGTTGACAACAATCAAGTTGTTGCTAATTATGATAATAAATTACATGTATGATATTCTTTAACTTATAAATTTTGAGAACTAGATATTCTTGTAAAGATTAATAATATTTTCATTTACTTCTGTTGCAGATATTACGATTGCACTTAGCTCTTAAGGATAACTGAACATTAAAAGAAATACTGGCACTTGTGATATTACTAATAAGTCTTAGTTAAGTTCTTATATATAGTACCTGAAGCCAGCTTCAATTTTTCTACGGAAAACGTTTTATAGTTTGAAGATTTTCAAATAAAAAATTAATACGTTTTGTAACATTTCAATAATTGATAAAAATTATTTAACAAAATCGTTTGTAACATATATTAGAATTGATAATCAATATACATTTTTCTTGTATCAAATGACATTTAAAAACAATTTTTTATCCTACATACAATTCAATGATAATTAAGCTCAGCAGTTTTATTACGAGTTAAACACAGTATATTTAAAAATTAAAGTTCTGTGTAAAAAGTAGGTCGTTCAATACCTAACACTGTAAAAACATTTGGCAGTAGATATGTTATGTTAAAACCTATTGTGAAGTATGTAATGTATTTGTAGATTAGGTCGACTAGTATTTTGTTTTTATTGTCTAAAGAATCCTGACTTTGTATGAGTTCTTTTGAGTTGACTTGTAATATGCCACACATAGTGGCATAGCTAAGACTTTTGCCAACAGCTTTTGTTCCTAATATACAACAATATCCAAGAATTGTTCGTAAAATTACTAAGCCTAATATTGAGTAAGATGGCCAAATAACGTGATATGGAGGAGGTAATAACGGCTTTATCAAAGCCCCAGTCTTATAATGCAGCCAAACACCTACGTGAACTCCAACAGTGACAGAAACAACAAGAGCTGTATCTCCTCTATATAAAAAAAAACAAATTAAATTATAAATGTAAATTATTTATCTATATTTCTTAGTAATTTTTTTAAACTAATATCATAGATATACCTTGTTGGTGTCCATTTTTTACTGCGTGGGTAATAAATTATCATTGCTAAACTGATAATTACTAACAATAATAGAGCCCAGCTATTTGTAACGAAATAATAGTCCATTGCATCAACTAAAGGAACCAGTGGAATCATCATGACAATTGCTAGAACTAGACCAGCAATTATATCTAACACTGTATGCATACCTAAGTAAACTCTGCTTATGCAAATCAATGTACACCTATAAACATTAAAATTTATTAATGACAGTTCATTTAATACTGATTGAATAGCAATGATCTCTTGAAATATTAAAGCTCACCATATAACTGCTGCAACACAGCCAGTAGGAAAAGAATAAATATATCTATTCATAGTAAACAAAACAGTACTGAAAGGCATGGCAACTGCAATCATTGCATGGGTGGATGGCATTCCGTACTCTAGTTCCCACTTGCTTTGAAATCTAATTGCAGGAGGACAAGAAGGTCTAGGCCAACAAATAATATCCTTCAAAGTTTGTCCTACAGCCATGACAGTAGCCCAAACCAGAACAATTCTACGACCAACAGCTCCATCGATATTCCAAAACCAGAATGGAATGGCCGTAGCGTAGAATGATTCATCTCCTAATTCTGTACCAAACAGGAACAAGTAGTACCAAAAGTGATTCGTTACTGTGTAAGGCTTTATGTAATCTGTGTTCATTGTACCCTTTTGTTGTGACTGTAATGAGGCATTATTTCTCTTCTTATTTTTATCATTTTCTTGCACTGCACAACCATTTAATAAACCATTTTTATCACTTTTCTTTACACAATCATAATGAATATCCACTCCAAAAAACTGTTGAATTTTGGCAACAAGATGTGGATCCTTACAGTACTTTATGAAATTCGCCAACATCTTCCATCAATTCTATTATGAATCACAGATATCTTGAAAAACTTATTTAAATTACATTTACGACGTAAACCACTCAAGTGTTTTTTCTTTCTGCTTTTTTATTTGTTACGACCAACGTGCAAAAAAAATGGACAGAATACAACGTGTAAAATGTAGGATCGATTAGCCTAACCAACAACTAAACGTCTTTTTCTCTAATTGGAAACGTAACACCTCATCCTTTTACTCAATGTGAATTGGTCTCTTCTTTGAATGAAAGTAGTAGAAGCGCGTCGCCGGCCACGGGTTCTTTTGTAGTTTTATTGATGTATTACTTTCAATCAACTTGTGATAATCATCCTGAAAATTTCACTCTCTATCATCCATGATGAGTTTATCACACGAGCACTGTCATTAATTAATAAATAAAAATGAACAGACACAGCACGTGACGGGCGTAGCACGACAGATGATGTAAAACTTATTAGGCTAAGAAAGCTAAGAAGACTCATACTGTTGTGTTGAAAAATTGGTGCGTGGTGCGCGCCAAAAAGTCACAAGCGAGCGTCGATAAGTCGGTTGCCTTCCGCGCTTGACTTGCACACACACTGATACACGCGAGTGAGTTACGAGCGGCTTGCACCCGGTTGCCCACCATTGCTGCGGCTGGCTTTTTAGATCAGTCTATGCTTTGTCCACGAAGGTCGGCGGTAGGCGGCGACGGCAGCGGTGGCAAAGTGACTTTTCCATGCGAGTCGAGCTTTTCCGTGAGGCTGACTTTTCCGCAAGATGCCGCCAGTCGCGAGTGAGAGTTTGACAGCTTAGCTCTCTCTCGTTGAACTGTCAGTGTTTTACTTAGTTGTTGCGAGCTAGAACAGCGAGCCCGGGGGGCCGAGGTGCAGGCAGGACGAGTGAGCGCGAGCGAGCAAGCGAGCGAGCGAGAGAGCGAGCGAGAGAGCGAGAGAGAAAGAAAGAGAGAGAGAGAGAGAGAGAAAGCGAGCAAGCGAGCGAGCCCAGGTGAGTGTAGCATGTATTACTTTATACCGTTTGCTCGAAGCTTCCATAGTCGTCGTCCTTTGTCTCTGGTGGCTGGCACGCTCATATTCGCTCTATGTCGCGCGCGTTCGCAATCTATACCGTTATTGACGTGCACCGCCTCCGCCTGCCACCGCTCTATACCTATATAACACCTACAGCTTTCTCAGCTGACGGGCTGTGCGGTAGCCCAGCTGACTTTGGCTGGGAGACTTTCACATGGCAACAAGTCCGCGACAAGCTGACCGGCTGACTGGGAAAAAAAACTCGCCTCTCCTCCGCCCGAGTGCAATTGTGTGAGTGCGTGTGGTGTATTGTAACGTTGCAGGATGTCATCGAGAAGAGGCGACGAGGTAGAGATGGTCAGCAGGTTCCTCGCGCCGCTCTGCGCCCGCGACGAGGCCGCCAGGAACATCGCGTTGGCGGCCGCCCGCACGACCGTCGAGGGTTGGCTCGGAGGCGTCGGCAGTCCGAACAACAACTGGGAGTCAGCGCTGCTGAGCAAGGTGCCTGGCAACGCCAGTCAGCGGGCTCAGGCCAGGGACAGCTTGGACGGCTTTTTCCCGCAGAGCGTGAAGGAGGGCAGCGCGATATTCGGGCGTAAAGCGAGTTTCGATGACCGCTACCCGTCTTTCGACTGCGTCGACGGCAAGCTCAAGGACGCGGAGGCGCGATTCAGTTCGAGTGCCGACACTGATAGGCGGCTGTTCCCCGTCGCGAGCGACGCCTGCGGCGGCTTCAGCGACGACGCGGACAAACCGGCGAGGGGACGACCCTTCGCCAGAATCAAGAGTGGCAGGCAAAAGCTGTTCGACGAGGAAGATGAATTGGACGCCGACACGAAGGTCTACGGCAAGAGCCCCAAATTCGATATCGATTTTGGCAACCGCCTGCAGCAGCAGCAGCAGCAGCACGATGACAATGCTGGTGAAAAAATCGTGTTCAACACTCTTGACGGCTTTCTCAATGACGGCAAGAGCAGCAGTCCCGAGGCCGAGTCCGAGAGGAAATTGAGCGCTGGACAGATCAAGAGACCACTCTCGCTGGACGAGGATGTGCCCTGGAAGAGCAACCGCGTCGCCGAAGTCGTCACTCCCGGCGACGTCGGCAGGATGTTGAATTTGGGCAACGCTCTGGATGGACCAAGGCACGTTCAGGCTAACAAGTACCTCAGCATGGTCAGCCTGCATTTGCCGGTGATATTGAGGCTCAGCGTCAACTGCCCGTTCGAGAACGTCAGGATCAAGTGCTCGGAGATCATTCAGATGATTAAGGTAATTTTTTTTTCCCTTCTTCCGACCGCCAAGGAGGTTTACGAGGCCTAGATTCGTGTCGATATTCAATGACTCTTTGGTTTGCTCGTTCGGATGATTGCAAGGAGCTTTTTTTACGCTAATTGAAATTGCACACTTGCAAAAAACATTACGAGCGCTGCTAGACAAATTTTTACGCTCGCGCAATAATCGTAAACCTCGGCGCGCTGTATTGATTTAATTTTGACAAGCGCCAAGCGAATCGCGATAAATTCTGGCGAAAAGAGGATGTACTAATATTAATCATCTTTCGGACGGGATTATACTAAAAGCCGGCGAATTTTGATTATGTTCCAATAATTCACGTGCACGCAATGATGTAATGGATAAATGTATTTTCAGTTTACTTTGGTGTTCGCCCTGAGCTGGCTTTGATTTTAACGTTGCACTAATGCCAATTTAACACTGTAATTAAATTCAAATGGCTCGCTGGCTGTTGGCTTACCGTTACATAATTTTACAAATGAAGGTCGTACATGCAGCTTAAACAGTTGTCGATATATCAGTGTAATTTAGATGTAATTTGAGCACTTTAATTGCAACGCGGAATCAGAAAAATAAACGGACGCGTTCGATAAAATGGAAAAAAGTAGGATAATTATATGAGTCTGATGCTGTTTTTAGTAATGTAGGGCGATGGTATTAGATTAATTATTATATTAATTACCAGTCGACTTTATATTCCGAAGGTTTTTTCACAAATATGCAAGTGTTTCCATTAAATAACCATGTTAGTTTTTAGTGAATTATCTGCAATCAATGTAGACATACCTGATGCAAATATCCTCGCTTTTATAAACAAATATAAAATTGAGATAAAATTCTTATGAAACTTGATTGATTTCGTTCAAGCTCTTTTTGCAGCAATATTGCGAAAATGATACACTGGCAAAACTGTTATTTTACACACTATTAGATGTTTGACGAAAAATTATGTAATAGACATCAGGAAAAGAATTAAAACTGTTTGATATTAATATTCATTTGTGTCGATCGTGCACAGAATTGTGAGTGCTAATAAAAACACAAAAGTACATTTAGCAACGTTTCTTCCGTGATTTTGCTAACTTTTTTAAGCTTTATTAACAACAAATAACAACAGATTATTACAAAATTAGCCTAGAAATAAATTAAATGGAGTAGTCAATAATACCTTATGAGTGCTTTTTTCAGAATATATAACTACGGCTAGAGCATTTAGTTTCCTTGCCAGTCGTTGCTTAATGCACTTTTGATGTGAAACGTTGTTAAATTTATTTTTGATGGGCTTTTATTAGCACTCACATTTCTCTATACGATCGACGTAAATTAATGTTGATATTCATGAGATAGAGAGAGAGAGAGAGAGAGAGAGAGAGAGAGAGAGAGAGAGAGAGAGAGAGAGAGAGAGAGAGAGAGAGAGAGAGAGAGAGAGAGAGAGAGAGAGAGAGAGAGAGAGAGAGAGAGAGAGAGAGAGAGAGAGAGAGAGAGAGAGAGAGAGAGAGAGAGAGACATCTCAAGGTAAATTATGATACTTTCCACAGATACGGACTCTTTTAACTATCTTAGTTATATGGCAGTTTTTATAAATTCTCTTTAAAATTCATCGGTTTTATTTTTTTAATTAAATCTCAGTGATACCAATTTTGAAATTATCTCTATTTTAGAAAATTATTAATTACGTAGAATATATGATTTTACATAAAATGAATATTTTTATACAAAATAATGTCCATAATTTTAATATGTACTTATTGAGTATCCTATGACAGAAGAACTGCTTCTATCATCAATTTTTCATTAATTTATATTGAGGAAGAGTGAGACAGGTAAAATGCTTTCTATAAAAATCAATTTTAATTTATATGGTGATCATCAGCTTTAAGTATTGCTACAAAAATTCTCAGTATATTAATGTTGATATAATTAAATTAAACCGATTGCTTACTATCGTGAATTTTGAATACATTGTAAAATGCGGTTACAAACATTAAATAATAAAGTAATAACTTAATACAGAAATATTATGAATTTATTGAAAATAGATTTTTTTTTACATTTACATTGAGTTCAATAAAGTTTATTGAGTGAATGAGAAAAGATGACCTGAAAAAATATTCTATGAGTCACCCATTAATGGAAGGCGACTGCTTTATTATATCTATTTACATATTAAAAAGGCGGATTGTTTGGCATCGCCCTTCATAGATATAAACCCTAGAATCCATTTGGCCACTATGCAGCCATTTTACTTCCCTTCCTTGAAATATTTCATCTTTTAAATAAAATCAGTTTTAATTCAGTTTATTGAACATACATTTGGTATTTTTAATGAAATCATTATTTTTATTAAAAACAGCGTATTTGGTTTTATTAAATACTTAACTTGTGCTTATATGGAGAAAGTAGACGGTTTCGCTTTTTCAATTTTCGTACGTCGTACATCGTATCATTCATTTTAGAAGAACTGCATTTTACCTCAACATTTGAATTATAAAATACATCTTGACATTTCAGCTTATAACAAAATGATTAAAAAACGGTAAAAACATATTTTCAAAAATGTGTATCTGGTTAACTTACGCTTGTATGCCTTGAAAAAATAAAAAAATTATAAAAGAATAAAAGAAAAACAAAAAAATTACGTTCCAACTCACTTGACGTGATGCTACGAGCAATAAAATCTTGAAATTTTTTTCAGTCCGCTTTTATATAATTAAACGGGCCATTTGGTTGACTAAACGGTATGTTATCGATTGAGTATAACGAAATATGAGTTTCTATCACTCTATGATCGCTATCAATATTTAACATGGATATATCGTGATTTACTATTAGGGTTATTATGTATATTCTACTATCAATTAAACTGACATTTATGAAAGAATTAGCCCCAGGGAAGGTATGTTCGGTAGTATACTCAAAGTTTAATCTACATTTGTCGTTGTTTGCTAGTATCCGATTGTTTAATGCTCGACCCTGACGTCGCAATACTTATTATTTCAGTTAACACATTTTGCATTTAAGTCACTTGCTAGCACGTAAAAATTGTTAGGGTTTTCTTATCCTAATACAAAATATGCGCTTTCTAATTTTTTCAATTCAATTTATTTCGAGAATTTCGAGAGTAGATCAAAGGACGAAGGATGTATTGTTTATATGCACTGTTTGATTTATTAATATCGCTACTCCTACGCCCTCTAAATTTACTCTATCACATGATCTTTACGTAAACCTAATTTCAAAGATTACGATTTTTTAATTTTTGAATGGAGGTTTATGTAAAGGTTTCAATGTCGTTTCATTTAAAAATACTACATTTGGTTCATCATTTATGACTTCTGCGTTGCAAGACGTCACAATGTCTTTCGATAAAAACAATTGAATTTACATTAGTGAAGATAACTTTAAGCATACTAACCTTTATTTAGCGCACTTGTTTGTTAATTTCTATTTTATTTTGTCCACTTTGCTCTTCTCCATATTCATTCTATTTTGTATTCTCCGTAAAGTTTGTCTATTCTTTTTATCGAGTTTATGTGAATCAAGCTTTTTAACCTGTTTAATCTCAGGATATCCAATTCTTTAACTTCAGCTATAGTATCAATAAAAGTCAAATCGATTTGAGGGTGTCATTTATGCTTTCGTAAAGGTTGTGTCGATTATCTGGTTCCCGCTATCTGTTGGCCTGTTAGTCACGCTCACGTACGTTACAGCTGCGTTAATGTTACTTAATCAAAGCGTTTGAGTCTATTACGGGAAATTTACCAGTTACATGTTGATCCATGTTCTGCTGTAATATATTCCTGTTTCTAATTGATTTTTATAACTTTTCTTTTCAAGTCTTAGTTTTATTACATGGAATTTAAGATACACTTTAAATAAGGTGGGCAAACCTCCTTTGGTAATAACGTATTGTTTGGAATTACAGTGGCTCAGTGGATAAGAGCTCAGGCTTATATTATGGAAAAGATCATGGATACGAACCGCAGAAATATGAGCATTTTCAGAAATGTGAAATTTTTATGTTTGTTATCATGATTCCGATGATTCGGATTCCACATTACATTGTAGGTCCAGTCATGATGCGTGAATTAGTACATTATGATACAAGTGCGGGAAAGTAGATTCTTGTCTCGTGTGGCGTTTACGCCCGAGCGAAGCGAGAACTTTCCCGAACATGTGGCGTACCGTATTTTTTGATACGAGTGTGGAAAGTGCGATTTTCAACGCACGTTTTTTGCCGAGCGTGCGGGAAAAACGCACTTTCCGCACGGAGCGTCGAAATAGTACATTATTCTCGCTTAGTATAGTAGTAATAGTACATTATTACTCGCTTCGCTCGGGCGTAAACACCACACGAGACAAGAATCTACTTTCCCGCACTTGTATCGTAATGTACTATTCCTATCTCGCCATTTTAAAAGTGGTAGAGGAAGTAAGCTTATATACTAAGGACTATAGTAGGGAACTAAGACTAATGTGTAAAGGTACCTAATGGTACCTCTACAGTGTTACACATAAATGTAGTTTTTAAAGTAATAATAACAATAATGTAGTAGAATTTCTCTCAATTTTACAATCTTTTTTGATAGTACAGTTTTTGCTCTTGGTTCCTATTTTATCTCAGCTAGTTCGAAGCTCGTATCGAGTCTTATTAGTAGGCTTTTCTACGGTTTCATATATATATATACATATATAGTGTGTGTGTGTGTGTGTGTGTATATATATATATATATATATATATATATATATATATATATATATATATATATTTCAGTAATAAATTAAATTCATGAATATTTAGTATGGATAATAATCTACTAATATAGAAATATGCAGTTAATAAATCGTTTTAAACAAAATAAGAAATCATCTTTTTAAATTACGTTGGAATAATTAGTACCAATCGATCATTTGATTACCATATGTGAAATGAATAGTGTCGTTTTAAAGTGTGATTGGATGAATGAAAAAGTGAATAGTATAAAATGGAAGAAATTACATTTGTATTCATTAATTTTTTTCACTGTAAACTGAGAGGTCTGCAGGAAACGAAAACTAATTATCAGAATATTAAATTTGAAGAATATTCTCGGATGTTTTCAACGAAGCACCAAAAGAATATATGATGATGAAATGCATTAATAATAATACGATACTAGGGACGTAGAAAGCTACTGCTACTGAGTAAATTTATTATTATACAATTCAAATAATGTAATAAATAACAGAAAAACAAAAGAATGCTAGTGCCTTTAATACTTAATGTATCAATGAGTAACCTTGTAGTTATATGCTCGTCATTGCATATATTATGACTATCGGAGGCTTGACCGCAGCGGCGCCAACTCTAATTGCACTATTACGTTTTGGAATTTTTGGTTATGACACTGATTAGACTGTTTCTATTTGTTATCTAATTTCTCTAGGATGGTCTCTAATTGAAGTTTCAATTCGTCGATTTCAGTGCGTATTTCGGCAATCTAGTTGATTAGTAGGCTTTTTACAGTCTTGTTTGGGTAGTCCAACATTTTTACTAAGATATAATTGTCGACCAAGGCTAAACTGCTTTTTTAATTAATCTATCGGTTTATGTCTTGCATTAAGGGGAACCGATAGGTCCATATAAAATACATAGAATTATTGTCGCTTACCGACATGCCTTGAATATTACATTATTCTAATGCTGTTTTAAACTTATTGTAAAGAGCTCGGCTATTCACCATTCCTTGAGTTAATTTTAATGGCAAATAACTGGAATATTCATATCATAATAAATTAAAAACTGAAAGAGAATAATGCAATAATCTACGATAAGTTAGATTATGTCTTGTAATCTGGCTACTACATTTCCCTTGATTATTAACATGTCGCGTTCGCCACATTATTAATGAGATTATCGCTTGAACTAACTTTATTAAATGACTCGCCGGCTATGTCGATTAAATTTTCTGCAAAAACGTTCTTGCCGTTATACGCGCTTATCTGCAGTGTGTGTGCGTGCACATCTTACTCGTATATAGCTACTCCCGTACCCGGACGACTCAACGTCTCATACCCTACCAACTGAGCTAGCCAGGCTGGTATTAGAGAACGGCATATCCCCTTATTCCCTTTATAAAAAGGTGATGGATGCCGTATTGAAGCATTTTATTCATGATCTGATTAGCTGAGATACGGTCACATGATATTCTGTTATGTGACGGCAAATAAGCATGCATGTACGGTTTCGAGTTGAGGTTTTAATATTAAAAATTCAATTTATCATAATTGATACGGGTCATTTTGAAGTCCCCTTATAAAAAAGTGATGGATGCCATATTGAAGCATTTTATTTGTGACATGATTGACTGAGATACGTTCACTGAGATATTTTGTTAGACGGCGGCAAATAAACGTGTATGTATGGTTTTGAATTGAGATTTTTGTATTATAAATTCAATTTATCATAATTCATATAGGAAATTTTAAAGATAATGAATTAAAAAAAATAGACTCCAGTGTTAATGTTTTAACATTCATTAAACGAAACAAGCAGCGGAAAAATCACTCGGTAAAAACAAAAGGTTATGCTTTGAAATTAATCTATGACTAATCGATAATCGGATGTTGGAATGTGTAAGATTGAAATAAATGTAATTACGTTGCAATCTTTATGCAAAGAGTAGGATAAACGTATAATATTAAATTGACCCATATATTTGAAAAGAATTAAAAAATTATTTACAGCAGTTTTCGACACGACAAATCATGAATTTGGAATATGAGAACTATTTCCCACATTTTTCCGACGTTATATATTTTGTAAAAAATTGAAAAATCAATCTTTGACAAAAGTAATTTATGTTAAATATGTTAATATAAAAAAGAAATGAAAAAAGAAAATAAGAGTACTCCAAGTGCGTTCGATATCACTAATATCCTTGAAATTTCGCAAACTCTAAATTACTTTTAAAAAATCGATTTTTTTACAAAAAATTATTTAATTTAGTTTTATATTTTTCTATCGTCGCAGGATAAAAATAAAAGAATCACCGTAAAATAGCATACCGTTAAATGCTTAAAAAATCATATCTTTTATAAAAAATAAAAGTCGCGCACTCAGTATTGTTCGGAATTAAATTTATTTGGCTTTGAAAATTTTAATAAACAAAACAATTTTTGATTTTCAGGACCGAGGTTTGCCAGTACCAGAACCAGCATTCGATGGACCCAGTGCATTTGTGCCAGTGTCAGAGGTAAGTTTTTAATTTTATTCGTCTATTAATTTTTAATCATTGAGATAATTATATAATCTATAAAATTGAGGGTGAATTACAAAATATTTTCATATTTATGTTTAAATCATTGATTTTGATAATTTTTTCGTTGATGTCCAACGATTACGAGAAGTAGTTGTTCCGACCTAGTTCTAACATTATTTAATTATTTTAACCGGAAAAATTAAAATAAGTATACTGCGCGATATAAAAACGCAAATGACACTTGAAGAAATGCAAGACGTGTGTTTGAGTTTTGTAAAAAAAACAAAATTGATTTTGCTGATTTGACAGTATGAATCAGCTTATTCGATATAATTTTAAACTTTTCGTAATATTTCATTATGTAGAAGTAAATTTATAGAAAACGAATGATTTGTGAGCATACATTTAATTATTGAAGAATAATAAAAAAATCTAAGGCTGTTATCACGCTCTAAGTGGACAATAAATAATTGAAACGTTATAAAACTCGAAGAGAGCGACTTAGATTTCTTATTTGTCTTGATAATCTCTGGATAACCATTGTTATGAAGTGATACTGAAGTGGAATTTATTGAATCATCAAATCATAAATAATGAACGAACTTCACAACTACAGCAAAGGTAAGTGAAAATACAATTGTAATATCAGGAAAAAGTACTTTTCATCCACTCTACTGTAATAGCAAATGTTGACCCTTTGTCCGTTGCACCTGCAAACATACGCGCATTGTTCTCTGTTTGGAAAAAAAAAACAAAAAGAAGCGCGCACTTTCTCATTGTGTGCGTATGTATGTCAAAGAGCGATATAGCTGGTTACGCAAAATATGAAAGCAGAACACCAACGTACCGACGAACGATACACTTGCAATCGGCGTATCAGAAAACTCGCGGCGGCACCTGCGTCAATTACATAACTTTGGCGAGCGCGCAATTTCATTCTGATTCCTAGATTGTTATGGGTCGAGAGAAAGAGAGAGCTCGGGTCAACTACCCGTATAACTCTATGCGTTTCTACTCGACTTAATGTCGCTTTTGCTACTGCTGTCCCTTCTTTTTAGTATATATAATGGTCTCCGAGGCTTGCTAGCAATTTAAATGAAAAGTTCTTCTTTTCTAAGTGAGCGAGATGGCCGTCATTAACTTTTACAACGAAATCTTTTTTTTTTCAAACAGAACGTTTCATTTATTTGAAAATCCAGCAAGCTTTCTTTCGTTAAAATGAGATTAGGCTTGTTGTTTCTACTTTCTGGAACACCCACACACACAGAAGTATTTCTTATAAAATGTACTTAAACGCATCGTTTTTTTAATCTAATAGTTGGATTATCCGTGCACTTTATCCAACAAACTTAGCGAAAATTCGTTTGAAAAAAAAGTTAATGAAGGTAGCAGTGTTTTTCCTCGGATAAAACTGCATACAGTATTTTTCACTCGAACTTTTGTTCCAGCGTGTTAAAACAAAAAGAACCTTTGTCCGCGCAGTCCAATTAAAAGAGCATGCTAATGCGACACGTAGATACAGTGGAGTAGCAAATTGACGCTACAGTTGAACCTACTTTAAAAAGTTATTCAGATGAATTCTCAATGCTTTTTTCCAAACTTGACGAATGAGGTATAATACATTATTATATAACAATAATGACGGACGGCGAGTAACTTCGTAAAACAATCCGAAAAGCAACATCGTCAATTACGTGCTTTTGTGTTGCCCTTATGAAATAGTCAATAACGATGCCTCGTGCCACCAACTCTCTGAGTTGTACGATCGATCCACCGCAATGTCAAGGCCTGTCTTTGTCCTCTTTCGCAATACCGGCAAAAAGCATTCTTATCGCGAATTCACGCCTCAAAATGGACTTGTTCTTTCTCTCCTTCAGCCCAGTCGCGCACGCTTATGCCTAATTGCTTTCCGTAATTGGTGCTACTCAAACAAATTGCATGCCAAAGCAATTTTCGCACTGCGCTACGATGAGGTTTGATTTTCCTCGAGATATCTGTTTGGTTAGCTGAATGCTACTGCGTTAGCGAATGAATATTGATGATTCCATTTCAGTTGGAGATTGCATTTCAATGCCAAAATAAATTGCTCGACAAGAGAAAGATACAGTTTCACGGGCTTTCACAAGAAAACTTTTCTTAATGGAATTTTGGCGGTGCTTTACTTTTTTATCGCATATTTCTCTTTTTTATTTTCTCTGCGGGTATTAAATCAACAGACACTCGTTCGAGCATAACTCGCATTTGATTATTACTTCTGAGAAATGAAACCAAGCAAATTTCATATTTTGCGGTCACTTTTCATTTATCTAACTTTTGGTAACTGGGTGCTCAAAATTACATTTTTTTAAATTCAAATTTGGAATTCAATTATACTTGTTTTGTTAAGTCCCACGCCAATTTTTAAGTGCTTTAGATAACTATTGCTAGTCATTCAGCATAATAGTATGTTTCAAAATACCTCTGACGCATGTCATAATAACTCTCAGAGTTTCTGCTAATACGGAGAAAAAGAACGACTTGGCCAATTTTTGCACTTTTGACTGCGAGCAGGAAGATTATTAAAATATAATTTTACTGATAAAATATTGAAACGACTAATGTTTTCACTCTTACTAGTACTCTTCTACATATGTGTTCATATGTATATAAAACTTCGATAAAATTCAAAAAGGTGCTTAATCCATTTTATTCCCGTAGACTTTATTTTTCTATATTAAAAATGCTGGTCCATTAATTTTTAATGCGCGTTCTATTAGTGTGGAAAAAATTAGAAGTTCGAACGATAGAGGTTTTTTCTAGAAAGGCATCGACTTCTGTTTAAAACTTGAAAAATTTTATTCTAGATTACGTTAATGATTTTTATATTCCTTGATGAAGAACATTTCCGTTGCACGAAGGGCAGACTTTAACAGAAACTTTATTACAGTTAAGCCACCTGAATCGTGATAAACAATTTATAAAGTGGATTCTTGTAAAATACTGAGTAATTACGTTTTATCAGGAGTATGACGATTATCCGGTAATAAAAAAATGTAAATTTAACAATTTTGTTGTTGTCAACGAATTTGCACTTTTATCTGTAATCGTTACATGTACAAAATTATGCATTCATCTTTATCGCTCGCATTTATCTGTATCGTCCGCAACACACCATGTATCGCGTGCGTTCTCTGAACGCTCGGCGACAAGTTTTTTATATAAAAAACGTCAGGATATGCTTAACCCTGAAGTGCGATGTCACTGGTAATTCAGAAGTTTATGGACTATTAAAATTTGCATGTAGCACGAGTTCAACCCTCTTAAAACCAAGAGAGGCTTTTACCGAGGGGCAGGAGTCTTGACATCGTGTGTATACGTATGTATAGTTTAGTGCTAGACGCGGCTGCGTCTGTAGGTTCTCTTTGACGTGATCGAGACTCGCAAATTTCTTACAGTATGCGAGCCACTAATTGTCGTTATTTCAACGATGACGCTAATGTTCACGCATGCATTGCGTTCGTGTCTACGACATAACTTAACGCATTGTCCTTTTGAGTTTGGTTAATAATTTTCGGTGAAAGTATCGATTATAAAATCGTTATTTGATTGGAGCGAAGCTTGCAAATTACAAGCTAATGAATTTGATATCACGCCTCGTTGGCCTTTATTATGACTAATAACTGATATAATAACATACTGATTAACATTTTTTATGACGTTGCATGAACGCAATTTAAAAAAATGCTCCCTGTATTCTTCTTGTATTTATTTGAAGTAAAAGTGCTTGTTTTCTCTTTTCATTCATTTATCTCTATCGTCGAATATGCGCATCTTCCGCTTCAGATTTGTTTTTGTTTAAAAAAAGGTTTGTTTTCATAAAAGTTGGACCTCCGCACCTGGAATTTTCTCTCTCTCTCTCTCTCTCTCACACACATTTTCCAGGCAAAATGTAAAACATTAATCAAGTACTCGGCAAATCAGTTAGCTAACTACATACTAATTTTAAACGGCTTTTTCGACCCTCCCGAGAAAAGCTAGTACATACTCGCTAATGCCCAAACGAGATTCAACTTTGTAACGCATTTTCGTTTACCTCCGTAAAAAAAATTTTGAAATTTTCTTTCGCTCCAAGCCGTAAATCGATTAAAGAGAAAAGCACGACGAAGCGTTCATTGGAATCCCATTCGGCATGACGAGTAGCCGGAGCACAGCTGTCGCATCGTGGCTTGAATTGCGTCAATGAACTTTCATGAGAGTGAATTGGGTTATTGGCTGTGCTGGGGGCTCGTCGTCGTCGCTTTCTCAATCGCGCGCCACTTATCTCGGACTACTTATTCAGCGCGATAAGCGACGGAGAGCCAGTGAACAAAAAGCAACAACGAGTCGATGTTTTTTCCTTTCGCGTGCGTGTGTCTATGTATTTTTGGTCCACTTCGCTTTCTTATCTGCCCTCTGATCTGCTTTATCCGATTGGCTCTATTGTTCTGGAATGTTGACTCGAAGATAGAAGGTTAATTTACTTGCTTATTTGGTGATTACTTTTTTCTCTTTTTTAAGAAATATATTGCGCGAATCTGATATTTATTCTAGCTGGCATATTCAGTTAAAACTTCTCGGAATAGATAAACAATTTTAATGAGGACAAAGATCAGCTTGGCTGATTTTTTTTATATTTCTATTGAAGACAATCTTAAGTTTTGCACTGGCGAACGTTTCGAAACGTCATTGTTTTGTTATAGCTGTTTGAGATGCCGAAAAAATTCGTGGAAAGTAACCAAGCGAACTGTACGAAGACTAGAGATTGCGCACAAAGAAGAAGGATACACGAGCTTCTACGATATGTTATTCATCCTTTTTTTTTATTTTATTGACACAGCCATTTTCTTCGCTTGATTTATTCGCAAAGTCATTATCTTATAGTTCTTGGAGCCAATAATAAATTCTATTAAAAATCCTTCATCCGACATTGGCAAACAAACGGCATCGCCAACGTAGGCCCGGCGCGCCAAGTGGTAACAGCCAGGTATAGTCAGCCAACGGCAGCGTGGCGAAGGGCCCGGTAGGCGCGAAAAGCTGCCGCAGCTATAGGCAATGGAAATTACGACAGGCGCGCGCGTCGATCGCTCCGGCCGAACGCAAACGAGAAAGAAGAGTACCTGACGACGACGGTGTAATTGACGAGCGCCGACGGCGGCAAGTGTCGTGTACCAATGCGCGCGCGCCGCATCGACCCGAAAGCGTTTTCACAGTGGCACGGCCGGCCGCGCGATCACTGGCGTGCCGCGCGCGCTACCAGTCGCCTCGGCGCAGTTTAGTCTCCGACCGACCGCGACCCGCACTGACCGCTCTTATTCTCTGCTTCGGAGAAAGGAAGATCCCCGCAGGCTGGGACTCCGTTGTCTCGGTGACAGGTACGTCAGATTTTGTTTTTTTCTTTTATTTTATATTTTTTTTGGATTTTTTTTTCTTCTTCGCGCTATCGCTGCGCAGTGTGCTCTCGCGGAAACGCTCGGCTGTTAACGGACGAGTGCAGCGGCCAACGGTGCAACCCGAGCACCGTAAAATTGCCCAACTACAGGGGGCAAAACAAAGCAACGCACGAGCACTCAGTCTCGATTAACAAGCTGATCGAATGCAGATTCTCACGCGCCTACCACGTCTTGAGGGGGTGGAGAGAGTAGGGAGGAGCGACCCTTTGTGCGCTGATAAAATACGTGCAACTCGGCCTGTTACGTACATGTAGCCCTTTGCCTCACTGGCGTTAACATTGCCCATTCGTGTCGAGAAGCTGTTGCTTCGGGAGCTCTGCCTTCGAATTCAAATTCGACGAAGGCACGAAGGGTAGTGCGCCGTTTCCGTAAAAAGCACAAAAGTAACTTATTTCCATTAGTAAACGCCGGCAATACGCGGAGACAAGTCCAGTGGTGTTTGACCCATAGAGCACATGTATCCGGCTCGTGTTCTTATCTCGCGCGCCGGGGACTAATTGCAGGCACAGAGCCCTCGGCGTTCTCGTCGCGAGTGAAAAGAAAGCGGTGGCGACGCACGGCCTCGCTGCTGATGCTGCGCGCGGACACGAAGTTCGCCAATCCGCCTGACTCACAGTAGCAGCTCGTCGATATGTGATTGTTGACCGCGCTGATTGGAACTCTTTCTGTGCGCGCCTGTCGGCTTTGATAACATTTTTTTCTCTTTGTTTTCGCGGCGATGCTTTAATTGGCGATGCTTCGATTAATTCTCGCGGCTTCGCTTGCCGCTGCTTTCGCGCGGGCTTGCATTTTTTAAACGTTCGTATCCCTCGAGGAAGCCACGAGCACGTTCTCTCGTTTCACTTTTTGTTTCTTGTTCATTCGGTCGATAGTCATTTTTTGTTTTACTTCGCGCTGTCTCAAATATTTACGTGCCGGTTGAGTGGCGATTTGAGCTTGAACGTTCGAGAATCAAAGCACGATATGTCCGTTATTATCGAGTTGTATTGCATCATTAGATATTAATCACACGGGAGATCGTTGAATTTGTAACTAGCAATCGATCGTCGATGTTGATAATTGGGCAATGCGCGCGCCGCCGCCGACGGCGCTCGAGGTGAAAATTGCAGAGGTTCGAGCGGGCGCCGACGGTGAACGCGTGTAATTTTGCAAAACGCGCCGCGCTCGGCACGTACGTCTAGAACAAGGCAATTTCCATGAGTGATTCGAGTAGCCCTTTATTCGAAAGGGAGTTTCACTGCTGGAAAGCGCCGAAATCAATTAGCCAAATGGAGAACGTTAGGAGACAAAAGCCCACGACGGGGGCCTCTCCGATTAATTGAAGCGTCGACTCGCGGCGGCTCATAGGAACGGTCAGAGCTCTGGGGGAGGTATTTTCGCGGGCCGCGTCACGCGTGCCGGTAAAAAGCAGCCGGTAACCCGCGGCGTCGCTTGCATTATACAGCAGTTGAGCGGAGCGGAAAACGAGTAAGAGTGCCGGGATTCCGGTTGACAAGAGCGCAGGGGTATTAATAAAACGGCCGATCTATTCGACGAGTGTTGCTATATATAACGTCGGCACCGAGAGAGGATAAAAAGCACGAGGCAGCAGAGCCTTCCGCCAAATTGAGCTTCGAGCTCGCGGCGAACCGCCCTTCGGCCGATATTTCTTGCCGACCGCGCGATCCCCTGCTCAGTTTGCTCGCGCGTCAGCTTCCCGCGCAGGGCTGCGCCCGAGTGGAATGGCCGGAGCGCGTGCAAATCGCGATTTCGCGGAATGGAAAGCTCTCGAACTGCGGAGCACACCACGGTGACGTGCGTTCGTTCTTCGCCCGCGCAACGCTTGACTTTTATTGGGGAGCCTTTGTTCGAGCTACGCCAGTCGTTCCTTGGGACTCGTTAACGCTCAAATGGCCTTCCGTCCGATAAACGCGTAGATACGAAAATACACTGGCTTCGAAAGTCCGACCGCGTGATCTCCGGTTGTTCCGTTGACGGCCGCCTCGATTGTGCAATTGCCGAGATCATCGGCGAGCTGTCGGTAAAAGTTCGCGTGTGCGCACTTTCGCCCGCGACCAAATCTTGCGCGAGAGGTGGAACCTTGACTCGCCTGAAATCGCAACCAAGTTAATTTTGCGCTGTCGAAGACAAAGGCAGAAAAGCGGGGCCAATGGAAAAATTAAACATCTTTTATTCCCACGTGCGCGTGTGTATTATTGACTTCCGTTGTATTCTGTTGCAAGCTCGCTCATTGTTATGCGAACAGATGTACGTACGTCATTTTTCTTTTCATCATTGTCGAGAGAATGCGTATACTGGCGCACGAGGTTGCGCAATGCCGAGCCGCGTGAAGGTTTCGTCGAGCACTTTGTTTGTTGAAAATTATGATATATTCGATAAACAAACATTGACATTGAAGGTTGCGTAGGTCGTGAGTTGTGCAGTTGCCTCGAGATTTCGTGTTAAATGCTCGATTCGATAAGATAACAAGCCTTTGTTTCCGATTTGTCCCTGGTCTTAATTCCGTCAACGTTTTATCTGCGATTGACGAGCCTGCGGTCACCGCCAACCAATTTCTATTAAGTTGCGCAATTTGCCGAAAATTGACAATCAAATTAACAAGCTTCGCTACCGAAGAAACAACATTCTCGATACTGTGCGAACGCAACTGTTGAAGCATTTTCCTAACGCGTGAGCCACCGAAGAACTCGTCAATGGAACTATCCAAATGTCAGAGCATCAAACAGCATTCCTTCCTCGAAGAAACAAGAGACCCGTTTCAACGGTCATTTCCCCCAATACCTAAAAATAAAACGACACTGGCTGTCGTGGAAAAATTGGAGAAAAATGCCGCACTCAAATCTCTCTCCTTCAAAAATCCAGCTTATTTCGAATTCTCATCACGTAAAAAGACTTCCGAAAAACGTAATTTCGCCTTACCCAAGAAGCTAAGCGAATCGAGAGGGGGGGGGGGGGTAGGAGAAAACGCAATCTAACTTGGCGACCTAATCGCTACTGCTCCGTACCTCCCACGGCTATTGCACACTCCCGAGCAGCACAGAGCCCATACTTTTACAAGTGAAATTCTCCTGCTTACGGTGGAGTGACTGACGAAATAAATCAATTGCTAATTAAACGATGTCGCATTCATGAATTCCAATCTCGGCGGATTAACATTTAATCCTCCATTTGTGAGCTCGTATCGGAAGAAACGCGGATGTTTGTTGATTTTGCAGCGAAAATTAAGCGAGACTGCAGGCAATCGAGCTTTTCCGAATATATATATATATATATATATATATATATATATATATATATATGTGTATGTATGTATGTATGTATGTATATATACATACACTCTAACTGGGTCTGAGCGATTAATTAATTCGAACGGCGTATACAGCTCGTGGCTCAAATGAGGCTTTTCGAATATTTTACGACTCATTGATCGCAACTTGGCGCGCAGCGGAGCCGCTTTATACCGATAAAGTTTCCGGTCGAGATGGTCGGCTCGGAGGCACCGATGTTGGGCGCCCCGTGCGCTCGAACTTGGCTTTATAGTTCGACTTCGACAAGTACGTTACGTCGGCAATTGCGCCACGGGCGAGAAGGAGACGGCAGATAATCCACGCGAGCGCGAGTAAAAGAAAAAAAACATGGAAAAGTGGAGGGATGTCGATATTCCTCGCGGGTGCTTGTGCTTCTCTCGCGCTCGACACCTACGCAAACAGTCGGCGGTCCATTAGCATAATCGACGCAGATCCTATTCATCGATTCCAACTTCTCTATAAACCCGCGCGAAGCCGGACGGAATGAAAACGAGTCCACTAGCTGGGGAAACTCGGCCGCTATGTATTTTTTTTGTCCGACTTCTTTCGACAGTTGACGAACGGAAAAAAACGGTGAAAGCTTCGTCGGGGGTGTGTTCGAAAAAAAAAATGTTCAGGGTTAATTTTAGGAACGTGGTGAGCTCGTTGCAGATAAGACGAAATCGATAAGTGCCCGTGCTCGAGTATCGAAAGAAAAGCAAAGTAAGCGTTCGACGGCGAGGGAGTAAGGGGTGGTCGAAAGTTTCAGCGCAGAGAAGTTTTTGATTTGCGAAAGCTTTCAATTTGGCAAACGGCACGGAGGCGCTCCCGAGCTTCTTTCCAAGGTAAAAGTAAACTGTTTCCCCGTCGAGCGGCGTAGAATGATCTTGCGAGGCTCGCTGCACGTTGCGGATTTTAATACAGTCGGACATGGAAATGGATAATACGACACTTCGAGCGTTGTTTCTTTCTTTTTTTCGCATACGTGCGCATCCACTCGTCAGCGAAAGAAGCTGGAGAGGCGGGTTTATTAACTTTTTCGGTCACGCAATTCCAACGTACGTGAGATGCGCATGTGTTTGGATGGAAAAATCTGTTTAATACGAGAAATCTGGATTTCTCGCGACGACACGGAAGATTTTTTTCGCGCTACCCTTGCCGTGACGAAATGATCGCTTCCAAAATTTTTCAGTACGCGAAAGTCGCATTGGTCGTGATCGAGCAATCATCGAGGAAATCCGGACGTAACACGGTACACGGCAAAGTTTACGACTTCGCGTAGACAGCGAGGGAATCATCTCGTATACAATGAGCGTGTCTCAAGTTGGCCTGACAACAATGCTATCTACCAGCGCCACGCGGCCGCCTGTACAGCTGCGCGACAACGCGGACACCGGAGCTCCTCGATAATTCAACGGCTAAACCGCTTTGACAAGCCGAGCATAATGGTAGCCTCATCTCGACGTCGAAAACGCGCGGGTTTTCTAATCGACACGTCGCGAGGAGGCTCAAGTCGATCGATGGCACGAAATTAGCCGCGCGAGGGAAGAGCTGTTGCCGATTAATCGAGCGTGATCTCTTTACGTCGCTCGTCGATGAAGGGACTTTGTCTGGCTTGAAAATCAATGCCGCGCATTAAATCCATTGGCACAATTTTCGTCGTCCCGGCAGCTATATTTGAATATTCAATCGGCATACAAGGCGGTCACTTATATACGCACGCAGACAAGTTCAACGTTCTCCGAATAAATTTCCTGCGGTTTTTTTTTCGCTTTCTCTCTCTCTCTCCCCCTCTCTTTCTTTCTCTCAATTAAATGCGTGTTTTCTCGAATGGGCTCTCATTTTTTTTTCCTGCCGGAGCGGCTCTTCAATAGTGTATTTGCATGTAGCAATAGATTCTCTAATGTGCGTGTTTTTTTGTATTTGCTCTGGCTGTACACGCACTGGGACTTTAATCGATTTTCACGTTCTCTCGCGCGCGCGCGCGCGCGCGTGTGTGTGTGTGTGTGTGTGTGCGCGCGCGCACACACGTGTGCGTGTCTATACACTAACAATGTTTTATTGATCGCTCCACACGGAGCTTTTGTTCTATCAATTTACCACGGTGAAAAATTAAAACGCCGCGTTTCTTGTTCTCGTCGTCGCGAGTAGTTATCGCGCGACGCACAGACGGCCCGGCTAAATTTTCACGGAACGGTAAATGGGATCGTCGGGAGTTTCCTCGATTAAGTTGACACCGCAGCAGCAGCGAGCGTCTCTCGTCGACAAGCGAGACAGATCCGCCAACTCGCTAACCTAAACAATCATCGTCCCTCGCAGAGTCGACGACGTCGGGGAGGTGAAAAAGAACCGGATTTTAATAATGTCGCAAAAGATACGCCGAGACGATCGTATCAATCTTCATTTTTTTCCCGCCGACTCGCGTTATTTTCTTTTTTCTCTTCTTTATGTCGGTGGAAAATTTTAGACTGCACAATGCAAATGCATTATTCTTTCTGGACGCGTAGCTCGTGCGACAGCCTGATTTTGCAAATCTTTCCCCGACGTCGACTAATTATGCTCTCGCGCGAACTATTCCTTTCGCGAGCTTTACATGAATTTCTTTCCGGGCAGAGTTCGACTTGGAATTTGCGAAGAAAGAAAAAGCTTCGAGGCTCTGTTAATTGAGATCATTCTCAGCGAGAGGTCGATGAACGCTGCTTTTATGTCCTCGTTTATGGGAGGACTATGCTCCCGCGGAAGTTCTACTATTCTAGAATATTGCAGGTTCGATTCGCTCGGGACTACAATGCAAACGAGTTCGCTGTCAAAAATCGCTGCCCTTTCTTTGCCGCGTACGACTACTTGTTCCACTCTGTTTTCCAATGAAGTTACGGCAATTGAAAATGTTTTTCTTCGCGGCTGAAAGTTGACTGGCCCGCACTGCCCGCAGCGCATTTTAACGGGGAAAAGCCTCGCGGTGATTTTCGAAAATAGCAGCTATTTCAAAGGACGTCCCAGTTTCGATGTAAAACGGACAATTCTTTACTCCTGAAAATAAACGTACAATGTCTGCCGCGACGACCGGCAAATCGATGCGCACTCTCATCGGCTTATCTTTCGTTTCAGGCGTTTTTCTCTCAAAGTCATCGTCACAATGTCGCAAATGCTGATGGACGAGCCAGGCTGGAAGCTGGAGCGCAAAGGCTCGGCCCTACTGCTACGCCGCGACAGTAGCCTTCATCATCGTCGCACTCGGGTATGTTTCCGCTGCGACGTGGAGGTTCGGGAGTACGAGCGCGACGAGGACTACTATTACCACGAGGACTCCTACGGTAACGCAGTGCTGGTCAACGGCGGCGGCAGTACAGAAACATTGGCTGCAAGTCCATTGGCGATGTGCGCGAGTTGCTTGGCTGCAATCTGCGTCACTGTAGTGTTGCCTTGGTTGCTCATAGGAGGCTAACCGGACTGCAGATGACGCTGTTGCCAAGTGTGCGAACTGAACTCCGAATTGTGCGTCCAAGTGTGATGGCTTGTGAATGTAGCGTGCGTGAGTGGAATGCCAGTTGTCTAGAATAATTGTGAAGACGAATCGTACATTATTACCAATATTTGTATCGGCAAATAATTTATGCCATGTGATTAGATTAGATATACTCTAAATGTCCGAGCGAGAATAATATGATTTGTCGTTGTTGCACACAGCGACACGCCCTCTTTTTTTCTTTTTTCTTTTTCAAGCGGACAATGCGAGCGATGAACAATCGACAATGACTGATGAATAATTACCGCGAGCTGCTTTTTTTTCCAATTGATAAAACAGACACGACTGCGTGTACGTTGCGCAGGGAGAGAGAGAGAGAGAGAGAGAGAGAGAGAGAGAGAGAGAGAGAGAGAGAGAGCGAGAGAGAGAGAAGAGCACGCTCCGGCTTCGTTGTTTCGCGTGCGATTTTGTTTGTTTTTTTTTTTAATAAAAAAGAGAAGATAACCGAAGAGAAAACCAGCGCTTCATTACTGAACCTCATCCTTCCTACTCCCTTGTTCCGCTGGACCTTTTATCGGCTTTAGCCCAGGTATTCGTTCGCGAGTAATGAAAAGACTTCAATTATGAAAGCTTGTGCACCCGCGTGTGCTTTGTTTTGCAGTGTCCGAGGAGGAATTCAAACCGAGGGAGGGGATTAGTTTGTTCGATCATGTTTTTCCTTGCTCCTCTTCCTCTATACATAATGAAAATGCTTTTGGGACAGAGCGAGAGAGGAATTTTCTTCTTAAAATACTATGTAGAAATGTTTCCCCATTGGCGTGCTTGACTTAACCTTTTGAATAGTTCAAACGCGTCTTCTTTTTAGAAAGCGGCTCGAGGACTTTCCATTACCTATTAAAAACAGTTTTTACGACATTCAAGTTTATTTTGCTTTTCATTCATTCTGTCTTTGCAGAAGTTTGTCCACGTGCGTCTTAACGTGGCTTTGAAAAAGTTTAAACAAATTTGCGCATTATTTACAAGCCTGCTGTCCTATAAATGTTTCAACGTCAAGAAAGCTTATCAAACTATTTACATGTGTAATTGCAGTAGTTTGTGATACTATTGTACTAAAGTACTAAACGGAAATCTAAACGCTTATACTTTCAAATTTGTTTTTATCTATGCATAAATAAAAGAAAAAATCGTCTGAATAGCTGAATATGCACAACTGCTAATTATCAGAATGAATATGTATGGGCTGGGCAGAGATCAAGCGATTTCCGATTTGACCATCGTATCCCTCTCTCTATTTCCCGACAATTTTTGCGTCTAAATTATAGACATTTACCGAGAGTCCAACGCATTGGAATTTAATTTTGCCGGACGAAGAGAACGAGCACAGTGGGAGGACCACATAAATATGCATCGAGAGACCCTCTCGCGCGCTCCGGCGTGGGATGCAGTGATTCATAGCGTGGTGCGCGGAAAATTTTTTGACCCCCCCCCCTCTCTTACAAGTTAATTAGCCGAGAAACAAAAGACGGTAACTTTTTCGCGCCGAGCTCGTTAAAAATGAGTATGGCTTAGACGACGTGCGCGCTTATGAATACATAACAGCTCGGATTTCCATAAATCGATCGAAGAAATCGGGTTAATTACAGCGTAGCGGCCAAGTAATTAGCAGCTTGCAAGTAATCGGATAGCCGGAGCCACATAGTGCTGTATCTTCTGTTGCTGTGTGGATCGAATGCGCACTTTCTTTTTAACGCGGCGGTTCATTGTCAAGGCGATTATTTCTCTTGTCTTTAGGCAAGGGGAGAGGGAAAGCTGCTGCCGAAAGGCAACGGCAGCGTAATGAAGGTTAATCGACGCTTCGATTGTCGACAATTGGCCCTAATTCAAGCTTGATTAAAGCTGCGAAAGAGAAGAACAGCGTGACATCTGGGTGGTAGAATTTCTAGGCAATTGTCGTGCCGACCGTTAGTCGCGTGACGACGGTCGGTAAAGTAGCAACTTGCCGAAGCTCGTTTTTGCAATTATCATCGCAGGTGGCGCGACGGAGCAGCGTAATTACGCGAATGACATTTCACCTAATTACCCTACAACGAGAGGAGCGCAAACAAGCGAACGCTAAAGCTCCAATTAAACGTCATTAGTCTCGAATTTTTCACAATTGCCATTTGTTTCAAGATCTCCGTATGTAGCGCTGTTATTATAGCACAAACACGCAAATTAATTTATAAAACCATTAATTAAGCCTATGTAAAACCAAAAAAGGAAAAAAGTATCGCACTAACATGCAATTATTTTGTTTTTTTGCAGCTGCCAGACCTCAACAATCTGGACGAGAAGGTGAGTTTTGTATAATGTAATTTTTCTCTTTTTTATCATTTTCAATCGATTCAATGACGAGGTCGTCAATCTTGGCATATACGCATTGTTGCAACGCCCAGGCTAATACGTCAAAGACTAGTTTACGCTGTGCAATCGAACTTGATAAAATGCAGCGATCGAGATAGATAGAGAGAGAGAGAGAGAGAGAGTAGAAATCTCTGTCGCGATGACGTTGACGATCAACGATCGAATTTCATCGCTGCGTGAAAATGAGCGTGGATTACGATTTTTCCCTCGTTTTAAAGGTCAGTTGACGCGTGTGGACATTCAATTTAACGTAAATACACGCGTGCACACCCCGCTGCGTGCGTCATTTTGGTCGAGCTCCGAATCGCGCGATTAGGATACGGCTAACGAGCGTGACTGCGTATGTAATTGCTTGTATATTTACGTGATGCTGTCTCTTTCTCTGTGACAATTGAATTTTACATGAGCGCAGCGTGCGGATCGAGGTGAGAGACATCTTTGTCGAGACATATTTTTCTATCGCAAAAAAGCATTAGTTCCTCGTCGTTCGTCGGTCATCAAAGCCAGTAGCTCGTTCGGGCTAATACGAATGGACAGTTTAGAGGAAAAATTGAAATGCGGTGGGAAAATCGATTCGTGTGTCCCTAAGGAAACGCTCTATCGAGCATTTCGCGATGCTCTAAAAACAAAAATTCTAATCGCCTTTCTCGAAGGCTAATCCAATCAAAGGGCGACAGGCTCCATCTGGCGGACGGAAGGGAAGGGTGCATCCGACTGCTTCGAAAAGATGTCTTCGTTCCTTCTATCCTCCGCGAAAAGCGCGCCCATAATCACCTTGAGCCAAATAGAGTAGAAGCGCGCCTCTGCAATCGGCATATAAATCAAACGCGCCTAATACAAAAGAGCGCCACGCGCGAGTCTAAATATCTGTGTCAACGGTGTTGTCGAAGCCCGCGGTAAACAGAATGGAATCCCATACTTTATGCATATTCAAAAGCTTTAAGGATCGTCTCTTACAAAAGCTCAATGTTACGCGACTGTGTTTAAGGGCGTGTGTGTGTGTGTGTGTGTGCGTGTGGTGCGCGGGCGGGAGTAGAGAAACGAGTTTGCATCGGAACCCGTTTCTTACTTCTTCTCGATGTTGTGTTACGCTGATGATGGCGATGGCAGTGGGGAAGATGAAGGTGCACGCACACACCCACAGGCAAAGCGTACGTATACGCGTGCATGTCACACTGACGCTCGTGGCATTGAAATTTTCGACTGACTCTTTATTTTTGGAATGGTTTCTGCTTCTCTCCTGCTTCTTTATTTTCGCGTAACCCCCTTTTCTTTGTCTCTCGCGCATTAGTTATGGAAGCAGTTACGGCGATAAAATCGGGCGAACGAATGGCCCTCCTTTTTTTTGCTCGTTCAATCCTCATACTTATCGCGCTCGCCTCGGCAGAGCGTGTTCCTTCGAATCATAATTTTTTTTTCTCCGTTGTCCAAGTCGCGAAAACAGCAGCTCTGCGCCGCAGCGCCGAGGTGTATGACGTGGCTTACGTAAATTCGCGTATCGAGAGCGTTGGAAAGTGCGTTTTTTGTTCGGTCGTCGGGGCAAGTGGAATTGTCGACTCGGTCGCTCGAGTCCCCGATCGGCAATTTGCGCGTGGCGGTAAATTCGCCCACTGGATTGCGAGTGTGCGCGACGTCTGCCACGAGAGCTCGAAGGAAGTGACGCGCGCCTCGAGTTTACGCGAGTTTACGTGGGTATGCCGCGAAAACAGGAAATCTCTCTTAACCGAAGCGGGCGCTGGCTTGGTGAAAACATTTGGCGAATACCCCGGGACGTCGAACGAGAAGTCATCCGACGCTCTCGTAAAGCTCGGTAAGCTGTTGCAGGTCAATCTTGAATTTGGCGAAAACCAGTCTGAATTTCCAACTGATCTCCCGCGCGAAAGAACACAGCCCACGGATTATTTATAATTTTTGATTGAGCGCCCGTCATTGTCGACATTAATAACTCTGTCGGAATATCGTCAAAAGCGCGAAAGCAGGAGGTTTCGCGTGCGTGGCATCGTGCCCAACACGCCACTCCTTCTCGGAAGATCACTCAAGCTCAATAATAATTTCTTTCTGAAAATACACGATCGAAAAGCTTCGAGAACACGCACGAAATATCGTGTCCAAGCAAACAAGAGAAGACTTCTTAGGGGGTACATTGTTTGCTGAGCGTAGCGCGCGCAGAAGCCGCTACTACCTTTAACCGATCTCCTCTATTTTGTTCTCCAACCGGTTTCGCCTCTCCGGGTATTGCTTCCGTGCTGCGCGGCTTGGCCCCTGGGGGGGGGGGGGGGAGAAACGGACTATCTAAACTGCTCCTTTCTCGAAGCGGCAAGCCGTATTATTAGCCGCCTCCTTCTCCCGCGGCGGTCGGTTTTCATTTTATCTGGTGCATTGAAATATCGCGGTAAACAGCAGTGGTTACCAGACCGAGGCTCTCGCTCTCTTGCTACTCGCTATTAATAAGCATCGTTCGATACGCGTTGCGCAATCGCCGCTTTTCAGAAAAACTTTTTCGTCCTTCGTCGTGTTCGTTGCTCCGATCAGTCTGTTTGTTAACGTTCAAGGAGGCGCGCTCGCAAGGTAAAATCACTTACTGCAACAACAACAACAAATAATTGTTAGAGAGCTGATATGAGATTACCGTAGTCTTTCGGGATCATATTGCGATTAGATAGGACGGGACAACGTTGCGCGTGAAACGTCTTACGATTCTTGCTTTTTTTTTTTTTTTTTTTTTTCAGGCAGCCACCACGTTGATTACTTACCCGACCTTTAAACACATGTAGGCTGATCGTTCGATCGTAGCATTGACGATTGTTGAAAACGAGCTAATTTATTCATTGTTTTTTTTCAGTGCTGGTAGTAACGCCAAACTCGTCTTTTTTTTACTGCAAAAAAATCCATTAGCGGTCGAGAGCGAAAAATTTAATAAACAAACGACAAGCTCTTGTTGCGCTCTTGTAGGTCGGTGTTAATGGTATATTTTTTTCTGTCGTTCGAATGGACGCGATGAAGTGTATACTGTAAATGTCAATAGTAGTTTCATCATAGCTCCTCGGCAACATTGTAAGTTTGGCATTGGCGGCGATATCTCCCACTTTATAATTAAAAAAGGCTCGACCCGTTACCGTCTCTTTTTTTCGTATTTAGATAGATGTGTGAAGATGTGTGAAGAAGTGGCGCCACTGGGCGTGATTAAGCACATCGAATATTAATTTATGCGAGTAGTTAATTGGTCGAATTACCGGTACGATTGATAAATATTGTTTTTTCTGGCTCTGAAACTCCAATGTGCGCGTGAGTCCGTGAGTTTTTTTCTTTTTATTATCGAGATGGGTGTAGCATATAGAAATGAAGAATCCGATCTGGTGGCAAACACACGATATTGTCAGTAGTACATGACGTAACGTACTATTGACCGTGACGGCGGAAAACACATCAGCTTTATCAAGCATAAATTTTATTGTTGTGTGCCACGGCTGGCAAAATACTCGACAATTACACGCCCCAACGTTCGGGATCTAATTAAGACGCCCGGTCGCGACAAAACAATTCGCTGTCGTGTCGTAATCGTGAAAGTTTTGCATCTTTCGAGTATTCGAAAAGGCCGCATTCGAAAGTAAGAGCATTAATTTTTCGTCGGCGGAGACTCCATATTTTATTGCCGCGCCTTTTAGTTTTCTCCCGCGGAAAAGTTGCTGTAAATGGATATTTTAGAGTCGGATGATATTTTAATGGCCATAACGCGAAGAGTAGATCGCTTCTTTGGTTTTCTTTTACGCGGTATCGCATACTTTCTATAACATTTTTTTGGTACGTTATTGTTGTTTGCCCTGGGTAATATCTACATCTAAATCTATTATCTGCGGCATAAAAATGTTCAGCAGGTCGAACCAAAGAGGAGACTTTCTAATTTTTAATTGCCGAGCAACTGAAATCATCCGTTTGTCCGCGTGCTCCCAGAAATCAATTAATATTATGTTTTACGAGGATAATCTACAAAGCACGTGGCTGAAGTGCCATCGGCAACTGAAATGTTTCGATTTAATTAATCGAATCTCGTGAACACGGCGTCCGTAACTCGAAGCAGCTGTCATTGGACATTTTTTTCGCTGAAACATCAAAGACTTTGGTCAATGTTCTCCTTGAACTGCAATTTTGCGAACGTTATACTGTCCATCCGCGCTGTAAAAATTAGCCGGCGTACAATTATTTCCAAGATTTCTCGCTCGACAATACGCGGACGCGCGCTCCAAGCGAAGAAACGCCGTTATCTGAAAAAATATGCGGAGATTGCTGCAGCAGCAACAAAAGAAAAATTACGTCGTCATATAGCTACATGCGAAACTGAGATAGCGCGACTCTCTCTATCTGTGGCAGCTGCTATTGTTTGTTTCGACTGGTTGAGATAAAAGCGAGAGCGAGAGAGAGAGAGAGAGGCGGAATAAAAGTGCCAGGAAACAAGGACTTGACAGAAGGTTACCACGGGGTAATTGCTCGGATTCGAGTGAATTATATGAGAATAGAAAAAATATTTGGATGATAGCCATATATAAAACGCGACCTTATTGACGTGACTCAATGAGAGATTAAAGCTTCCTTCGAGCGATCAACAACAATTGTCATTTACATAATTGTCTCTGATGATCATTGTTACTCGACAGCTGTGACGCGAGTCGTTGTATGTAAGTTCAATGGAATCAAACGTGTAATTATATCGAGACGACGTGTTGATTATTTATGCGCGCTTAGATTTTTACGCCCGAAATTCAACAAGATTAAACTTAAAAAGAATTTAGCGTGAAGTTACAAAGTGATAAATCGTTTCAGCCTTGAAGCCAGTTTTTTAAATAGGCTATAATATCGAGCCGAAAGAGAAACGAGTTGTCCGTTGTCTATTTTACTTTTTTTCAAATTGACAGCTGCTCGATGTTCGCGCTCCC